GCCTTTGCCGTACACATTGCCAGGGGTTCGGCCCGCGTAAAGGCATCGCACACAGCCGCTAGTGCGCCGTAACCAGTCAGTAGCCTCCGCCGCACCACGCTAGGCTAGGACGGTAGCAGCGCAGTGCAATCGTCTCCATACGGGCACTGCGTGGGGTCGTACAGCACTAGCACCCTGGGCACAATAGCCGACGGCCAGCAGCATCAGTTCCTTAGAGGGTACACACACGCAAAAATTTTCGTCAGGATGGTGTACTGGTCGTAGGGCGTTCCCTACGCCACACCCCCACTCACCTTCGCGACCATTTTGCGTGGCCGATTACTGCGAGTCCTTTCCGATATTGGTTCTCATGACAACATGCATGTTTTGCATGTGCCTGAGGGCCGTCATTACACCGGCGCACTTCCCCACTAAGTTCCCATTATTGTTCATTCCCATGCCGCGAAGGTACAGCGTTGCAATTGTAATAGCCTGCCTGCCTGCTTGCTGCTTGCATGCAGGTCCACATGAGACTGATCAGTAGTAGCAACCTATCTAGCTTGGGCAGTCGTTTGAAGCATTTGGCTGGGATCCCTCCAGGAGTTACATGCATGCCGTTACGAATGCAAGCTATAGGACATTTATTTGATGCGTCCCCCTAAATCCTTGAAACAATTTTGCCTTGAAGCCAATTGTTGTTGCAACGCAAGTACACTCCCTTTTATCTAGACACACAGGGGCGGCCCATCCATGAGGTATTCGCTTCCTACCCCACCAGCACCCCAGCTACATCGCACGTACGACAGCAGCAGCAGCAGATGGTGTCGATTGGTGTTCAAATGATACAACAGTACAACAGCCGTTGACATTGCAATTCATGGGTGTTCCTTCCTTCCTTTCATGCACGCCACGTGCGTTACGCCCCCGCCGTCCTTGCTAACAAACAACAACGTGCGCTGCTTGTGGTGCTACTGTCGGGCATTGAAAGGTACACACGTCCCTCTTTTTTAACTAACCTTCATCTCCTTCATTCCCATCACAACAAAACGCTCTTATTGTACATTCTTCATGCAAAACGCAAGCTAGCCAGCCTGTACGATAGGATTTGCGCCACGCGTGCAATACACACGCACGCAAGGAACGAAGCCAACACCATGCTAGCACGCACACCGCTTAGTTGCGTTTGCCTTGCATCGTCATGCCGTCATGCGCAATCCAACGCCCTCTCTTATTTACCTATACATTGCCGCGCGTCAGTTCCGCGTGTGCTAATCTTCCTCCTCCTCCTCCTCCTCCTCCTCCTCCTCCTCCTCCTCCTCCTCCTCCTCCTCCTCTCCTCTTCCTCATTCCCAGCAGCCCGCCCCTTCGTTCAGCAGCTTCCGGAGGGCCCCGCGAGGCCCACCTTTTGGCAGTTGGTACGGCAGCTGTTGATGCATTGGCAGGTCGGACAGAGGACCTTGAAATTGGCGGGATAGTAGACCTGGCAATGTGTGTTGGGTGGGGTGGGGTGGGGTGGTGTGGGGTGGAGTGTAATGAGGGGAGGGTACTCAAAAAACAGTGTGGTGGCGGGGATAGAGGATTACGGTAGTGTGAGAAGAGAGACCCGCGGGACGGAGGGAACATGACACGTTGGCTGACACCTGGTCACTGAATGGGTTTTCGCCCGACAAAGTGCCCGACGGACTCAACACTTACAACCCCGAACAGCCCCGAAACCACAGATTCACAAGTTCACGAAACAAAGGAGTCATTTGCCGACGACGATTCCCCAATCACCCATTCACCCTACCGTACTATGTACTCCCGCTCCCCGCCTCTTCATCATTACTTACATTCTGCAGGCAGTTCAATGGGTTGGTGGAGATGTCGGTGTAGAGTGTGGAGCAGACGGGCAGCGGGTTGGGGAAGTTCTGGCACTTGATGATGCTGTTGATGTAATGCATCGTGTAGCCGCCGGCGCCCGACTCGGGGGAGGAGTTGATGGTAAAGCCGACATCTGCGCAACAGCGGAAGCAGCAGCATCGCCGGGAAGGAGGTACAAGTGAAATCGCAAGTGGTGATATAATAGAATAACGATGGTGTGCGTCGTGCGAGTACGTACCAATACGAGCTAAAGGTCACCGCTGAAGTATTTTTAAGCAGCGCTATAGAGTCGTACAGAGTCGTACACGCACATGGGCATGTATAGCAGCACGAACGGCTCCAGGATCCGCACCGACCCATGGGTCACAAGCACCAAACACATACACACGGTTCTTGTTCCTTGCTTGTCTCTTCCATTCAGAATCGTTACCTCGAACAACACCCCATACCCGACAGTGTGACCCTTGGGTCACCACGACACCGACCCACGGGTCGTTCATCAGCACGCACCCTGGAAGGTGTACTGGTTGCAGCTCGACTCGCTGTCGGGCGGGCAGATGTCGGCGGTGTTGTTGCCGGGGTAGGCCGCGGGGCGCTGGAAGATCTGCAGGAAGTAGGCCCGGGCGCCCTCGCTGGGCCAGCACACCTGCGGGCAGGAGGGAGGGCGGGCGTTGCGATGAGGAGGGAACAATCAATCGGAACGAACAGCAGCTGGCACGCTATGGGCTGATGGGTGCAGCCGACGGGACCGATCGTGTTGGAAACCACATGCCACTCAACCGCACCCATGCATGCATACCTGCGGGCATCAATCCCCGTTGCACAGCACCGCAACCCACCACCGCACCTGCTGGTTGTTGGTACTGTCCTGGATGACCACCTCAGCCCCCGGGGAGTAGGCGAACAGACCCACGGGGGCTCGCAGCGACTGGATGCGGTACAGGTTCAGACCTGGGGCGGGGACGGGGTGGGGCGGGGGCGAGAATGCATGCGGATACTGCGTGAGGTGGTGGTGGCGGGTGTGGCGGGTGTGGTGGCGGCGGCGCGAGGGGGTAGGATATGATAAGTGCGCGTGCGTGTCGCACCAAGCTGGCTACCACGTGCAAGCCAAGCAAAGCCGCGCCCTGGTACCTGGCGCAGGTACCTTTTGAGCAGCAACCCTTTTCCAACCCCACGACGTCCCCACCCCACATCGTCCCCACGCCCCCACGACTTTTTCCACTCCCTCCCCCACAACGTCCTCCCCCTCCCACAACGTCCTACCCTGCAGTGTGAACGTCTTGCCCGAGGCCAGCTTCACGATGCCTCCCAGGTAGGCGAAGTCCAAAATGGGTTGGCTGCCGGACGACAGCGCGCCGTAGATGCGCAGGCTGCGTTGCAACGGGAAGGGGCCGTTGGAAGCAGCCTGGTGGCGGGGTAGGGTAGGGGAGCAGGGCGGGGCGGTGTTGGGCACTTGGGGTTGCTGCCTTGCACACTTGGTTTAGGGGGGTGTAGGACGAAAAATAGCGGGCCGCCGGGGTGTTGAAGCTGTGCGCTGAAAGAACAGCAGCTATCGTACCGTACATTACAGCGCTTGAAAGAGACGCAAGCAAAGGAGGTAACAAACGGCCCAGCAGCGGCAGCGGTTCTAATGCAGCGCGTCGGGATGGACGCGCATTGGGATGGTTAGTTGCAACTGCCACCACCACCAACCGTTACAACCGCCGACGCTACCACGATCCTGCTGCTGGGGCCCTAGACAGCCCCTGAGACAGCCCCAGATGATAACTTACGTAGTCATTCAGCTGCTGCGAGTAAGGCTCCAGATTGGCTCCGTTGTAGGCGATGCCGATGCTACCCACGCTTTGGTCGATGAACGCCTGGTACAGCTGCGCATCATTCCTGACCTGCGGAAAAGGAAGAGGAGGAGGAGACGGAGGAGGTGGGAGTGGCAGCGGCAATGGTGGCAATGCCGGCGGCAGCGGCGGCTATAGGGCGGCAACAATTCGGTGCGGCGGCAGCAGGGGCACGCACGCTATACAATGTGTTTAGGGGAGAGTGATTAAGGGAACACAGCAGCTGGAATGAGCACAATGAGAAACGGGTTAAGAAAGCAGATAGGGACTGATGATAACCGTTAACTCTGCTTTGCTAGAGGTTAGACATTCAACCGGCAGTCCTGATGAGAGGTGCGGCACCGCGGCTCCCAATCCAATGAAAGCAAATTGGGTTCGTTCTGTTTGGCAGCGGCTTGCCAACTGCAGGTCTGTCGTCGGCATGGTCAGCCATTGCCGGCATACAGCAGCTTCTAGCAGCCAATGCTAGCAGCCATTGCTAGCAGCCATTGCTAGCAGCCATTGCTAGCAATCATCGCAGCCATTGCGGCCGCATTGCGGGAGATCTAGCGGCATGCTTACCGTTCTATCGCTTCCTTGCGCAGATGCGGGGTGCGCAGTAACAAGGAAGAGCAGCAGCGCAGTAACGGCCGCCGCCGCCGACGACGACATGAGCTTCGTCATCTTTACTTGTCGTCGCGCTCGCTTGTCGGAATTTTGCACGCGCAGCAGTAGTGTTGGGGACTGTTGGTTGACTGTATTATACGCTGTAATGGAGGGGCGACGAGAGCTTTTTATAGTGGGCGGCGGGTATCTTTGTAATGCTGATGATGCATAATCCTTACGTAAGCTCCTGGATCTTGTGCGCCGCCAATCAGTACAAGCCGTGTCTTTGGTTTCGAGACGCAAGATACGCATAGCTGGTCCACAAGCATGTATACTGAACAGCTGCCCTAACGCAATGCGCTTGCTTCTGAGGCCGCTGAGCCTTGGCAGCTGTCATTTTGGCCGCAGATAGACGCTGGGGCATCGGCGGCTTCGCTAGAGAATGCAGAAATAAAGCGGCTAACTACTCCACATTGCAAACAATGTCGTAATGTGGAGCCTTCGCTCACTCTAATATTCTGCGCATGTAAAACGCTACTTTGTGCAAGCAAGACGACCCATGGGTCGCGCGCTCCGGTGTCACGCGAGGTAATTAATTTTATATCGACAGCAGCGAGGAACAAAGCGAGAGTTGTTGTTGTTGTGCAAGAACGACCACAGCAAGCTAGGATTGTCTCGTGAGGCTGCCACACCAGGGGGCTTCCATGGCTTTTAGTCATTCGGGTAATGCTGCGCCTAACCAGCTGACACCTGCTCTTACGTACGTCCATCGGAAAGGATTTACCCCGGTGCTTACAATCCAAGAAGACCTGACAGAGATTTAGAACTTCTACAAGAGCTTAACCTCCATCTACCGCGGCACAGTCGATGAATAGCCGACAGCACTGATGTACGTGAAGCGCCAGCTGTATATACCAATCTACAATACGCATGGCATGCGACTGAGCGCGTGGAGACGAAGCATGTCAATAACACTCAAGACAATTCCCATCGGCAGCAGCAACCACTGGTGCTGAACACCGCATAACGTTAGGCCAGTGTGGTGTTACCCAACTTATACAGAACCGGTAGCACTGCAGTACATGGTAGTAGCACTGCAGTACATGCGTGATCAGCATGAATCGTACCATTTTTAGCATATAGCATGAAGTCGCGCGGGCGCCTCGTCTTGGCACTGCAAGCCGGTATCTGGTAAATACGGTGATGAAAACATCATACAAGAATGGAGACCAGCAGCAGCAGCAGCAGCAGCAGGTTCACCACATACGTCCTAGCTACCAAGTACGCACGGCGCGGAATTCCCTTCCTTCCCCGCCTGCGTTACGGCTTCTACCCTACATCAATAGTTTGGTATAATATAAGCGGTTGGTGTATCAGGGTGTGACGATAGCAACAGTGGCATAGGGTTAGCCAGGAATACGAGGTGAATCGATGTTTGGTTGCCCCAAAAAACACATTTCCACGTATCAAGTTCACGCAAACATATGAATCCCACGCAATCTGGAACTAATTCGTAGAAAACAAGCTTATAAAAGGCAATGTACAAAGCCTGGTTTGCCTGTCAGCCATATATAGTAGTACGCGCTTGCCTGCACATCCACAAACCAAAGCAAAATCCGCAAACAAAAGACCTAACTGACTAAGTAACCACGAGGCCGCACTGAAGAAGAAGACAGTCATGTCTCAGTCCCCCTTCCTGACTGGTCCTCCGACTGGTGCCTTCACTTCCTTGGCACCCCAACTAGCACCACCACCCTCGCCCCCTTCATTGCCCCCCTCACCGCCGCCGCTGCGACGTAGCACAACACAGTCCGTATCCGCTTTCCCCACTTCCATAAATGATGCTGAACGCAATCCTGGTTGCTGCACCAGCGGTGTCGCCTTCGACTTTGACCGCCAGTGTGCCAGTTTGACCTTCACAATGAAGATAATCGCAAGTGCGGCCGGGATGATTGCGGTTAACGTCATCGCCACCACCTGAACGGCCAACACCAGGATCTCGAACACCAGCATGGCATCGCCCGCCAGGCGAATACTGAAAGGCGCGTATGCATCCAACCAGGACGTCGAAATCGTGGAGGGTGATGGCGGCGGTGGCGGCGGCGGCGCCAGCGCTGCCGGCGGCGGCGCCCTGAAGCCCCCGGCGTAACCTCCCTTGGCAGAAATCACCACGATGCAGATTACAACTGCAGTTTCCAGCCAAGAGCAAAGCACCTCGGCTCCAATGATGATTAGGTTGATGTACGGCAGGATGGAGGTTAGGTAGATTGCGTAGCCTGCCTTGACTGCCAGCAACGCAAGGTTGGTTCCCAGGGCTGCGGGGGATCCGGGTTCCATTTTGGATCCCGACTGAACCCCGAGGAGTACGGAGGGGACGATGGCGTTGAGAAGCACCTGAACGGGACAGGAAGGGAAGGCGGAATCGAGAAATGGAAGAATGGAAGAAGAGAGCGCGGAATCAGCAGAGGCGGAGCAGGAGGAATGCAGCCGTAATGCGTAAGGCGGGAAGACAGCTTTCACCATTAGTAGCACTAAAACTACAGGTTAAGGGTACTTCATGGCCGTGTGTTCGGAAGTGTGAAAGCGTGTAGAGTTAAAACATAGGCAATGGACGTTTGTGGGTGCTTCACAGCAAAGTAGCAGTTCACAAAGCCCCCCAATCCACCTCCTCCTCGGGGCACTCACCGCTACATAAAACGTAACCGCCAGCGCCCTGTTGCCCTGGTTCTCCTCAAACATTAGCCCGTAGCGTTCGTACACCTCGGCACGTGCCAGCAGCCGCTGCGTTTCCTCATCAGGCAAGTCCTCATCATCATCATCATCCTTCCCTCCATCGCTGTCGCTGCTGCTGCCGGTGGTTCCGTCATCCCCCTGGCCGCCGTCTCCTTCACCATTGCCGCCCGTCGCCGCGCCCGTACGACGTCGACGACGATGACGACGGCCCTTCGTACGGCGCCGCCAGGCGACTGCCGCCATCACAGCCGAAGCGGCGCTGCGGAACGCGGCATGCCAACCGCCGCCGCCGCCGGCAGCGCCGCTCGCGGCGCCGTCCGCGGCGCCTCCAAATGCCCCACCCCATGCTCCAAGCACACGCCAGTTCCGCCGTACAGTCTCCGCCCCGCCGCCGCCGCCGCCGTCGCCAGCCGCATCGGAGCCTTTCGCGCCGCCGGCGCCATGACGGAAGGGTGCGAAACGACGGCCCTCCGCCATGCGACCGCTCTGGCCCCCAAAATCGTCGTCAGGAGCAGCGGCGGCGCCGCCTCGGCCGCCCGAGGGTGGTCTGGGCGCGAGGGACACGGGACTCTGTTTGCCCCCTAAGAGCTTTGGTCCGCCTCCGGTGATGTACGCATCGCTGTTCACGTTGACACCAAAGGACAGGATTGACAGCAGGTTGGCTGCAGTCGCAATGTCATGTTGGGGGCGTGACGGGGGTGGAGGGGGTTGCGGAGGCACGGCAGATGGAGAGGAAAGATGTGCCGCCGCCGCCGGCGGCGGCGGTGGAGGCGGCGGAGGCGGAGGTATTGCTGTTGTGTTCGCCGCCGACGGACGTGTTAATGGTGGTGGTGTGGGTGCGGTTGCGCTCTTGGCGGCGTAAGCTGGTTGGCTGGCCCCTGGTGCCTTGGGCTGCGTGGTGCTTGCAACCCTGCCGCCACTGCCTCCATGTGGCTTGGCGTTTGCATGCGGTTCCGACTCCGGTTGCTGCTGTTGTTCTGGTGGTGGTGGTTGCGGTGTTTCCGGCAGCAAAGGGTGTAACGGCTGTGACGGCTGCCCCGGAGGTAACGACAGACGCGAGCGAGGGTGGGGGTGTGCTGCCGCCGCCGCCGCCACTGCTGACGTCATCATCGTCGCCGCTGTTATCGATGGCCCATGAGCCTGGCCGCTACTGCTGCTGCTACTGCTACCTCCTCCTCCTCCTCCTCCTCCTCCTGCTGGTGCGGTACCGGCAGAAGTCCCCAGCGAGCCACTGGGGCTAGCAGCAGCTGCTGCTGCTGGGGAGCTGGTCCGTAAGGGTGCGTTGCTGCTGCCTGTCACGGAGGAAGCGGCCGCACGGGCTGCCGCCGCCGCCGCCGTCGATGCTGCTGCGGTGTCGGCAGTGCTGGTTGTGGCGGCGGCAGCAACGGCCTCACTGCTGGCAGCTTGGCTTGGCGTGGAGTGCATGGCGGGGCGTGTTGCCTGCGGGGGCGCTTTTTCCGTGGCACCCTGCTGCTGCTGCTTCCCTCCTCCCTGTTGATGCTGATGGTGGTGGTGATCCTTCGCCTGCTGGGTGGGATGTCCGTACCCGGAGCCCAGATGTGGCGGCGGCGGCGCCTCTACCAGCAGCGGCTGCGCCGCCGCCGCCGCAGCCTCTGCAGCCGCCCCCCGCGCCGCCAGCGTCGGGTCATTGACGTGGAAGGATACCAACTCAAGCGGCGGGTTGTTGAGGCACGACGGCCGGCGCTTGGAGACGACCGCGCCACCGCCGCTGCCGCCGCCGCTGCCGGCGCCATGGGCAGCGTCAGGCCCGTGAGGAGGTACGGATTGTTGCGATGCAGCCGGATGCGACGACGGTTTCGCCACCGTGGAGGCCCCAGCGCCACTGCCGCCGCCGTCAGGAGCGCTACTGGCGTCGCCATGCGGCGTTGCGCCGTACGAAGAGGGTTCCGGCAATATGGCGGCGTCCCGCAGGGGTCCGCCGCTGCTGCCGCCTCCGCTGCCGCCAGCGCCATGGTTTCCGCCTCCGCCGCTAACGGTGTCAGCGCCGTGCGACGCGGGCCGCTGCTTGGAGGCTGCTACTCCGCCTCCGGTGACCGCAGGGGCGCCGGCGGTGATGCTACTCCATGTATTGCGCCTGTTTTCAGCCCCCACCAGCTTCCCTTTTACCTTCTCCGCTGCCGCCGCCCCCTGCCCTTGCTCCTGCTCCAGAGGACCGGAGTTGCCAGCACGCTGGCGCGGCATGAAAGCCCCCGTGTTCGGAAAGGCATGCGCCGGCGCCGGCGGCTGCCTGGAGGGCTTCGGCATGAGTGCTGGCGGCACGGGAGCGGGCGGCGGCGGCAGCGGCGGCGGCGGCGGCTCCGGCATGACGCTGTGATGTACGACACCGCCGCTGGCGGAGACAGCGGAGGCGGCGGCGACGACGCCGCCGGGTGCTGACGTCGACGGGTGTACGACGGCGCCCGCGGCGACGCCGGCGGGGCGCCAGGGCGGCCGGCCTACCGTGATGGTGCTTTTGGAACGTGCGTGTACGGCAGCGGCGACGGCGGCGCCTCCACCGTACGCGTGGAAGAGGTTGGGCTCCGAGGCCCGACTCTTGAAATGCGGTTCATGCGATGGGCTGGTCGCAGGGCGTTGAGTTGCTGGGTGTTGCGAGGTGGTGGCGGCGTCAGCGGCAGCACCCCCGGGTCCTGCAAGGGAGGAGAAGGCGCCAGGCGGTGTTAGGAGGAACAGGCTTCATGCAAGAGGAAGGAGCTCCTATTACAGGGAGCGCGTCTTGCCTCCGGGTGGGGGTACAGAGCAGATACCGGTACTGGTACCCTACACCCCCAACCTAAATGCGCCAGCTTTCCATGCATCAGCTTTCCATGCACCAGCGTTACATGCACCAGCGTTACATGCGCATCAGCTACAGCAGCTGTTCTCACCCCTGGGTTCAAGGGACGGCCACGCTTCCCGGCTGCCCGTACGTCCCGCCCGAGCAGTCGACGAGTCGGACCCAGATGAGTTGGGCCGGGACCCCTCGTCCGCAGGTGGCGGCGGCGGAGGCCGTGCTGCTGCTGCTGCCGCCGCCGCCGCCGCGGCTCGCCGCTCGTGGTGGCGCCGGCGCTTCTCCGCCGCCTCCGCCGCGCGATTGAGTGGGTAGAGGCAGCGGATGGCGGCGCGCAGGCTGAGACCTGGCGGGGTGGGGTGGGGGCGGGAATGATAATCACGCACAATCGGCACGTTGCGCGACAGTGCACGGAAGCGGTGTGGAAGAGGCTTGCCTCCAGTTCGTGTTAGAGCATACTAAACAACAACGGACACCCTTGTATGGCCGTGTGTGAACGGAGTTTAATGGAGTTGCGTGTGGGGGACGTGGAGCCGTTTACCATTCCGGTGCTGCATGTGTGTGTGTGTTGAGAAAACTGAAGTAGGAACATGACATATGTGCATGTGGCCCGACGGCACTCACGACTCACCATCTCGCAAGTACTTCTTGGTTCGGTAGGGCTCCATTTTTGCCGCTGCTGCCGCCTCCGGGCGGTTCCACTGACCCAGGGTCGTTCGCTCCAGGAAAGCCGGGCGCTTGGGCTCCTCCTCCTCCTGCTGCTGCGCCTTCTCCCTGTCCTTCTCGCCCGCCCTCTCCTTACCTTCCTTGTCCTTTCCCCTACCGTGGCCCTCTTCGTGCGGCATGACCGCAATGGCCTTCAAAGCCTCGCCGCCGCCGCCGCCGCCGGTAGCCTTGCCAGTCGCAGCCGCATGCGGGCCATGCAATCCGTACTGCGTCACAGCGACAAGGGGAGCTGCTTTGACGTCTCGGTCAACCTCAACAGGCGGCGCTGCACCGCCGGAGGAAGACCTCTTAGCCCCACGGTAGACGCTGGCGGCGCCGCCGCCGCCGTCAACCGCCGACATGGCAGATGATGACGCCGCCGTTGTCGACCCGACGGCGATCAACTGAAGGTTACCGCCTCCGCCGCCACCGTGGCCGCCGTCCTTGTGTTGGTTGTTGCCATGAAGGGCTGTTGCTAAAGGACTCTGATGCGACTCGGGCCGACCATGAGACGTTGCGTGCGGCTTGGGCGGCGGAGGCGGAGGCGGAGGGGGGTGCTCCTCCTCAGTCGCCTCCGCCACCGGAGCCATACGGGACCTAAAACCACCGCAACCGTCGCCGCCGCTTCCAGCCCCAGCGGCGCCGCCAACAACCCTAACGTCGCCGGCGCCGTCGTTGGCAGCCCTGGCGTAACCAGCCCAGGCTGTTTCGTTGCTAGCGGCAGCGGTGGCGGCGGCGGCACCGGCCTCTCCGCTGTACGGCACCTGCCCACGCTGACGCGGCTGGTACATGAGGCCCAACTGCCGGGCCGCCTTCCGCACTCGGTGCTGCAGGGTTCAGGCGGGGTTATGTTACGGGGTGGGTGGGTGGGTTGAGGAGGTTATAGCGCAGCGTGACAAGGCTGGGGTGGGAGGACTGAGGAGCGCATGTTGGCTTGGTTGGCAGTGTACCGTACCGTGGCGAATGCATGGCTGGCTGGGGCTGCAAACAAGGCGTGTTATGCATACATAGGAGCACAGAACGATCCAACTCACGGCCAGTCCTGTATTTTTAACACACACACATACACACACACACACCGTTTCGCCTCGCGGCCAGTTATTTTAACACACACCACTCGCGGCCAGTTATTTTAACACACACCACTCGCGGCCAGTTATTTTAACACACACCACTCGCGGCCAGTTATTTTAACTACACACACCACGCGCACACACGAGTGCACCGCAGCACAACCAGCCAGCCACTCACCACCACCCATGCCGTCGCCGCAATGAACGCCAGCAGCAGCGCCCCCACCACCGCGCCCACCGCCGCCGGCAGCACCCGGCCTGTCACCGCAGCGGTCGCGAGGAGCATGGAGGCGGCTGCGGAGAGGGAGACGAGGCTGAACACTGCCACGAAGATCTCGATGTAGGGAAAGACCAGCCAGGTGGGGAGAGGGGTGGAGCTGCGGGCATGCATGATGGGCAGGGGGCGGGTGGGTGGGTGGGTAGGGGATAGGCATGGGAGGGTGTGGTAAGAAAGGGTCCCATGGGGCTGTCGAGAGGCTGGTAGGGCTGGATGATGCAGTGGGGCACGAAGAAGAAGGGCAAGGAAGATCGATGGTGGTGTTTCCTCCTTGTGCACCCCCTGTTCGTCCTGGCTGTTACGTTCTCATACTGTCATAACATCAAGTCAGCCCCTCCACCCTGCTGCACCAGCCGTCCCTCTCCACCACCTCCACCACCACCCACCTGAGTCTCTTCCAGCCGCCCCACACCCGCAGCACCGCCCAGTGGGCCGCCAGAGTGCCCGCGATCAGCAGCAGCGAGTTGATAACCTTGGGGGGAGGTTTGAGGGGGGAGCGGGTGAGGGGAAAGAGAGGGCGGGGGCGGGGTGAGAATATAGAAGAGTAGCGCGGGGCGGGCCGGGGAGGACGGGACACGTTAGGTGAACAACTTACCACCACCGCCACCAAAAGCATGTATTTGTGTGCAAATGGACAGCACCGTGTGTATTTCCTGCCTCTTACGCAACATCATCATCATCGACAACAGATAGATCCCTGCTATGGCGTGTTACTTTCGGCGTGTTAAACGGTTCCCATCCTCCCCATGATCCCATCCCCAACCTACCCCATGACCCGATCCCCATCCTCCCGGTCCCCATCCGATTCCCACCCCGCTCTCCTACCTGGTTGTACGCGGCCGCCTCCTGGGTGGGCACGTTGCGCACATTCAGAGTAGAGAACTCGAGGTTCAGCCAGGTGAGGTTGGAGTTGACCTGGGCGACAGGTAGGAGGGCGGGTTGGGGCGGGTGAGGTTGGGTGAGGCACGGATAGATAGGGCAGATGGGGTTGTGGTTAGGGTGAAGGGAGATGGGGGGCATGTTTTTTTTGCCGAAACAGCAGCAGATGCCATGTGCTGTAAGCAACAGGGCTCTGCTTTCTGCTGCTTTAGTAGGTTTTCCAAGCGGAAACCGAGTCCGTTGGCACCTGACCGCCGCACAAACGGATACCCCCGGTCCACCCAGTCAACCCACCTGGCGGTATTGCTGGGTGGCGTTGGTGGATGCCCGGGGCGTCAGAGCTGCAGTACGGCAGGACGGGCACAGTACGGCAGGGATCAGTGCGAAAGGGAAGAAAACACAGACAGCACAGGCATGCAGCGTGCTGCCTCTGTTTGCGGGGCCAAACCGACAAGCATCATACGCTTGCAAGACTTCGAAAGGGAAAACCGCCCCTCATGCAAGCTCGCTGTAAGGGGAACCGACTCGCCACAGGAAACGAGCAGAAACAAGTTAATGGAGTCAACCATTCAAAACTGCTCAAATGACCCATGGGTCGCATGCGCTCATCATCCACCGGCGACCTACCAAAGAACTGCATGTGGGACATGAACATGCTAGCAGCCACGGCGCCACCAGCGCTGACGGAACCAGTGGTGGCCGCCCCCACACCGCCCCCTCCCATGCCACCCGCGATTCCGCCGCCAATGGCGCCGCCCGCGGCTCCGGCGGCGGCGGACGCCGCCATGCTAGCCGTAACGCTGCCGGCGACGGAGGCGACGACGGAGGCGGCGGCGGTGGCGGCGACGGTGGACGCCGCGACGGCGGAAACCGCGCGACTGTCACCGTCGATGCGTCCGATCTGCGGGGGCGGGGCGGGCATGAGGGGAAGGTCGCACCTTCCCTTGATCCTCTGGGATCGGCTCGGATCTTATTCCGTCGCCACACACACGCACTACGCTGCCGTGTTAAATTATGCCGCGCACCACACCCACCTGGTAGACCACAGGCGACGGCGGCGGCGGCGAGGGTGCCTGGGGCCGGGGCGGCAGTAGGGCAGCGGGGCTGGGAGGTGGCGGCGGCGGCGGCGGCGGTGGCAGCGGTGGCGGTGGCGACGGAGGAGCTAGGTACAAATCGAAGGCGGAGGGTCCTGATCGGGTGGGCGGGGGTTGGGGGGGAGGGGGAACACACGGGGGGGAGTGTGTGTGTACGGCGGTGGCGGCGGTATGGCGATTACCGGTACCCCTTATAATACATGCATGCGGGGACCCTTGCACTGTGTGTTCCCACTGCTATCCTGGACTGCCTCCCTCGCTAGCTGCTGCCAGCGGTACAAGAAGAGCGAGGACAGGATATTCACGTCGCCCTCGTCTTCGTCGACGGAAAACAACAGCCAGCCTTTCCGGTTTCCGGTCCACCGTCAATTCGGCAGCGTTAAGTCGGCGGTTACCCACCGTAAACCGATAGTTCGCACAGCGCCAGAGTGACGCCGGCGGAGGTGGTAGCGGTGGCGGAGGAGTTGGAGGTACGGACGGTGAGGTAGCGGCCGCGGGATCCGGGCGGCAGGTACTGCACTCGCACCACACCGGGCTGAGGGAGGGAGGGAGGGGAGGGAAGTGGGAGGAAGGGAGGGGAGGGAAGTGGGAGGGAGGGGGAAAGAGGAGAAGTTGGAGCAAGGGAGCCGGGAGGGGAGCAGGGATGGGGAGCAGGGAGGGGAGCAGGGGGGTTTAGAAGATGCAAGAAGCGAGAGCTGGGGAAAGGGAGGAAAGGGTTGTAAGGAGGAGGAGGTGGAACCGGGCAAAGGGGGACCTGCCTGGGTCTTTCCTCAGTAATGAGGCATGTCCACCCGCCCTGCTCTGCCCCCACCCACCAGCTCCCCTCCACACGCCTCCCCCTCCACACGCGTCCCCCTTACCCTCTGCACCCAACTCCTTACCCTCCGCACCCACCCCCCCACACACCTCTAGTAGCAGCGGCTCCGTGGACCCCGCGGCTGGGGCCACCACGGGGTTAGCCGCCCCCTCGCTCCCGCCCAACACCTCCGCGTCCCCCAGCCGCAGCTCCAAGGGGGAGAAAGGGGAGGCGGAAGAGGAAGACGCGGAGGAGGAGTCCAGCTGCAGTGGCGGCAGCAGCTCCACCCGCCTGACTTCCTGGGAGGAACCCAGGTCCACCTGCGCAGGGCGGGGCAGGGCAGGGGGGTGAAGAAAATTAGAAGTCAAGGAACAGGGGAAGTGGGGGCAGGGGGGCAGGGAGGAGGGCACCTGTAAACAAAGAGAAACCCAACGGTTCCCAGCGCCCGAAACCCACACCGGGCACAGGATCCCAGGCGGGCAAGAAGAAAGCCCAGCACTACAGGTGTTCGGCCGAGGTCCCACCGTCAGCCACTTGACGGATGCCGAGTTGGTACCGCTGCTGCCACTGCTGCCGCTGCTGCCGCTGCTGCCCCCACCGACCACCGCACACTTGCTGATGTCAGAGGCCACCATCATGCCGTCCGTCGCCAGCGTCGCCGTCAGCACCCCACTCGCGCTGTCGTACGTACCGCCGCTATCGTAGGTTCGTACGGCCGTGAGAGCGGGGCTCGTGGGCTGGGTGGCTGCAGGGGGGAGGAGCGGGGCGGAGGAGGAGGGTTTATGCGGCGGGTTTTTCTACGGCAGGGGAACCCCATGGGTGGAGAGGGGAGCAGAGCAGTCACATGTATGGTGGTCAGCAGGGGGGATGCTTGGCTTCAATAAGCGCGGCGGTAAAGGTAATGACAGCGTATGGAGTCGCCTCCCACACCGCTATAACACGCTCATAGCTCAGTTGCCCCCTCAGTTCGCCCAACCCCTGGACCCCTTATCTACCCATCCAGCAGCCCCGTACGGAACTGCCCACCAGCCCTTCCCTCTCCTTCCCTTCCCTCTCCTTCCCTGCCCCCTCCCACCTGCCAGCTGTGTTGTATTGGCGAAGAGGTCAACCTGACCCAACCGCAGCGTCAGGTTGCCCGAGGAGGAAGAACCCGAGGAGGAGGAGCTAGCTGTGGGCTGCATGAGCGTTATGATCAGGAAGCGCGCGGACGGGGAGTTTGGAGGCAGCGGCACTCGGACGGTGAGACCGGGAGGCACCGGAGGGGTGGAGCCTGAGGAGGGCGTGGAGGGGAGGAAGGCGGGAATGGGAAAGGAAAGAGAAAGTAAGTTGAGGTATGAAAGAGAGATACCGCTCTTAATTTGCATGTTCAGCGGCCGCTGCGAGTCGCTTCCGAGCTGCACCCTCATGCGCGACCCCTCGCCTCCTCCTCACCCCACCCCATACCCCATACCCCCCACTCACCCTCTCCCACCGCCAGCAACCCCTCGGCCCCCGTCACCACACTCTCGTTGCTCAGCCGCAGCTGGTACCCCGTCAGGGTGCCCTCACTGCTGCTGCTGCCGCTGCTGTTCCCACTGCTGCTGCCGCTGCTGCTGCTGCTGCTGCTGCTGCTGCTGTTCCCAGCAGTCGCTGCAGTCAGTGCGGAGGTGATTTCAAGTGCGGTGAGGGGCAGCGCCAACCCCAAGTCCACAGCCCACCAGGGGGCGGGGGCGGGGGCGGTGAGGGAGCCGAAGAAGAGGGCGGGGTTGCCTGTAGGGGCGGGAAGAGGAAAAGAGGCGAGCGGGTGGGAGGGTGCGTCAGCGGGGCAATGCACCCAAAGGCCTCCTTGTGGTGTCAACAGGGTGCAGCCAACCCGCCCAAACCCGCAGCATGTACACTTCTCCCCCCCACAACGTTAACCAACTATCGTCATTCATAAATGATTATCGCATCATCGTTATCACCACCAGCCCTCAGTTATCGCTCTCGCCTGTCGCGTCCACTGCCGCCTGACTGTAGTAGCCGTTTACCGCGTTGCTGCTGCCGCCTGACCCATGGGTCACTCCGCCCGTCTGGCTAGTGGGGCGCCCCGACACCACCCGGCCCTCGGGCACTGGCGGGGGGCAGAGGCGGAGAGGGCAGGCGGAGAGGCAGGGGAGCGGGGTCAACACAGGTGGGGGTTACACACGGACAAGGTGGGGGTGCAGTGGAGGTACCGGTAGGCTTTGCTACCTCAAGAGGATACAGGCGCAGTAAAAGGTGGGCCTCTCACCCTGCTCTGCGTAAAACCCCAAAACCCCTAAATGCTCCCCCTCCCTCCCGCCCCGCCCCGCCCCCCTCACCCTGCTCCCCCGTGTACACCTCCAGCCCCGTCAGCGGCAGCGACAGGTTGACGGTTCGGTCCACCAACACGTAGCGACCCACCCGCCCGCCGCAGCTGAACAGGTGGCGAGCCTGCAGGGGAGGGGGGGCAGGAGGGGATGTGGTTGCTGATGCGAAAGGGAAAGGGTTGCAGGAGGACATGCGCTTCCCGCCTTACCGATAGCAGGCTGACGGAGGCGGTTGAAGTCACCACTGTGCTGTTCGCGCCCGCCGAGTCGGTACTCACTCGGATCTGTGAACACACACGGGACAATTCAGTTGGGTATTGGTTGATTGAGGCTGGCGGCTTAGCGGTTAGTTAGCCATGCGCAACAAGTGTCATGGTCTATAGGTGCGAAAGTACCACGTAGCATGTAAAATGTGTGTATGTCACAAGCAATTTGTCCACATCACCCCTCACGCCCTCGTGTGTGGCCATGCATGTGCCCCTCCCTCGTGCCCCGAACCCCTACTCCGTACCCCGCCCTCGTGTCCCTACCCGTATGTTGTCGTACTCGTAATACCCCCTCGCCACCACCGCCACCAGCAGCACCACCGAGTCAACCCCCCGGGCTGATCCCAGGTCCACTCGCCACCGCGCTGTGCTGGGGGCACCGGCAAGCACACCCAGATGCCTCCGCTGCTGAGGCTGGGGCTGCTGCTGCTGCGCAGACCCCAGCAGCAGCTGCTGCACCCCTCCTGAACCCGCTTGCTGCGGCAGCTGTTGGTGTTCCCACTGCTGCTGCAGCTGCTGTGTCGCACGTCCAGCAGCCCCCAGCAGCTGCAACTTCCGCAGCTGTTGAAGCATCAGGTGACGACGGCTGTACGATTCGGCAGCAGCAGGCGGGGGACGCTGAGAGGAGGCGTTGTGGGGAGCGGGCGGCAGCTGGCTGCCGGGAGGTGCGGGTGGGAGCTGGCTGCCCGGAGGGGCGGGTGGGAGGAGGGGTGCAGGCGGGCGTGGTGGGAGGAGGGGTGCAGGCGGGCGTGGTGGGAGGAGGGGTGCAGGCGGACGTGGTGGGCGGGGAGGCAGCAAGGGCATGGAGGAGTATTGGGGTGACGGCGGCGGCAGCGGAGGTGGCGGCGGCGGCGGGGATCGGGGTCGGGGCGCCGGGGAAGGAGGCGGTCGGGGTGACGGCGGCGGTGGAGATGGAGGTGGCGGAGGTTGGGGTGTTATGGAAGCAGACGGCAGCGGAGGTGGTAAGGGTGGCGGGGGAGGTGAGGGTGGCGGGGGAGGTGTGGGAGGTGTGGGAGGTGGTGGCGGCGGAGTGTACAGCTCAGGAAACTCCAAGGGAGCTGAGGAGAGGCTTTCCAACCGGCGACCTGTGACTAGGGTTGAGGTCTGGGCAGCACGTACAACTCCCCCGCCTAGGGTGTAGCTGGAGGAAGATCCAGAAGCGGATCCAGAATCAGATGAAGATGATGAAGAAGGTAGTAATATCGTGCTGTTTGTCGTCGATGAGGATGAGGATGAAGAAAAAGAAGATCCGCCAAAACCGGATGTGAGAAAGGCTAGGCCCTGCAGTCTGGAGATGTCTTGCGTGTCGGATGCGGCCGCGACGTCACCACCGGAGCTGACGTCCGTTGGGATGACGTAGATGTACGACTGACACAGCACCAATGGATTTGCCGTACTGCTGCCGCTGCTGTTCATCTGGAGCAGTACGACGTACCTGTACACATCGTATACTAGTTTAATCAAATCGCGTTGAGGTGGGTATATTACCGCACGCAAGGAATTAAAACAGGGAGTGCAATGCAAAGGCGGATTCAATGAGTCAAAGCAGGGTGTACAGTGCAGGAAGTGGTTGCTCTCACCTGCCGGTAGCAAACCCGCCTTGGCCATCCCCGCAGGACACCTCTGCTGATACTCCCCCGCCTTGAGCCCCGAACACATTTGTATCCGCGACGAGAAGGCCATTGCCGTAACTGTTACTGTTACCGTTACTGCTGCTGCTATAACTGCCAACTGCCGTGCCGTTGCATGCCGCAAATGCCGAGTACGGCAGGTCAGCGGGATGAGTGGTGCCGTCCCAACCGTCGTACAGCACCCGTACGGCGGCCGACATGCCGTACGACAAACCGCCTAGAACCTGTACGAGAGTGGCGTGTGCATGTGTGTGTTAATTAACTGGCCACGAGGAGGGACGTGTGCAATGTGTAGCAGGGGTGTACGGCAGGTGTGCATATATGGATACGGTGGGTGGTGAGGAGTGAGGTGAAGACAAAGAGGTATGTCCAGCAATAGCGCATTTTGATACCGGTTAGCACTCCAGCTGTACTACAGATGGCCGATTCGGAATACATGATGCTAATTCAAGTTGCCCCATGAAGACGGCAAATCGGATTGGGCTCCCTTTAAAACCTTCAATCTAGGGCTAGCGCGTATCCAAGCTGCCTATAGCCACATTAGTGGAGTATACTGGAAGTGATCTGACGAGTACGGCAGCTCCCCGGGATACATGACTGTACAACAACCATCTTATCCGCCACAACTCCACCTCAAACTTACCCGTACGACGGCCACTGTCGTCGTACGCTGCAAATCGAGCACCCAGTAGTTGCGACCGGGGGGCAAGGAGGAGGCAACCAGACAGGAGGCAGCATCGGAGGCAGCAGCGGCAGCAGCGGCGGCGGCGGCGGCGGCGGAGGTAGTGGAGGTAACGGTATCATCGAATGAGTCGCCAGCGGATGATGCTGAGCCGTTGGCAGCAGCAGCAGCAGCGGCGGCGGCGGCCAGGGCTGCTAAGCGGGTACGAGTGTTGGGGTTCCTGAGGGCTCGTGAGGGAGCTGTGTGGAGGAGGGAAAGGCGGGAAAGGAGAGAGGGACAGGCGCGGGAAGGGGCGTTAGGTGTTAGCACTGTAGGAGGGTTTCAGTAGCAGCGGGACAAGGGTTGGAGGGCACATGCCGGCAGGGACTGTCTGGATAAGAGGATGCGATGAGGCAGTGAGGCGAGCCGTTACGAGGTCTCCTCCCACATGCCCTCATGCATGCAGCTGCAAATGCCATGCTGCCGCCGTGGCTGCTGCCACTGCCACCGCTAGCCTCACTGCCGTACTGGAGCTACAGCGGTGCTGCTGGGGGCTGCCGCAGCCGCCCCGTGCCCACCACCCGACGGGCCGCCCTTTTCGCGATGGCTTACTACCGGTAGAGTTACTTCCAGTGGTGCTTTTAGTACGACAGGTGCAGCCCCCGTTGCGACTACCGGTACTGCCCGTTGGCAAATACCACATCAGCCTTACTCACCTGACAAGGCGGCTGTGTCGTCGGCGGCAGTGGAGGCGGCGGTGGGGCGCCAGGCGACCAGCGACAAGCTGCTAGCCACTGAGGAGGAGGAGGAGGAGGAGGAGGAGAGGAGTGGGGAGGCAGGTGGGGGCAGGGGGAATGGGCAAGGTGGGAGGGGTCTACGGTATTCTGGTGGATAGGTGGTTAGGAATAAAGCTATGAGTTGCAAGGGTTATTCAGGTAACTTGTACCCTACTTTCCACACAAACCTTTCCACACCACCACCACCACAACCACACACCACCCAACCACTCCCGCTCCCACCTCCAGGTGTCACCCGCGCATACACCTCCAGCTCGCATACTGCCGGGGAGGACCAACCGCCAGCAGCCGCAGTGGTACCCGCATTGCTGTTCCGCAGCAACAGCTGCTGCCCCCGTCGTGGGGCCGAAACCACCACAAAACGCCCCCGGGCGCCCAGGCAGCTGTAACGCCGGCGCTGTGTCACAGAGGTGGTGGCAGCGGTGGTTGCGCTGGCGGTAGTTGTGGTTGCGTCGCTTGCAGCGGCGGTTGTGGAAAGACCGTTGAGGTACCAACGGTCGTCGAATGGGTCGATACCCGACATGAAACCGACTTGCAGCGCGCAGGGGGTGAGGAGGTCCGTGGGGAGCCCCGAGGTGTTGCTGCTGGTGGTGTTGCTGGTGCTGCTGTTGTTGGTGGTGCTGTTGTTGGACTGAGAGAGGAGGTTGACGACGGAGGCGAGTGGGATGGAGTCGGAGAGGAACACGTCCACATGGGCAGTCGTAGCCATCATCTGCAGCCGGCAAAGGAGCGAAAAGAAGCAAGCAGAAACGACCCGTGGGTCAGACGACGAATAACATGGTATTGAGGCAGCATGATGATGCTAATGTTACATTCCATTGCTTCTTGGTTACCTAATTAGGAGCAGTTACCCACCAAGGGTGCTAGTGCACTGCCAATAGGTGCCAACGCTCACCCAACCAAATGTTACCTGCCCAGAGCTGGCCGTTGCTGCTACACCGTTCCAAATGCTGGGGGCGAAATGCAGCACCACAGACTCCACCGCATACCCCAGGGACGTCCCATTGCCGCCTGCATTGCCACTGCTACTGCTGCTGCTGCTGCCGTTTAGGCTGGCATTAGCAGTAGCAGCAGCAGCAGCGGCGCCGGATGCTGACACGCCCAGATCGATAACCATGTAAACTCCTCCGTCACCGCTTGGACCGTTGGCGGTATCGTACGACAGCAATGAAGAGGTTGAAGATTCAGATCCAGATGAAGATGATGAGGGTGTTCCCATGTCGTACACTCGGGGGCACAGCAGTTGTGATGTGGTGACATCTGCGGAGTTAGGAGTCATTAGAACAGAACAAAACAGGGTCGTAAGATGGGGAGTTCATCACAGTGATTGTGTTGTAACAATACCAGTACAGCGCGCGCGGAAATCCCGAGTGTGCGGCGGGAGGAGGCTAGAAAGAGGTCAGCCAGCAGCAGCACGAAGGTACGGAACTGTGTCCGGAGATGTACGACACGCATGCGAAAGCGCTTACCCGCGGGTTTGCCCCCGTCCGTCAGCAGTGCCGCGGCGGTGAAGGGGTAGGTGGCGCTGGCTGTGACGGAGGTGTCGTCCGGGGCGAGCAGCACGGAGGGGCGGGGCGGGCCGAAGTACACGGGCCGGTTGTACGACACCTGCTGCAGACCTGGGGGGGTGGGTTGTGGGGTGTGGGGGTGTGGGATGGGTTTGTGGGGGAATGGGGCAAAAGCATGTAGTGCGTGTAGCAAGCGCAGGGCTGCTCGCATGCTCTTTCTTTGGCACCGCCTTTCCTCGTCTGCTCCTCCTGATCCCTCCTATCCGCTTCCCTTGGAACCCCTGTCACTCCTGGGAGGCCCCCTTTCCCTCCTGTTCAAACCCCTCTTTCGCCGTGCCCCTCCTGCAAGATCCCCTTTCCCTCCTGTCCCCCCTCCCCTGCCCCTCCTGCAATACCCCACCAGCTACCCCCTGCCCACCGTAGTTGGTTTGCGCCACATACACATCCAGCTCGCACAGCCGCAGGGGGCCCACATAGCCACCGGAGGGGTCGCGAGCTGAGGAGGGGGTGCGGGAGCGAGGATCAGGTGACGACAGATGGTTGGCAGCATGAGCAGGGCCGGGGACAGGGCAATGTCATGTGGAGGGACATGGGGACAGCAGGAACCGGCGCGGCCGTAGACCCTAGAGAGGCCCTAGACCCCTGCGTGGGACCCCCCTTCCTGCCCCTCTTGTAGCCCCTCAGCACTCCCGCACTCCTCACCCTTGGGCCGGCGGTACACGCTGACAAAGCGACCTGCGGGTTGGGGTTAAACAGGGTGGGGGCGGAAGCGCAGCATGAAAGGGAAGAGTGTGAAAAGAGCGCGAAGGGCCCACGCCAGATTCCAACTGTGTTTCAGGTCAACCGAGTCTCCGCACGCAAGCGGCCAGTTTTCTTTACACACACGCGCGCACACAACAAACCGCGTGCCGTACATAGCCATCCGCCGTCATTTCATCCAATAACTTAATTCTGGACGCGGTTCGGAAGGCAGTATGGCGCCAGCTGTCACGCGAGTGCTCCTGGGCTGCTTACCCCAGTGCCCCAGGCCGCCGTTGCACTCGGCTGCAAGGGTGCTGCCAGCACTGATGTTGAGACCCGAGGAGGAGGAGGAGGTCGCAGCAGCTTCGGAGGCGCCGCCGCAGGTCGGGAGCTGCCGTACGTATTCTGGCGAGTACGACCCGAAGTCTTCACATGACCATGTTGTCGTACTGCTGTTGGTGCTTTTGGTGGCAGTGGTGTTTTTGTCGTACACTACAATATAGACGTCTTGTAGTTGCTGGTCGTGGTTTGGATCCGCACTTTTGGTGATCTCCACCCATCTGTGGGGCCATTAGATTGGGTACCGATACCGTTGGCGAGGGCTGCAGGGGCTGCAACGCGAGCGGGAAGAGTTGGGAAGGACACGACAGGAACAGGAGGACACACACAGAGGAGTTGGAAGCCCTATGCCTCTTTTCCTCATTGCACGAGAAGCTGCAAAGGGGGTTTAGGGTTTGTTCATGCCGTTAGCAGAGGTCACGAGGGGTGATGTGGATGTGAAAAAGAGCACTCAGCATCAAGCACAGTCAAACACACTCAAACCGTGTACGCAATGAGCGCTTTAAGCACTTGGCAAAGTCAAACACGGTCAAACCAACACGCAACAAGGACTTGAAGCACTTGGCAAAGTAAATGCACAGCGCGCTCAACACGGTGAGGAGCTGCAGCTGCTGCCGCTGCTATACCGGCACTCACAGGACAAGTTGGGGCGTCCCAAGGTCCACTGTGACCCACGGGCCGTCCTGCATGGCGACAGAAGAGGGTGACAGTACGGATTGTGGTCGGGGGTAAGTGCCAACAATAGGAATGTGTGTTGCGCAACCGCAGTTGACCAGTTGGATTTCGAGCGCGTGTTTTGCCGCGGCTGCTCGCTCCACCGCTCCCCTCCTTTTCGTTTCCTACAACCTGGTTTGGTTTCTCTCTACCGCCATTACCCGGCCCCCTCACCTGAGGGAAGCTCAAGCCGCACATGCCGCCGCCCGCCGCCCCCGCCCGCTCGTCCGCGTACAGTCCGTCCACCGCCAGAGAGACGGAGGTGTTAGTGGGCGGGTGTGAGCGGAAGGAGGCGGCGAAGGAGGAGGCGCCGGAAGTGGAGGAAGAGGAGGCGTTGGAGGCGGAGGAGGAGGTGTCGGAGGAGGATGCGTTGGAGGTGATTGAGTAGTAGTAGGGTGGCACGCCAGCGCACATGGGGCGATGACGACTGGCGAGTTGGACGGGACCTGCGACGGAGTGTCAAGAACACACGGAGGGTGTACGGGAAGGTGCATACATGCATGCAATCCGGGGCTAGAACGAACAGCAGCCCCGCACGTTGCCCGTGTGGCTACGAATCCGTCCAACATCGCCTACCTTCCTTCCACCGCAGCAGCGCCCACACGTCCACACCACACGCCCTCACGCCGGGGTTCCCGGCAGCCGCCAGGGCGCTGTGACTGTCCAACAACCTAACAACCACATAACGACCCACAACAACCGCCCCTGCTGCCACCGCTGCAGCAGCGCTAGCAGCAGTTGCAGGCGGGCAGGCAACACTGGCGGTCTGCCTGCCCCCCGAGGTGATGTAGGCGGCGGAGGAGGGGCACAGCACCGCACCGTCCTGGTCAGCTGGGCCGCTGAAGGAGGTGTTGGAGACCCGGACCTGCGGAGAGAGAGGGAGGGATCTAATCGCTCCACCAGTCCTCCTAGACCCGGAACCATCTAAGCGCGCCTCGTCCTAGACCCGGAACCATCTAACCGCGCCTCGTCCTAGACCCGGCTTTTTGCTTACCTCAAGCTGAAAGGTGATGGGAGCAAGGGAGGTGCCGTTGCTGCCGTACACCTGCGAGTAGGAGTACGACAACCACAACGGTTATTCGATACCGACAGTTAGAACAGTTGGGATGAAAGTGTACCGGTAGTAGAGCGCTAGCACCACCGGTCAGCGGCCTTGCAACAGCCAAGTCACTAACCCAGAGCTCACAAGCGCCCTCGCCACTCACCTCCACTCGCTGCACCGCCGCCCGCGCCACAGGCCGCATCAGCCCCAGATCGAACGCCACCCACAACACCACCCCGCTGCCGCTGCTGTTGGCGGACAGGTTGTATGGCACCAGAGAGTGGCAGCCCAGGGTGGTCAGGTTCCAGCTCTGAGGGAACGGGGAAAGTACGCATTAGTTTTCGCACTTATAAACTCGCATTCAGCTCTGAGGGACGCACGGGGGTTGCAGGGACAGGAGTTGCGATGGACGGAGGAATCAGGGATTGCGTGGCCGTCAAGAGCGACCCATGGGTCGTAGAGATGTGTCAAGTATCATACGGGGGTCAACAGGAGGGGCTATGCAATGCTGCGAATACTACGCATGAGTGTGCGGGGCCTTCCAACGGTCGCGTTCGTTTGCCCTGATGACTGCTGCTGGGTCTTCCCTCCTCCCAAGCCACTCCTCTTTCTCCCTGCTTTCTGAGATACAATGGGTGGGAGTCGCTTGGCGCTCTGCTCCCACCCTCCCTCCCTCCTCTTGTTCTACCTGGACGGGGTTGCCGGGCGCTACGGGGCTGCTGAGGGCCGACAGACCCGTGGGTCGCCCGTCCGCGCTCCACGAAGGCCTCCCCCGACTGACCGGGTGGTAGGAGTTCGCCAGGGTTACAGCAGCTGCACCCGCGCTCCACTCTAACCCAGGCTGCAGCCCTCCCCTGGAATCACCAGACGTACGATTTGCTTGTACGACAAGGGGGTTGCTACTGACGTCAGCACCCCTGCCGTACGCTTCGGCTACAAGCGCTGCTAACAATTGTCTCCAACTGCCTCCCACCGCCGCATCCTCCCCATCCCAGCCGTACGAGAGGTGGGTTAGCGTGCCGTTACCTCGGTTGGCGAATTCAATTACAGATACGTTGGAATAGGAGTTGACGGTTGTGACGTTAGTCGTGCCGTTTTGTACGGTGGCGTATACGGGTATTGTTGTGTCGTACATGGATTGGAGACCCGGTACGACGCCTGCGCAGCCCAGGGTTGTGAGGCCCCGGCCGGTCAGGGGAAGTTGCAGCAGAGCGGGGAAGAGCTGCGGCGAGATGCTGCTGCTGTTGCTGCTGCTGGTGTTCAAGGGGGAGGTGGTGGTGGTGGTGGGGTTGACCGGGGTAGCGGTGCGAGACAGGCTGGCAGTGCGGTTCTGCCGGGTGTTGTAGAAGGCGGAGGAGGAGTTGCCGGGGAAGGACGGTGGCGGTGCGGGGATGTAGCGGGACTGGCAGGAGGAGGCGTTCCAGGAGGCGGGCGAGGAGGAGGAGGAGGAGGCGGAGGAGGAGGAGGAGGCGGAGGAGGAGGAGGAGGAAGGCGCGGTGAGGACTTGCTGCACGAAGCCTGCTGCGCCCGCCGCCTGCTCCTGCTCTCCCCCTTGCTGCTGCCCCCCGCCCAGCAGCACCACGGAGCCGCCGGCCTCCAGGAAGGAAGCCAGGCGGCTGTACGACAACGGGTAGGAGGCGGTGGAGTTGGAGGAGGCAGTGGAGTTGGAGGAGTTGTTCGTGCTGCCCCACCCAGCGGGAGCGGGGATGATGAGGACGTCCATCAGCTGACAGGGGAGAGGGGCGGGGAACCGGGGCGGGGAAGGGAGAGAGGCGGGGAAGGGATTACCGGTAGGAGATAGGGGAGAAGCGCGATGGGGACTCCAGCACGCCACGCTAGGGGATTACGTTCATTGGTGTCCCGCTTGGTGCGGGGACCTCCCCACTTGGCGTCCTACATCTCCCTTCAGTCCTTGCTTTAATGCTTCACCTCCCCTTGCCACTTTCTGCCCCCCCCCCCCAGCTGCGCCCTCATCTTCCCAAGCTCCCATGTGCCATGCCCCAACCCCACAGCGGAGCCCCACAACCCCATGTCACCATGCATGTAATCCAAACTACTCGACCCATTACTGCGACCGCTGTACGACACCACTCACCGTCTTATTGTACGACAGGTCCGATTCGTTGACGGCATACGACACGCTGTACGGCGCCGTCTCCAGCACCGCCGCTGCGTAGACCAGGTAGGGGTCGGCGGGAGCGGTGGGTTGACCCAGCCATATGACCGCATGGGGGGGCCGAGGTAGCGGAGTTGAGATGGTGCTGCTGCTGCCGTCGTTGCCATTGGAGCTGGCGGCAGCTGCTGTGTCCGCAGCGGCTGAGAGGTTGCGGCGGTTGGTGGGTTGTTTGCCCGAGGTGTGGAGTTTGATGGGGAGGCAAGATGCGTGAGGGGGAGGCGGGATGGCGGTCAGGGGGAGAGAGGGAGGAAGCCCGGGGACAGGGGACGAGGAGGGAAGTGTACACGTTGCCCACCCCTCTGACACCAAACTTCACGTTAGCCCCGCCACATAAGTGTAAGCTAATGAGGTGGTTAGAAGGCCGCAACCATGCAGTACTCGAGCGTCAACTTCCGTTCCCATACCTGCGCATGCTGCCAAGGCTACGAGCGCGGGAATCGCGAGTAGATAAAGGAACCCTAAGCTCCGGGGCCACAATTTTCTCCTTTTGCGCATCGCCTTCACTGACAATTCAAACTCTATGCTGTCAGTGAGTCGTTATCGGAGCCATGCCTAACCTTAGCTCCTAGCATTGCAGTTGGACGACAGGCTATACGTAAAGAGCAGGCTATGAGGTTTCCACTGACAGTCTGGAGAAGTACAATGAGGTATAGGCGTCAGATGTAGAAAGCGGTTTCACGTTTCAGGTCTGGTCAAAAGCTGTCGTAATGCTGTGTCTGTCCTTTACTAGTCTTTTGAAGCCCACTCCTAATACAACGGTTGAACACTGCACACATTTCTCGGTTCGCTGCGCGCGGCCTTCCGCTTGCGTACGGCAGTGCTACTAAGCCAACGTGTCTTGAGATGAGTGAGGACTGGGGGTATTAAATATGGTCCCTTAAGTTGTGAAGCGTCCTGATTACAAACCTGCTAGTAACACCTTACCTTTTCAGCACCTCAAAGATAGCTTTCATATTCCTGCACTTAAAAGTATAACCTGCGCGATAACTCGTGCTCTCTACCTAGTAGCGCACTCCAAAGACGAACATCAAGCACCTGGACAATCTATAAGGACCGCCAAACGCGCACGATACCGCATGCAAACTAAATGGGCAACCCTGCAGCAAAATAGGTCCTAGGGATGCGGAAGCATCTACATCACGCATCCTTCGTGGTCAGGAGGTGGTCAGGAGGTGCTCAAAATGGACACAGGAGGAAACAGTCATGATTCCAACTGTGTCGCGACCCGCCGGGACGAGGAAAGGCGCTTCTTTGCACCTGGGGCCACGGCTGTAACAATGGCAAATCCAGTGGTGCAGTTCACTCAAATATTCATCAACGAATAACGCTAGGATACAACCCTTCCACCTGCAGACAGGCATCGGTTTGGGACAAGAAGACAACAGACCAGTTGCACTTTCCACTCAACAAAAAGGACAATTATGAGGCAAGCCATGCTAGAACTGATCACGAAAGCCATCCAACGTACATGATGCATCCAGAAAACGCCACAAATCAAGCAACGCCACAAAATCGCCCCCATCCTACCCAACCGCGATCATTTCAATTGCACCCAACCCCCTACTCAAACCACAAACACCGGCTTAACTCCATCAAACTTCTGATGCAGCAGCGCCTGTACGAACCCATCCTTGTCGTACACACGTGTACCAGACGGCAGGTTCTGCCGCGCCCAGCGGTGCTCCGAAGCCACCCCCAGCACCACCGTATCGGGCCCCACCTGCCGTACATCGCTCACAAGGGTGGCACCTGCCAGCTGGGCGATCAACGCCAGACCATGCGCACCACCACTGCCACTGGTGCCGCAGCCGCTGACGCTGACGCGGCGGTCAACGGTATCAACGGCAGCGGCGGCGCTGGCGCGCCTGCCAGCCGGCTTGGCAGCAGCGCCGGCCTTGGCGGCCGATCCGGGAGCGCCGCCCCCAGCAGCTGTGGAGGCCATTTTGGCGTCTTCTTGGGCTCGTAGCGGCGTGGCGTAGAATGTACGACCTGCGGCGTGCAGCAAAGGGGGGTCAAACCCACACTTACTTCTACAAGGCCCATGATGTCGTCACACAGTATCCAACCAACACCCCAAAAGCAAAACACCAGCGCCGCCGCACCCAGCACCCACCCTGCAGCATTGGCCCCGACCGTCTGGCCGCCATGTAGGCCTCCCAAATACAAAACTTCAGCTGCTTCTCCGCCTTGGCATCCATCGCCGCGTGCTCCGGCTGCGGCTCCAGCCACATGCCCGCCGCCTTGCAGGCCTGCAGCCACGCGGCGTCCAGCAGCGGCCGCCCCGCCGCCAGCGCCGCCAGCACCTTCATGCTGGTCTTCAGGTTGCCTCGAGCCAGCAGCAGGTGCGTGAAGCCGCCGCCGTCAGCCTCCTCGTCGTCAGCCACGCGCCCGCCCAGCCGCGACACGGCTGCTGCCAGGCCACTGCGCTCACGTTCCGGGATGTTGCGACTGATGGACACCACAACACCGCTAGCAGTGCTGCCTGCGGCGGCAGCGTTAGCAGTGGCGGCGGCGGCGGCGGCGCCTTCGGCGCCGCCACCGCTTCCGGGCGATGCTACCTGGCTAATGCTGCTGACACCGCCGCGCCTGCGGCGTGTGGCGGTGGTGGTAGCGGCGGTGCCGCCTCCGCTGGGCGGGCGAGACCGAACCTGCGGTGAAGCTGGCTCAGGCGGCGATGCAGTGCCGCTGCCGCGACGCTGTCCATTTCCTTGTCCTTGTAGCCCAGCTGGTGCCTCAGGTGGAGCCGCCGTCGCAGCCCCACCTCCGGGGCAGCTACCGCCTGCTGCTGCTGCTGCTGCGGGGGCGGCGGCGGCGGGGGCTAAGGCGGCTTCACTGCCACCGCGTGACTTCCGTGCCGCGCGCTTGGCCGCTGGGGTTCGAGAGGGCCGCGGCGGCGGCAGTGGCGGCACCGGGGCCGCTGCCTCCTCATACTCCATGGGCGGTGTGCGCTCCTTCTCCACCTCCTCCACCACCGGTGTGTCGGCTGCTGCTGCTGCTGGCACCATGACACGTTTTCCTGCCGCCGCCGCCGCCGCCGCCGCTGCTGCTGCGATGGCATCCACCGGCGGGCTGGTGCGGCCCTTCCTCTCCTCCGCAGCACCCTCCGCTGCATGCGACGCTACCTCCTCATGCTGCTCTGCTTTGCCGCCCTTGCCGCGACGTGCCCTCTTGGGCGGCCGCATGGGCTGCACAGCGCCGGCTTCGGGAATGCCCTCACCCTCACCGGAAGACCGCGCGTGCTGCCGTACATCTCTCCCATTGGGCGACTGCTGCTCAGGTGAAGGCTCGGATTGCCGCTGTTGCTGCTCCTCCTCTCCAGGCGGCGGGCTAGCTGCTCGCTTCCGACCCCGAGGCCCGGCAGGACCGACTTTGCGGGCCACGCCACGGGGGCCAGGGATCGGAGGGGGCATGGGCTTCAGACGCTGGTGATGATGGTCACCTGATGATGATGGTGCTTTGGATCTGTTGCCTGGCGGCGCTGTTGCCGCAGCGTCAGTCGCCCAGGGTCCTCCTGGTGCACCCATATCTGCATCCGCCAGTGCCTCTTGCTCGTCTGCTGCGCGTGTCTCAGCTGCCGCCTCCGCTTCTGCCCTTGCTTTCGCCTCCGCCTCCGCTTCTGCCCTTGCTTTCGCCGCCGCCTCCGCTTCTGCCCTTGCTTTTGCCGCGGCCGCCGCTTCCGCCCTTGCCTTCTCAGCTGCCACCGCCTCCGCTTCTGCCCTTGCTTTCGCCGCCGCCTCCGCTTCTGCCCTTGCTTTCGCCGCCGCCTCCGCTTCTGCCCTTGCTTTTGCCGCGGCCGCCGCTTCCGCCCTTGCCTCCTCAGCTGCCACCGCCTCCGCTTCTGCCCTTGCTTTCGGCGCCGCCTCCGCTTCTGCCCTTGCTTTCGCCGCCGCCTCCGCTTCTGCCCTTGCTTTCGCCGCCGCCTCCGCTTCTGCCCTTGCTTTCGCCGCCGCCTCCGCTTCTGCCCTTGCTTTCGCCGCCGCCTCCGCTTCTGCCCTTGCTTCCGCCGCCGCCTCCGCTTCTGCCCTTGCTTTCGCCGCCGCCTCCGCTTCTGCCCTTGCTTTCGCCGCCGCCTCCGCTTCTGCCCTTGCTTTCGCCGCCGCCTCCGCTTCTGCCCTTGCTTTTGCCGCGGCCTCCGCTTCTGCCCTTGCTTTCGCCGCGGCCTCAGCTTCTGCCCTTGCTGCGGCTGCCTCAGCTTGGGCTTCCGCAGCAGTAGCAGCGGCCGCTGCTCCCGGGATGCCAGTCCACACCTGCTGCGGCGGTTGTGGGTGCTGCTGCAACAACTGCTGCTGCTGCAATAGCTGCTGCTGCTGTAACAAGAACAGCTGTTGCACTTGCAGGAGGTGCTGCGGAGCATGCAGCTGTAGCAGCGGTTGTTGCTGCAGCAGCTGCTGGTACGGCGGCTGCTGTTCGGCAAGCGGCTGTGCCAGTTGCTGTTGCTGCTGCTGCTGCTCAATCCCCCGCGCCGGCGGGGACGGCTCCCGGCTGCCCCTACGTGCGCGCTTGGTAGGCGGCGCCGCCCCCCCTTCAACCGCCTCCACTGCTGCCGCTCCAGCCGCTGCTCCCGGAACGGCTGCTGCTGCCTGCACGGCCCCAGCTCCAGCTCCCCCCGCAAGCCCCCCCGCAGCAGCAGCAGCACCCAGCGCTCCCGAGCTCCGCCGCTTGACGCCGGTTGCTGCCCGCGGCGCCGGCGGCGGCTTCCCCGCCGCTCGCCCTCCTCTCCCTCCTCCACGACCCCGACCCCCACCGCGACCCCTGCCCCTGCCGCGCCCCTTCCGAGCAGGCGGCGTCTTCACCCAGTCCTCATCCTTCTCGTCGTCCTTGAACGGCAGCGCTCCCTCGTCCTCCTCCTCCTCCACATCCTCAATCTCATCCACCTCATTGCTGTTGTCGATCCCCATGCCAGGTGCGCCTCTCGCAACCGCACCTCCCTGCCCTCGGCCGCCGCCGCGGCCTCCCCGCGTTCCTCCACGCCCCCTCCCACGGCCCCGACCGCCGCCGCCTCTTCTTCCGCCGCCGCCAACCGCAGCAGGTGCACTCGCACCCGCATCCCACTCTCCGTAGAGCGGCTGCTGGTGCTGGTGCTGTTGGTCATACGCCTGGTATTCCTGGTAGTCGCCCCGTCCCAGTCCTGAACCAGGGGTGAGGGCAGCCGCCCTGGGGACCTGTGCGGGCGGTGTGAGGGCCGGAGGAGCCTCAAGGTGATGGACTTCTTTGTTCTAACGGGCAGAGAAAGGGCGCAGGGAGCAACAGAAGTGGCACACACGCATGCCTGAAGCACAAAGGAAAAGCAACAACAACAACCGGCCCTGAAGGTGTACGCGCCATATCATCATCACCGCCACCCTCACCCCGCCTGCCGGCCGGCTGTCCGCCATCATCATCAGCTCGTGCAGCGCATCGGCCGCCAACTGGAGGGAGCGGATGAGGCAAGGAGAGGGAGGGAAGGAAGGGAAGGAAAGGAGGGGAGGCGCGGATGGATGCGACCAGGACGGGCGAAGCGTTTTGAGCGAAGTAAACGAACGCTGTGCATGCCAAGGAACAGACACACACGGGGGCCAACTTTCTCAACACGCACCACACACCACACACCATATCAGTTGGTTCAACACACCGTACGGCTTCACGGCTTAGTTGGCATATAACACTCACGTGCATGCAACAACCCTCCAAGAACCATTCCAGAACACTAAAAACCACCAAACTCCTTACCCCATTTCTGCCTCCGCACCCAGGTCGCCCACCCACCTGCGTTCCGAAGCCCGGCATGATGGAGCGGAAGGAGTGGCTGGGGCTGCCCAGCTCCGCAGCGGGGGGAGCGCCAGCAGGCGGGTCAGGCAGCCGCCCGGCAGCCGCATCGTCCCCTGTTGCTGCTGCTGCTGCTGCTGCTGGAGCTGCTGGAGCTGCTGCTGCTGCCGCTGAAGCTGGAGCTGTAGGCGGATGGGTTGACTGCGGGTGCTGCGGAGGAGCAGCAGCAGCAGCAGCAGCAGCTTGAGGGGAAGCAGCATTAGTCGCCAGGGGTGGCAGAGCAGCAGCTGCCCCGCCCAGGGCTCCTGGCGACGTCTCACGGCTGCGAGGTCCGCGCCTGGCAGGCACTGGCGGCAAGGCGGCAGCAGCAGCGGCAGTGGTGGCGGCCGCTGTGCCAAGAGACGACCCCTGCGCTCCTCTCTCCCCTGCAGGTGCTGGCATCCAAGCTCCCAAACCCACATCCCCCGTCGCCGCCGCCGCCGCCCTGCCCAGCAGCCCCATCGGCAGCCCCAGCCCTAGCAGCGGCTGCAGCTGCTGCGACTCCTCCCCCGGCTGCTGCTGCAGCTGCTGCGAGGGCCCCGAGGAGCCCAGCAGCGACACCAGGGTGCTCACACGCTGCTGCGCGAACCCCACATCCCACCCTGGGTCCTGGGAGGCGGCGGAGGAGGAGGAGCAAGGCGGGGCCAGGAGGCCCCGGAACGAAACCCCGGCGCTGCCTGCCTGGGCTTGGGGTGGCTGCTGCTGCTGCTGCAGTTGATGAGGTTGAGGTTGCTGAGCCGGGGGATGTTCCTCCTGCTGCTGCTGCGGCGGCGGTGGCGGCGCAGGCTGCTGCTGCTCCGCCTCAGTAGTCCTGGAGGACGGGTGCAGGGGCTCCTGCCTGCAGAGGAGGGGATGAGCGCCTGCGCCCGGCCCCCTAGGACTGGGGTCGGGGCTGGGAGTAGGGCTGCGGGGGTCCGACAGCAGCCCCAGCAGCAGCGGCCGGCCGCCGGCTCCGTAATAGCCCTCACCTGCCGGCTCGCCTGCAGCAGCAGGGCCGTCTGGCTGCTGCTGCTGGGGTTGCTGCTGGGGTTGCTGCTGAACTGGATCTACCTGAAAACACGCCCCGGCTGCATCCAGGCCACCAGCTGCCCCAGCTGCTGCCCCAGCAGCAGCAGCAGCAGCAGCAGCAGCGGTGGTGGTCGTGGTGGCACCATAAGGCGGCATGGCAACAGGGGCAGCCGCACCGGCTTCTCCCATGGCGGCTTCGTCGGTACCGGCAAGCGCTAGGGTCGGCGGAAGGGCGTCGATGGGAACCGTGGGTAGTGCACGCAACAGCTGCAGCTGCTGCCGTGGCTGCTGCTGAGGGAAAGGCGGTGGCGGATGCGGTTGCTGCAGATGCGACGCTGCGCCACCGTAGCCACCATGCTCGTCCAGGGGTTGTGTCGGTAGCACAGCGGTCGGGGCCAGCAGCATCACCGCCGTCGCCTCCGCCTCGTGCTCCGCCCCATGCTGCCCGCCCCATGGGTCACACACCATCCCTTCCGCCACTGCCTGCTGCTGCTCCACGGCGGCCTCCCCAGCATCATAATCGTCGCCGTAATCTGGGGGCTGCGTCGTGTCGCTAGCTGCGTCGCCCTCCTCCTCGTCCTGGCCCTCATCCACACCACCACCACCACCATCACCGCCGCCGCCGCCTTCAGCTTCCGCCGGCCTCTCCTCGCCGCCCGCTCGGTCAGCGGCACGCCAGGTCGCGCCTCCGCTCCTCCCATCAGCACCAGCAGCAGCGCACCCGTGCGCCCCCTGTTCCCCATGTGGCCCGGTATGAGGCTCACACGGCCCAGTGGGCTCAAGGCCCAGGCCAGGCTCCGCCTTCACCTGCCCTTGCTGTTGCTGCTGCTGGTGGTGCTGCTCCTGCCACTGTTGTGGTGGTGGAAGAGCCTGCTGCTGTGTCTGCTGCTCCTCGGCTCTTGAGTGCACCCGCTCTTGTGTGTCCAACGCTGCCCCCTGGTGGCTCCCAGGCGCCGCTTCGGGCGCAGTGGCGGTATCGGCGAGGGCAGCGCGACGCAGCAGGGCTAGCTGCCGCTGCTGTTGCTGCGAGGGCCGTGGGGTGGCGGTGGCTGCGACGTCCGTCGCAGTGCCCTGGGTGCTGGCGGGCACACCCATGCTCTGGGACGCGAGCCTGGGGCGCGGGCAGGACAGCACAGGGGGATTTGAGGGGTGCCGGGGAGGATTGGCGAGCGAGCAAGCGAGCTTAATTTACTTCTTTTAGGCGGTGGCCTCCAACAAAAAGACAAGACGTGGACGGAAACACGACCAGAATGCACACAAAGGGGTTGGGCAAGCTCACACCGCACAGCGTGGGTTCCAGCTAGCGCTACAGGTCGCCCCCCGCTGCTGCTGCCCCCTGCTGCCCTACCCGTCTGGATCGTGTACATCGTCCATGCTGTCCGGCACCTCCCACCAGGGCACTCCGCCAGCCTGGCCGCCACCGGCTGCTGCAGCTCCTGCTCCTGCACCGCCTCCGCCTGCACCGTCAGCGCTGCTTCTTCGTCCCTCCCCCTCCACCCGGCCATCCTGTCCCTGTCCCTGTCCCTGGACCCCGCCAGCCGCAGCGGGTAGTGGGTATGTGTGTTGCACGCCATGCGGGTGATGGTGGTGTTGCTGGTATTGGTGATGGTCGTAGTATGGCTGCAGCGGCTGCTGCTGCTGCTGACCCGGTTCCACCTTTACCTGCGCCATGGGAAACATCACTGCAACGGGCGCAACACCAGCAGCAGGAGCGGCAGCAGCAGCAACAGCAGGGGCTCCAGGTGCTGCTACTACCGCTCCGGGTGCTGCTGCTGCTGCCCCGGCAGCAGCAGCGGTTGCTAGCGGTGCCAGCAGCGCCGCTGCGCCCCCCGGCAACAGCACCACTGCAGCAGCCCCCGGGGGCGGAGACGGCGATCCGGAGCCCATGCTGCCTGGAACCGCTGCAGCCGCCGCCGCCACCTCCATGCTGCCTCCGCTGCCCGGCGGGACCGCAGCCTGCCCCTGCGCATGTGCTAGCCCCACCACTGCCCCCTGCGGGGATAAGAACACCAGCTGCACGTGCTGCTGCTGTTGCGGTGGTGGTGATGAGTGTTGTTGTGGAGGCCGGGTCTGAAGGCCTGATGATGAGGGTGGCGGATTGCTGGCCGAATTTGGGGCCGGATCCTGCTGCGGTGAGGGCAGCCCGAACACCTCCTGCGTGGGCGGCACCAGAGGCCGAGCAAGGCAGCTGCCGGCTGCAGCAGCACCCCCGACGTGGCCAGCCGACAGAGGAGGCAGTCCGCCTAGCACGTATCCCATCCCATCTGCAATCTGCCCGCTGACATGTCCCTGCTGCCCCTGCTGGTATGGTAGTTGCTGCTGCTGCTGTGGCCAGCCCTGCGGGGGCCGCGGTTGCTGCTCCCAAGTCAGTCCCGCCTGCGGCGGCTGCCCGCCCTGCTGCATTAACAACAACTGCTGCTGTTGTGGAGACGGGTGCCCATCCTGCTGCTGCTGTTGCTGCTGCTGCCGCCATTGTTCCTGATATTCCTGCCCCTGCTGCTGCACACCCTGTTGATGGGGGTAGCCCAGGTATACACCACCACCACCGGTCAAGCGCGGTACCGCTACTGCCGCTGCCGCCGCTTCCTGTGCCGCCCCCTCCTGCGGTCCGCACCGCACCCGACACGACAGGCGGCCGAAGCGCAGCACGTCGTCCGGCCGCACGTTGTAGCGCACCCCAGGGGTGAGCGTGTGCGCCCGGGAGGCCACACCGGCAGGCACCATCAGGCTCTGCGAGGTTGGCGGTGTGCGGGGGTGAAGTGCAGTGCAGTGCGGTGCAGGAAAGGGGTTGGGGTTGGGGTTACAGGTAGGTTGCAGGAAGGTTGCGGTTTACTAGCGGAGGGTTTGCGCCGGAGCCCACCAGATGCATGCCCTCCTCCTCCTGCACCTCCCCTAGATCCCTGCCTGCCTCCCTCCCTCCCCGCCCTCCCCCCCCCCCGCCCCACACGCACGCACCGGGTTGGTGCTCTTCAGCGCCATCACGAAGCAGTTCCGGCCGCCGTCCTCCAGGTCTGCAGCAGCGGGAGCACAGGAGCACACATGGGATGGCACACAACCAACTAGTACGGGTGCATGGTGGAATGCACAGCGTGGCAGGCGGGCAGGCAGACAGTGGAATGCGTGGCAGGCAGACCAGCAGGAAGCAAGGTAAGCAGGCAAGGTAAAGCAGGCAAGGAACCGGTAAGTAGGCACGGTGGAAGCACCGGTGTGCTGCACACGGATCCCTCAAGCCCCAAACACGTGTGAGCAGGGTGCCGCAGGCGGACGGCAGCCACACGGCACCCACACAGGACCTCACAACGCCCCAGCTGTGAGGGCGACCAGGGTGAGAGCCATACATACTTACATATGTGCGCGTGGGCACCAGAGATGCTGGGATCGGGCAGGAAGATGCCTGCCGGGCAAAGCAACCAGCGGGTGCGGAACGGCGTTGGATGACTACCAAAATCTATGTCAGCATGTTTCTGAACCTTAAGGGCGCCACCAAGGCAACACAGCTCATCATGCCCAGGCTGCACGATGACACGGAAGGCGAATCAGGACCACGCGCCCCCACGCACCCTCAACATGCAGCTGGAGGTTCTCGCTCCTCCACTGCCGCAATCTCTCGGCTTCGGCTTCAAGAGCGCCTGGTCCATCGGGTGGCTTGCGGCCAACCACGTTGCAGCCTGCAAGAGAAACAGGTATGAAGATATGCGTCCATCTAATGCTTGCAGGCCCTCCACATCAGCAGTTTCCATCGCACCGTGAAACAACGGGTAATCCAAGATGCCTTGTTGTTGTTCTGATTCTACCACAAGGACGCCGACCTGGAGGGGCAAGGAGATGACACATGGTGGCCGCGCGCTTGACAGCAGATAGCGACAGTTTGCTCGCCCGTTTGAGCGCACCTGCTGCGGCGGTAGAATTACATTCTCCCCTTCCGGCTCTTCAGTTTCATCGTCAATAGGTGGAAGCAAGTAGTCGTCCAGCGGCTGGGTTGCAAAGAATGCCATCGTGCTCCTCAGGCCGTGCTTCACAAAGTTTTCAACGCATGGAAGCCATCTTTATATTGCCATACGTAATTGGCTAAATTAGTGCCTGGCTGAGTCCCGTTTGCTGCAACACCTGACTTGCATCGCTATGACCAGGACTCTTATGGGAATCCATCACACGCTTTCTTCCAGTGATTGCTACTAACCGGGTAAAACTATTATAAGTCTGGTTTCTGCACCGGCCGATGGGTCATTCAGCTGTCATAGCTGCTTGCTCCGATACCACATTGCATGGGTAATTTTCGCGCCGCTGGCGCGTTGTATGGGGAACGTCGAAAAACGGAAACCGTGGTGCACAAACATAAGGACAAAGCACGGCTAGTCCCGTCACCCGATCCACCCAAGCGCTTCTGACACACCCACGTGCTTGCTCTACCTGCTCTTACGCTCCATGCACTGTCCTTGTTACCTGCATCGGCCCCTCCGGTGGCCAAGCAGGCTCTTGCCGCCTATCTTGCGTTGCGAATAGCGCTTGGCGTAGTCCGGGACCTCTACCCTTCCTTGCGTTCAACTGCTACACCTGCGCCTCCCTAAAGAAGCCACGCAGCCACCACCCATACCGCACACCTATCAATACCAGTAGTCACACACCCTATACAGCTCACCACCCTATACAGCTCACACCTAGCTCCCACCTCCCCGGGCCAACACACCACCTTCCACCCTGCCAACACCGCCACCTTCACCTCACCCCGCCGCCACCTCCTCACCCCTGCTGCCACCGCCACTCCTCCTCTCACCCCGCTGCCACCCCGCCGCGCCCCCACGCCGCGTACCGCTCCAGCTCCCGCCCACTCAGCGCCGGCCGCACCGCCCGCAGCGCCGCGGCGAAGTGCCGGCCCGCCACCTCCGCCGCGCCCTCCAGGTCCTCGCGCAGGGCGGCCAGCGCGGCCTCGCGACACACCGCTGCCAGCTCAGCACCTGGCGTCAGGTGGTGGGGGAGGGGCGAGGGCAGGAGTTAGTTGGTTAGTTGGTTGGTTCGCTAGCTTACCATCAGCACCAGCACCAGCACCAGCCACACCCCCATGCTAGCCCTGTAACCACGAGACCGACTGGCATGCACCAGCAACCCACCCATTCACAACCCCCCACCTCCCCCCATCCACCGCTCCCCACTCGCCCGCCCCTTACCCGTGTACATCTCCGTCTGCTCCGCCAGCGCCCCCAGCTCCACATCCCGCCCCAGCGGCAGCGCCCGGCAGTGCAGCCGCAGCACCTCCAGCCGCCCCGCGGTGTCGGGCGGCGGCACAAACACGTGGCTGGAGAAGCGGCCCGGGCGCAGCAGCGCGGGGTCCACTGCGTCGGGGCGGTTGGTGGCGCCCAGCACCAACACGCCTGGAGGGGGGTGGGTCGATTTTTGGACCAATTGAAACCATAGAAAAACATAAAAGAAAAAAGCAGGGATTCACAAAGGGGGGGTGGTGCGGTGGGGGTGGGGGTTAGACAACCTGAGCCGCGGAAACACTTCCACCCACTGCCGCATTACCCCCACCCCAGACTGGGGGTGAGGGTAAACTGTGTATGGGGTTATATACTCGGAGTGGGCTGCATGCACCTCCTCCACTCCCTCCCTCCCACCCCTTCCCTACCTCCTCCCCACCTCCCCTTCCCTACCGTTTGCCAGCTCGATTCCGTCCATCTCCGTGAGCAGTGTGGTCAGCAGCCGCACACCCGCATCGGGCGCACCACCTCCCGAGGAGCCGCCCTCCTCGCGGCGTCCTGGGTGGGGGGTGATAGGACGTTGGGTGCTTGGTTGGTTAGTTGGGTGTTGGGTAAGGTGGGCATAAGGCAACTGGTACTTGTCCGTCTCTTTCCCTCCCCGCCCCCCTCCCTTCAGCCCCGACCCCCCCCCTCCACTGCTTGGCTACCGGTAAATTGGGCTGGGCGGGTCGGGCTGGCTCACATGTTGCAAACCATGATGACGCCTTATCACACGGTCGGTGAGTCGTTTCCTCTTTACCCCCCTCCATTCAGCCCCCCCCCGCCCCGCCCCTCACCCGCCACCGCATCTAGCTCATCAAGGAACAGAATGGCGGGTGCGCCCATGCGAGCGCGCTTGAAGGCGTCCCGCAGCGCCGCCTCCCCCTCGCCCACGTACAGCGAGAAGAGCTGCGCGCAGGAGAGGGCCAGGAAGGTGGCGCCGGAGGAGCAGGCGGCGGCGCGGGCGAGTGTGGTCTTAGAGCAGCCTGTGGGGGGAGGGGGGGGGGTAAAGAGGAAACATCTGACTGAGGGATAAGGCGTCAACATGGGGGTCAGAGACCACACCAGGGGGGGAGGGCAGCTGGTAAGGACAAAGATACTCGTGAACCAAGTTAGAAGTGACCCGGCTCCCTTCCAACGGCCTGGTCTTGGAGCAGCCTGTGCGTGTGGTTGGGTGGGGCGTGGTTGGTGTGTAGTTGAGTAGGACAGGAGCAAGCAATGGGGAGAGGTTCGCATGTGAACCGCGAGTACAGGCAAAACAAAGTTGACCGAACCTGAACCGTAATACAGAAAACTGCTTAATTGGCTGTTGCTGGATGTAAGAAGAGTGGCGAGTGATGAGTGACGACGCATGTCGGTGATGCTGATGGTGTCGGAATAAACTAAAATACTACCGAGAACTAAAGCCCGTTGGTGTGTGTGTGTGGGGGGGGGGTAAGCCGTGGGGTTGGGGGTAAGTCGTGGGGGAGCGAGGCGAGGCGTGGTTTGTGGGTGGGTAAGCCCCCGACCCCGGTACCCCTGCTGCAGCCCGAGATGGAGCCTGCATGCCACAGGGTTACTTCCTTCCTTCCTCCTCCTCCCCATACCCACCCCCACACCCCTTCCTGCCCTGCCCCCAACCCCCCAGCCCCCCCCTACCCGGTGGCCCATGCAGCAGCACCCCCCGCGGTGCCGCCAGCCCTAGTCGCTCGAACGCCGCTCCGTGCCTCAGCGGCCACTCCACCGCTTGACGCAGCCGCCGCTTGACGTCGTGAAGACCACCCACGTCATCCCAGCTGGGGGGGGCGGGGTAGGGCAGGAGGGGGGGAGGTGGGGAGAGGAGGAAAAGGAAATTCCAAAGTGTGGGAGAGGAGGAGGGAGGAGATGGAGGAGAGGAGGGGAGTGCACAGGGAGGCAAGCACCCACGTTGTCCCTAAACCACCCCCCTGCTGCCCCCCACATACTCAATGCAACCTCCCCCCTCACACACCTCCCCACCCTAAGCCTGTGGATTTTGGTATATCTCTGGCCCCCCCTCCCTTTCCTGTGGCTTTCTATGGTTCGGTATGCTCTTTGACACACACACACAAAAAAAAGGTGCGGCCAGTTATTTTAACACACAAAAAAAGTACGTTTCGCCTCGCGGCCAGTTACTTTAACACACACCCTCCCCCTTCCCTCTCACCTGACGGGTGTTATATCCACCTCCGCTCCGCGCATCATCGACGGCCGAACCTTCCGCAACGCCGCCGCCAGGTGCCCCGACCGTACGACAAGCGCCGGCGGGATGTCGTACGGCATCGGCGGCGCCGCCGCCGCCGCCACGCCGATGCCGTACGCTTCTGCCGCCACCTCCGCCAGCGCCGCCATTGCGGTCTCGCGCGCCACCGCCGCTAGGTCTGCTCCGCTGTATCCGTGGCATGCGGCTGCGGCCGCGGGGAGGTCCACGTCGGCTGCTAGCTGCAGGTTGCGGGTGTGGAGCCTGCGGGTGGGGGGGAGGGGGGAGGGAACGAGAAGACGGAGGGGGGAGGGGGGAGGGATAGAGAAGACGGAGGGGGGGAGGGCACAGGGCACAGAAGTGCGGTGACGTCTTTGAAAGCCGAGGGGTTTGGTTGAAGGCATGAAGGAGCTGATGCCACGCGCGAAACACATCATGTTCGCCCATCCCTCCAAGGCCCCGAGGCTACCAGGTATCCTGACTACTTAACCTGATCCCACCCCCAAACACCTGAGTATATCCAGCCGCTGAAGCGCATCCGGCAGCGCCACCAGCACCTCCCGATCCAACCGCCCGGGTCGCCGCAGCGCGGGGTCCAGTGCGTTGGGGCGGTTGGTGGCGCCAACCACCACCAACCGCCCGCGAACAACACCAGCAGCAGGAGGGGGAGTGGGTGTGGAGGAGGAGGAAGGTGGCGCGGTGCCGCTGCCGGCGGCGGCGGCAGCGGCAGCAGCCGTGTCCTCCTCAGCCCCCAACATCCCCACCCCATGAGGCGGCGGTGGGGGTGGCGACTGTAGTGGTGGTGGGTGTGGAGGCGCCAGTCCTGTGTCCCCGCCGCTCGCCGCCCCGTCCAGCAGCGTGAGCAGCTGGGCCACCACCCGGGAGTCGTGGGAGCGGCCGCCGTCGCGGCGGGGGCACAGCGCGTCCACCTGGGGAGCGGGGGGAGCGGGGGGAGGGACGGGGGTGGAGAGGGGCGAGGCGGGGAGTGTGGAGGGGCCGGGCCGGGGAAAAAAGAGGAAAGTGACTGACGAGCAACCCACCCCACCCCCCACCTCATCCAGGAACACCAGAGCGGTGCGCCCCGCATCCGCATCCGCCTGTGCCGCCGCAAACGCCTCCCGCAGCCTCCGCTCGCTCTCCCCCGTGAAGGCCCCCGTGACACGCGCTGGCGTCACCACATGCAACGCAGCACCCGCCTCGGCTGGAGGCGGGGAGGGGATTGGGGATTGGGGATTGGGGATTGGGGATTGGGGATTGGGGATTGGGGATTGGGGATTGGGGATTGGGGATTGAGAGGAGGTTGGAGGGGGTTAGAGGCACACCAACCACAGGTTAGGGCAAAGCGATTGGGAGAGGGGGAGGGGTCAAGGTGATTAGGAGGGTCAAGGTGGGGAGCAGAGGACAGGAAGCTCAGTCGCCGCAAGCTGCAGCCGCCCGCCGCCGCCGCCTACCCTCTTCATTTCTCCACCTCCATCTCCGTCACACCACGCCCCGACACGCCTCACCACCCTCCCACACCTCTCCCCCTCACCTGCCACCGCTTGCACCAGCAGCGTCTTGCCGCACCCCGGCGGCCCATGCAGCAGCAGCCCCCGCGGCCACCGCACACCCAACTGCGCCCCCAAGCTGCCGTACCGAGCGGGCCAAACCACCAACTCCCGCAACGCTTGAAGTGCCGTACTCTGACCCGCCACACGGTTCGAGGCGGCGGAGGAGGTAGAGGGGGTGGAGGTGGAGGCGGTGGTGGAGGTAGCAGGGGGTGATACGATAGGGGGCCGTGGTGATGGTTGTGAATGGGCTGTCGGAGGAGAGATGGCGTCGCTGGGATGGGTGCCGGCAGGCAGGGGTGTGGTGGCGGTTGGGTGGGAGGTTGCGGTGTCGTTGATACTGGCGGTGGTGGTGGTGGTGAGGGAGTCGGGGGTTGGGTGGGAGTCGGGTGGAGTTGGGGTGGGGTCAGGTGCAGCAGCGAGGGAGAGGGCTGCTAGCGCCCGAGCGGCCTGGTCCAACTCCTCTCCTGCCGTACTCATCACAGCATCTCGCTGTGGGATGCTGTTGCTGCTGCTGCCGGACATCATGACTCGGGTGGTGTGAGGCAGGTGGTGGCAAGGTGCACGGGACTTCGAGTTTTCGGCTGCTGCAGAGCTGAAGTGTATGACGGCGCCAAGAGCTGTGTACGAGGTGTGGCTGCAAGGAAAAGCCGATTCCTCAGCCAGCGGCAATGGCTGTATGGCTGACACGCGCTAAAGGGTGCTGAATGTAGTATTGCTGTAGTATAGCTGTGCCGCCGCGATTCTTGCTATAAAGAAGGCGCTAGCATGGATGATGGCCTGGTGGGCCTTTTTCACGAGAGCAGCTAATTATGGTTGTACATGGTCATTATGATTTAATAAGGTGTAAGCCAATACAATTTCCGAATTAATAGCAACCTTTGAGTGGCGGCGAGCAGAATCAATAGAACATGACAAAAGCCCGTGCAAGGTATGTAGGTACCAGTGTAAACATAATGCTTTTACAAAGCGAGTTACGAACAATACTGACAACGCGTCGCTTGTAGCTAGTCGCAACTGTCAACTAACTGGTGCAACACTAACTGCATCCGTGCAGGTCCTGTTAGCTCACTGCCTGTGCGATTGCCCTTACTCGTCTGTTCGCCCTTCGTTTTTGCTTTGAAGAACCTTAAGCAATTGAAACTTTCCGTTTACAGTGTACTGTCAGCTGCGGACTTGCGGACTTGCGAAACCGCGCCTCGGGCGCTATCTTCTGTCACGTATGGAGGTCTAAAGAAATGTTACTTGAGTTTGTTCAGCAGCCTATATTCGCGGTGTTCTCGACCAGAGAACACGCACAACCTCCCTTCATCCTTTAGCTTCCATGCCAAGTCCCCCTCATGGCATGTTCCCTCATCCGCGACGCACACCCGCACCTTCTTTCGCACTTTGTCGGTCCAGCCGCACATGCCCTTTCCTCCCCAGAACCCGCGCTCCTCCCAGGCTTGTAGGCATCCCCTCGTGCCAATCGCAGCAGCAATGTAGGTGGCGGCGAGCAGGGCAGTGTTAATTGGAATCGCCCTTACAAACTTACCGTACGATGGATTCCACCATGACCTAGTTGGCTTTCGGAGCCCTACCTCCGGGCCACCAGGAGCCCTACCTCCGGGCCACCAGGAGCCCTAGCTAGCTTGCAGATGCGTGCAACACGGGCTTCGTGCGGGACGATGGAGTACCATATGTTGGGCTGTCCTTGCCTTGCACACTGCACAGCCAGTCCCATTGGACACGCACGTCAACAGCACCGTCACACCCTCTGCTGCCTTGAAGGAACCTGCACTCATCCCAAAGTCGGCGTCTGCAGGCTTCCCTGGCGGCGGCGTGCTGTGTTGGGTGTTGCTCGCATACTCTTTTTTGAAATCCCAGACGCCCCGTGTGTTAAAATAACTGGCCGCGGGGTGTGTGTGCTTCCTGACACAAACCCCAGTCTGGAGTGTACCACTAACCGGCTAATAACCCATGAAGAGTCCAAGGCCCGCAGCCCCAGCACCTCCTCTGACGGGTAGGGAGCTCTGGCAGCAAGCAAGTTGACATAACACATGGAGGCGCCCCGGAGGGCGCTGACTCACCCCGCAACGCATGCAACCCACACACCTATCCACACACAGCAGATCGCAACAGGGGAAACAGGAATCAGGGAAACATAACGGGTGGCGACCCGCCTATCTGAACAAGAGCGGCAACATGCGTTCAACCAGCAATGCGCGAAGCACATTTCATCACCAGGCGTGTAAACACGCCGCTACACCAACCGTGACACTGCAACTGCTTTGTATCCCTTCTGAGTGACCCACGGGTCAATTATCGGATGCAACGCTCGCAATGCAAGGAAAATAGGATCCAAGAAAGCATATGTGGCACCGGTAAGCAATATACTCTGTTGTAACAGCCCGCCGTAACCCTTCGTAAACGACAGTAAGCACAGTCCGAACTCCTAACACCGTGGCAACAACGTCTAGCACTGTGCTGCGGTCTGTGTCTAGACCGGGCGTTATTTCGGTGCGAAAGTGACAGCTATGCCCCCTCTCACACAAAATAGACAACGGCCAGCGTTAGTAGGAACCACGAACATACACGTACGCTCACATGCATGCACACAGTCCATGATTAGGTTAATCCCAGGGACGCTTTGTCACACGCATATGCATAAGTGTGACCCATTTCCAACTTCGTCGCATTAGTCAAAAACAAAAATATTCACGGTAGCATGCAGCGGCACAATGCACAGCTCGGGAACTTTTCATATAGTAATGCGCACACTCTCTTTCGTTCACTAATCTATCGCTCGAGGGCCGACAATACTGTCTAAGTGACACATTCAGTTCCGGCGGTCACAGCGTGTCCATAAGGAGGCCGCTTCCAACACGCCTCCCTCCGCTTCCAGACAACCTCCAAACAGCGAGAGGGACAATAACCACGCACTCGGGAGGTGCGTAGGACTCGAAACCGATGTCGGAAACGAGTAAAGAACGCATGCAGTTACGCACGCATGTTGCACAACAGCAACAAACCAGACTTGCAACATGCCGGTCCCGGTCCTAAAACACTAAATATGATGTTTGACGTGCGCTCTTAGATGAAGGCTACAGGGCGCACCCCCGGCAGCACAATGCCCAGCTCGATCTTGTAAAGGAAGGCGAAGGCGGCGTAGATGGCGGAGGCGCCGCAGAAGAAGCCCCAATAGCCCGCTGCGTGCTCGGAGTTGTCGCTCCACAAGCCGCCGGCAAGCAGGGAGAAGGTGATCACCAGAGTAGAGAAGATGGTCATAAGGCAGCCGTTCTTGCGCAGGGTGACAATGAAGAAGCCTGGAGGGCAAAGCGCAGCAGGCGCAGATGATGGAACTTGTTATCAAAAAAACACTAGCCTGGATCTTGATTCTTATTATCATTATCATTCATCGTTCAACATTTATCGTTCAACATTTATCGTACAAGCAAGCAGCAATATACACAGTCACATCAGGAAGTCCATCCACATGTGCAGGGGTTTGGAATGGCCACATTATAAGAGATACTTGAGAAATGGTTGTGTGGGCGACGGAACGCCTGCCAGCAATAATTGTGTTATCTCATGGTCCTGGTCTAGGTACTCACCGAAGGTCAGGAACGCCCAAAGGCCGCACCACAGGGTCTTGCCGGTCTTGGCGACGGGGTAGCGGGCGGGGTCCGACTTGGACAAAAACTCAAGCAGAAACCTGCATGTGGGGAGGAACAGGCAGGCAGGGGGCAGCATGAGGACGTCCGCCGGGGGACATGCGATAAACATGTCATCTTTGGAATAGGTGCCGTACTACTGCATGGATGTAGCCAGGACGGGAAGCTCGGAGAACTTACCAGCCCATCCAAAAGGCGCCGTAGCTAGCGAAGGCAGTGCCACCGAATGTGTTACCCTTGATCAGCTACGTGTGAAAGGAAGACCTACGTAAGCAACATGTCGAGGGTGTTGCAGAGTGAAGTCCATCATCTCACCTCAAGGACGCCGGCAACGAACTGACCGAAACCTCCATAAAACGCAGCATAGCAGAATACCGTCGGCAGGAAGGTCTTCTCGCTCCACCTGCAGTCCCGACAAACATGCATGTCAACGACCAAAAGACCCGCTGCCGATCGAGAAGGCATTGCAAAACACAAGCCAGAGTCAGCAATACTTACCGGGTGGTGATGAACATCAGCATGCTACGTGAGACCAAGCGAGCGTAACCGAATAGTTATTGTCCAGAACGTTGGCGACGCCAGATGTAAGTGTATCGAAGAGACAAACGGGACAGTAAGCGGTTAAGTACGTCTAAAGCTTAAAGCCGTCTTGCGAGACACTTTCAATACAAATGGATGTCACGTGTTCATGTAAGCTGAACTCTGCCCTTACTCAGCCTTTGCCTTACCAGGTGGTCATGCCGAAGCAAAGCAGGCCGAACGGGCCTGTGGGAAAAGCGAGACCAGGAGGCACTTGTCACGCCGAGCCCACACATGAGAGCGCGACGCCTCACTCTAACCTACCGGGGTCACCACGCACCCACTCGTCCGTTGCCTTCACTGTCACAGGCGCCATCTGCAGCACCGTCTTGTGATTGCCATCCATACCCACATCGATATCCTTATGGTTGGTCGGCATTCTCTCCGCGGTATTAAAGAACCTAAGGACGCCGTAAATCTCAAATAAAAGCCTAATACTACAATTGCTCAGGAAAGACCTAGTTTGTTCAGTGGACTTGTAGGGCCTGCTGAAGATGCGTAACGACCACTTCGTACACCCACTGTTTATGCCTGGAAGGGTTTAAACTGCTAATGCCCGCCCAAGCTGCAAGGTACTTACTGTAACAAACAGTCGGCACTTGGCCCATATAGCCCATACAAGAGCGTGATCGAAAGGAAGGTAGGGGACGCCGTAACCATCCATCCGGTTCAATCCATCCGACCGGGTACCAGGAGACTTAAAGAGACACCAAACCGCAGGGGCGCTGAAAGCTTGTCCATTCAACCAATTCCAACTTATAAGGAGAGGGATTGGGGACATGCTGTGCTGGATTGGGCAGTTGAACAGGGGTGTTGCAAACGGACTAAACTGAACTGAATCGTATGGCATGACGTTGCAATCAAGCCCAGTAAAATAACTTGATATCGACTGGACTGCGGGGGGGTGGACGGCGGGGTGGACTAGTCAAGTCCAGCTTCGTAAGTTGACAGTTAAGTTTCCAGTACGGCAGGTTGAAGGCATTAACTCAAGTTGCGGACATCACCATAAGAAGTTTGGTGTATGCGTCATACATGGTACATGGTGACGCCGAACAGAACCGGCCATTGAACGAAGTTATCGCTGAGCAAACAAACCAGCCTTCCAGGATGCTACGTGTCAACCCTTACTTAAAACGCAAACCGCCGTTAACTAACCCCAGATCAAACCCACACACCCAGCCTGCAGTTCGCTTCGAGCGTTTCAGTTACACACCCAAGCTTGCTGCTGTGTGCAGCAGCAGGCGCTCCGACGCGGTCATGGACTCCCGCCAGTTCCGTCACGTCATTTCTTGCGCCTCTGCAAACCTACCTGACCCACATACATGCCACACTGGTAGCAGCTATTGTACACGCCACGTCGATGACGTTGATGGCAAAGATAGGAAGCACCCCCTGCGCTCTCATCCCCTTACAAGATACCGGTACCAACACCCGTGAGCCCCCTCGGAGCCCCCTCGGAGCCCACTCGAAGCAACAAGACAAGCACATACCCAAGCACGCACACCCTTTAAGTACCGTAACCACCAGCATGGACATAGCTACACACATGAACTCTGAAGGCACCCACAACGCCGTACAAGCCGTGACCAAACCCATGTCCTGCCTTGTCCACAGGGCTCCTGCAAGGTCCATCATGCGGGCTTTATACGGCAGCAAAAGCCATCAGCCCATCACCCACGCGAGCTCACCAGCTGTCCTCGTCACCAACATCAGCGGATGCCTCACCATGCCTCACCGCCTAGGCCGCCCCGCCTGCGTCCCGCCCGCCGTCGCCTCCACCACCACCGTCGCCGCCGCAGATGCTCCTCCTGTTCCTGCTGCAGGGCGGGCCTTCCGCGGCGGATCTGCCTGCTGCCTCAGCCCCCCACCTGCCTGCAGCAGCTCTGCCGGCAGCAGTCCCTCCGCTGCAAGTCTGGTTGCTGCGGCTCGAAGCTGCTGTGCCGGCAGCCGCTGGCATTGGTGGCATGCGCCCAGATAGAGCGGCACCAGCAGCTTCACCAGCTGCCATGGTATCACGGTGCCGCGTTATCACGATGTCGGGTATCACGGTGTCACGTGTCGCGATGTCAGTGCACATGCGTGGAGAAGGGAAGGAGAGCGGAGTTGGTCCTGGTTCGGGCATTCGTATAACCGGCATGTTGAGCGATGCTGTAGCGTAAATGCAGGTGGTGAGGAAGCGAAGAGGGGGGCGCCAAGCCGCATGGTGGGCAATGCATGGAGGGGGTTGGTTTAATGGGCCTGGCGGCTACGGTATGTACGGTATGTAACGAGTCGACCCGCCCCCACCTGCCACGCAGCTGCCGCTGCGAAGTGGTGGTAGGTGACCGCTGCGAGGGCTTGTGTGATCAGCGTGAAGAGCAACTGCAGGAGGCCTGCGGAGGTGTGACACGGAGGGTGCGACGGAGGTTGGGACTTGGGACTTGGGAGGCAGGTTGGACGCATGGACGTTATGAGTAGGCGAATCAGGGGTAGATGGCAGTATACCATGAGCAGCAGAGTCCAAGGTAAGGACCACCAGGGTAATCCACACGCGCAACACCTCATTGGACATGCTACCGGTAGCCACGCATCCGGTATACGCTCGTATATCCCACAGCGCAAACACGCATGTGATAAACCGCAAACGTCTCCCGCACGGTGCCCCATGCAAGCCATAGCTTCCTCGCCAAAGGTGCCGTACCGCCCTCTGCTAGATGCCGTACACGTACGGACGTACGAACGTACCGTACATCACTAATCTCCTGGCCACACTGCCGCTGCGCACAAGTCGATTGAGCGGGCTGTTGGCCCGTTGCGCTCTCCTTGCTAGGGCTCGGTAGCTGGTGTCATAGCCCCCGGAGAGGATGAGGCGCCGGCAGGCGACCTGGGTGGTGTGGGAGAAAGCGCAGCGTCACGACAGGCGGCGTCACGACAGGCGGCGTCACGACAGGCGCGGTGTCACGACCTTAAAGCGAGAGGTAAGCGGAATGACGTGGTTGCTGGGTATGGAGCGGAACATGAGAGCAGCTCACTCAAGGTTTGGAGGTTAACGGTACAGCCATGTATATCGTGTTGCATGACGTCAGCCCAGATGCGTTGCGTCATGGCCCCATGCAAGCCAGCACTCCGGATGGCGATGTATTACGGTTTAGCAGCAACAGCAGCTGCTGCTGCTCGTGTGGCTCCAACACCCCCTTGGCCGTTGCACTTGGCTCGCGTTGCTTTGCTTTCAAACGCCCCAGCCCGGCCTCACCTGTACGATTAAGAAGTACAGCAGCTGCCACGCCAGGTAGAAGCCCAGCGGTGCCAACCCCAGCCACAACCATGCGGAAGAGGGACACGGAGCCGGCCCCGCCGCCGCATGGCATTCCAGCCCGCCAGCACACACACCTGAGGAATCTGTCGGTTCGGATGGCTACCGTTCTTCAGCTTGGGGGTGTGTTTGAGGAACGTGCTGTGTTGCATGCGGCTTTTATTCGGGAGGCCCTGGGGTTACCTGTTACCCAGCAGCTTCCTGAGGGTGTCTTGGATGGCCTTCGTGATTCTTTCCAGCGTCTTTGGTCGGTTCGTTGGGAGAATGGTTTCAAGGAAGCGTTTTGGCGTCTTTCTATTGATGGGGTTCCCTTGCTGGGGAATTCTCATATGTCTAGGGCTCGTCCGGAATGTTGTGGTTGTGGGTCCGTTGTCTTGGGGGTGTCTCCGCGGTTGCATTTTTTCTGGGCTTGTCCTGTTGCTCGTGCTGTGGTTGAGCAGCTTGAGGTCACGCTGGGTATTGCGGTTCCTCGGGCTGCCTTGTGGTTGGCGTTGCCTCCTTCGGGCGTGCAGCAGTGCGTTTGGGATGTTGTTGTTTTGGCTGCTTTGTCCGCTATGGAGGAGGGTCGGCGGTTGTTACGGGCTCGTGTACGTGAGTCTGGTTCTGCGGGTGTTGTGCCTGGGCTTGCTGCTGTGGTGGCCCTGTCTGCTGTTTCCTGGTTCTGGGGTCAGCTTCGGGGTTTTGCTTGTTTGGGTGTTCCCCGTCGGGGATGGGCTGGGGTTGGCCCTTCTCATCCTTTCTTACGTATTGTTGGCGGGCGGTTTTCTGTGGGCCGTTGAGCGTCCTGTTTTTTGGCCCTGATGCCTTTGGGGTGGTGTGTTCGTGGCTTCCGGTTTGGGTTGTCTTATGCCCTAGATGAAGTTTGTCGAGGTTTGCTGAGGGGCCTTTTCTTGGCTTCTACCCTCTTGTTTCCCTCCTGAGGTTTCTTTTAGGGCTATGTCTCCCATCTTGTTGGCCTGTTGTGGTGCTGTCTCTACGGTTTGTTCCGTTTCTTTTGCAATGTAGGGTTGGGTTCATCACCCGTGTTCCCTTTTAGGGCACCATTGTAACGATCATTCATTCACACACACCTGCTGTTGCTGCACCCGCCGTAATTCCTTCAACACCAACACCGTCCCCGCCGCTGCTGCCGCTGCTATCTGCAGCAGTCAGGCAGGTATCGCCGGCGCCTGCGGGGCACGTGACTCGCCCCCGCGCGACCCCGATTGCAAGCGCCAGTCGCGTGGCTCCGTCCTGGGGTGAGGTGGGCTGTGGCGACAGCAGTGCGGATGCGATCTGGGTCAGCAGCAGCAGCGGCCGGCGGGTGTGCGCCAGGAAGCGGTGGCAGAAGAGCGCCAGACCGGGCAGCTGGTGAATCAGGACGCTGCAGGGGCCGGGAGGGCAGGAAGGGCAGGAGATAAGAAGAAGTGAGGGTATGAGGGAGGAATAAAGGTTGGTGGCGAGCGGCGAAGGGAAGGGCAGGGAATAAGAAGACAGGCGTGTGCAGGAAAGCAGGGTGCATGGATACACGGCGGTCCTCTTGCTGAGCCTAGAGCAGGAGCTGGAGCAGGAGCTCTGGAGTAACGAATCAGTTAAAAAGATGCGATAAAAAAACTCATGTGCGGTTTTGTAAGCTACGGAGCCGGTACCTGATGGCGTGGTCTGGGGAGCCCAGCAGCCAGGCGCACTGCCAGGCGATGAGGGCGGCGGCCAGAGGGCCCTCGCACAGCACGTACACCGCCGCCTCCAGCCGCGGGTCTTCGGGGCGAAGAATCAGGAAGGTGCAGCACGCTATGTTGGCGAACTGGGTCGTTCGGGGCGGGTTGGGAGATGGGCATAGAGGGTGGTGGGTGAGATGACTGTGGCAATCAGGTTTGATGGGAATGGTGTGGTTTGCCGAATTTTGCCTTCAGAACTCGGTAAAACTAGCAGTGGAAGAAACTTAGAAACAACACGCTTGGTGGGGTGCAACGAGTCCCACCCTTCAGATAGATAGGCATCCCGGGCTTCTATCCATAAAAGAATGAAAGGCTGGCCCGATTCGTGCAGAGCAATTTGAAACGAACTTGCTTACATAGCAGAAGTCCACAAGGAAGAAGGTCCACTTGCGCTTTGTAAAGTTGACCACGCGATATGGCAGGCAGACCGCCGCGAATAAGAGATAAAGTAGCGGACATAACGCAGGAGCAAACCCAAGAATAAAGTTGAGAAGGCAAAGAAACACTGCTCCTCCCGTAAAGAATAGCGAGTCGCCGTGGGACGCAAGGCCGCATGCGATGTCGTCCAGTAATGCTGCCGAAGTTGGACTCCCGCAGCCATGATTGCGTGCGGGTAGCCCCTCTACGGGCGCTGTGCAGCTAAAAGCATGGATTCCGACATTGTTGCGCTTGACAGGCTTTTGGCTTGCACTATGCATCGCTTGTCTAGCAGATGCTTGATCCACGTCGATAGCCTGACCGCCCATAATAAATATGAAAAAGTATCACGATTGTGTGGCTCGGTGGCAATGCACCAGGATGACCTCCTCAGGAGGACCTCCGTCTTCCCGCGTTCCGATCCGAAACCATAAAGCTCTGAAACCAATTCTAGGGTCATGGCGTCATGGGCTCACAGCAGGAATGGCACTTCGGCAGCTAATCCCAGCTTCCCAGGTGGGCAGTAGAAGCTTAGTCAAGCTGGCAACAAACATGAGCGGCATTTTGCGTGCTGTGTTCAAGTGCTGCGGTTTAGATCTAAACGAGGGCCAGCTGCGCATGCCGATCCTCAGCTGCGGCCCGCAAACCCATTTTGGGAAGCTTTCTGCAGAGATGGCGGCATGGTATAGTAATAAAGACACCCTTCTCCCCTTGCTATAGGTTATGGGGCCTTATGTACGACGCCAGCTCTTGTCCTTCATGTGCCGTACGCGCTTTACATTCCCCTCTTTCGTAGGCCCAGGCAGTTTGAATTCCGTTACAGCTTCTCTTGATGAACAGCCTATTGGGTTCGCAGGTGCAAACTAGTTCCAAACCTTTAAATTTCGTTATTAAAGTACCAGTACTAATGAACCAAGCCGTAGCACAAAACAAATATACCCCAACGAACCATGGCGCTCTCCTACGCTGCATAACTAGGCGCATGCATGGATGACGGATGATACGATCCGACCCCTCACGTCTTAAATACTCTCGCAAAAAACAACAAACCACGAACACAAAATCGCACCCCCATCTGGACGGCACACTTGCGGGGTGACCACCAAGCACAGCACGCACCTCCTCCAAAGCGCCGCTACAGGACAGCGCTGCGGCAACACGAGTTGCTGCCATGCCACCATACCGTGCACACCCACACACGCATGCCACCCGTCGCAATCCAATACCCCCACCTCCCTGACTCCACACACCCTCTCCCATGAGTCATGACAGCTAGCATAGCACCCGCAACCGCCCCCATGACATGCTATAGTACCAGGCGCACATGCAGCGGATGCGGCCGCATGCAGCTCCCCTTGAGAGCCCTCAAAGCCCTGACTGCAGCACATGACTGCTGCTGCCTGGGAGACCAGCCAGGGCACAGAAACCAGCAGCCAGGGCATTCTCCCTCTGTGTGTGACCGCATCCGGTGCACGTATGTCTCTGTCTCTCACTGCTCACAGCTTTGAACTGAACCTCACCTCTCCTCACCTTACCCCAATCACCTCACCTTACCCCAATCACCTCACCTTATTGTCACTCGCTCCCACAACAAAAAAAACAACCAAGCGACCGTTATCGCATAACAAGCGGCACGCATACCTTGGAAGGCATGCAGGGCCCAAAAGACACCTTAATGGATCTCTCAACCAAGTCACAAGAGAACAACCCTGTTCATCCAACAAACAACAAAACCACAAACGAAACTCAGGGAAGCGCAAATACTCATTACGAGTACGGCAAAGCAGCTTGCGCTTGTTTGCCTCTTGTCTAGAGCGCAGCACTGCTTTGTGCTGGTCTGCAAGCACCACTGGGCTAGCAGCAAGCTGGGAAGCAACACGCATGAGGCGCAGAAGACATAACATGCGCACACAATCGGTTGGGCCCACTTCCTTCATGCCTATAAATACATACATGGATAAAGAGCGTCTCTTTGTTCCCTCCGCTCTTGGTTCACTCAATTTCCCTCTCTGCATCCCATACAGCAGCAGCAGCAGTAACTTCCAGCATAATTCCCCCCGCGGTGTTTCCGCGGCTCAGTTTATCTAATCCCCCCACACAAGCCAAAAAGCCACCCACTCTCATTGCCATTGCCCTAAACAGGATCCTGGTGTTCTACCGGCGTTTGTTGAAATAACAGCGTTTGTTGAGTTAACCAACAAACAAATCGCCAAGGCTCAGCCTCGTCCGTTTCGCTGCCTGTTCAGAATGCATACGAGCCGGCCAGAAAGCGCCGCATATATCGCAGATACCGCATGACATCACCACTACGGCCGTGTTTTGCTGCCGCCCCACCCGCCCCAAAGCGGCATTCCATTCCCGCCACCACCACCACCACCACCACCGCTGTTGCTACTGCTGTTGCTGCTGCTAGTGCTGGCGCCGCTGCCGACGCCCCCGCCACGGCGGCTCAGATCCCCCTTGACACCGGCACCACCACCACCGGCAGCAGGTGCAGGTGCAGGTGCCGGTCGAGCTGCATGCAGAGGCGTCCGTACCATACCGTACACCTGCGCATGGGGGCGGAGGGATGAGAGGACAATGAGCGCCGGATGGATGGATCCGGATTTGTACGAATGTTCAGAATCCAAGGATTCTGATGCACGGATGCACTGGCTGGAAGCACTAAGCAGCGGACTTGCCTGTCCGCCCACGCTCGCTACTGCCATGCCCGCCTGCCCAGTTGCACCACCGCTGCCTCCTCCTGCTCCTCCGCCTCCTCCCCCTCCTGCTGCTGCTCCTGTGCCTGCTCCGCTGCTGCCTTGGGAGCTGGTCGGGGCCGTGAGGACTTGTACCCGATGTGCGCGGTTCTTGGCAATGAGGCTCTGGTACTGCGAGCTCTGGCTCCACCTGCGTCGTGGGGGGAGGGGGACCTCGTTTCCTCTCGCTGCGGCACTTGCATGGTAAACCAGGAAGGGTAGGGCTTCCTCCTTCTCAACACCCCTCCTTCCCCCCCCCCCACCCAGTGTCTCCTTATCCCCCCCCCATTGCTGTGCCCTAGCCCGTGGTTGCCTATTGTTTGGTATGGTCTTTGACCCCCCCACCCGCACCTGTCAATCTCCCTGGCCCGCATGACGGGCAGCGGGTGAGACAGCGCCGCCGTCTGCGCGTTCCGCAGGTACCAGCCCAGCAGGCTGCTGGTGGCCTCCTCGTAGGAGCGCGCCTGCTGCAGGAAGCTGGGGGTGGACGGAAGGGGGCGTCGGGAGAAGGGGAGAAGGTGAATGGGGTGTCAGAGATAGATCGAACCACAGGAAACTACAAGAATGGGGAGGTTAGAGAGCGGGAGGAGATGGACGGGAAGGGATGGGCAGAAGGGCGTTATTCCTGCAGACACACCACTACTAGAGGGGAGGACTGCGGGAGGGAGAGGAACCTCCCCAGTGCCCAGCGAAAAGAGGTGAAGCGAGCCGGTCAGCATGACAGGCTACGCAGGAACGGGGCAGCAGCGGCGGCATGAGCAGGCGGGCTCGGACCAGCTCAGGATGCTTTGTAAAGTTATACGGCAACCTCCTCCCCCCCCCACCAACCAGCCCCCCCCACACACACACTCACGCGTCCACATTCAGTTCCGCAGCGAATGAGGGCGAGCCTCCCGCCAGCTTCATGAGCGCGGAGATGACCACCTTGGGGTCCTGACAGGGGGGGGAGGGGGGGAGGGGGGGAGGGAGGTGAGTGGGAGGTGGGCAAAAAAGAAATTCCAATGTGTGTTGTGATAAGGATACAAGTTGCTGATAATCCCTGGTGGAAACAACCGTGAATCGAGCCGAAAAGGTGGTGAAAACAATGCGAGCTAAACTTACCGAACTTACCATTTATGGAGCAACCTTACCGTAGTCTTGGGAGGTGGGCAGGGGGGCATGTGAGAGGTGGGGGTACAGAGGGAACAACTAACGAACCGTGTGATAAGGGGCGTCATCACGGTTTGCAACATGCCCGCCACCCAGTCCGAATCAGCCAAGCCAGTACGTATCCCCTCTGTTTCTTCTTCCGGAACACCACCCCACGGGCAGTTCTCCTAACATCCCCTCCCCCACTGCCATGGTGAAGCCCCGTCTTTCAGTTCGTTGGTTTTCCTTATTTCCCCCGCACCACCCCCACTACCTGTGCCACCAGCAGCGCCGCCCGGTCGCACGTCAGCTCCGCCGCCCGCAGCCAGCGCATGAGCGCCTCCGTGACCATGCCGCTCACCACGGGCAGCACGCTCACGGTGCCGCCCGCCAGCACGTTGGCGATGGTCAGCCACAGCCCGTGATCGCACTTGAGGTGGCCCAGCTCGTGCGCTAGCACGGCCTGGGGTGGGGAGTAAACATTAAAGAGGGGGGAGGGGAGGGGGAGGGGAGGGGTAAAAAACGAAGAGACTAACGAACCGTGTGGCATGTAGGCTCTTCACCATGCACCGTGGAACATGGCTGCGGACCCTCAGGGGATTTGGGCGGAAGTTACAGGTTTACTCTGGTTGACCTCTCCGGCTGCTTCGCCTCCCTCCCTGCCCCCCTACCCCACACCTGCAGTTCCCAGCGAGCGAACAGCTCCTACAACCCCATACACACAACATCCCCCCGCCCCCGGCCCCCCAATATCCCCAGCCCCCGTCCCCTGCCCCCTCATCGGCATTTGGAACTTCACCTCCACCGCACCTGCAGTTCGTACGGCGTGAGCAGCTCCAACAGCGCCGTGTGAATGACGATGAAGGGCTTGTGGCCCGCGATGGCCAGCGTGTAGGCGTTGGGAACGGGGTGCTGCATGCAGAGGTGGGGAGGGGGGGAGGGGGGAGGGGGAGGGGGAGGGGGGGAGGGGGGAGGGGGAGGGGGAGGGGGGAGGGGGGTGGTAAGATGAGGAAACGGACGAGGGAGAGAGGGGCGAGGGGCCGGATACATCATCGCCACCAAGCAGCGCCACCTCACCGCAGCAGACTCGGACTTGCGCCCCTGCTACTCTACACGCCCCCTGCAATCACCCCACCCCGCCTAGCCCCCCCCACCACCTGCCGTACATACAGCTCCGGAGCCTCCATCTGCAGGATGCGAGCCTGGGGGTGAGGTGTAGGAGTGAGGGGCCGTCGGGGATTAGGAACTCTTAACTAAACCATAAGTGAGGGCAGGACAATAGGGGGGACGCGTGATGAGCTGATGGCTACCGGCCAGCGGGTGCATGCATGCACTCTTTCCCTCTCGCTCACCATCCCCTCCCCCCCCTCCCCCCCGCCCCCCTCACCGCCTCCGCCATGAGTTTGTGCACGGAGGGCAGCTGCTCCGGCCCAATCTTGATGGAGCTGCTGATGTTCTCAAGCAGCAACACCTGCTCGGCAACCGGGCCTGGGGGAAGGGGGGAGTCAAAATGGGCCAAGCCATAGGTAAGGGGACTAGGTAAACTGAGCCGCGGAAAAGAAGAAAACTCAATGTGTTGAGGGGAGGTGGGGTTTGGGGAGGCAAGCAGAGAGGGGCCGGGGGGCGGGACTCGCAATTGTTTGGTATGGTCTTTGCCCCCCTCCAGCCCTGCCCCCATCCAAACCCGTCCCACCCATGAAGTTCTTGGCCACCATCTCCAGCCCCGGCACCGAGCGAAGCAGGCTGGTGTTCTGCTGGTCGAGAGGGTGGCTGGCAAGGCCACGTTGATTGATAGGGGGTCGGGGGAGGGGAAGAGGAAGAAAGGGTGGGCTGCATGGGGCATGGAGCTTCATGGCTGGAGGACTCCTCTCCCTCCCTCCCTCCCTGCCTGCCTTCCCGGCGGCAACACATGCACCTCCACTTCACCAGCAACCCCTTCCCCCCTTGTTCCCTCTAGTTAGGGAGCCAGCGTAAACACCCACCGGAAGTCGTCCCCCTTCAGGCCCTCAAACATGGAGATCTTCTCCTTCACGACCGGCGTGATGTTCGGCCATGCCGACATTGGCTGCTTGTCTGAGCCAGGCCTAGGGGCTGGCGCCTGCAGTTGAGAGCCCCTGCTTCAGTCTCCAAGCCTCAAGCGCTAAGGTAAAGGCTAAAGGCAGTGTATGAGGGGCGTTAAAGGGCTGAGGGCAACTCGCCTGTCCGGACAACACGCATGCTGGTCGCAACGCCCTACGTCGATGTCCTCTCGCCCGCGCCACGGACCCAGGCACAAGCAGCCGTCCCCGGCATTGAAGTAGTTTGTAGCCTATGCGCATGGAGTCTGAGCGGCAGTAGCGTGTGAAACTAGAATGGAAGTAGGGCGAGAGTATAAGCAACAGTCAGTTTAAGGCGTTTGACAAGGACACACTGCAAGTAGATGCTATTATGTTTCAAGTGCGTTAGCCGAGGTGTTTGGAGACCAAAGGTGCTGGGAGAATGGCTGTACGACCCACAACAGGGTTCCTAAATTGCCCAAACGCGAGAAACGTAGGATCCATGATACAGCTCAGTGTAAGATAGAAAGCCTATTACGGGTTCATTCCCTTAAACTTATTAGCTGCCGACCCACGTGGCCTGCAAGAATGCGCAGCCTAGCGCCCGGGAACCGGTCCGCTTTCTCTTGCCCGGGTGCGTAGGATTACCTATTGGCGATTATGTACACCATTGAGTTGCTTACGTTTACTATGTATTCACAGGTAGAACCCGCGTGGCGAGGCCTCTTCCGCACCGATTTCCGTGCAGCCGACGCGGACTGATCACAGCAGCTGCTAAAGGGCCTGTGGTTGTCGTCGATAACTATGACAGCTTTACTTACAACCTCTGTCAGGTATGTTTTCGCCGCCGTGCATGCATCGCCATGCCAACGTTAATCGGTCGCTGACGCCTATCCGCTTGCGGGTTTCAGTATCTTGGCGATCTAGGGTGCGAGTACGTTGTCTACAAGAACGATGAGAAGACAGTAGATGAAATCAAGGCTATGAACCCCGCTGGCATCCTTGTGTCGCCCGGGCCAGGTGCGGGGTATCGCGAAGGGTATCGCGAAGGGTGTCGTCTCGGGCACCCCAGCCGGTGCCCCTGCTGGTTTTATAGCAAAATGGGTCGCGTTCCTTTCCATGCTTGTCATGATATTTCCCTTCCCGCTAGGTTTCGCCATTCCTTAACCCCTTCTCCCATGGTTGCCGCCGCCCTAACCCCCAATCAGGACGGCCGGTGGATTCCGGCATCTCGCTTGAAGCGGTTCGGGAACTGGGGCCGCTGTTCCCGTTGTTTGGCGTGTGCATGGGGCACCAGTGCATTGGCGAGGCGTTCGGAGGTGAGAAGCTTACCTTAGGAAGCCAAGGGGGGTTGTCAGGACCCAGCCACCAGCCCTAGCGTCCCCGCACAAGCCCCCTCCCAAGCGGCCGCACAGTTTTCGGAACGCAGCAGCAGCTGCTGCTTCACGGGCTCTCACGATACGTACTCCGCTGTTACCCAAAATGTCCCGCGTACGACGCTCAGAAGTCGCGTCCAGTTCATAAGGTTGTTAACACACCTGTCCCGCCTGCATGCAGGTGACGTCGTGCGGGCGCCTTGCGGCGTTATGCACGGCAAGACTTCCGAGGTCTACCACACCAACGTTGGCATCCTGGAGGGCCTTCCCAAGTAGGTTTGGGCGCGGGCGGCGGGAGGGCGTGTGGGGCAAAGCGGGTGGTACACGTGGTCATGCCGCATGCACACGCTCCCATCCAGCTCGCCAGCGTCCAAGCCGCACTACCGTGCAGTCCCCGCGAGCACCGTAGGAGCTCCCCTGTCCCGTCCCTGCTGTAAGCGCGACATGGGGCCGGCATAGCCCTTGCTCCCCCATGCAAACCCAGATGTTAACATGTAATCAGCCGAATGCACGCCGACCCACATCACCCCTTCCACCCAAGCCTCTCCTGAACCCCACCCCCGACCCTCCTCCCACATCCTCCCGCGCCCAACCCGCGTTCTCCCACGCACCACCCGTGGTCTATCTTTCACCGCTTGCCTCCCGCCTCCCTGCTTCACTCCTTCTTTCTTTGCCCCCCCCCCCGCCTCCCCGTAATGAAGCCTTGTCACACAGCTCGTTTGTTGCCTCGTCAGTTTCCTTCTTTTTACCCCCGCCACCTCCCCTCCGCCCCGCTGCACGCAGCCCCTTCGAGGCGTGCCGCTACCACAGCCTGGTCATCAAGCGGGAGACGCTGCCGGCGGACCTGGAGATCACCGCCTGGACGGAGGACGGCACCATCATGGGTGTACGGCACAAGAAGTACCCGCACGTGCAGGGCGTGCAATTCCACCCGGAGAGCATCATTACGCAGAGCGGCAAGAAGATCGTGGAGAACTTTGTCAAGTCTCTTTGAGGAGGAGGAGAGGAGAGGGGGTGCGGGGTCGAGTAGCTGCTCGTTTGAGGATGGGGTTGGATGGGGAAGGCGGGTGGGAGGGAGGAAGGAGGCAGGGAGGAGCAATGGGTGGATGGTGGGCAGCGCTGTTTTGCGCTTTAAGAAGCGTGCGATGATGATGGTAGGTGCATGTAGGGAGGGCGCGGATAAGGGGAGGAGGGAAGGGCAGGATTTGCTGCGGGGAAGTAGCACAGGCGAGCGCCTTGCTCTTGGTGTTGTGGGATGTGGGACGTGATCTGATGTGGGTCGGATGGGGGAGTGGTGAACGTACAGGGCCGGGTTTGAGTTGGATGGTGGCAGGCGCACTTGGCCGTTTACGGATGCAGTAGCCGCGGCGTGTATGAGTTAACCGGTGACTGGTGATAGAGATAGACAAGTGCAAGGAAGTGCCCTGTGTATTGCGCATGACTTCAGGTGACTAGGTGGGCTTTCGTGTATGCCGATGCGAATGGGCTTCCCAGAAAGAGGATTTTGCGGTGGTGCTTCGCGGCTAACCGTTCCTCACGTGCGTCGCTTACTCGGTCCATCCATGCCTTCATGCATGTATTGTAGCACGAACTAAACTTCATATGAATATTCCCTGACCCCTTTAGGTATAGCCCACCTTGAGCTTTCTCAGGGTGATTTGGGTCCCAACGAACGCCCGCATGACTAGTGAATTCCTACATAAGCACAGCAGCAACAATTGGCAGCAAGATGAGAAAAGGTTACTGTCAAGGAAAAGGGATTGCGCGCGACAGCCTCGCTCCATGAAACCAAACCTGCACGAGATAAGCGGGATGGTCGCCGCCGTCATCTAAGCTAACTCTCATGTCAGGTACTAAAGTAATGAGCTAACCGAATACTTATACTCATAAAACCTAATTTACCTTCAAAACTGACACTTTATAAGCAAACGTGGCGGCGTAAGCCGTGGTAGCTTGCACGGACCCGGCTGAGATTAATAGTGAAAATGTTGGCACGCCTAACACCAGGGACAGTTATAGCAAGCCCTGCACATGCAGCAAAGCCAGTTCCCGTCGTGTCACCGGTGCATCCGGCGACACTGAGGACCGTTGGTGCCTTGCCGCTCATCAGTTCTGTGCAGTCCAGCAGCGGAGTTGTTCCTAAAGCAAAGCGATGCTCGGTGCTTGTACACGGCCAGGCAAATAGCTCGTTGCAGCTTCCCATCGACCTGGACCTTGAAGAACCGCTCCCTGGCTTCGATTCCATCGCTTCAGCGCTGGCGGACCTTGCGGCCGGCAAGCTTGTCGTAGTAGTAGACGACGAGGATCGCGAGAATGAGGGAGACCTCATTATGAACGCTGACAAGGTGACTACGGAGTCCATGGCATTCCTTGTGGAGTACACCAGCGGCGTCGTATGCATTTCCATGGAGGGCAGCGACCTGGACCGCCTACGTCTACCTCTCATGGTCAACAGCGCGGAGAACGAGGAGTCTATGTACACAGCATTCACGGTCACCGTGGACATCCGCGACGGCATCACCACCGGCATCTCCGCTTCTGACCGCACCAAAACAGTCCGTCGCCTTGCCGACCCAACCGCAACAGCTGGCGATTTCCGCCGGCCAGGCCACATCTTCCCGCTCCGCTGCAGACCCGGTGGCGTGCTCGTACGACCAGGCCACACAGAAGCAGGCGTTGACCTAGCCCGTCTGTCAGGCTCCTTCCCAGCCGGCGTGCTTTGCGAGTTGGTCAACAAGGAAGACGGCAGCATGGCTCGCACGCCACAGCTCCTGGAGTTTTCCAAGCGTCACGGCCTTCGCTGCATCACCATCGCCGACCTCATCCGCTACCGCTTGCGGCATGACACCCTTATCACACCCGCCGGCCAGCCCACGCCCACCGTAACACGCTCCGGAACCGCCGTGACGACCCACTGCTTCCGCTCCCTCGTAGACGGCACGGAGCATGTGGCCTTCGTGCATGGTGCCGTCGCGGACGCCTCCTCGGACGTGCTCCTTCACGTGCACCATGAGCGGACTCTCGCTGACCTGCTGGACTGCTCCGAGCCGGGGAGCAGTGGCAACGGCAGCGGCAGCTCCTCCTCCTCATCTTCCTCCCTAGATGCCTCCCTGCGGTCTGTGGCACAGGCGGGTGCGGGAGTGGTGCTGTACATGCGCGGCCAGACGGCACGCGGCATTCCGCCTTCTGCAGAGTTGCTGACACTGGCACAGCAGCAGGGCGGCCGCAGCAACAGCAGCCGGGGGCAGGACCTGTACGCCACGGACTTGCGGGATGCGGCGCTGGTGGCTCAGATGCTGCGAGCGCTGGGTGTGTCCAGGGTTGTGCTCGCGGGAGGGGACGCGGCGCTTGCTACGGCACTTCGGAGCTGCGGACTAAGCATTAGGACAGCGGCTGCGGCGGCGGGTGCGGGGGCGTCATCAGCGCATTACAGCAGCAGCAGCAACGGCACTGCGGGACATGCACGGGGCAACCAGCAGCCGCTGCAGGCGGCTGGGGCGCGATAGCTGAGGGGCAGGGAGGGGGGCAGGATGGTGATGGCGCGTGGGTGCGGGTGCGGGGGTAGTGCAGGAGGTTTGCTTAACAGCGTAGGGATAGGTGCAAGGTACCGGTAGCGTGGGCTGTAGTGTGGGATTGGTAGTAGCATGGCTAACGTGGCAGTAGAAGCGGCGCCCGTTATGCCTGACGGGTAGTGGCGTACCAGCGCAGATGATGCATGGGATTAGGGCCCTTGGTGCGGCCGATGTTTTCCTAATCTGCATTTCAGGTGCAAGGTGGGCTTCTTTGGGTGGGGTGAGGGGCTTGTTGGGAGCTTAGGAACGGCCATGTCTGTTACAGCCGCAACGCGACAAGCTGCAGCAGCATCCCTAACTAACTGTTGGTGTATCATGGTGACCGGTGACAGCAGTACAGCAGTACATGTCCGCTGCGTTGTGAGGATCAGACAGACATATTTTGTCCTGACGTTGCCTTGCGCACGTTCAGAGCATGCCGTTCATAGAGCTGTGCGGTGGCTTTGCCTGCGTAGGTTTAAAGGCGATACCTGGATGCCGTTGTGCTGGTTCACATACACAGGGGTACGCGGGATAGGGTGGTGCGTCGTCGTGGCATTGCGTCGCTATGCCATGTGACCGAGCTGGTACCGGTAGCTGCAACGCTAAGAGTCCTCGGGCCTAAGGCAGACCTGTTACCAGAAAACCTTCCCAGCAAGCAGGATGCCTCGGCGGGTCGCACGTACGCCTAAGGTTACGCAGCATGCACATATTTTTGAGAGAGTGATGAGTGACACGTGTGATCAGATGTGGATGTGCGTACGGCTAACATGTTTAACACACAATGCTGGATGCTTGCTAGGTCTCGGGAGGACTGGTAGCTGCTTTATCATTTGCTTCCCTCATGAGAAGCGTGTTGGGTGGCCAAGCAGGGCTGCGAGCGCGTCTGTTTAACATGACTGCACGGTTGGTCGCAGCGCCGCATACGATTCGGAACATGCAGGCGTTTGCTCTGAAATACCAATAGTGATGCAACCAAACCCAAGGGTCAAGACGATGGCATGACAAGCACGTAAAGCCGTTAGGCAGCCAACCCAACCAGCAAGCCCTGCGGCTCCACCCACCTACTACTACTAATGCTGCTTCAATATTAGCCATCCATCCCTGCATATGTCCCTAAAGCCTCACAGCAGGGATGCTGCAGGCTACCGTCTGTGCGCAGCCCGGTAGCCTGCCGCCCTGCTCTATTCGTGTCCCCTGCACGGCAGCGTTTGCTTATCCAGCCTCACCTAGGGGGAACTGAGGGAACCGTCCCTTCCGTAGCAAAAGCAGTAAAGCACCCACAACCGGAAATGAAGGGCCCTCAACACGGCTCGTCCAGCCAAATCCTCATACCCTACCTCCTCCACGTCCTCCTTTTCCCCACCTCCTTGCTCCTGTGAAGCCTTGTCATACAGCTCGTCAGTTGCATCGTCAGTGTCAGTGCAACCCCTCCTGCCCCCCACCCTCACTCCCAGACGCGCTGCCCACCTCCTCGCTGCCCACCTCGCTGACAGTATCATCCTGCAAACAACACGTCCGTACACCCGCATACTCCGCAGCCCCTTCCTACCCCCCTTCCTCCTCCTCCTCCTCCTTCGTTCCGTCCCCCACCTACTGCACCCCCTCTCCTCCTCCACCTGCCCTCCTCTCCCAGCTACCGCCCGCCACCTCCAGGTCCTCCGCAGCCGCCGCCTCCATCTCCCACGGCGCGATCCTCCGAAGGCGCTCCACACACTCCGCCGCCAGTGCCCGGTCTCATCAAACATCCGGCGCACGCGCGACAGACCCACGGGTCGCCACTCGCCCCGTAGCAGCGTTGGAACCGACCAACACGCGCGCTCAATCTCTCGCTCGAAATCAAAACCACTACTTGAGAAAATGGAGTCCCTGTAATACTTGCATTCCTGAGGCAAAGCCTTCAACCTGCAATATTCAAATTATGCAATCGCGCGACACCCAAGGCACGTCGCCTACCTACCGGTATTTACCTATCTTATAAACGTGATCTTCACAATGATGACGGTTGACTTCGAAGCTCTACATCCCCCAAGCACTTAGGTCGTCATATCTACAGCAAAGTATAACAGGTTGTGACACATGTCATAGTAGCCCGCCACAAATTTCGACTTTTCCACACCTGATCCTGCATGATATGTAACACTGGTCTCCATCGTCGTCATACCGCATCCCGGGCCAGAACGCCCCGCACCACAAGGTCCCTCAGCGCCGAGTAGCCGACCCCGCCGCGATACACCGCCTCTATGTCGCCCTGAAGAGGAGGAGCAGCAGGAGGAGGAGGTTGATACGCCGGCGGAAAAAAAAGAGGAGCGCGAATGAAGCTTGCGGGGGGCGGGGGCCATGTTGAGCACAGGTGTTGAGTCCCTGCAGGTCAACATGGGAACAGCGTTACGAGTGTTCAAGTGCGCGCGCATCAAGTACCGGAAGGCGCAGCACACCCCAGATAGGTCACACGCCCTTCATTCCCCCTCCCCTACGTCACTGCATGAGTCGGGATATGGGATTGGGATTCGTTGTTTCACTTATAAAATTTTTCCCCTACGTCAAGCACCCTAACCACCGGTATGAGCAACGCCCGGCCACACCCCCCCTTCAGCCGCCCCCACCTTGTACCCCGCCGCCTCCATCGCATCAAGTTCCCGCAGCCACCCTGGCTCCTCCTCACTCCCCCCTCCTGCTGCTGCTGCCCCTCCTCCCCCTCCTCCTCCTTCCCCTCCTCCCCCTCCTCCGCCCAGCCTCTCCCTCAGGCTGCGGATCAGCGCTGCGTCCCGCTCACTCAGCCGCTGCAGGTGCTCCTCCGCCACCGCAGCCAGCTGCCGGGAGCGGAGGCCCAGCCAGCGCAGACCGGGAAGCGGGTGGCTGAGGGGGCGGAGGGGTGGGTGGGCAGGGGCGGGGCGGGGTTACAGACAGTAACGGTTGGGTGGATGAAGAGGAGGGGGCAGGGGTTAACGCAATGAGCAACGGAAAACTGCTGAACAGCCCCTGCCCCAGAAGCGACCCTGTCGGGCCATTCCCCATCCCCATCCCACCCTCCCGGCCTCCCTTCCCCCACGAAGCCTCGTCATCCAGTTCGTCAGGTTTCTTTATTTTTACCTCCCCCCCATTGCATTGCCCTAACTTGTGGTCTCTCCTATGATTCGGTATGGTCTTTGACCCCCTCCCCGCCACTCACGCGCGCCCCTCCGCCCCCAGCCGATCGCTGCCGTACTTGTAGGTGGCCAGGATGAGCACCCCCGCGGGGTTGAAATCAACCAGACCCAGCGGCTGGGGGAGGGTTGAAATAAGGAAGGGAGGGGGGAGGGAGCGTGGAGGGGGCGGTGAAGTCCTAGTAGAAGCGAAGCACTGTGAGGGTGGCGGTTCTGTGAGGGTGGCGGGTGAGGTTGCGGATGCTTGCAGCATGAGGGCAGCGGACTGCGCAGGTGTGGGTTGCTAATGGGGGGGGAAGGGTAAGTATGACCGCGAGGAGAGGACGTGCGGAGGTGCCTACCTGCTCTCCCATGTTCCGTCTGCCCTGCCCTGCCAGCCCCACCCAGCCCCTCCCACCCGCTGCGGGTACTTAAGACGCTGGTTTCTCTACCCATCCACGCATCCAGCGCACCCCTCCCGCACCCCCCTCCCGCACCGCGCTTTCCCCCGTCCTATGGTTTGGTATGGTCTTTGACCCCCCACACCCACCTGCAGCCTGGGAGGCGGGAACGCGGCTGCCAGTCGCGACACGAAGGCGCGTGTGGCCAGATCAGGCATGCCGCGAGCCGTGACCAGCACGCAGGGGACTGCGCGAGGGAGGGTGGGGAAGAGATGTACCAGAACCACAGGTTAGGGCAAAACAATGTGCATGGGGGGGGAAGAGGAAAATGACGAGCTCACTTTCTCTCCCCTCCCTTCAATTTTCATTTCTTTTCCCCATCCCTCCATCCCGCCTCCCTCCTGCTTTCCTTATTTCCCCCTCCCCCCCTGCTCACTGTGCTCCCAGATGCGCTCCTCCGCCAGCCGCTGGAACACCGCGTCCTTCTCAACAACTAGCAGGTACACCGGCGGGCAGCCGCCGCCAGCAGCACTGGCAACACCACTGCCGTACCCAACACCAGCGCCGTACCCCGCAGCTGCTACACCACCGGCATCACTACCAGCACCAGCAGCAGCAACCGGCGGCATGAGCTGCAGTCCGAATGCGGCGATGGTGGCCAGGTCGCCGGGGAGCGCACGGCCCGAGGGTCCTGGCGGGGGGGGTCAAACCGGGCGGGGGGGAGGCGGGGAAGGCAGGGGAATCGAGGAGGATCCATCAAAGAGAGCAAACGAGTGGCTCCGTACATACATTATTCCTCCCCCCCAACCCCCTACCCCCACCCCCAACAACCCATGGTGAAGACTCGTCCCCCGTGCCTCTAGGATAGTGTCTCCGAATGCGCTCACTGCATGAGTCAGGATATGGGATTGGGACTTGCTGTTTCATTTTTTTATTTTTCCTCCACCCACCCCACCCACCCGCGGTGCTGCAGTCCAGCCAAGGTGAGGCGGGTCCCTCCCGCAGCCGCAGCCGCCCCGCCACCGCGCCCCGCCCCGCACACGTCACCCCCAGCCGGCTGCGCGGCACGCGGGACAGCGCGGATGCGTCCGCGATGGCGGAGTTGACGTCGCGCGGGGAGGCGAACAGCGGCGGCTTGAGCAGCTGGGGGTGCGGGTGGGGGTGAGGGCGGGTGGGGGTGAGGGCGGGTGGGGGTGAGGGCGGGTGGGGGTGAGGGCGGGTGGGGGTGAGGGCGGGTGGGGGTGAGGGTGCAGGCGGCGGAAAGTGAGGGAGGTGAGGAGAGGTGATTGGCGATGTGGGTCGGAGGCCAACTGGGATGAGAGCGGGCTGCCGTTCTAGGGCAGCTGGAGCATGAGGAGGCACTTGACAGGTGCCTGTTCACCCCGTCCTGCCTGCCTGCCCGCCCTGCTTACCAGGTAGTAGAGGTCTCGCTGGGTGGCCTGGCGCCCCTGCCGCAGCAGGTCGTGCACGGTGCTGAGAACCACAAGAGCTGCGGATGAGGGCGGCCAGGAGCGAGGAAGTAATGAGGGAGGCAAAGCGGCGATGCAACAAGCCGGAAGGATTTTAGGAGTTTAGGAATTGCTTGACTGCTTGGTTAATTGTTGCGGTCAACTTTGGAAAGTGCTTCTACGATGCTCTTCTTCGACAGGCACAGCTGTAATTTGCGCGCTTTGCTAGAGCCGGTGGTTGTTCCGGAGTGGCGCAGACTGAACAGCAGGAAGCAGCTCGAGGATGCAAGCAACGAAGTAATGCCAGGCTAGCCCAGCAGGCTAGTCCTCGCAGCTGTCGCACCTCTTGCATAGGAAAGGGCTCCTGCTCCTTGGTTGTGTAAAAGCGACCTCGTGGTCTCGGGCTCTTCGCCGTCTTCGCCAGCAGCGGCTTGAGCAGTAACAGCTGCTGCTGCTCGTGCTCGGTTGCGAGCAGGACCGCGAGAGGCGAGCTGCAGTGAAGGGACGCGACCCTCAGCCAGCTCCCCAACGAGGCTTTCTACGACGGACTCAATCCGAGCTAGCACGTTGCTGGCATCCAGGCCCAAAGCATCTGGTGTGACCGCGGAAGGGCGTCCTAAGGTTGTTCGCTCGCCAATGAACATCTTTTCCGTAGGCGCATATACGAACCCAAATGCTTGTTTCTGTCCCTAATCCAGAAGTCGAGCTCGCTAGATGAAAGTAGTCGCGAAGGGCTAACAGTTGTTTGGTCTAGTTGCTTCCCGCTCGCTCCGGAGCCACAGCCTTCCTTTGCCGAGCGGTTGAAAGCAGCCAGCACATGCTCTAGGCGGACTTTAGAATACCCGCATATGCAAAGGGAATGTTGATGCTGCTGTATAATATGGCGAGGGTAAATGTGTACGCCCCACCTCCCACGTACTCGTGGGGTGCATGGGGGCCTACTAAAGCCGCAACCAGTACCCATGATGAGTATAACAATGATAGTAGGTATTAAAAGGGTCTTATTGAATGCCTCAATAGTCCTCCCATAGTTGTCAGCCTTGCAACACGGCCTTTGAGATCCAAGACGGCGGGGACTAGTACGGTGGTTACCCACGTTGACCCCGCGCAAAAAATAGCCATATAGGTTATGCATATTTCATGATTAGCCTTGGTAGCGTTGCCCGAATTCTTTGGTGTATTTTCCTGTGTAACTACATTTGGGAGCACAGGTAGTATTACGCCTCCTAAGCTGTGACCTCAAGTATTTTTAGATAGCGAACAACGAAACATGAGAAGGATTGTGGTAGGCTCGGTTCGGCTTTTGCATTCCGCAGCAGCGGCGGGCGTCGGCGATGCTAGCCGACGAGCAGGCTTAGGCTCAGGTCCGAAAACAGCAACTTATCTGGCCAGCTATAGTCTAGTCATGTTCTTACCTAACGCTGTTCGCTTTGACCTTCGCTCTGTAGGCGTTTGTAAACTGCGGGCAGCAAGCCGCTGGCAGTTGCCTGCGCAAGATGCCGACAAGCATTATTCATTACCTGGATTCCACTCGGCACACACATCTGCTGTGGAGCCAGTAGGTAGGCCTTCATGCCTACCTGCATGTTGAGCCGTATAGGTCAAGGTCCAGCGGCACCGTGACGGCGATCGCAATGCTTCAATGACACGAGTTGTACTGTCAAAAAGCAAGTCCGTTTGTTCCTGCCCTCTTACCGCAGACCCCTCACCACCTGGAGAGACGACCCCACATCGGCACCATCCCGCGCCGACTCCTGCGGAAACAGGAGGGCCCCTTGCAAAGTATGGTGCGGGCTTGCAAGCCGGATACTATCGACCTGATCCTCGTCAGAAGCTTACGATACAAATGCTGCAGGTGGGCACCTGACCTGCACGCATGCGGCCTGCACCCAACCTCTTCATGTCGCTCACAAACCTCCTCCACATTCCCCATTCCACACACAGGAGCTCTATGACGCGTTGCAAAAGGCAAGTGCGTCGCACCAGTTGCCAGGTCAGCAATCCCAGCGATCCCGGCGACGACCGTCTGGCCTCACAATGGTTGACCACGTAGGCGGCGAGGAGGAAGCCTCGGAAAGCGGCCGGGAAGCAACAACCAGCAGCAGCAGCGGGTTTTCCTGGCTGACTAAGAGCCTTGGGCGTGCGTTTGGCGGTGGCGGGAAAGGCAGCAGCGGCAACGGCGGGAGTAAAGGATCGGCGGGTGGCGAGGGGGAGTCCTCGGAGCCGCCAGTACGGGGCCTGTACATGTACGGCGGAGTGGGGGTCGGCAAGACCATGCTGATGGACCTGTTCGTGACCACGGCACCCACACACTTCAAGGTGTGTGTATATCTTGGTTGGGATCTGGGATGTGATCTGGGCTACCTGGTGAATGCATTTCCGGCGTACATTAAATTCTTACACCCAAACGAAAGGTGGATGCAGTGGATGCAGTGTGCACTGTGCACTGTATGGCCCATGCAACTGCACTTGCATAAGGGTTAGTCGAATGGGGGCTCTGGTAGGATTAGAAGGCAGTATCATGGCAGATGGGCTTCCTGGCATGCAGACGTGCCTCCAGGTGTCGTATGCCTTGCACGCCAGTAGCTTATAGGGATGCGGCACACACCTAATGGCGTGCGGGGCTGCCTCCCCCTCGCGCAGCTCACTGCCGCATCCCACAGCAGGGTTGCTTACCGTCCGGCTCACTTTGCCCCTGATTCTGATTTACCCACGGGTTAGGGGTCATTCTTACCGGGCTCAAAACGAATAGTTTGGCTTCGCCACCCATAGCTTCCTTCAGTGCACAAACCAACTGCAAAAGCGGTTAGGTCCCGACACGGGTTTGGCTGGGTAAGGGGCACTACGCGACTACGGCCGCGTAGGGGATGTAGAAGTATGCCAACTTGTACATGCAAACGCTTGTCAGGAGTTATGGGGATGCGGCATAAACATGGGCGTGCGGGGCTATTTCCCTTCACGCATAAAACTGCCGCGTCCGATAGCAGGGTTGCTTACCGCCCGGCTCACTTTGCCCCTGGTTCTGGTTGACCCACGGGTTAGGGGTCATTCTTACCGGGCACAACACGTAACACCTTGACTCCGCGTGCACCCTCATTCAGCACTACGGTCCCGGCCACACGCATAGACTTGCATGTCGGTCGTGTCTTTAGCATACGGCTTGGCTTGGCAGTTGGTGTGGGGATGCGGCACAAACACAGGCGTGGGGCCACCTCCTCCGCATGCCAGAGATTGCCGCGTCCCATATCAGGGTCGCTTACCGTCCGGCTCACTTTGCCCCTGAAGCTGTTGACCCACGGGTCAGGGGTCATTCTTACCGGGCACAACACGAATAGTTTGGCTTAGCCACTAACCGTTTGCCAGATTACTTGTACAATACCTACACGGCTTGGCATCGGTTATGGGGATGCGGCATAAACATGGGCGTGCGGGCTCTTTTTTCCCTTCACGCATAAGACTGCCGCGTCCCATAGCAGGGTGGCTTACCGCCCGGCTCACTTTGCCCCTGAATTCGACTGACCCACGGGTCAGGGGTCATTCTTACCGGGCACAACACGAATAGGTTGGCTTCGCCATCGATCGTTTGTCAGATTGCTTGTACACTACACGGCTTGGCATGGGTTTTTGGGATGAAGCGTATACGTGGGCGTGCGGGGCTCTCTTCCCTGCACGCATAAGACTGCCGCGTCCCATATTAGGGTTGCTTACTATCCGGCTCACTTTGCCCCTGAATCCGACTGACCCACGGGTCAGGGGTCATTCTTACCGGGCACACCATGTACGCTCATGACACACACGCCACTACCCGTCCATGCCCCCCATCCTCACTATAACCACGGCCAGGCTACCCACCTTTCCCTATCTCCTCCTCCCTCACCTCAATCTCCCCCTCTCTCTCGTCCCCCATCCACCCGCCCCCGCTGCCCTCCCCCCCAGGTCCTCCGCACCCACTTCCACGACTTCATGCTGGAGGTGCACGCCGCCTTGCGCCGCCACGCCCGCTCCGCCGACCCCCTCCTCATGGTAGCCGACGGCATCGCCTCCCGCGCCCGCGTCCTCGCCTTGGACGAGCTCTTTGTAACCGACGTGGCGGACGCCATGATCCTCAACCGCCTGTTCGGGCGGCTGTGGGACCGCGGCGTGGTGCTGCTGGCCACCAGCAACCGCCCGCCGGACGACCTGTACAAGGGCGGTCTGCAGCGCAACCTCTTCATGCCCTTCATTCACCGGCTCAAGGTGCAGTGCCGGGCGCATGACATGGAGAGCACTACGGACTACCGCCGCCTGGCGCATCACCAACGCGGACTGTACTTCATAACACCTCGGGGGTCTGCGTCCTCGTCATCATCCTCGTCACCGTCGTCGTCACCGTCTAGCAGCCATGCATCCTCATCAGGCGCATCCGCAACGTCCTCCTCCTCCTCTTTACCGGGCGGCGCCAGCACCAGCAGCAGCAGCAGCAGTGACCCGCTGATGGAGCGGTTCCTGGAGCTGGCGGGGGAGGGGGCGGAGGCGCCCGCTCCTGCGCGGGTGGAGGTGATGATGGGGCGATCGCTGGAGGTGCCTCTGGCTGCGGGTGAGGGGGACGGGGTGAAAATAAGGAAATGGACGAAATGAAAGACGAGGCTGATAGGGGAGAGGGGGGCGGCGGCGGGAGTGGCGAGGGCGATGGCGGGGATGAGGAGCGGGCAGGTGTGGCGAGTATCTCAACGGGTAGAGGGGTAGAGGGGCGGGGGTAAGCAAAGAAGAAAGAAGGGGCTGGGGCCCATAACGCGTGAGGGAAACAAAGTATCCCGCATCCCGTCAAGGTCGCCTCCTTTCCTTCCCTTCCCTTCCCTCCCTCCGTTCACCCTGTCTCCTCCCCGGCTCCCTCGTTTTGCCCTCTTAATCCCCTCGCATGCTTCCTCTTCTTTTCCCCGCCTCCCTTTCACCCTCCCTCCGCTCCTCCTCCTCTCCCCTCCCCCTCGTCAGTTCCCTTACTTCCAATCCCCGTCCCCGCCCTCCCGCCCCCCCCAGGCAAGGTGTGCATGTTCCCCTTCCAGGAGCTCTGCGGTCGCCCGGTGGCCGCCGCGGACTACCTGGCACTCACGGGGGGCTACCACACGCTGGCGCTGCGGGGGGTGCCGGTGTTCGGGGCGCACAACCGCAGCGAGGCGTACCGCTTCGTGACGCTGATTGACGTCATGTATGAGAACAGGTGGGGGGGGGCGGAGGCGGAGGTGGCGGGAGAGGGTGAGGAAAGGGAGGGGAGTCAAAGACCATACCTAACCAAAAAAGGGAGGGGGGGTCAGAGATGTACCAAACCACAGGTTGGGGCAAAGCAATGGGGGTCACGGCTGCATGAGGAGGCCCTGGCAGGAGGAGGGTGGCCGGGTGATAAGTTCCTCGCCTTTTGCCTCTTCTGCTTGTAATCGCTTGCCTCTTCGACGACACGAGCCTTAATACGCATGTGCCTAAGGAGCTCATAGCATTCCCCGCCGGTCCTATAACTTCACCCCATTCCCACATGCAACCACCCTCCCGCCTCCCTTCTGTGCCCCCCTCCTCCCCCGCAGGACCCGGCTGCTGGTGACTGCCGACGCCGCCCCGGTCGACCTCTTCGACAACATCCTCACCCAGTTTGACGCCGCCAAGAACCCAGCGCTGGCCGCCCGCCCCGACGCGGTGGTGGATGACAATCTGGGTTTCGCCAAGGACCGCACCATCAGCCGGCTCACGGAGATGCAGAGTGTGGAGTACCTGCTGCACCATGCCAAGCAGCACGAGCCGGCGCTGGTGCTGGCGCTGCAGGTGGGGATGAGGGTGGGGGGGAGGGAGAAGTATACCCAATGTGTTGAATGAGAATGGCAAACAAGCCGACGGGCTTCTATGTGCTCTGCCCTGGATGTGCGGTCCTATTGTAGTACTACATTGCATGCATGCTGAAGCGCCCCAATCGTATCCCTCTCCCTCTCCCTGCTGATGTTGTTGTTGTTGTTGCGGTGGTGGTGGTGGTGCTGGTGGCTGCAGGAGCTCCAGGCGCAGCAGCGGAGTGCGGCGGAGGCGGCGGCGGTGGGGGCGGTGGGCGCTGCGGCGGCGACCGCAGGGCACTGAGGCCATGCGTTGGAGGGCAATGCTGGGGGTTTCTCTTCAAACAGCTGCTTTTTTGCTCGCTTTGGCGCAACGGGCAGCTGGGACGGCGGTCATTGGCTCACTGGAGGACACACGGACTGTTTCACTCTTCCACTTCCTTCCACTTGAGCCGGTGGCCGCGGAAGCCGCTGTTTGTGTTTTTACCACCTCGGGAACTTCGGGAACTAGCAGGAGTGGTGAGCGTGTGGCGGGACGCTTGGTTGACACTTTCTTGGACACGCTTTTGCTTGACTTGGATCGCACCGGTGATCAGGCAGCCGCCCGGTCTGTGCTCGGTTGTGTTGGGATGACGGCTTTTGCGTGTTGTGGCACTTAGGCATTGTGGCGCGACTGGGCGCTGGGTGTGTGGAGGGCAGGCGGAGGAGGGTCCACTTACAATTACAGTCTCTCTATTATAGCTTTGCCGATAAACTGGACGTTACCGGTAGCCATGCAAGTGAAATGCGGTGCTGGTGCTGGTGCTGGCTGCTGGGGTGGTGCCCCGTGTGTCCTACGAGTGACGTAAGACGGTGGGGGGCATCAATTGTGAAGCCTCCCCCCGGTATGTATTTGGCGTTAAAGGTGGCCTCACAAGGTCGTTTACTCTTACTCGTGCCTGGGACGTGAGCATGAAAACACAGTGCTCATGTCGGGGCAGTGCCGGTGCCGGAACATGCCGGATGCCTTATCACACGGTCAGTTAGACGTTTCCTCTTTACACCCTTGCTAAGTTACAACAACCCAGTAAGCACAAGCGCCAAAATGCATTCAGTCCAAGCCATTGGCTCTCCGTTAGTCCTGTATGTGAGGCGAACAGGGATTGCAGTGATCGGTGCTGCGTAGTGGTGTGCTAAGGAGTTGCAAGCAGTTGCTGTAACCGGTGAATAAGCAAGGTGATACAGCAAACGGTGCCTTAGTCGCGTGTAGGCTCTTTACGAGGGGCGCGAGCGTAACGAATGTGTTGTTGTTTGCTGACGAGGTGGTGAGAGAGCGAGTCTGAAAGAGCTGCTGGGTTGGGCGTTGATGGTCATGCTCGTGGTGGAGCGGGAGATGGGCGCATGCGCGTGCAGGATTGCGCAGCTTCGGGCCCTGATGTTCTCCGTCCTAGCTACGGGACGGGAGAGGTTACCGGTATCTAGCTGGCATGGCATGGGCAATTGGGCATGCTATATCGTTTGTATGCCAACTGTAACAAGTTACGAAGTGTCAAGTGCTTTTGCTTACCGGTATCCAAAGTCCAGGCACTAATTACATTACCGCCGTTGGCTACGTGGCGACTTAATAGGTACCGATAATTGAGGGGTTAGATCATTGGCAGTAAGGGAGCATGCTGAGGGTGAGCACTGTTTCCGTACTTTCTGCCTATTACAGCATTTGGCTGCGCTCATGCCTTCTGTCATGATAAGGTCTCCATAACGTCTCCAAGACTACCAATCAAGGCCACATCGATGGCTGTCTTTAACACAGCACCACCCACCAAGCAAGTTCGTGTCAAGTCACCCAGAGTTGCGCCACAGCTGTGCCTCAATTGACAACTCAGCCAACGCGCTTTCAGTACTCCCTTTTGATGCCATTATCGACATCATACAATAGCCAAGTAGACATCCGAACCATGAACGCATTTTGGGTATATAAAGAGGATGTTACGTTCATGCATGCACTCCCATGCACCCCAAACCACACTCAGCAGCCGGAGCGGAATCCCAGCCAGCCGTCACCCTGCCGGTCGTCACGCTGTTTCACATGCACACGACATATACCTATTAGTAAGTATTCACTAGGACGCCAGCAATGACAACAGTGTTCACTACACCGAGTTCCTACTCCCAAGGTCCCTATACCCTGCAGCCGAACAGCGCAACCCCCCCACAACAGCTCAGCTGCAGCAGCATGTCTCGCAAAGAGCTAAACCCGCCATCCTCCCCCCCCCTACCCTGCATGCCGACTGGTCGCGCACGCACGAAATGAATCCTCCTGCCTTTCATCAACAGCACATGACAAACTGCCGGACATCATGACCCCCTTACGCCGATTGCTTGCCGCGCCCAAGCTTGGATCGTAGCGTTAGCGCAAAGCGACTGAGCCAGTTCTCTTGCTGCTCCCCAGCAATGTCGAACGCCGCCCTGCCGCCCTCCAAATCCGCAGCGCCCCCCTTGTCGCTGTCTGGGACCTTCTCGCTGCTGTCGCGCGCCCGCTTGGGTCGCAGCGGCTCTCGGTACTTGCTGACGGGGGCCATGATGATGGTGTAGAACTGCAGTGAGGGAGGGAAGAGAGAGGAAGGGAACAGCGGGTTCAGTGGGGGAGGAGAAATCAAGACAGGGGAATAGCGGTTGCAACAATTGAGCAACAATAGGGGATAGCGACAGAGTCCAATGCCCAGCTGGGATTGCGGCAGCTGTACGTACCTGATATGCGACGGTCCCGATAATGCCCAGCCCGCCTATGACGGTGATTAACACCGTGAATACCGTGCCGTAGTACCGAGGACCTGCGGGCAGAGAACGACAGACGTGGAAAAACACACCGGATCAGGAAAGGGTACGGTTTGTTGGTGTTCCCGGCATGATGTTTATGTCATCGTGCATCGCATGATGAATACCACTCACAGCAGCCCTGACATCATGCTTTGCTGCTGTCGACGCTTACATGCAAAATGACGCTTAAATGCAACGCGGGGGGACGTACGGCAGCAAAAGGCAGCAACTTACGGTCATAAAAGTTGTTCACTTGAAGCGTCCCGACGATGGCTCCCGCCTTGTTGTTGATGATCACAAAGCAAGTCTCGTCGTACAACACCAACCCAAACATGCGCACGGAACAGGTCTTCTTGCCGCTGCATGAGGACTCTGCGCAGCGGGGCAGCGGGGCAGCGGAGCAGGAAAGCAGCAGCAGCAGCGGGACGTCAGCAGGTAAGCAAAACCCAAACAAGGTAACAGGATTCCTAACAGCTAGCAAACCTAACAACAGTAAGGGCGCCAATTCATGCCCATCACACGGTGCTGTTACGTGCTGTTACGTTCCGTTCCAAGTACGGACAGGCCTTATCACACATCCCGTCCCTTCCCTCGTCAACGTCAGGGGAGCCGCCTGGGCTGCTTCCCCGCTTCCCCGCCGCCCCTTATACGGCCTCGGGGCAGTACCACCGGCGGTTATACCGGCACCCGTACAGCCCCCATGTGAGCTGGCCCCAGGTGCAAAGCACAGACCCGCGTGATTCCTCCTCTCGCGCTTGTCGTACCTGGAAGCACGGGGCAGTTCTCCACAGTGGCGAGCTGTGGAATGGCGCAACCCTGAGCGGGGGCAGGGAAGGAGGATGTGGAGGACAATCATGGGCATCAGCGTAGGTAAGAAGCTCAGGACCGAACAGAGGCAGCGACAACACCTAAGCCGTACGCCGAGCGCCGTGAAAGGCCCTGGGGAGGGGTCCAAAGCAGCAGCCTGGTGTGTAGTTGAGCGGAAACAAGAGCAAGCATGGTGCCTTGTGTGTGTTAGGCATGCAGCCATCAGCAGCGCTCACCACCAGGTCTTTCTTCCGCATGAAGAAGCTGGTGGAGAAGTTGTTAGTGGCATGGTTGGACTTGAGCGTGTACAGCGTCTTGTGGGTGCTGTAGAAGCCGCACCAGTACCAAAGGCTCTGGCCGGGGATACTTTGGTTTACTGCGCATGGCGCAATCGGGGGGGGGGGAGCGTTACATGGTGGGTAGGTGGGGTTCATGGAAGACGCATGGGTTCATGGTTTCACGAGATGCATGGTTGTGGTGGGTGCACGGGGTACGTGGTGTGGACAGACGAACAAAATGGGCGAAGGTGTAGCAACCCAGGAAGGATCTCGGTTTCGGCAGGGAGTGCACACTTGCTCCTCGTGCGGGGAAGCCATTGGCAATGACTTACCAGCAACGCAAGTGCCCGGAACTGTCGAGTGTACGCGCCACACCGCGCCATTGTAATCAGGGTGAGGGGTTGAGAGCGGGGACAATAGGAGGGAAAATTAAAGGCCGCGGTCTCCGTATATCACGTAAGCGAGAGAGTAAGAGAGGACATGTACGCGACGCGTCGTGCAACGCGACGAAATTACATGAGGACGCCGTCAAGGAGTTGGACCAGTCCATCAGGCCATCTCGCCATCAAAAAGCTTGGAGACGTAAATTGTTCCGTTCGTTGGGCGCGTATAGTAAGCGCGTAACTTAAACATATGTCAACCAAGTTCTGAAAAAGACCATCCCGCGCCTTTGGCAATCGACCACCAATCCGCGCACCTTTGCAGTCCGCATCTGGTGGGTCGTGGCTGGCAACGAGAGGCGCTTGTACTGTTTTTGTCAGATTGTACTTCGCGCCATGGCAAACACTGCTATGACAAAGATTGACGTGAGCTCAGTCATGCTTTCAACCCTTGCCGGAAACATAATTTTGCAAAAAAACTTAATCAACCTCACCCGAAAACTAAAAGAAGAGTAAGAAGAGAAAGGCTGGAACCCCTCATTCCTGTATTGAGTCAGGACCACTTGCGCCTCGCTATGAGTATGTTCGTCTGGTTCGACTGTGCGAGCTATAATGATGAAATGAGTATTCCCCTGTATTTACTTTCTGGCCTCCGTCGTGGTGATGGCCTGGCCTACTAGCCAGGCCTGGAGGCCAAAACGTTGGTTAACAGTTGCATCGTCAAGTACTATACGGCGGTCATATTTATCCCTTAAGGTTCGTAGGACAGCAAATGTGGGGGTGACTTGGGGTAGGGGATAGAGGTATACAGTTTGATCGATCGGTTTGGCGGTCTGACGGGTGGCTATCAACTTGCGCCAGGCTCGCCTAAGTCCCTAGGAAGCGTCGCTTGCATAAGAAGAGCTACTCAATGTGTCTAAACTTGTCTTGCTTGGCCACTCATACAAGTAGTCGTTATAATAAGAGAGCTGAGACCTGTCGTACGTAACGCTTCTTTAGATAGATCTTGGCAGGACTGGCTGGGGAAGTACTACTGCATGTTCCGCCTACTCCGCATACTAAAAGGCCCAAAACGAGTGCACTCGTCGTGCTGACAAGCAAGTTTTCCTCACGCATGCGGACCCGGGGGCCTATTAGATTGAACATTCCTGGCATAGGTATACCGGTGCACAATACATGTAGGGGTGTACTCTGACGCTCAGTTGTGATGAGGCTAATGCACAAACCCTACTCTAAAAACGTTGATGTGGTACTTTATGCCTGCGATCTTGGCTTAAGATTAAACTTCATTCTTCGTTCTGACAACAGCTGAGCAGAGGTCATCCGTAGCTAATCGCATGACCTGTTGGTTGAGATCTTGCGACGGGAAGTTGTGAACAGCTTTAGTCACGAAGGTGCACGCTCGCGCTCTTTCCCCTAGTTAAAAGCCACCGTGGCGCTTGTACTTACAGCTTTGTAACAAACTGCAACGCGCTGGGTACACAACTAGGCATGTAAGTCGTGACTGAGTTGCGGCAAGTTTTAGCCAACGACCACACAACGTCACGTTTTGTTGTCCAACCCCGAAAGGAAATGTGCCTAGTGATAGAGATAGATAATGTTCAAAATATTGCTTTTCCCAGCCGCAATACGGCCTACGCGACGGCAGGCCAGGTATTCGAGGCCGCGAGGCCTGACGGATTGTACGACGCGATGTTTATTTCCGCCATGTATGCAACCGGATTGTTGCATCTTATTGAAGTAAACAAGTTTGTCGCATAGTGCTCAGAACAGTGATCACGATTTATGTTATAAGGGCTTAAGGGTACTCCTTCCACTTTGGTATAGTATGCGACGCCCTTCCTCAGCCGTCACCCCTGTGTCGGGTGACGGCCCATCACTTGATACACCACCATTCCTACCCCAGACTTCATCTACCCACTCATCCTCAGTCACAACATCTACATCACAACGGATGACCGTAAAGCGCGATGATAGCGACCGCTTAAGCTATCCATGGCAAGTGGATCAGCAGCCTGATATTGTGCGCGACAATTTCAAGGGCTTTTGGACAAACACCAAGGAAAGGTACGTCAGGCTCCTTCAACCGCCGCTCCATTTCAGCCCATCGATGGTATACCGAACAGCACAGCCTGTGCCAAATCAATGCGCTTACTGCTAATTCCTTCCAACCTTCAACATTTTAAAACATTTTTCCTTCCCTTCCAGCTACAAGCGCAAGGTCGAAACCTACACATGGCTGGACTGGCTAGGCTTTTTCCTTCCGTGCGTCCGTTGGCTACGCACCTACAAGATCAAGGAGTACTTGCTGGCTGACCTCGTGGCCGGCATCAGCGTGGGCTTCATGGTCGTACCGCAGGGCATGTCGTACGCTAACCTCGCGGGACTGCCCTCCGTGTACGGCTTGTACGGCGCCTTCCTGCCCTGCATCGCCTACGCCCTGGTGGGCAGCTCTCGACAGCTGGCGGTGGGCCCCGTGGCCGTCACCTCGCTGCTGATTGGATCCAAGCTGAAAGACATGGTTCCGGAGGCTGCCTCCATCAGCAACCCCAACGTGCTCACAGATGCCCAGGTAAGCGGCTTTCCTCGTCATGTGACAGCAAATGGCTCTTCCCGGCTTCCAGACCACATCCCTCCTGCCCCTGCCTCCCGCCCTGGCCCATGTTGGTTTCCTAACCCTGCCCCACCCTGCCCCCCCCCCCTGCCTCCCCCCGCAGGTTCCTATCCAGGAGCACTACAACCACCTCGCCATCCAGCTCGCCTTTCTGGTGGCCTGCCTGTACACCTCCGTGGGCGTGTTCAGGCTGGGCTTCGTCACCAACTTCCTGTCGCATGCGGTCATCGGCGGCTTCACCTCGGGAGCTGCCATCACCATCGGCCTCAGCCAGGTGGGTGGGGGTGCTAATAGAACTGGCCGCAAGTAGGAACGTACTGTGTGTGGGGGGGGGGGTCCAAAAAGGACCAGATCATAGGAAACCACGAAATAGGGATCTCACACCCCCACCCCTCCAGGCTCACGACCCCACATCCCGCCCCCCCCCCCAGGTCAAGTACATCCTGGGCTTCAGTGTGCCGCGCCAGGACCGGCTGCACGACCAGGCGCGCACCTACATCGAGAACTTCCACAACCTCAAGTGGCAGGTGGGTGGTGTCCCCTGCCTTGCTGCTGATCCCCTCTTGACCTCCCTATCAGCTGTTCTTACACGTTTTTTAATGCTAGAGCCGGGCCAGGGGATTTCGGGGTGTACTAGTGCTTCACTCCCTTCTTTACCCCCCCGCCCCGCCTCGCCCCGCGCAGGAATTCATCATGGGTACTGTCTTCCTGGCGCTGCTGACGGTGTTCAAGGAGGTGGGCAAGCGAAGCAAGCGCTTCCGCTGGCTGCGACCCATCGGGCCACTCACGGTGTGCATCCTGGGCCTTATCGCTGTGTACGCGGGTCACGTTGACGTGCGGGGCATCAAGGTGGTGGGCGCCATCAAGAAGGGACTGCCTACACCCACCATCAGCTGGTGGCTGCCCATGCCTGAGAGTGAGAGGGGAGGGAGGGTGGGAGGCGGAGGGAGGGTGGGAGGCGGAGGGAGGGTGGGAGGCGGAGGCGGAGGGTATTTGGCTTGATGGCGGATGTGGGTCGGGCTCAGACATTGTGTTTTTGCAGTCTTTGCAAGTGGGTCATTCTCGTCGGTCGTTATCGCTTCGGATGGAATCATGGAATCATGGAATCATGGGCGGAATCATGAACCTCACCCGCCTCTCTTTCCTCCCCTCTCCACCCCTCCCTCCGCCTAAAGTCAACAAGCTCTTCCCCACCGCCATCGTGGTGATGCTGGTGGATCTCCTGGAGTCCACCAGCATTGCTCGCGCCCTCGCCCGCAAGAACAAGTACGAGCTGGTGGCCAATCAGGAGATCGTGGGACTGGGCATCGCCAACTTTGCGGGCGCCATCTTCAACTGCTACACCACCACCGGCAGCTTCTCGCGGTCGGCGGTGAACAACGAGTCGGGTGAGAAGCGCGGATAGGATGAGACATGAGAGGCTGTGCGTTGGACTTTAAAAAGCTGGCCGCGAGGGGGAACTGGACTGGGTTGTTGGAAGGTGATGTGCGTCTGTTCGTGTCGGACTGGTTTGGGTTTGGCTGGTTTGGTTGTAGTGGGGTGGTTGTAGTGACGAAAGTGTGGGGAGCAAGGTATGGAAGGTGTTTGGGAAGCTGCCGTACTGCGTGCAAATGCTTAAGATCATCACCGCTGCCGCCGCCTGTCTCTTTCCCTTGCACCCGGCAGGCGCCAAGACGGGCCTGGCTTGCTTCGTGACTGCGTGGGTGGTGGGTTTCGTGCTCATCTTCCTGACGCCGGTGTTCGAGAAGCTGCCGTACTGCACGCTGGGGGCCATCGTTGTGAGCAGCGTGGTGGGGCTGCTGGACTACGAGCAGGCGATCTACCTGTTCAAGGTGCGGGGGAGGGGGGGGGGGCAGGAAGGAGGAGGAGGGGCGAGGAGGGGGGGCGCAGAGGAGGAGAGGAGCAGAGCGAGGGATCACTCACCGGAGACTGGAGCAAACGGGACCTGGGATACGTTTGTTCCTTGTACACTTACACGCACATAGGTGAGGGCAACAACTTACTCGAGTCTTTCCAAACTCTCTCCGTTTTCAAATCCAAGCCAATCTATTAACCCACAAACCGATCCAAATCGCAACCCGCAATGTGCACACCGTGCAGGTCAACAAGCTGGACTTCCTGGTATGGATGGCGTCCTTCTGCGGCGTGCTCTTCATCTCCATCGAGATCGGTCTGGGCATCGCAATCGGTCTTGCCGTACTCATCGTGATCTACGAATCCGCCTTCCCCCACATGGCGCTCGTGGGCCGCATCCCGGGTACGACGATCTGGCGCAACGTACAGCAGTACGCTCACGCGCAGCTGATGCCGGGCGTCATGGTTTGCCGTATCGACGCGCCCATCTACTTTGCCAACGTCACCTGGATCAAAGAGCGGTTGACGGCGTTCGAGCAGCAACACAGGGCCTGGAGCAATGACAAAGGTACGTGGGTCTATCTCCGCACTCCTTTCTTAAGCGCCCCTTACCTTTTTACGTTCCGCCGCGGCTCAATAACTACAACAGTAGTCGATCGGGTGTGCCAGTATGTGTAACAATATGCTTCACATCTGTCTTTGTAACCCACTCCTCCGCCTGTCCTCCTGTCCTCCTGTCCTCCATCCTCCCACTCAGGCATTCCCCTGGAGTACGCCATCCTCGACTTCTCTCCCGTTACCCACGTGGACGCCACTGCGGTACACATGATGGAGGAACTCATCGAGGCGCATGCGCATTGCGGCACGCAACTGCTCATCGCTAACCCCTCCGCCGCCGTGATCCGAGCCCTGGAGCTGGCCGGCGTGCTGGACATGTTGGGCCGGGAGTGGGTGTTTGTGAGCGTCAATGACGCGGTTAGCTTCTGCAGCAGGCAGATGGCGGAGCGGGGGCAGGCGACGGGGCTTCCTGAGACGGCAGTGAGCATTGCAGCGGTTGTGCCGGGGTCGTTGCCGCCGCTGCCGCCGCCGCCAAAGGTTACGGAGTAGAGATGGCTGGGGTGGTGGGGTGGGATTCAGTTGGTTGCTTCACAAACAGGTGCCTAGGGATGGAAGGACGGTTGGCGGGGGATTAGATAAACTGAGCCGCGGAAACACTGACCCTGACCGTAGGTTACCGGAAATTGCTTGATGGTGTTTTGGGTTGGTGGAGTTGGGAGGCGATATCACTACTGCTGCTGCTGAGCCAGGCCTCTTAACTGCGGTGATGGTGGTGGCGGCGGTGTTGGCTGGTAGCTCGAACATACAAAATTATGTCATGTCATATGACCACAAGTCGAGAACTGAGAAGAAAGATTCCCAGCGTGTAGGGTCCTCCTGTGTCACGCTGGGGCCTCAGCACTGCGATGCTTGTAGGACCGCTCGATCGTGTGTATTGCGGGAACGCCATAGCTAGCTTGCTGGGGATTGCTTCGTGTCCCTTTATTGCGTGATGAGCAGGGGTGCTTCTGTTTTCGTGATCCTTGACGACCCCCACGATATGGGAGTCGGATTGAAGCCGTGGTCTTGAAACGTAGGGTATGTGGGTGTGTATAACTCGAACCGGGGAATTTGAGGAAGGGACGCAAAGTGCGTTTCGTTGCGTGGCTCGACTAGCGTGCTGGTACATGCATGGCTATGATTTGCCTAGCAGTAGCATTTTCCGGGCATGTTGTTTGCGCATGTGACACTAGCGTGCATGTTAGGTTACAAAGGGCGGGGCGGGGACTGCGTATGGTTTGCCTTGATTGGGGCAAATGCAGAGCTGCCTGGGCGGTCTCCTGTAAGTTCGATAAACATTGCTACAAAGAGAGGATGACTTGCACCCCATGCCGCGTGCGCGGTCCGCGGTGCCCTACGCCCTTCGATTTGCATGGTCGTTAACTATTCCAGTTATCTGGGCGCCACATACAGGAGCCCCATTAGGAGGGCGTACCAAGATCGTGGGCCCCCAACTCTGCTACCGGTACCGGTATTATATTCACACCAACTGCAGGCTAATACCCACTCAGGTGCTGGGCGCGCTGGGCGCGCAAGACTTTCTCCGGCATATGGTGGGCCACAACGCAGCTGCAAAGATGTCAGGCCCCAACGCTGATTTGTGCCAGGCGTCGGCACCGGTCTGACACACAGGTTTGACACATGCACACGACAAAGAAGTTAGCTGGGAGACGTTAGCTGGGAGTAGTTAGCTGGCGCGTGCGGTACGGCACTAACGGTTTCGGAGTGCTCCCAAGGTGGGGCTACGAACTGGGGCTACGAACTGGTTGCTCCTTTCCCACTCTCCTTTCCCACTGTTTGAACGTGCAACACTCCGACTCTTCACGTCACAACGTTGCCCGATGAGATCATGCACTCGATGTGTCGAATGGGATCCTCTGCAAATGCAAATGTCGATGGGATCCTCTGCAAATGCACATCTTCATCCCATCCCTACTTCCATGACGTCCCCATTCCCTTCCCCCAGCGCCCGCTTGGCGCCTTCCCTTGCGAACGTAGGGCCCGAACAGCGCCACTGCTACCAGGTACCGCTGGGGCCCGACAGACCTACGAACTCTCCTAACCGACCCCAACGGTCTATCACTGCAAGTACCGGTGCAAGTGCTTGGCTTGCCACCGCTTCCTGCCCACGGGCACATTCTTTCCACCACCGCAGTATTACCAGCAACGCAGGAACGGACAGCGGAGGCCCGCTGACACACCGTCTGCCGTTGTCACTTGCCAGCCGTCGGTACATCGTTGCACGGCGTTCGTACGAGTACGACTTGTACAGTTGTACTACAAGCAGGCCGTTACATGTAATATCAGGCAGTTGCTGTACGGCAGCAGCTGTCCAGCTGTCGTATCATGGCAGCACTCCGCAGTCTGCGATTGTGACGTCCACGCGAGGTGAGCCGTCCGGACTTGCAGCCTCCGCATCTAACAAGAAGGAGAGGGAAGTCAATGAGGAGGTTAGAGAGGAACTAAACCATCGAGCAGGCGAAGGAGGGGAGGCGTTGAAGATGAGCCGCATGGGATTTAAATTCCAGTGCAGTCCAAGCTTCACTCCCTCTTCTTCTCCTTACCCCCCCACCTCCGAATGCGCTCACTGCATGAGTCGGGATATGGGATTGGGACTCGTTGTTTCACTTATATAATTTTTTCTCCCCACCTCACCTATGCGTGCCAGGATGTCGAGTCCCTCCAGGACCTTTCCGAACACAACGTGCTTGCCTGGGGCCGAGGAGGGTGGGTGGGCACATGTTGGGGGGTGGGTGTGAGCGTTACAGCTATTGCTACATGGGAAAGGCGGAGCGGGAAAGGGGGTGAAGAGGAAACAACTGACTGACTGAGTGATAAGGCGTAGGGGGGGACCGTAGTAGGATTGGAGTAAGGATGGTTGGCACTTTTGAGCAGAGGGCAAAAAGGACGGGCCTTCGTCTTTGCAGTATCTGACGTGGCCTTCACAGCTCTTGAGGTCGTAAGCCTCGTAACCCATGCATGCCGCATGAAAACCTCAGACCGCCTGCAGCACCCAGCACCCTCCCTCCCTGCATGCATGCGGCGCCTAGGCTGCTGCTCCCCTCCACCCCGCTGGCAGCCCGCAGCAGCAGCAGCAGTCCACCCACCGTCGCACTGGGGCGCAGCTGCGAGTGTGAAGAAGAACCTGAGGCAGCCGGGTGGGGCGACAGAAGGCAGGTGGGAACCGGGTGGGGCGACAGACGGCAGGTGGGAGCCGGGTGGGGCGACGTGCAGGGGTAAGTTAGATCTCCCTCCCCGCCTCGCTCCGCTTCGCCCTGGTTCAGTCCTTTCTCCTCGCCCTCCGCCCCCCTTGCTGTTCCCTTACTCCTTCCTCCCCGCACCTCGCCCAGGGCCAGTGTTTCCGCGGCTCAGTTTATCTACCCCCCACCCCAGCTCCCCGCCCCGCTCACTGGCTGGTGTTGGTGTTCTTGCCGCTGTTAGCCATGCTGAGCCAGCCCGCCCCCTCGTGCTTCAACTTCAGCCCCGGCTTCTCGTCATTGAACTGGCCGCCGTAGATGCTGTCTCCGCCGGAGCCGTCGCCTGCAGCAGGGAAGGTGGTGGTGCGGGTGCGGTGGAGTGCGGGTATTAGATAAACGGAGCCGCGAGAAACCACTGACCGTGCGGGTACGTGCGTTACAGGTGTGGTGGCGTGCGGCGGAGGGCGCCGTGCACCGGCCCACCCTAGCAGTGGCAGGGGAACCTAGGATGGCTTGCGGCGCGATAGCCCAACCGGCAGCGCCAGTGCCTCCCTTTGGGGCTGTTGTACCCTCTCTCCCCCGGAGCCGCGTCATGCCAGCATCCTACCGGCACCTTGGCCTGCTGCTGCTGCTGCTACAGCTGTTGCTGTAACCGCAACCGTACCCGCCGTTCTTCTGTACCCGCCACCCAACCCGAACGGCCCCACCTCGCACGATGTCGCCCCCCTGGCAGCAGAAGCCCTTAACTATCCGGTGGAACTTAGAGCCCTGGGATACGGCAGGAGGAGGAAGAGAGGATCGGCATTAGAGGAGGAAGCGACAGCATGCAACCACAGGACAAGTAGCAGCACATCGGGAAGCAGAGGGAGGAGAGGGAGGTGGAGGAGGGCGGGTGAAGGTCGCAAGGCATGTCAGGCAGCACGTGCAGGACTCGCGCCGCTCTCCTGGGTGGGTAGGCGGCGTGGGCAGATGGCGGTTTGTTCCCTCTTGCGTGCCTTGGGGGGTATACGCTGCACACCTTGTAGTGAAGGGGCTTCTTGCTAGCCTTGCCCAGCCCCTTTTCTCCTGTCAGCAAGCACCTGAAGTTCTCTACCGTCTTGGGTACCTGCGATGTGGTGGGTGACGCCGCGAAGAGGTGAGGGGGATGTTGTGAGGAAAGAGCGGCAGCAGAGAGACCCGGCAACCGCCCTTTCCTTAGCAGGGCATGGTCGTACAAGCTGCCTCGTACCTCCTTCTCAAAGAGCTCAATTACGATGCGGCCGGCACGTATAGGCGCCGGCTTTTTCGTTGAAGCCTCGCCTTTATTGGCCCACGTCGGGTCCGATGCGTAGGCTTCAAGAAGCGTGCTCGCGGCGTCCTCATCCAACTCCTCGACCTTGCCGCTTAGCCCGTACTGCATCAATCACAACGGCCATCGTAATGTAAATATATTTCTTTGGTACGGTAACTTTTAATTGCGAGAATGCTAGCCCAACCTGTGCGCCTACAGCCGACAGCCAATCGGATGCGCGTTGGTACGCAGCAAAGTCCGTCGCATAGCGAGCGGCATCGCCGATATCAATGTCAATGTATACTTTCATCTTGGCAACGGCGAGTGTGCTGGGCAAACGATGGATCACTTACCGGTACGCAAGTGCGAACGTACGGAACTGACAGGTGGGGCGGGATCGATGATGGTAGCGCAATCCCCATCCCATATTGCGACACCTCTCCCGGTATCACTGCGCAACTGCACAGTGCCGAGGAATTGGGGCGTCTTAGCTGGTTATGCTTTATTGTTGTATGCCTAGGACGGTACTCCACTGCCAGTTTGCGTATGTAAAGGTCGGAAAGCAGCGGTATCTCCATACGGCCTATGTCATGCGTGCCTGAGCGTGTTAAGTTATCCAACTGCACTTTGCGTTAGAAGGTGAGCTGTGCCCCACAGGTCAAGGCTTCGTTACCTGATAGTCCCCCTCAAACCCGACATGCTAGACCGGTTTTTACCATGTTGGGTTTAGCAACCTAGAAGTTCTTACAAACCGCTTCAAAGCATACCACTCCACGAATAAAACGTATTTGAGGTATGAAACAAACGATGTTCTCGATTGTACTCAAGTCATCCCCATACTTATACTAATCTTGCAACATACAAGTCCACGCACCAACTTGAGGAGAAAGGGTAGTAGCCCATTCCCAACTCGGCAGCACACACACGTCAGAAGCCCCAGGCTTTGCTAAACAACATTCGACAAACGTTTCAGCGGGTCAATCCGCAATGGTACACTCTTCATGATCGCGTAGCTAGCGCCAGATCAGCAATTTCAAGCAAGCATCCAGGCGACAGGGTGCCTGAGAGACGGCATCCCCAACAGTAGTGTGTCCGACCCAAAGCATTATGGGATCGGCCGAGAGATGCGAGAGGGGACGCCACCCTAGCATAAAGTACATCGTTCATACCCGGCGTTACGCAACCAGCGCACCATTGCGTCTTTATTGATGTGTAACCCCCATGAAAACATGGTAGGTCAAAATACCAAGCACGCTAATGAGAAAAATGGTACTGCTTCACAAAACCCGGGCTAGCACCTGGTGCATAATGCTGCTAACTGCTTCAGAAAGACCACTAAGGCACTTGGATAATTACACCGCACTTTCAAATCTAGAATGACACGCATAGCTAATGAATTCAATGCGCTAACGGTCCCACTGCATCACGCTCGCCCGCCCTTACTTCACAGGCCAGTTGAGGACGAAGCGCACCAATGAGGTGCACCTTGCCTCCGCCGTGTCTTGAAGCAACTGACGCTCAAAGCCAGGGCCAAGACAGAGCAAGAGAATCTAGAAAGGCCATCCGACTGTGGCCGTCGGCACGACGCGGCTCATGGTGCGTCAATGCGCGAACAAGCGGGAGAAGAAGTTCGGTCCCGTGAAGGTCTGAGACTGAGACCCCTTTCCATTAGATCCAAGCGAAAAGTCGTAGAAAGCCACCGCCGTAGGGCTGCGCAGCACATGGAAAAAACTGGTCAACTTTGCCTGTTCACAAAGCATAAACCGCAAATGTCAATGTTGCGCATAGAGCCAGACTTACCTGGTCGCGTAGAAGCAGTAAGAGTCCGCTGAAGAAGGAGGAAACGAGGATAACAAGCCACGTCAGCGTCCCGGTTGGCACAGACAAAACCAAAATATGCTAAAGTTCTTGCCTTGGGACTGTGGCAGAGCCGGTTGCTTCTGCGAGGATGTGGAGGTCGAGCTGCAGCGCGGGTTCGGGATGTCAATTGCTGCCGAACGGAACTCAGAAGAAGAGCTCGCCATGTTGCGTAGCAAACAAAGTATGAGAGGTTTGTAGACAGCGCAAGGAAGACTAGATGAACAGAGATCAAAGATTGCTTACAGGCAAAGTGTAAGACAAACATGCGCCTGGTCCTCATTTAACCAATCCAGTGTGGAAAATGCCGTACGGGAGTTGCAAGAAGATGACGAGACCTGTTGAATGCCTGAAAGCACCCATTTGGCTGCATGGCTGACTTGCGATATTACTCCTTACCTCCGCCATGCTTTACCGGGGGCTGTGGCTTGGTTACACCGTAAACGAGGCAACCTGCTAACAATATGTGCAGGCGTTAAAGCTAATCAACGTTATCCTAGTCCCCACTTGTCGTTAAACTATCGCTGCAACTGCGAATTGAATGTCACGATGCTAACAGAATGGCGGTTTCACATTCCTGCGCTCCGACAATGGCGAGGCAGAGCGTCTTACGTGAATCTATCATGGCATTTATATATAATCATAGATACAGGGTTGTAAAGTGTAGGCGATTGTTCATTTGCTAAACGTCCGATACGCAGCTCAACTCTTGGCATCTTGGGGGACGGCCGGCACGCACTAACTGCCGCGTAAGTGTCTGGGCATAAAACGCAAATCTAGGTCTGATCCCCCGAGACACGGTCGTTGCATTAAAAACCCTATAGCCTGTACATGTATAGACGTCTGCATGGGCACAGACATTGGCCCTAGATTGATGCACGATTGACCCTTGGGCCGGGTAACGCCACGGTTCTACCAATTCTGACAAGCCTCCGCTGGGCCATCCTTCCTGTGGCGTACCCTAGAAGGAATGTACATCAACTTACATGAGCTGTGCTTATTGTGGTAGATCGAAGCAGCCAATCCACATCAATTCCGCATACCTAAGTTTGCCACATGCATAATACGAGGCACAACCCTAAACTCCTCCTGCACGTCTTCAAACCCATCAGGCGACTTAGCGCCAACCCAGCGTAGCTCATTGCCCAGACGCCATACACAACCAGCGCTGACGCAAAGAACTTCCGCCTTCATTACCTAACAAAACAATCCTCTTATTTAGCATTATGCAAAACTTGGCACGAAACCTCGTGGCACATAAACAGGTTCCGTACAGCTTGCATGGTATGTCGGCCCTAATGGCGGGCACAGGACAGCACGAAGCTCAAAACGCGTGTAGTGAAAGCATAAACCGCGGTCTCATACTGGCGACATCAGTTATGAATTGAGCTCCATAAGTCCCACAACCCGCCGAGTGCAACACCCTATTAGCTCCCCCGTGCACCGCCACCCATTCCCACACCACATCCCACCAAAACCACCAATCAATGATAAACAGAGGAGACAAGGGATTGTGTGGTTCCGACACATATGCAACGCAACCAGACGAAGGATAGAATATACAAGGGCGCGCATCTAAGTTCCACATCAGGATCACCGAGGTCGCACAAGAAAAGCCTGGACAAGCAATACTTTTTATAAAACGGGGGATACATGCTGATCGTTGTCCTGCCAAGCGCCAAAACCCCGTCCGTCAATACTTAAAAACAGTCCCATGCACACAGACACAGCATTCATGTGGACGAGACTAAGCAACCCGCCCAATAGCACTACTGCCCTTAAAGCTTGGGAAAAGGTGTTAAGATACCGAGGCTGGGACAGCTCGGCTCAATTGCTCCCCCCCCCCACGAAAGCCGCTACAAAAGCAACGTGCACAGTCGGGATACACCCGAACTGCCGTTCGCCGAACCCTCAAGATAATCGCCGGGGTAACAAAATGCGACCATGCTTAACACCTATGCATGCAGGCCAGCAACCAGCCTTCCACCGCAAGGCCCTCTACTGGACATGTAAAGGTTTCCTCATGCCACCAAGTCCTTGACCCCCAAGGTACCACTGCAACCCGCCATGCTAGGCTGTATCGCCGCAGCTTCCCCACCACTGCCCGCAAGCCGGATGCAACTAGTCGAAGTTACCCAAAGGCATGTACCGTAACCACAGCCGCTATGCACGGCACGACATTCCGCGCCGCATGTAAACTCCATCACCACTTGCCCCCGGAGCACAGCCCAAGGGAAGCATGTGGACAGAAAAGCCAATCTTTCCCGGGCAGGGCACAAGGCAGGGCGGACAGGCCCTGCACCCCGCGCCCACTTTCCCTCCTAATCGCTACTACGCAAAGATGTGTAGCAAAGGGATGCAACCACTGAAGCCCGTCACGGCCAAACGGCATACACATGCGCAAGTACGGCAGTCTTCGCACGTGTAAACGAGAGTCCTGTCGTACAGCGCATACACGGACGACCTAGAAAGCCCCAAGCGCCAAAGGCGGTGCACAACACCATCTAGCAGCAAGGCATAAACACGGCTGTTAAGAGCGATACACTTAAGTACCCACGCAAACTACCCCAAACACACCCCATTCCTTTGATGATTGAGTTTCGCACGCCTCGCTCGTTACTCTTTGTACTACATTTGCCAAGCCCCCGCGTCGACGCACTGTCGAGCCAATGTAGGCCAGGCTTCTCGCGGCCAGTTTTCTGAACACAAGTAGGCCAGGCTAGTTGAGGCTCGATCCAACGGACGACGCGTCGTCATCGTCGTCGTCTTGGCGGCCCTTCTTGCCAGCGCCGATATCCAGCGGCGCCCGCATGTTGTCGCCAGAGGGCCGTCGAGGCGAGCCCTTGCCCCTGCCGTCCACAGACCGTGTCTGAGTGTTACCCGTGTCATCTTCCTCCTCACCTGGGGAGGCGCACATGGCAAAACCAAGGGCCACATAGATGGGTTGGTGTAAAACTCATTTTTTGTCGAAAACGGCGTAGCCATCGGCGAATTACGTAGATAGGAGGAAGTTAGGAGGGGATGGTCTGTTATAAGCAATAGCTATGTTGTCCAAACCAGCGACCGCTTGATGTTCAGGATGTGACCGCATGGGGTCGCAAGCAAGCGGGGCCGCAGAGCGGCATGCTGGAACGGCAATCAGCCAGGGCAGGCCGCATAACGCGGTAAGCACTGGCCTGCGTTGCTTTAGCGCGGGTATGACTCAATTGCATTCCACGGCGCGAAGGCAGGAGATGCCCCGCAGGAATGTGATCTTAAGGCCCACGCGTGTCATGCAGCGAACAACATCATGTGTGCCATGGCAGTGCAGCTGCACACAAAGGAGCTGCTTGCGGCTCATCACCGCGCCAGCCCTGCAATCTCATGCACGCGCGGCCATGACAACAGCACGCAACTTCTGCATACTATAGCGACAAAATGTGAAGCGCGAATGTGCACTGCCTGCGATGAACCAACACCACTTTCCTACACACACACAACTGTAACACGCCCCTACCCCACTGTGCCCGGCAATCCACCCCCCTCAGTCCTTGCCCGGGTCCTTACCCTTGCGTCGGCTGGTCATGGCTGACGCCACTAGCCCCTCCACATCCATCTCCGGCGGCAGCTGGCTCAGCAGCTCCGCCACCTGACGTGCCTCGATGGCGGTGCGGCGGATGAAGGGGCGGAACATGGCCACCAGGAACAACACCGCCATCAGCAGCGACAGCACGAACAGGATGACATGCGCCATGCGGACTTTGCCAAAGTTGGCGTTGGCGGCAGCTGGGCGCGGGGAGGGAGGTGCGAGAGGCAGGGGGTCAAAGGCGGAAGGAGAGTAGCGGTTGTTAGGACGCACTGCATTTGGGTTGCGGAAGGCGCAGAAGTGTGCAAGCGCGATGGGAAAGATGCCAAGGTCTGAGTGCCAGGGAGCCGCAGCGAAAAGGGTTGCGACATCTGAGGATGCGACGCCGGAGGGGGCCTTTCATAACGTACTTGTGTAGATGGTGTTGGCGGTCCATGATCCCTTGATGAGCTGGTGGTACGCCACGCGCCAGATGTAGTCGAAGCGCGTGCTGTTGAAGTTGATGTCGGAGTAGGCGTCGTTACCCAGCAGCAGCGCCTCCTCAATGAGGCGGCGAATCATGGGATCCAGGGCGTTCATGGAAACCTGGGCGTTTCAGGGGCGTTTGCAGGGGCGTTTGCGGGCAGCGCTTGCTTAGTGCGCCCGCGCGTGAGGTTACCATGCATACGCGGTCATATTGATTCCCTGGTGCCGCGTGTCATTAGCTAAGCGTTGGGAGAAAGATTCCCGGAACTGTAGTGCGCCATCAAATCTTCGCTTTCCTACTCAGCTCCTGCTTCAGAATGCCCGACACGCCCGTCCTTACCTCGTGGTACATGTGACCCTCGGGGAAGCACCATCGGTCCGCATCCTCCGTCACATAGCACACGTCCTTGCTGCGGAAGAACATCTCCGCCGGCGCAGCGCCGCTAAACAGAGTGCCCTTGGTATGCGAAAACGCCATCTCTGCGCGGTTTGGAACAAGGTTGGGACCGACATAAATTTCCTGATCAGGATGAGCCGTCAGGCAGGAGTTTTGCTTCCTTCTTTGCCTTTTTTACGCCATGCGCAAACCGCAGACAGGGTGACGTAAGAGCAACCACCACCACCACCCACACCAGGCGCCATGGCGCCAAGAATACATACCCGGCAGGTCGTCGCTGCCGTACAGCAGTGCGTCGTAGAACATTTCCAGGTCGGATTGCCGGATCAGCAGCTCCTGCTGCCACTTGGCCTTGGCGGCGTCATTGGTCTGGCTGATGACCTCCTGAGCGACGAACACGCAGCGGTTGATCTTGGTCTTGACGCGGTTGGCCACATCCAGGTTGACAAGCGGCTCGGACACCTGTCGTACAGAGGTACAGCTCATCAGGACAAGACCAGGAGATAAGCTCAGGGGATGTAGGGAGAAGGGCAGGAGTATGAAGCGTGGGTTACAAGGCGGTGACAAAGCAGCTCATGCACATGCAACATGCAATGCATTTAATCTTAGGAATTAGAATTTTAGTTAGAAGCTGACTGAACAGGCGACTTGAGCCCCAGGAGCTGTACCACCCGTAGCCAGGGTTGGCCGACATGAGCAGAACCTCTTTACCTTCTTCAACGTGAGGTAGGAAAACGTGTAGATGGCAATGACGACAGCACCCCACAATAAGAATGGAACGGTCAAGACTACGGTGTCCCGGTTGTCGCGTGTTAGCTTGCGCTTGCCGGTGTCCACGTTGCCCAGCGGCCCGGCATTGCCAAACAGGGTGGCGGGTGACAGTGCGCGCAGCGTTCGGCGCCATAGCGGTTGGGGCGACTCAGCTGCCTCACCCATGTCGACGACGACAGCTTTTGTTTTGATGCCAGGCAGGATGACAGGCTGCGCACATCAGCGTGGAGATGCAGCGGCAAAGTCAATACCGGTTATGAAACCTTGACTAAATCAAGAGGTTGCAGGATTGCAAAATTGTACCGCTGAATCGGTTGTATGGCTACTTAAGCGGGGGTTACCGTACCTTTCCCCCGTCATCATCGCCCTTGTTGTCGCCCTCTCCCTTGCCGTCTTTCCCTCCCGAGTCCTTGTTCTTCTCCTTATTGGCGTTGGCATCGTCACCGGCGTCGCTGTCACTGTCATTATCATCCTCGCCATCGACCTATGTGGATAGGTCCACGGCGAAATTGTGAAAATAAGCAAACGGAGCACGCAGGTCAACAAAGCCAAACACGAGACAGTCGCATGCTGCTAGACGCCCAACTCGGCGCTCACAATACCTAGCTCCACCACTACAGCCCCAGCCCCACGATGATGTCCCCACCTGCACGTGCTTGCTGGCCAAAGCGCGCAGGAAGCCGGTTGGGATGACCAGGAAGACGGAGTACAGCCCGTAGCGCTGCCGAGCCACCTGCGTGAGCAGAGCCCACATGTACAGCGCGGCAGCCCCGCACACAACGCAACCCTCGGCCACCAGCAGCCCAATGCCCAGCATGTTAACGCGGCCGACGCTGTCCCAGGTGCGCAGGACCATGCCGTTGAGGCTGTAACGGTAGCCGGAAGTCATGGACGTCGGGCCTGTGTAAAGGGGTATGGAATCAGATCAGAAGGGAGTTCAACATGCGCAGTCTTAAGTCCCCCCTGTCACGAGTAGGTGGAAGCGAGGAGTACCGGTAGTGTAGGAGGCAGGGCAGGTAGCGTAGCATCCGAGGTAGCACGGCTGTTTTAAGCGTAAGCTTGGCCCATAATGTGTTGCAGTCGTGATCAGTATGCAAGGGCCGGACACCTACCGTTCATGTTGACGTACTGCCAATCTCGATTAAGCAAGAAGTTGTTGAGGGTGTTATTGGCAATGAGGATGTGGTTGGAAACCAGCTCGCGGCCAGCAGCCAGGAAGGCGTTGCCCATGAGCCACAGGCTGTTTAGGGAGGACTGTGGAAAACAGGGCGGGCGAGATGGAGGCGACCCGTTATTCGAAAGACAAGAATGTAGCATGTATGCATGCATGCAACCCACGCATCCTTACGACGGCGACGGCCGCCAAAGAAAAAGTGCAGCTCTTGCCAGCTCTTGCAACCCCTGGCAGGCCAAGGAAAAGCAAGGCTGATGTACCTTGGAACTTTAGGGCTACCGGTATCCACAGGGCTATCCACGGGCTCAACTGTTGGCACGCAGGACCTCCAATCGCAGCTGCTTTCAGTACTTACAATGGTGTAGGGCACGCGAGTGTCGATGTACAAGGTCTCGTTAAGCGTGCGACCCTCCCAGATTGCTCCAAGCTCGTAGTTGTCGCCCAGGTGCCGAAGCTTGCCAAAGCCCAGGTAGAGACCCTGTTGGCACACAGGGGGACATGGCATGGCATGTTCACCCGTCAAGAGGGCCCTCAGAGCTGCGGTCCTCCCAACCATGAGCAACCTGCTTAGCCAGCTGCGGCAGTGGCACATACATGGGCTGAAGGCACGCAGATGACGTCACGACTACCATGCACCTAGCACCATGCACCGATTACCCGTTGACAATCCGAAACAATACTTCACATGAGAGGGTCGCACAAGCATAAAACACGTGTTGTCCCACGTCCCATGCTCCGCAAATCCTTGACACCGTCTGCCCCTCACCTGGTGCGCGTCCTCCATCGAGTTGATGGCCTCTGTCATGTCGCCCAAAATGATGTCCAAGTCGTCCCACGTGTACCACTCGGGATTGGTCTGGTTCGTGTAGATGTTGGACATGGCGCGAGACAAGATCGCCACGTCCAAACCGTGGGTTGACGCGTCCTGGAAACGCGACAAGCAAAAAACGACTTGCTAACTACAGGGAGTGCGTTGTGAACTACTACTGTGCAGAGGCATGCACAATAGGCTTCGCAAGACCCATGCCATGCGTGTACGGCAGCAGGACGGCATGCGTGTACCCATGCGTGTACGGCAGCAGCCTCACCTGCGTTGCGTCCACCTCCGTCACGTACTTCTTCTGGTTCTCCAGGAAAACCAGGAACAGCGCAAAGCACACGATGTGCACCAGCAGCAGAATGATGATGACGATGTAGGTGTGGCGGTGGTAACGCGTCAGGTCTGCCTTGGCCTTGGCAGACGACAGCAGCTTCATGAGCTTCTTGAAGCGGCGCCCGCGCTTGAAGTCGGTCTGGTAGCCGCCCACCTCGCTGCCCGACACCACCGAGGCGCCGTCTGCTTGGCTGCCAGACACACCCGATGCCTGGCATGGGCAAAAGAGTTGCCGGATGAGGGGCCAGGTAACCAAGAGGGAAGCGCGGAGGAGAGCCGCTCGCCCATCACTGTAATGGGCAGTACCGTGCACGCTGATACGGTAGAAGAGGCCACGGGCCATAGCAAGCAAGCAAGGTATAGATGATGCCTAAGCATGCATGTCTGTTCCAAAGCACGCCCCTCACCTGGTCATCGTCCACTTGGTTGCCCCATGCGCCGCCGCCACCGGCACCCCAGCCGCCGGCCGCCGGGTCCATCATCGCGTCCTCCTTCGCCTTGGCCTCCTCCTCCTCGCCGCCACCGCCGCTGCCGCCGCTGCCACTGTCGGACAAGGAGCCTGCGGGGTCGCCGGGTCACCGCCAGACGGTTACGCAGGCGCCATCATGCGATCAAGAGCATGAAACATATCCAAAACCCCAAAACCCCCAAAACAGCATTTTAGCCACCCATAACACAAAAAACACATTGAAGCTGAGGTAAAAGCAAGTGTCGCGCTACTGAATCCTCATCAATCCTCGGAGAGTGCGCACCCTCTTCGTCGGACTTGCCTCCGTCATCACTGCCGCCCTCCTGCTTTTCGCCTGTGGGGGATTGGGGCAGTGTGGCCTCTTTGCGACCGCCCTTGGCGTCCTTGTCGTCCTCATCGGCGCCGTCGCCGCCCAGGCCGGCCCACTTGACACCGCCCTTGGCGCTGGCGCTGATTGAGGTGTTAACAATCGCACGGCGGCCACCGCGGCTGGTCCTTGCATCCTGCAGGGATAAAAGTTTCGTTAGCCAAGGCAAGCAGCATAGGTAGTAGCTTTGTCGCGCATGGGATCAGAGTCATGAAACGCGTGGTGTCAGCAAGCGATAGGGCATTGTTCTTCCGAGACCGGAAGACAAACCTGTGAGGTGGCCAGCGCGCCGTCCTGTCCCCGTGTCACGTTCCGTATGCTCTCGCCGGCCAGCGTGCTGAGGAAGATCTCCGTGTTGCCCGTCCAGTATTGCGCAAAATTGAGCTTGATGTTGACACGCTTGTTCTCTTGCGCTACAGCCTGCGGGAAAAAATGGCGAGCCGACAGTCCATTAGCATACTACGGTAACAGCATAACATCTGACGTGATCAGAGGGGCTCCCGAACATCGACATATACTTCAGGGGCTTTGGGTGCTCGCCACGATACTCAAAAACCTTGCACGGACTCCTCAATTCCACATGCGCGTGTAGGAGCGCTACGGCAAGTAAGACGTACCGTCATGCGCAGCTGCAGGGGTTGACCGTCCTCATGAAAGCCCGTGATGGTGCGTGTGGGGCCGATCTTGCGACCCGTGGTTCCGGTCTTCATGGCTCCCTTGACCTTGTGGTCCGACAGCAGCCACTCCGAGTGCACGTTGTGCGGCACGTCCATGAACTGAGATATCTTACGCTTCAGCAAGACCTGGTTGGACACGCCAAAGCAGAGACCTGCGAAGCAAGGAATGCATGGGGGTGGTGCAGGAAAGGCCGGGGGACAGGTCAGCGGAGTGGCAGCTGCCAGGATGACACGGGATCACCACATGAGGAGAGTCAAGCTGTAGAATGGAGGAAACCCATGGCCTTGAAGCACAGCCATGGAAATTAAGACGGTGGAAAGAGCAGCTGGGGGCGAAGAGGTTAACGGGGCGGGCGGGAATGGGAGTAACATGAGTAGCATGTCACATGTCGCGGGACTAACCCGTGGGGTGCAGGACGCAGCAGTTGGGCTTGAGCACCACCATGTTGTGGTCCACCAGCACAACGCCCGTCACCATGTCAGCTTTGTTGAGGGAGATGGTGATCACCTGAGGGTGCGTGCAAGGCAGGGGAATGGGTGCGTCAGACTCCCTGCAGGATTTACAACAACTTCAAGAAACCACTACCGTATAACGGGAGAGTTCAGCTCTGTAACGAAGCTGGAGACGAGGTTTGTCTGCCATAGAGAAGGCTTCAGGAAAACAGGCCTTCCAAGAAGCCGCCCAATCCGCCTTCGCGTACCGCCTGTTCGCCCTCGTTTGCGGGCGCCTTGACCTCGAGCTGCATCAGCGCAGGGCGCGTGTTCTTGGCCAGGATTGCTTGCGCTACCGCGCTTGCGTTGGCCAGCGCTGCCTCGTCCACGGGCGGGTGCACGCCCACACGCCACGAGTAGCCCGGCTTCTCCGCTTGCTGCACGCGTCAGGGGCAACAGAGGGTGCGCTGTCACAAGGGGCGCAGTAGGCGAGGCTAAAAGACAGAGGCAACGCGACCTCAACGAGGCTCGACCACGACTCCGACTAGACCTACCACGGCAATCATCTTCTTAATGATGTCGGAGAGCTGCGAGCGGAGCGGCGACAGCACGTCCACGTACTCAGCAATGCTGTGGCCCACCATGGAGGCCGGCTTGATGCCAAACACGCCCATGGGCGTCTCCGAAACCGACAGGACCTGTGCGGGTGGCAAACAGCAATTGGAGACCGCGTCGCAGACAAAGGGGCACAAAACATATAATACTAGAAACGACACCGAAAATTGCATTCCGATTGAGGTTGAGATTGAAACACCCATGCTTTGCAAGGCTAGCGGTACACGTACCATGCCGTCCTCGTCAATCACAAGCGCTAGGCGCCGCTCGTCCAAGCCGCGTTCCCACGTCGAGAACTCAACGTTGACCACGTGCGTGATCACGTCGTTCTCCTCGCGGATGGAGAGGTGCGGCTTCACGGGGTGGGACTGCTTCTTGCTGTCCAGGAGGACCACCGTCGCAGCATTCCTGCAAAGCAATCACGTTACGTCGCACAAATCAAGTAAATATATGCACACCCAACGTGGTACCACCGGAAGAGGAAATGCGCCACTTCAAGTTCCAAGATATGATTCTTGTGAACTTCTGCATTCGCCCATCCACCTCAGTCGAATACCCAGTCCCAAAACCAAATAAACAGAAAGAAACACCCCCCTAACCGTCCCAGAACCGTACTCACCTGCAGCTCTGCAGCGGCACCTTGGCCGGCGGCTCCTTCATGTACTTGTAGTGCAGCATGGAGTAGGGGTGACTCATGAACTGGCTGATGTCCATCTTGACGGCCTGCTCGCACACACCGGCGCACGACAAATACGGATGTAAGTACAAGTACTGTAAAGCATGACACTCCTCAGCACTGAACTCATGAACAGCTGGAAGAATAAAACACTACCGAAATTGCAAAACACCCGTCCTGGGATATGTAGGGTTTAGGCGGGATGTAGCGGGATTATGACAGCAAGAAGCCGAGTGGTAGGGCTGTCCGCAGGGTAGGGGAGCAACCCTCGTCCCGGATCCCCCCGCGCGTACCTGCTTCGGCGTGTAGCCCAGTGCCGACGCGAGGTCGGTGTTCATGTACATGATGCGGCCCTTGTGGTCCGTCACCATCATGTTGCTCTGGTCGTTGCGCACGCGCTTCACGTGTACGACAAAGATGCGCTGGCTGTCCGTGCCACCAAGTGTAATCTGCATTCAACCCGTCAACCCGAACGGCCTTAGTACTACAACTTTCCAGCACGAACCTGATAAGACAGGCACCGCCCATTGAAAAAGCCAAGCAACCCAAACCAAGACCAAGTGCATGCAGCCACAGCGCGCGTCTGCAAAGCTGGCAAAGGGGGAAAGAAGAAGACCAGGTTTGTAGGGTAGGGTAGGAGGGTGCGCCTACCTTGAGCCTGCACGCCACCGGCTCCGTGTACTTGTGCAGGATGTGCACCTGCTCGCTGCTGACGCGGCCCTCCTGGAACTCAGCCTCCGTGGACGCGTTAGCCAGGTCCAGCAGCTTGATCAGCACGTCCTGTTGGTTGGTAAGGGGGGAAGGGCAGGAAGGGAGCAAAGAAGTCAAAGAAAGGCCGGACCCCTCGCAACCAGGATTGACGTGATCTCCGTTGCCAACCAATTAAAAGACCCACAACGGCAATAGCGCACGAGTGGCAGTTGTCAGGGAAGAAATACAGGAGTAAATAACGTAACCTCCACAATCATCCAGGTTACTTGTTCGGCACTCCGGTTTGGAATACATCTTCACCCCGGGCAGCACCTGCTCCGTTGCGAGTGTGTTGAAGGGGCGACCCACAAGCTCGCTGGGTGTCCGTCCAAACCAGTCGCTGAAGCGCTGATCAACGCACAGAATCGTGCCCTGCGTCATCATCCATGCGTGCACGGTGCTGGTGTCGTCGTCCGCGGGCTTCAGCACGCCCATGAACAAGCTGCGCGAAGAAAAGAGAGCGACATAGGCATCACAGTAAGGAAAAAAAAATACCAAGCTATTCCATTGGCCGCATCTAGTTACCCTATGAGACGAATTTGCAGGCGAGTGCCGCAGATGGGAGGTGACTGGCATTGGCGCAAGCCTTCAGGGTTTGCTGGCCGCTGCTCGGCAACAGCTGCACACCCACCTGTCAGCACCGGTTCCCGACACCTTGGTCACGGCAATCTTCAGCGGGAAGACGAAGCGGTCCTTGTGGATGGCCACCACCTCGCGAACCGTGTCCAGAATCTTGGCCTTGCCTGCATTGCAGCAAGTTCGGCGGCGAGTTTGAGTGACTTGACATGAAGCCTTCACGTTTGCGCATTTGGAAGGGTATCAGCCAGGAACATGCTATCCAGTGACAGCGTACTGAAGAACGGCATTGCGAAGCGCAAACCACGAGAGCGCGTCCAACATAAGCGACGGGTTGTGCACCACGAGGCAGGGCAAAGAAGCCCGTGGACGGTCAACTCCCCTTCCCAGCCCATCTGCCCTCTCCCGCCCCACCTGTGGTGGTGTAGTTCCGCAGGTAGCCATTGTGGCGCTGGCTGAAGGGCTGCGGCATGAGGATGGACACATTCTTGCCCTCCAGCTCGCCCTTGCGGTAGCCAAACAGCTTCATCAGCGGCTTGTTGGCCATCTGGATGATGCCCACCGCGTTGATCACCGCCACCGCGTTGTTCTTCTCATCGACCTGGATGATGGAGGGGACAAGACGGGGAACCCCAGGTGTGTTGAGTATGCATGAGCGCATCGTGGTGGTAGGTGCGTAGGACTCCTGGAGACTTCCAAACTAGATGCGCCCCGGTTGCCAAGGCTCGGGCCACACTTAGGGCCACATCACCTAGACATCATTTTGTGCGGCATGCTACAGTGTACATGCGTTGTGCGGTGCCCCGCCAGCCCAGCACCACCCACCTGGGCCAGCATGGAGGAGGGATCGCCATCGCCCACGGCGTCGCTCAGCATGGCGTCGTTGGCCGCGTTCTCCTGCTGCTCCTCCACCTTGTCCGCCTCGCTGTAGTACTTGGCGGCAGTCCAGGGGTCGTTCTTGACCTCCTCCAGGAAGCGTCCGTAGCTGCGGAGCAGCTTCACACTGCTTGGGTACCTGTACGGCATACGGCAGTACGGCAGTGGGAAGGTAGATGAAGGGGGTTAACGTGCAGACAAGGATGCACATAATCATGGCAACGTAAAACACGACGCGCCGTTTGCAAGCGTTGCGAACAGGTGTAAGAAGTCAGCAAGGAGCCGAAGCTCGTAAGAACGCATGCATGACATGATTGACATCCGCGACAGCTTCGCCACTCCTACCTGTCCAGCACCATCTTGTAAGTGCGGTCGGCCTTGGTCTTTGACACCTCAATTTGCCGGAAGGCACGCGCGAGCGCGTTGAACGAGACGTCGTGGTGCAGCAGCTGCTTCCAAAAGTGGCGAGTGGCGTACAGCGCGCTCTTGTGAGCCCGCAAGAGAAGCCTGCAGACAGCGCGCACGCCAAGTTTGAAGCGAACATCAACGTTGTTCCAGAACAAACCGAGACGCTGCCAACATGTATCTGCACGGTTTCCACACCATCCGGAAAAACAAGCATAACGGGCTAAAAACCGCACTAAATAGGTGGAATTTCCTCACCTGTAGTTGCGTTGGAACTCGACATACGACACCAGGTCGACGGCGCTCTCGCCGCTGCTCTGGCTCTGGGCCTTCTGCTTGTGCTCCTGCTCGCGCACAAAGATCGCAAAGCGGTCGCTGATGGACGGCTCCAGCTTCTTCGCCTGCTGCAGCTGCGTGACGCCGGACTGGTAGTTGTTCTGGACCTCGATCAGGAAGTTGGAGTAGGTGATGGTCAGGAAGACGTCATCGTGGAAGTGCGCCTGGCCGACCTGCGAAGAAAACGTCAAAGCATTGGCATGTAAAGACATGTCACCATGGGTGCCGGTGCATTAGAGGCGGGTTTCACCAGCGTACGGTGTATGGGTATGCGATGTTGTCCAAACCAGCGACCGCTTGATGTTCAGAATGTGACCGCATGGGGTCGCAAGCAAGCGGGGCCGCAGAGCGGCATGCTGGAACGGCAATCAGCCAGGGCATGCCGCATAACGCGGTAAGCACTGGCCTGCGTTGCTTTAGCGCGGGTATGACTCAATTGCATTCCACGGCGCGAAGGCAGGAGATGCCCCGCAGGAATGTGATCTTAAGGCCCACGCGGAGTGCGCGCCAGGAGGCTTTGCCCCAAGGTGCGATGGTATTTGCGAGCGACCGTTTGTGAAACCAGAAAACATACAGCCAACGACGTGCATTGAATGCGTCATGTAGCGAAGGGGTAGGACAGCCAACCGAACGCTATGGATAGCGGCTGTACGTAGGCAGTGAAATTTGTTGACCCACATCAAGGATGGACCGTTGCGTCCCAGGGGTCCCGAAACCCGCCCCTCCCCGCAGTTCCCCCCCTTAGTGCCCCTTTTACCAACCTTGAGGACAGTCTCGGCCAGCCTGACAGCGTCCGTGTCGAGGATATCGTCCTCAGTCCACTTGCGGCAAACACGCGACACAATCTCGACCTCCATGGGATCTGGAAAGCGGTAGATGTCCTTCAAACGGCTCTTGGAGGTGTCGATGTGGCTGTTGGTCGGGACCACATTGGGTTAGTCATCGCCTCATCGGCATGAGTTGGTCAATGCACATCTCCAGACAACAACGACAGGCTGCCTTCCCCAGGAAAGCAATGCAGGGCAACCCCGGAGGTACGGCTTCCGGGCCCAGCTGGCATCCGTGTCCCAGCAGCCAAAACCCCCACCTGAAGGCCTTGATAGCATGCTTGACGCGCCAACGAAGGCGGAAGAAGGACGTCAAGAAGCCGACCAGCAACAACGGCAGCATGCCGCCTACCATGATTGTTGTCATTTTGCTCCTGGCAGCAAAGGTAAAGGTTCAGCGCGCACATCCATTCCGGGCCAAGCCTATGATGTCAGGACACCATAACGAGGCGCTGCCCACGACTACCGCGGGTGCATTTCCTATAGTCGCTCGGAGCATGGGTCACCATGCCCACAAGGGGCATGCACCCATGCATGCTATAGCCGATGCAGCCACGATCAGCCACCTCATGTACCGCATACTGGCGTGGGCAAACATGAGAGTGCCTCAACGCACCTGAAATGATCCTCCCGGCGGTGTGGGCTGAACGTAAGGGCCACCAGCATCACGCCTGCCCAGCTGACCATGCAGTAAAGCCCCGACCTGGCGTGGTTGATCCACTCAATGTAGTGCGGTTCCTGCAGCGGGGCACCGAACGGTCGGTGGAGTGAAGTTCGTCAGTGTTGCCACACCTCGTGTTTCTAGCTTGCGCTACAGTCGGCTTGCCCCCACGGAAAACGAGCCAAACATGACGTGGTAACGGGGCGGCTGCTTAAGGCGCCAGCAAGCTGCTCAGCCGTGTACCAGGCACGGCGCTGTGGCTCCGTGACTTCCGTTCTCTTCCAATCAAGTGTCCTGAATCTGACCCAAAGGAACACACGTCTGCTGGGCGCGCACCCGTGTACCAGCTCATTTCCCGGCCAGAAAAACGCGGCGTCACCCCATACCATGACCACTTACCCATCGCACGTAAGACCAGAACAGGAAGATCGACGAGCTGCACAGGATGACCGCCTGCACGCGCGTCAGGCCCGACAGCACAGCCACGGTGATGGTCATGACGGTCTTCACCATCAGACCGCGCACTTCCACACGCGCATGCGGCGCCGACAGCCAGCGCTTGCTGGCCGGGTTCATCTCAAAGTCGGCAACCGTCATTGCAAACGCAATGAAGCAGAACACGACCGAGCACCCAAGCGCCACCGCCCCATGCGCCAGGTGCGGCATGGCAAGGCACTCTGCAAAGGTGAGATGGAAGTGGGGCTTAGGTAAGGAAGGTTAAGAGGAAAGAACTAACTGACTGTGTGATAAGGCGTCGTCGTGGTAAGGAGGGGGAGGGGTCAGGGACATGGGGGTCTAAACAGGCATAGCAAGTATGGAACATGCAGCACGTGGCTGTGAGGGCCTCCAACATGACCCATGACCCGAGGAGCCTTTCCGAGACGGGCCCGGTCTTACTGATGCTGCTTTGCACGAACGGTGGTACTCACTGACTTCAGGGAAGGAGCGCATGTGGAACTTCAGGGCCGGGTTCGGATTGAACCACTGGCAGCTGAGGGCCACCATGAAGATAGCCAGCGAGCCGACGTAGAACACCACGAAGAACGTGGCCACGACGATACGCAACATTTTAATGGGCCTGCAGTCCAAGGCAGTCAGAGGCTTCAGCACACACCACAGCAGATTTGTGAGTCTGGCAGTGCGTAGTTGAGTAGTTTCCAACCTACCAAACGTAGGGGAAGCGGTCATTCTTGAAGCACCACCCGACCCAGATGCAGAGCACTATGCTGACGGCGAGGGCGGAAGCCAGGGAGTACAGGATGCTGACGAAGAAGTGGTATCCCTGCATGTCGCAGTTCATGTCCGCTGCTCTTAGCGAATATCAATGGGGCCAGGTTTGGATGATGCCCGGGGTCAAGCCCGTGTCATTAGGCCGTGACAGCTTCCAATATTGGGTGTTCCGTTGTTTGCGCATGCGGCAACCACCACTCAATGTAAGGCAAGCTAAGGGCTATAGAGCATCGCGAAGCAACAGCAGATCAACCCAGCTGAGCTCAGGGCCTGGCACCCATCTGCGCGTTCGGTGCTCTGCGCGGTAACAATGCGGCCTGCATCTGGGCCACTACCACGGGACATACCGCCTCCCATCAGAAGTCCCGAGGCGCCCGAGACCCCCCCCCCAGCTACATATTTCCTCGTTGCACCGTGTGGATGCTACAGAGGAAGTGGTGAAACCCAGGACGGACGGGATACTCCACCCAAAACATGCACCGGAAGCCTGGGTGGGAACCCAGACAACTCCTTCCCCCGGAACCGTGGGCCGTTGATCACGCTTGTTACCAAGCAATCCGCCCTTGACCCACCTTCGCTATAATTGGATTGCTAAAGTGAACCCATTTAATTGTCTTCCAGTACCACGCTTTCTCGTCGATGGACCAACCTGAAGGGAGAGGGACCAGCGCGTCAGAGTCCAAGGCCCCCAGCCTGGTATGCCGTTGATAGAGTCTTATCACATCCGTGTCCCGCTTACCGTATGCCGGATTGACAATAAGGATGAAGCACTGCAAAAAGTCCAGCACAAGCCTTGCGAACGCAAAGCGCTTCGATGTATCAAGCTTTTCTTTTGCTAGTGTATATAGGACTCCAAACACGGCCGCTTGCACGGTTTGGTTCTGCTCAAGGAGGTCATTTGCGCCGACGTCCCCTCCTCCACCGGCTCCACCAGCCCTGCAAGCAGAGGCCAAGTCAGTCGGGACGCAGCCAAGGACGGCGTAGAATTCGACAAACCAGGCCACTGCTATCTATCTTTCGATGGTCATGCCAGCACCGTACGCTCCCCATAGCCCCCTTACAAGCTCCTGGCATCGCTCGCCACGGAGTTAGCACCACTTCCAACGCTTGAGAAACTGCTGCTGCGACTGAGATGTTCACTCATGGTGCCCGAGTTGCAAACGTCGGACTTCCGCCGGCCCGCAAGGGCCGAACCCCAAAGACCCCCTCAGCAGACTTATATACTATAAAGCCTTTGCTTTAAGGTGAAAACTATCTAGCGGCTATCCAACAGCGTGCGTCGAACCAACTAGTCTCAAAGTAGCGCTTATAGCGTCCATGGCCATTGGTAAGTAAAGGATGTGCTATTAAGTTTATGACTGCTGTATTAAGAAGGTTTGCTTGGTATCATATTGTGAAAATGGCTTACCAAGTAGGAGCCTGGACTGAGTAGACGAGTTAGCCGCGTCGCGCGCACGATGAGAACTCTATACTTCTAACCATTTCTTATTGTTTCGTCAGGTGCTGTACATAACATGTCGACACTTTGCCAAGTCAAGGGTCACCCATGGTTCACCATCGTAGATTTACAGCAAGTGGCATGTGCAATTTATTAGTCTTAAGCTATCAAACAAGAATCACTCCATTTATTTATTTCAGTATCACGTCTAAGCTTGCTTCCTTCGTGACTTGCATTCGAAGCTTTTTACAATGTCATATACGCCATACGCGCATGCATATGTACCTTACAACAGCGGGGACAGTGAAGCGCGGAGACCGTAAGGTTGCAAAGGTTAAGGAGATTAATCGACATCGTACGGCGGTTGTGAACCATATTCTAGGGCGCGCAGCGTCCCACACCAGGGGTGCGTTAACAGAAGACGACTGATGCTGTCACGGCATGCAAGGTGAACTACAGAGCTGCAGAGGATCCTAATCATACAATCGTCAGTCAGCGCCAGAAAGCCCGTATCATATGGGACGCTGCGTACTGCACAACACCCCAGCCTGCTTGACACTCGAACCCCGTCAATGGTACTACCTGCGGCCTGGTGAAGCCAACATGCATTAACCGTCTGAGACTCACAAGTGACACTCAGCTGCCAGCTCTCTTATCCCTGTACAAACGCTGCCACAATGACGAACCCGGGCCAAACAATGTCGCATGCTCATGCATCCCCTCCCTCAAACATCGCTAACACGAGCACGCTGGGGCGCCACCAGACACGCAATGCCCCATATTGTAACGCAATACCCGCTCCCACAATATGGGGGTTTCGCACCTGCCCAGCCACCCGGCCGCAGCCCCACCGCCGCCGCCGCTCCTGCTCTGCAAAGCCAGCTAGCTGCTGCCCTCCTCCTCCTGCGGTTCCGACGGCGCCTGCTGGGGAACCACGTCCCGGTACTCTGGGTCTTCTTTGTAGCGCACCTCCTCAAATATCTTCTTGTTTTTAGCCGACAGCACGTGCCACACCTCGCATTTGCTGCATTGACCGAACACAACCCCTTGCTCCCAGGCAACTGGGTTCACCAGTCTTGCCGTTCGGCCACCTGCGGAGAGGCGGGACGGGAGAGACGGGGAAGTGCGGACGTGGGGCAGATGGGCGTACAACTGGTTACGGGGATGTGCTATGGATGTGGGTTGGAACGCCGCTGTAACAGGGCGTCCTGTAAGCGCTGAAAGACCGTGATGATCCACACGTGTGCCGACCACGTAAACATCTTACCGCATTTGTTGCATGTGAACATCACCAGCTTTGTTCGCCGCTGGCCCTCGGGCCCAAGCGCTGACAACGGGATGCGAACCACCTTGTTTTCCTCATCATAGTCAACAACTGACGTGCCATCCTCAGGCTTTAACTCAAATTGTATGTCTGCTCGGCGGACAGGATAGGGAGGAAGTCCTGTAAGTGTTAGAGTGCGGAGATGTGATGAATGAGAACCAAGGTGCACGCGCCAAGAGAGCCCCGGGGAGGGCATAAATGCGGCGAAGGGGTCTTGACACGCGTCGAAAGGATGACGAGAGGAAGGCCGCCGTGTCTTGCTTTCTTACCTTCCGGTATGGGGTTTAGGGATATCGACTGGCATATCCAGGACGGCCGGGGTTGCCCTCCACGTGGTATCCGTCCACCAAAGCGTGCGGTCAACCGACATGCGTCGCCAAGACTTTGTCTCGCTAAATGCGCACTAGGAGAACATGTCCTTACATATGCTACTGGTCGAACACTGCTAAAGGGTGTGCAAGTGGCACAGATGTGACCTCGGCCCCACCGCCTAGCGCTAATAGTTGACATGTCACACCTTAACGACATAAAACTTTGTTTAGAGTATACAGGATTTACGATGGGCTGCATGAGCGTCAGCTGGGCACACCTCAATGAGACGCTCCAAATTTGGTTTCGCCCGCCGTGCGGAGGCAACATACCCTTCGTCGCATGTATTCGGTTATATATAGGACCGGCTTAACGCTGGCCTCTTAGGGATTAGGCAAAAGTACCTTTAAAGCCGGTTAGGTCTCAATCATAGACGATGGCGCACACGGCGCGCCAGTACCTACACCTGGCGTTGCCGCTGCTTCTAGTATGTGCAAGCTGGACATTCCTTAGCGTGATCGCCCAAGAAACCGCGGCTCAAGAAACAGCAACGGGAGAAACGTATGATGTGTACAAGGAGGTGGAGAAGCTGAATAGGGTGCGTAGGTTTTCACATGATCAGGCTGTAAAGACTGCTCCGACAATGCTGGTGCTGGCTTCTGCGACGGGAGGGCTTGCTGTAACATTTCACTTGCAACCTACATTGCAGTCGAACTTTGTGCTGACAACTTGTTTCTTGTTTTCTGCCCGCCGGGTACAGTGGAAGGCCTACCTTCAAGGGGAGGCCGACAAGTGGAAAGCTGAAGCAGAGAAAGCGCAAGCTGCATGGACGGCCGAGCAGGTGGAATCCTCTGGCCCAGCTTGTGCATCAAAGATCATTTTTAGTTTTTCATCGATGGCCTTGACGCACTTTGCAACCCGTAGCCATTGTTGTTTTTGTCTTGGCGCCAATAGGCCGTTCATCTCCCGGACACCAGCGGCGCTACCAGCGCTTTGACGCGCAATAGTACTTAGTGCTTGCGAGCACAAGATGCGAAGTCCTAGTCTTATAATAAGCGGAGCAGCGCGAGTGGTTTTGCAACCAGTACTAAGATGTGCGAGGCAACACACCCATTCATCACACTGCATACCTTCGCTTATGACCACCGCCAGTACTGTACACCGCAAGCATTTTCGCTGGCATCCTGCTTTTGCGCCGGCCACCTGACCCTAAACCGTAAACCGACTGCCAACTGTAAACGCCCCTTTTCATGGTTCTACAGCAACGCGCCGCAGAGCTTGGAGCCCAGCTGGAGCAGACCAAGAAAGCGTTGATGGACGCTGAGGCGAGGGCTGCGGTTATGGAATCCAGGTTCGCAGAGGCGGACAAGAGGGCCATAGCTGCGGAGACGCGGGCAAACATCGCGGAGCACAACGTAGCTGCTGCTGAGACCAGGGCTACTGCAGCGGAGGCCAAAGCATCAGCAGCAGAGTTCGCAAGTGCTCCCAAGTTTGAGCAGCTCAAGAAGGAAGCGGAGGCGGCTCAGGCCCGGGCAGTCGCGGCAGAGGCCAATTTGGCATCAATGAGGGCAGAGCTCGAGCAGCTCCGGAGGGATGCGGCAGAGGCGAAGGCAAAGGCCACAGCTCATGCCTCTGCAGCGGACGCCTCCAGTGGCGAGGCGGAGTTGTTGCGCCGGCAGCTGGCGTCGGCTGTTTCCGAGCGGGAGGCCCTGGAATCCAGGGTCGCCGAGCTGGCGGTGGCTACCAAAAAGGTGGGCGTGGAGTTGAGGAATGCATGCGGGCTCGGAGCGCAGGGAACGAGCCCTCGCGACCTAGGCACTCCCGTAAACCCCGGTTTTCCTCGCATCAACCGGCCATCCCGTAAGTCTTCACCTCTCCGTGCTCTCCGTGGCGTTGCCATCCTAAGCGTGTACGGTTCCACCTTTGGCAGTCAGCTCCTCGTCTCCCACCCCAAGTCTGGCGGTATTGCTTTGCTCTAACTTCCGGTATCACTTGGTTTGTTGGTTTGTTTTACCCTACCTGACCCTAGTGGTTTCCCCACCTGACCCTACTGGTTTCCCTGTCTGTCCCGCAGTCTGGCGGCCTCCGCGGCCACGCGCTGGCCATCTACGACATCCTGGTAGACGAGGCGGCACGCCACAGCAACACCGCGCTCACCTACGCCAACGAGAAGCTGCCCGGGCTCAAGGTACGTTGTGGGGGCTGCGGCTGCCGGCTTGCCGGTCATATGCATGCGGGGCACCGCATCGGGAGTCGCAGCAGAGCATGGCGGTAGCGTGGCGGATTAGGGTTCCGGGATTTGGGTTGAATTGCTGCCAGGCCTTGCACTCGCAGTCGCACTATGCGCGTAATGCGCGTACGGATGAGTACTGTCCCGTGTCTAGGTGGTTCCGTTATTCTTCTGTCTTTATCGGGCCTTATGGGTTCAGCGATTCCGACCCACATGGCCACATGGATGCTCTCGCAGGCCAAGGTGGCAGAGGTTCACGCCACCGTTTCATCGCAGCTGCCCGACGTGTCGGGGCACGTGGGGCAGTTTGTCGGCCGCGTTGATGGGGAGCTCCGGCCGTGGCTGCGACAGACCCTTGGGTCGGTCCCCGCCTTGAAGCGCTACAGCGAGGACCCAGTGGTGCTACAGGGCACCGTGTACGGCATCCTTGCCGCTCCGCTGCTGGTGCTGGTGTTGGTGCCGCTGCTGACCTGCTGCTGCCGGTACGTTAAGGGTTTGGGGTTGCAGCAAAGAAGAGTGGAGTTAGAGAGTTTGCACTGGCTTGTTTCAGAAGGAGTCATACCAATGGTTGTGCCTGTGTGGCCTGTGCGTATTGTCTCTTTCTGCTGGGTTTCTAGGAGCATTCTTTGCAATATCCTCTGCATATGTTGATGTGTCTGAATTGCGAACAACACGTTGAGACCTGTCTTTGCCCCCATGCATTGGCTCGCCCCCTGCAGCATGGCCCGGCGGCCCCAGTCCTCCGCTGTCCGCGGCGTGGACGGCAAGCCGGGTCGGCGCGGCAAGAAGAAGCAAGGCTGATGGTGCGGCCCACGGGACGCTTGCACACATGAATGGACCGACTCGGCATCATCGTCAATAGGAATAACAGCACAGGCGCACACCGATACTAAACTCATGGGTTATCATTCTTTGCCGCCACTGTACGGCAGCAATATGGAATACGGCTTTGGCAGCATGCCCCAGGAACGCAAGACGTTTTCTGGTGGCATGGACGCCGTGGCCTTTGTGTCTTCACGCCGTCCTTCACATTTGTCGTGGAGACGAAGCACCAGTAACGCGCTCGTGGACTCCGTAAAGCCTCTCAAGTACGCGTACAGCTATAACGGCCACTTTAGCAACGCGGATGAGCAGCTGGAGTCGTTGGATTCACCCGTATGAAGCGCGGAAAGGGTGCATGCATGGCGAGACGGGTCAAAGAGGTACACTTGTCGACATGCAAAAGGGCGTCCATGACGTCTGGTCTGGCCACCCGACCCAATGGGTGGCAGTGTTTAGGCGAGAGCGTGGGGCGGACCTTTGTCGCAATGTGTACCTCTTTGTACCTAGCACAGTACGCCTGATTTGCTGTTTGGCTAGGGGCAAAGATTGGGGCGTTGGTTCTGTGCAGGACTTGCAAGGCAACGGAGCGACATCAAGTAGTTGGCCTCGTGTGTCATTCCTGTACGTTACCAGGGTTGTATGGAATGAAGATCGGTTGCGAAGGGCTGTTGTTGGGTAGGAAGGGGCGTGGTCGGGCTGGGTATGTGCTGTATGTGCGGCTGTGGTGTGCGATGATACTAGCTGAACTCGGTCAAAAGTGTGTGTGTGTGGGCACTCGTGGGCAAAGCAGTCCCCTACACGCCGGGGCATGGATTCCCGGTGTTTGGGTTGGGGCCGCGACGCGCAGTCATGGAAGGTGCTTGCAGGCTTGTGAGGGCTGAAGGGGCCCCCTGTTGCGCACGACAGGGACCTCATTTGATGCTTCGGAAGGCGGCAGGAGGAGGGCGTGTACGGTCTGGGGCGTCATCGTGCGGATGACTGCAGGCGGTTTGCGTTGCAGGAGTGCATAGCCGCCCTTTCCACTGCGGAAAAGTGTCTGGCGCATGTGAACATAAGTGCAACATTGGCTGCAATAAAGGTGTGCCGGTAGGCTCCGGTACGACTGTGTCGTTCTGTTCGTCTCGTTTGGAGGCTGTTGCGGTAACGTACGCCGGCTGGCGTGCTTTGAAACGTCAGATAAGGGTACCGCATGAGGTTGTGGGCTTGTGGATAGTGAGCTTGCCTTTAGTAACGGGTTTTCCGTTTTTAGTCCATGAGCGCTTCAAAAGCAATGCGTTGATGTGTGTGCATAACCCTCCGGGAGTAAACTCCCTAGGCACCGGTATGTCGTTGCGCAGTGTGTGACGTATGTCGTGCAGGGGTGCGGACGCACGGCTCAATGTGCACGCGTGGTTGGAGATGCGTGGCGGTGTCGCTGTATCATGCTTGTAAGCCGTGGAGCCCTCCCTGGAAGCTTGAGGAGGGAGGGGTGGAGGGCAAGTTTGAGCACTTACATGAATGGTCACTGTTGGCTGTAGTGTCTCCCGTTTATCGCTTGGATTGAAGCGGCCAAGTCTTCCAAAAGTCGTGCAACAGCTAGCGTGTAAGGGCGCAACGCACAGTTTTACGGCTAGTGAGTGGTGTGGCTGACTCATGCGCGATGACGTTATCAACCTGTTCGGTCCTCGTCCTTGGGAACCTGGGATGTACGACAGCTTTTAGCCGTCTTGTACGACATGTCTATGATGCAATGCCCTTTTGTCGTTGTGCTTCATACCCCTGCTTGTCTACTTGTTCCTTTGCTACCCAGCGGCGGCCGTAATGATGATGTAAGGCAGGTTGTATCAGCCGCAGTACGGCGGCTTCTACCGCCCCACATGCTCCTACTGAGGTCAAGACGTCACAGTGGGCGCGACAGCTTTCAACGCTGGGTACTAGGCATCCCATCCGCCATTTCCCCCATCCAGTCAACCGGTATAGGCCATGACATGGAGCTTAACATGCATGGCAGCTGTGCGACCCCCCCGAAGCCCACGACCTGAGAATGAAGCAAACGGCGTAGACTAACACATTTGCCCCAACATGGGGTTCCCGACACCTTTCCCGACGTTCTGCAACGCAGAACTTGCTGGAACCAGATTTGTACCTAGCAGGCTACAGCCCAACGGAGCCCGGGGTTTTTGATCCCAATGACCTCGACAGAACGCCACTTCACAGCAACAGCTGGAGCGCTCTTCTCCCATCAATGTGCACCCAGTGCAGGCCCCTGCAAACGTCTCGATTGAGCAGCACAGGAAGCCTGGTCACAAAGGCGTGGCACAGCCTCCAATACGGTCACGACGCATACACGCGCAGTCAAAAGCCTGAACTACCCAAGAACCGTATATCCATATCACAACCCTCCAGAACAAGCTACCCCCACGGTGTGCACAGCTCGACTCCCATCCTCCTATGGCATCAGCACCCACAGTTACATTAGATGAAGAAGCGCGTGTGAAGGACCGCCGTACAAGACGCGCGCAAGGCCGGTATAGCTCAACATGCGCGGTTTACCCAACCATACATGAGTGTCATGCAGGGTAAACGTGGGAGGACGTGTGCCAACACAATGCTAAACAGCAAAATCGCGCGCCAAGGAAGGCAAAGAAATACTCGAGTTCCTCCGAGTTCAGTGTCCAGCGCCAGGAGCGAGCTGATAAGCGGCTCGGAGCGCTAGCAAGGTGTCAATACGCGTACGACATGCCTCAGTGGCAGTACACCTACAGCATGTTGTACGACTGGCACTACAAGGCAAGAATTGCTCGCGCGCAGAAGCCTACCGAAGGCAATACTAATACCCTGCCCAATCCCGTTCAATCCCGACAACCGACATAGACTCGCGAATAATGAGGATGTCAACTGGCGCTGCGCCAACGTGAGTAATCGCCACAACTCAACGGCTTCTCTTTCTGGAAGGCCTTCAACCAAACCGCCGTCAGACCAACGTACCGGACAATAACGGCAAGCGCTTCTTCCAGCACGCCGCAACGCCCGACGCCCATTCCATGTACACGAACAACCCTTTTTCCTGCTCCCCCTTCCTTCCTGTCCTTGCCCTCCGAGCGTCGCAGCAGGGCCTTCCCCCCCATCCATTCAGATACCGCATCATGTTGCTTTACATCCTTTGTTCCTTTTACATCCGGCCCATCCCATTGAGGTTGTTCAAACATGCAACAGCAGGAGCCGAGCTGCATGGGCACCTGGCTAGTGCTGCATCGGTTGCTGCTGCTGCTGGTGGTGCTGGTGCTGCTGCATATACATCGGGGCCTGCTGCTGCGGGTGCTGTTGCATGGACTGGTGCTGTGGGTCGAACTGTTGCATAGCCTGCGGTTGCTGGTGCAATGGTTGCGGCTGCATCATCATTTGCGGCGGCTGTTGCATCATCTGCTGCTGCATCGGCATTGTCGGATGCTGCATCTGCATCTGCTGCATCTGCTGCGGTTGCCCACCTGCCGGGCCGCCCATGCCATTCGCCATTTGCGGCGGCTTAAACCTAGGCACGGCTTGCCCCATCGCACCACCACCTCCTCCTCCTCCTCCTCCCCCCCCAGGGCCAGCAGCAGGTCCCATCATCGGCCCCGGCCCCTGTCCCGGCCCCATCATGCCCATGGGCGGCTGGGGACCGCTGGCCAGCATCGCCCCTCCTGGAGCATTCGCGCCCCCTCCCATCCCCGGCCCCGGCCCTGCATTCATCATAGCTGCAGACAGCAGCCCCGATCCCGCGGCAGGCGGGTTGAAGCGAGGTGGCGCCATGGAGTCGCCTTGAGGGGGCATGTAACCGCCGTACGCCGGGTTGGGTGTGTAACCGCCCATCATCTGCTGTTGTTGTTGCGGTTGCTGGGAAGGTACTGCGGTGCCAGCGGTCACCTGTTGCTGTTGTTGTTGCTGCTGCTGCTGCTGCGGCGGCGGCAGCGCCCCAGGAGGTCTGAACTGCGGTGCGCCGGCTTGCGAGCCTTGCGGGCCCTGCGGCGGCGGCCCACCGTACGGCATCATACCTCCGCCGCCGCCAGGACCACCTGGCGGCGGCCCGCCGCCGTACGGCATTCCGCCGCCGCCGGCGCCGCCATTGTACGGCATGATTCCGCTAGGGCTTATAGGGCCCACGTAAGATGACGAGGCGAGCATGCCAGCCATGCCAGGCGGAGGCGGCCCCAGTCCCGGCTGCATGGGACCCGCGCCCATGCCGTACGATTGAGGCGTGCCGTAGTTTGATGAGGGATACATGCCGGCCACCCCAACGGTGCCGTACCTGCATGGTTGGAGGGTCCACGGGAGTAGCGAGGAAGCGCGGGGAGCGGCCAGAGGGTGTCAGAAAGAGAGGTTGGCATGGGCTCGTTTATCGTACTGTGTTTAAGTGTTGAAGCCTAGCTGCCGCTAGCTGCGTTGCGTTGCGTTCCATGTGTTGGTGGTGTTAGACATGAGGTAAAGCACTCTCCCGATGTGAAGCACAGGAGGCACCAGCAAAGCAGCAACAGCACCGGCCTCCCCCACTGACTTCCCCTCCCACCGATAATGCATGACCCAATGTGGAGCCTTGTCACGTGTTCCTGTCACGTTTATCCCCTCCACTCCCCCCCCAGCGGTGAAACAGCCCTCCCTCCTCCCCGCCTCCAAACTCACCCGCTGTTCGGCCCTGGCCCAGGGCCGTATCCCGATTGAGGCCCATACCCAGACTGCGGACCATAGTTTGACTGAGGTCCGTAGTTTGACTGAGGGCCATACCCGGATTGCGGGCCGTACCCCGACTGGGGGCCGTATCCAGATTGCGGACCATAGCCGGATTGGGGCCCGTACCCAGATTGCGGGCCGTAACCTGACTGGGGGCCGTAACCGGATTGCGGACCTCCGGATTGCGAAGAAGCGTCCCATTGGACGTCTGCATTGGGGAGAGGGGGGAAATTATATAGTAAGTGCAAACAACTGGAGTCCCAATCCCATATCCCGACTCATGCAGTGAGTGCAGTGGGGAGAGGGGGGGGGGGTAAAGAGGAAACAACTGATTGACTGTGACAAGGCATCATCATGACGGTGGGGGGGAGGCGGGCAGGCACGTCAGTGCACAGGGACACGTGCACGTCAAAGAGAAAACTGGGCAGACATCCCCGCCCCTTACTCCCCCCCTCCGCCAGTGCCTCCTCGCGGCTCACTGGCGGTATCTAACGGTAACCCCTTCTCCGCCGCTTACTCGCAAGCTTGGGCCTGCCTCCCCCCGCTGCCGCTGCAGCCGCCGCCGCGTTGCCTCTCTGGCTGTTGCGCCTGCTCTCCGCCTTGAGAATTGCCTTGACGGAGTTGCGGTTGAAGGTGGGGTAGTGGTCCTGCACGGAGCGCAGATTGATGCGCATGTAGAGCTGGAAGGTGAACTCGGGGGTGAGGGGGGCGGTGGCCTGCGGGGGGGGGGGGGGGGGGGGAGGGAGGGGGGTAACAAGAACGACACTGACGAGGCAACCAGCGAGCTGTGTGACATGTAGGCTTGAGGGAGGGAGGGGGACAAACACACCACGACGTGGATGAATGTGCCAAGCGGAGGGAGAGGGAGAAGAAGGGGAGGGAGGATAATGGGAGGGGAGAGGGAATGCTCCTCCTACCCGACCCCTCTAGCGCATATTCACGCCGGCTTCGATCCTCCAGCCATTCCATACCCCGCCCTTACCCCGCCCCCTTCTGCCCCTGCCTCTAACCGCCTCCTCTTCTACCATCCCTCCCCATCCCTCCCACCTGCTTCTTGAACTCCTCGCTGCAGGCCATGCGGATGAGGTTGGCGATGGCGGCGTCCCGCTCCTTGCTCTTGTTGGCGCCGCTCATCATACGCCGCTCCAACTCGGCCTGACAAGAGGAAGGGGGGGGGGGTCAAAGACCATACCAAACCATAGGAGACCACAGGTTAGAGAAAGGGGGGACGGGTATACAGTAAACGTGGAATATAATAAACGCACAGTGAAGCAACTGGAGATCCATGGGGATCCATGCCGCCCGGGAAGGGGAAATGTAACAACGGTCCTGAAGAGGCCTCCTAGGATGCTGTGCAGCCGTAATTATTGGTAGCACCCTCGCTACGGGAAAGGGGAAACACACAAAACCCCGTGTCTCCATGTGACAAAGGCAGCGCGCCACGGGGTGCATCACGTCCTTGCCAACCCAACCCTATGCCGACCCATAAACACAACACCCCCTTCCCCCCTCCTCCCTCGCCTCCCTCCCACTGCCCTCCTCCTCTTCCACCCCCCCCCCACCTGCTCCCTGAACAGTGCATCCAGCGGCTGCTGGAAGAAGGGCGGCAGCTGCCGGGTGAACCAGGGATGTGACATCAGGTCGCGGACGGAGATGCTGCGAGAGGGGGGGAGAGAGGGGGGAGAAGAAGAGGGGGGGAGAAGAAGAGGGGGGGAGAGAGGGGGGGAGAGAGGGGGGAGAAGAAGAAGAAAATCCCAATGTGTTGAGTGATAGGGGGAAGGGAGGGGGAAGGGACGCGTGTGTTTTATGGGGTGCGGCGCAAGGGGAGTGTGGGAGGTGACGGCAGGGGGGGGGCCAGGGGGAAGGGGGACGGGCCAGCATGGTGCGAGTGAGCACGAGGCGGGGGAGTGGTGGTGCATGGTAGCGGCATGGCAGGTCTCGCCTCAAACCGTTGGAAGCAACCTCACATGGACTCGGCCTTCCTAGCAATGCGCTGCGCATGTGGGCCAAGAGGTCAGGTCAGGATCCCGGGCGGTGCCCTCCCTCAACCTCCCTCCCCCCTCCCCAAGCCCCTCAGTGTCGTCAGTGTCTCATTATCTATTTTTTTATCCCCAAGCTCCCCGTCAGTTGCATCGTCAGTGTGTCTCATTATTTCTCCCCCCAGCCCCTCCCCAGCCCCTCACCTCCCACCTCCCCCTCCCCCTCACCGCTTCTCCTCCTCCCGCTCGAAGCACCTATCCAACAAGTCAACCGCCTCCGGGCTCAGCAGCGGCACGTGCTCCCGCAGCGCCGGGTTGTCCCGCCAGCGTGCATGCGTGTGCTGCTGCACGTACACGGTGCGCATGGGGTCGCCCGCACCGCCCGCTGCGGCGTCGTCAAAGGGGAACTTGCCCAGCAGCATCACGGCCAGCAGCACACCCATGCTCCACACATCGGCCTGGGGGGGGAGGGGCGGGGGTGATATGTTGAAAAAGGGAACAACAAGTGGGTGGGTGGGGGGTTAGGTATGGTAAACTGAGCCGTGGAAACACTGGCCGGGGGGAAAGGAGGATAGCCAATTTGTTGAGGGGATGGGGGGTTGGGGGCTGCATTGAGGAGGAGAGGTGTACCGTATTGTACCGGGGGCTGGCTGGGGTAGGGAGACGCACGGTGGAAAGGCGCGAAATGTGCGGCAGGGGGTACGACGCTGAAATTTAAATACGCCGTGGGATCCAATCCCGTCGTACCTTGGTTCCGTCGTACTGTGTTTCCGTACGGTGCACCTTGGCGGCCGTGAGCTGGGGCGGCATGTAGTCCGGAGTGCCTGGGGGGGGGAGGGATTGGGGAGGAAATATACCGAAACCACAGGTTAGGGCGAAGCAATGGGGATCGAGGGATCGGGGTTGGGTGGAAATGAGGAGGAAGACTTGAGCCACCGATATCTTCATAACAGCAGCAGCAGCAGCATGTGTAGCGAGCAGCAGCAGCAGCCAACGCCAGCATCAATGTAACCCCTACCCCGGTCAAGCCCGCCTCCCACCACCCACCTTCCCCGGTTCGGTTCACCCCAATCACAGGTCACCCCAGCCCCCCACCCCGCACCCCCTCCCACCCCGCCCCACCTATGATGGTATTGAAGTGCGCCTCCTCGCCGCCCCACCCCCTCGCAAACCCGAAATCGCAGATCTTGACAAAGGGCGGCACATGCGCAGACAGCAGCGTGTTGTCGAGTTTGAGGTCGCGGTGCACCACCCGGTGTCGGTGGCAGTAGTCCACCGCATGCACGATCTGCTTGAAGAAGAAGGCGGCCTCGTCCTCCGGCATCAGCAGACCCACACCGCTGTGTGTGGTGGGGGTGGGGGTGGGGGTGGGGGTGGGTGGGGTGTCGGAGGAATGCCGAAAGCACAGGTTAGGGCAAAGCAATGGGTAGGGGGGAGGAGGAGGGAGGGAGGAGGAGGGAGAAGGAAGGGAGGGAGGAGGGAGGGAGAAGGAAGGGAGGGAGGAGGGAGAAGGAAGGGAGGAGAGGGGGAGGGAGAAGGAAGGGAGGGAGGAGGAGGGAGAGGGCAACACCAACTACCAGCCACCAACTTGTCGACGGCACCGGTAGTGGCTGCCCGAGATGTCATAGCGGCCCCACTCTCCCCCCAAGCGACCCCCCCTATCCTCCTTATTACCAATGGGCATACCCCTCATCTTCCCCCTCCCCCACTTCCCCGCCCCGCCCCACTCCCCACCCCACCCACCCCAGACCCGCCCCACCCCCCACCCCAGTTAGTTGTTTCCTCTTTACCCCGCCCCACCCCACCCACCCACCCACCCCGTTTCCTTCCACTTGCGCGTGACGTACTGCGTGAGGGAGCCCCCCGGCGCGTACTCCATCACCAGACCCAGGTAGTGGCTGGTCAGCACCACCTCCTGGGGGGGGGAGTGCGATGGAGGCGGGTAAGGAGGAAACAAGTAATGAACCCTGTGATAAGAAGAAGGAGGGGGAGGTAAAGAGGAAACAGTCTAGCGAACGGTGTGATGAAGCGGGGACGGGTTGCAGCGCATCAGCAACAGGAGGAGGAGGAGGGGGGGTCAAAGACCATACCAAACCATAGGTGACCCCAAGTTAGGGCAAAGCAATGGGGGTAGGAGTTGGCAGGGTAGGGGGGGTAGGGGTAGGGGTTGGGAGGGAGGATGGAGCCGCCAATGAGGCGGCATTGTCTGCAGTGCGATGCACCTCATGATGCGATGCCACATGGGGGGACAACAAGCGATACTTGCAGCAGCTGTAAGCGATGTAGTAATCACAGCACATGGCTGCAGCGCCTTGCTTACTTTTCATATAGCGGTATCCGCAACCCGTCAAGCAGGGCATCCCCCCTGCCTGCCTCCTGCTGCATGAGCCGGGATATGGGATTGGGACTCCATTGCTTCACTTTTCACTTTTTCCCCCCCAATGCGCTCACTGCATGAGTCGGGATTCGGGATTGGGACTCCGTTGATGCATTTATCTATATCCCCCCCCCCCTACCTGCGGCTCAGTTTATCTAATCCCCCACCTGCGGTGTGATGATGTTGATGTGTCCCTCCCCCAGCTCCGATTGGATCCGGATCTCCCGGAAAATGGCCTGCACCATCTTGGTGTGCAGCGGCAGCTTCACCATCTTCACCGCCCACAAAGCCCCCGTGGACAGGTCCTGCGTGAGCCACGTCTTGCCCTCGCAGCCTGAGGGGGGGGGGGGGGGGAATATATATGTAGGGGGGGAAATGGTACGTGAAACAACGAGTCAGGACAGGTCAGGGGGGCCGGGCGGGACGGTGGTGTGTGGTGTGTTAAGAAAACTGGCCGCGAGTCCGAATGTACTGTGATTGTCGGAAGATGAAGTCCCCACAGAGCCGGCGCAGCAGCCGAGGAATATATGGTAGCGTGTGTAGATACATGAGTGTGGTGTGTATTGTGCCGCATGGGCCTTCCCTCCCTCCCCTATCTCCCTCCTCCGCCACCACCGCCACCACCACCACCACCACCGCTGTGAAGACCCCTGCCCCCCCAGCAGTGTCTGCGTATGCGCTCACAGCAAGAGTCGGGAAGTATTTTTTTGCCCCTCGAGCCCCGCCCGAGCCCCGAGCCCCGCCGCCCGAGCACCGCACGCAACGCATGCACTGTGCTGTGTGTCGTACTCCATGCAAGGCAGCAAAGATGTAACGTAGGGTGGATGGCTCTAACGCAAGATGGCGACATGGCGACAACACATGAACGGTATTTTGTCGTTCGGGGTTACGGACGCAAGCATTAACTCTCCTTAACCGAGAGACACCGCGTCGGGAAACCTCTCTCACCAGCCAAATTGCACCAACCCAGCATACTAACCCGCTGGTTCCAACCCGCTAGCCGCACCTGACCCCAGCACCGTCTTCACTTGGTACACGGAAGCGAGCCCCTCGATGACAGAACGATTTGTGCTGCGGAAGCTCCGCTTCATAAGGCTGAGATGCTGCTGGTGAGCTGATGGCTCCTGGTAAGTCGCGGCTGCTGCGGCTGCGTTGCTAGCAGGTGTTGTTGCTTGCTGTCCACGACCCGAAGAAGTGGTTGTGTATGCCGCCCCATCGGGCGGCTTGGAAACGCACTGTCCCATTATGACAGACGCAAGCTGGGCACGTGCACTATGTGTTCGACCGTAAGTTTCTATGCCTGTAGAATAAGAAGACGTCCTTAACCAGATGTGCGAGACTTTCTGACGACGCTGTGGGGGAATGCCACTTGGCACTAGAAGCAATTGTCCGATGCAAGTCCTAACATGACCGAGAGACGAAAGCTCAGTAACACCGTTCTTAGGCATACCTCGGGGACCATTCTATGTAAGCTGTTGTAGTCTTTCAACGGGTGTCCTCGCCGCTTTGGTGCAAGCCCCAGCGGTCTTGCTTGCGTCAAGTTAGGTTTCGCAAGGGGCCACAAGAAGCTGAAGTGGAAACGCTAGTAAAAGCAAACACCTTTATCAATTGGAACCACACTAGCCAGGCGGGGACTTGTCTGCGGTGTACTAGCTGCCGACAATGGGTGCCTTTTCAACGTGGCCATGGCCTGTACAAAGGTAGAGCATTGTTCTTTAATGTAAATAATATCCAACTAACCTTTGCGCCTTGTTACAGATGGCGAGTCAGGCTCATAACCGATTCCCGCATTCCTAATGCAGTACAGTGCATCGGATTCCTCGCGTAAAGCGCCTTCATGGCACAACACCTAAACAAAGACTCCATCATTGACAGGCCTGTGGGCCTGTTCAACAAGATCACACACCAGTTGGAAAATTGGAAGTCTGTTGAGGTGCTGTCGTTCATTGTTGGCCACGTGTGCTGCGGGAGAGTCGCGCGCTAATCAGATTGGAGATGCCTCCATGTTATACTGATTGCGTACGTAATATCAGACTGCCTGGTTTGAGCATTGCTTGTCGCGGGCTCAGGGCCTCAGGGCCCCGACGTGTAGGCACGGCTGCAGCACTTGAAGGGCAGAAAGTCGCGCAAGGCCCTTCCGATGGGACTTGGGAGGTTGCCCACTGTGCTAATTTGCAAAATCCGTCCCCCCTGGAGAACCAACACTTGTTTTGTGCCACCCTGTCGCCTCTGATTCCCGTTGCTTTGCCCTTACTAATGGGGTTTGGTATAGCTTTAGACCCCCCCGAGAGGAAGTAGCTGCGCAGAACCGAGGTTGACCGTCCTCTTCCCAATACCTAACGGCTCCATTGGGAACAACAAAACGTGCAGCAGAAGGCTGATTGCCTGCTACCGCTGGTCTCCTGTTGTCCACAAGCCTTTCCTGCCGAGGTGGCCAATGGGAAATGCTGAATATACCCTGTGCTGGGACCGTCCCAGTTACCGGTACGCTGTACAGGCGTTCGCTGCTCCCAGCATGCTGTCCAAAACGAGCCGGGCAGCTATTGCTTAGGGATCGAACCAAATGGCTCCGCACGATTGCGGGCACTGCAGTCGAATTTCCTGCACAGCAGCCCTGGGCTTACCACATGGTCTTCCCTGTCGCGAATGCCTTGACGGGACCGCAGGTGTCGGTCCCTCGGCCAGGACGTGGCCACATGAGCGATGAGCCAGACGCCGCGTCTGGCACCACGGAAGGCGCGCAACCTACCTAGGTTTCCTGGTTGCAACATCTCCTCCTGCTCATGGAAGTGTAACAGCACCATCATTTAGCACGGAAAGCAACATCGCCAACATACGTCAGATGACTAACCGAAAACTACCGCTAACATCGATAGGGTCCGCCTTCAGCTCATCCGCGAGACGCACCCAATCACGAACACATACCGTCTATTTTACAAATACTGCCGGGGCACTTAGTCCCCTTGGTGCAACTCACATCCGCTTTCCTGAAACGCCCAAGGATAACAGGTCTGTCGGGCAGTAATATACTGTATACATAAAACGCAATAAGCTGAAAATTTAGGGCTTACTTCACTTTAGAGAGGATGACGGAACCCACTGAGCGGCGGCCGCCTTACCTTGTATATGCGTTTTATAGTACTTTGACGAAGTATTACAATTTGTAGTAAATAAACCCCTTTGCACGTGTTATCTTTGCGTCCAGGTGTCAACCCTTCCCCGGCGCTATGATCAACTAAGCCAACGTCAGAGGCTTGAAGCAGCTTGCATATATCGTAGCAGTCGCATAGAAAATGAATAGCGAGGAGCAAGGCGGAAGCGCTGCCGCGCGTTCTCAGGCGGCATCCGCCGGCAAGGAGCATGGCAGCTTCGCCGCTATGCCCAAACTACCATCACGGCCTTCCGCAACAAAAGCCAAGACAGCTGACACCGGCAGCACCGGCGCAGCTGCCACCACCGACAACGCCAGCAACTCCGACAGCAGCTGCAACACCGCAGCTAACAGCGAACCAAAAACAGCTGCTGCTGCTGCCTCTTCCTCCCGCCCCTCCTGCGGTCCAACGCTGCCCCCACGTGCCACCCGCCCTGCCACAGCCTCCGCCAAGCCTCCTACCACCACCACCACCACCACCACCCCCGCAGCCTCAGCCTCAGCCCCCGCTGTCCCGACGCCATCCACCTCCTCCTCCGAGCCACCCCCAGCTGCAGCTGCAACCCCCACCCCCACCCCCAGCAACCCCACCACCACCCCCACCACCACTCCCACCACCCGCCGCGCCGGCGGCCTCTCCGCCCTCCCCCCCCGCGGCGGCCTGCTGCCGCTGCCCCCCTCCAGCACCACCAGCGGCCCCGTGCTGGACCCCGACGAGCCGGCTGCGCTGGCGGAGGTGCGGCGCAGCATCCATGCGGTGCGCGTGCAGATGATCAGCAGCGCGCTGCGGCTGGGGTACGACCACGAGAATGCGCTGGTGAAGCAGGTGGGGGGCCGGGAGGTGGGGGGCTGGGAGGTGGGGGGTCAAAGACCATACCAAACCATAGGAGACCACAAGTTAGGGCAAAGCAATGGGGGTAGGAGTTGGCATGGCGCTGGGAGGTGGGGGGGGGAGGGAAGAAGGAAACGGACGAGCTGTATGCGGGGGGCGGGGGGGGGGCGGGGTGGAGGAAGAAGGGAGGAGAACATTATGCGCTGGGGGAGGAGGGTGGAGAAGGAGGAAACTAAGTTGGGGCGGGGGGGGGGGAGGAAGAGCCACTACCCTCACCCCCACCCCACCCTCGTACCTTCACCCTCACCCATCTGGTCTCATTCTGTCATATTCCTACTCTTGCCCCCCCCCGCCCCCCCACCAGGTGTTGTACCGCCTGGCCCTGGCGGAGCGGCTCAAGGCTCCCTGGCGCCGACCCGGTAAGCGACCCGACCCCGTGGCGGCGGCAGCGCGGGAGGCGGCGCGGCGGATGGAGGAGGCCAAGGCGGCGGCAGCAGCAGCGGGTGGAGAGGCGGGGGCGGGGACAGGAGGAGGGGGAGCAGCAACAGAGGGAGAGCCGGCGGGAGGCGCAGCGGAGGAGCCGGGACTGGGGTTCACTGTGAAGATCATGCTGATCGGATTGCAGGGTGGGTGGGGGAGGGGGGTGCGGGTTTGTGTGTGTAGTTGTGCGGGTTTGTGTGTGTGTGGGGGGGGGGGGGCCAGGATGCGGGGTGGGTGAGCAGTCGCGGCTGTACGGCGTCTATAGGGGTGTGTCGGCGTCGTACCTCGGCAGAACATGACGTAACCCAGTTGCTGTTCCTCCCCCTGTTCCTCTTCACTCGCTTCAATCCTCCTCCTCATGCCCCCCTCCCACTCCTCTTCCCCTCACCTTTACAACCCCCCCCAGGCAGCGGCAAGACGCAACTCGCACACGCGCTGCTGGGCCCCACCGCCTCCTCCTCCACCTCCTCTACCAGCAGCAGCAGCAGCGGCAGCAACTCACCAACTTCATCACCATCCGCATCAGCAGCTGCTGGTGCTGCCAACGGACCCACGGGTCAGTCGGCGCCCCAGCCACCTCAACCCCAGCCTCAGCAACACGCCGCCGTCCACCCCTTCGAGGGCGCCACTCGGCGGGTGACGGTGCTGCGGGGGGCGGCCCACGGCATCGGGTTGGAGTTCATTGACACGCCGGGGCTGAGTCTGGCGGCGGGGGGGGCGGCACGGAACTGCGGAGTGCTGCAGCAGATACGCAGGTGGGATGGGGGAGAGGGGAGGAGGAAGGGGGGGAGGAGGGGGTAAAAGACCGTACCAAAGTGGTGGGAGGAGGAGGGAGGGGGGGACAGGGGGGGGCAAGGTGCAGGAGGGGGGGATGCAGGGGGATTGACATACCGGTAGCACCCCTCCCTTGCCCCTCTACTGGTTCAACAACTCCAGACCGCCGCGCTTGTCCATAACCACCACGCCAACCAGAACCCCGATCTGCGACTCCCGACAACGCCTTTTCACCCACGTCCCCCTTCCCCCCCTTTCACCCTCACACAACAACACAACTATACACACACATAGGGCCTACCTGGCCCACCGCCCCGACCTGCTGGTCTACGTGGACCGCCTGGATGCGCCCGCACCCGCAGCGGGGGGCCCGGCGGGGGGCGGCATGGGGGCAGGCGGTGGGGGCGGGGGCGGGGGTGCAGGAGGCGGGGAGCTGGGGGCGCTGCGGGGCCTGACGGGGGCGCTGGGGCCCGCCATGTGGCTGAACACCATTGTGGCGTTCACGCATGCAGGTGAGATCAGATGGGGGGGAGAAAAATATGAGGAAACTGACGGACTGTATGACGAGGCGCCACCATGGGAGGGGGGGAGTGAGGAGGTGGTGTCATTTCGCACAGACAGGGGTGGGGAGAGTGAGGAGGTGGATGCCTTCCGACCTCCGTGAATCCATGACAGCCGGTTTCGAGTGACCCCAAACACATCGCCCCCCCCTCCCTACCCCCACCCGCACCCGCCAGGCGCCCCCCCACCCGCCGCCCCCCGCGGCCCCGGCAGCCGCCCCGGCGGCCCCACCCCCTCCTTCGAGCACTGGCTGGAGCTGCGGAGCCACGCGGTGCAGCAGGTCATTCGGCAGGTGGGAGGAGCGGAGGAGAGGCCACTCCACTCCCTGGTCCCCTTTTTAACCCTTTTCGTAACCCTTATCAGCTCCCGAACCCTCTCTGACCCCCTCTTCTCCCTCCTCCTGCTTATCCTCCCTCTTACCATCGTTCAAGGCTCTGCACACATCTCCTACCCCACCTCTCACATTGGGTCTACTTTCCCTCGCTCCTGTACCCCCTCACCTCTACCTCCCCCCACCCAGCATATATATATATTTTTTTACCCACCCAGCCTCGCCATGCAGTTCATCCGTCTCCTTACCGTACTATTTCCCCCACCCCACCTCACCTTCCCCCCCAACCCCACCTCACCTCACTTTCCCCCCAACCCTCACAGGCCAGCGGCGACGAGCGGCTGATGAACCCCGTGGCCTTCGCGGAGAGCCACCCCGCCTGCCCCACCCACCCCACCACCGGGCAACCCATCATCTACAACGGCATGCCCTGGCGCCCGCACCTCCTCCTCATGCTCACATGCGCCAAGCTGCTTGCGGACACTGAGGCCCTGCTGCAAATGCAAGGCGGCGGCGGCGGAGGGGTTGGCGGAGGTAGTACGGCAGGGGTTGGCGGTACGGCAGGAGGAGCGGCGGCGGCGGCTGCCGCCGCCGCCGCCGGCGCCCGGCAAGTCCCCATGTCGTACATTCTGCAGCAGGCGTTACAATTCTCGCGACCGCTTAAATTCCCGGATCATCAAAACGTGATGGATGTACGACGGGCGAGATCGGAAGCGGGCCGGCTGGGGATTCCGCGGCAGAAGCGGGAGGCGGGTCGGCAGGTGGCGTTACGCGTGTTGGCGTTACGAGGGGCGGCGAGGAAGCAGAAGGCGATGGCGGACGCTTACCGTCGCGGGACGGTGGCGGGGGCCAAGGTGACTCCGGAGCCGCCCCGGCTGGCGGTGCGGTGCCGGCCCTCCGCGCAGCCATCGGAGGTAGGAATGGGGGAATGGAGGATGGGAGGAAGGGAGGGGGAATGGAGGAGGAGATGGAATGGAGGAGGAGAATGGGGGAGTGGAGGAACGGAGGATTGGATAGGATGCATGTGGGGGGGGAGCGAAGGATGGGGTGGGATGTCCTTTCCTTACCTCATCTTCCCCTATCTGCCGCCTTCCCTCTTCATCATGGTTACCAACACCTGCCAACACCGCCTTGTTCTCCTCTTCACCCTTCCCCCTCACCCCTCCCCCTATCCAGCGTAACGAATTAAGAATGAACCCCTCTCTCGCCTCCCCTCCCCCCCAGGGCTACCGCTACCGTGCCCCCGAGGCGCAGGGCGGCTGGCTGGTTCGTCCGCACCTGGAGACCCACTGCGCGGACGGGAGCGACGGAGTGGAGGTGAGGGGGGGCGGGGGGAAGAGACACAGGGCAGGAGGGGGGGAGGGGAGGAGGGGGAAAAGAGGAACCATGCAAGGGAGGGGAAGGAGCAGGGGGTAAAGGAAATGAAGGCACAGACTGTATGGTAAACACTTGTTCCCTCTCCGCCTCCTCCCTCGCCACGCCTCTCCCTCACTAGCCCCCTTTCCCCCGCCCCCTCTTTCCCCCCCTCCCAGGGTTTCGTGCTGGAGAAGGTGGCGGTTGCGGCGCCGGGGGGCCGCCCCGGGGAGGAGGACGGACTCAGCGGCCGGGGAGTGCCGTACCACCACTACCTCTCAGCGCAGGTATGACACCACGAGAGGGGGGAAAGAAGAATACTCGATGTGGTGAATGGCACCCCGCCGCTCCCCGTTCCCCCCACCGCTCTGAGAGCTGCCTTTGCGGCCCCTTTACCCTCCCTCCCTCTTAGCTCTCCTCCTGTTGCCTCCTCCCCGCCTGGACCCGGATAATACACCCCTCTCCTCCTTCGCCACTCCGTTGCCCCCCCACCCCCCCAGGTCACCAAGGAGCAGCGGCTGCTGGCTGCTCGCTCCGAAGCCACCCTCTACCACGACCCTCTGGGCGCCGCCACCACCTCCCTCTCCGCGGACATGCAGACCAGCGCCGCGGGACTGGGGCCGGCGGCAGCAGCAGTGGAGGGCGGGAGGGCGGGCGGGGATGTGCTGCTGGTGCTGCGATCGGATACACGGTAGGTGGGGTAGGGGGGGGGGTTGGGGGGGGGGGAATTATAAATAAGTGCAACAACACAGTCCCAATCCCGAATCCCGACTGGGGATCTCGATCGGGGTTGCTCTGCTTATGCCGGTGTACGGTATGGGGACTTGGTGGGTGCTGGTGCTGGTGCGGGTGCTACTTTGTATGATTTGGTCTTGGTCCCCTCCCCCATCCTGCCCCCACCTGCCCCCACTTGACCGTTCCCCTCCCCCCCTCCTACCCCCCGCCCCCCCACACTACACATTGGATTTTCTCCCCCCCCCCTGCAGGCTCCGCGGCCGCAAGGGCAGCCGCCTGCCCAAGCTCACCCTGGGGGCCATCGCAGCCCGAGTGGGCGAGGAGGCCTTCCTGCCGCTCCCCCTGCCCCTGCCCGCACCCCTGGCCCGAGCGCTGGGGGTACACAACAACGGCGGGAGCAGCAGCGGGAGCGGAATGGGCGCAGGGGGAGCGGGGTTGGGTCTGCCGCTGCCGCTGCCGCTGCATGGGCCCTCGGCAGTTGGGTTGCGGCTGCAAGCCACCAGCAAGGCACGAGTGGGGCTGTCGCGCACGCCGCTGCGTATTTCCGCTGCGGCTGCCGCCATGCAGCTCACGTCGGAGGTGGCGGCGGGGCGGGTGGGGCTGCGGCTGCCGGGGGGGCTGCGGGGGGCGCTTCCCGCCGCGGGGAGCTGGCTGGGGGGAGTCGCACGGCGGATTGGGGTGCCCGGATTCCGTAATAACGGTAACAACGGTAACAACAACAGCAACCGGGCAGGAAGGGCAGCAGCAGCAGCAGCAGCGGTGCCTGCCATGTTGCTGGTGGAGGAGGGGGCGTGTGTGGGTGGCAGTGTGGAGGTGGGGGCGGACATGGCTGACCTGCTGGACCTGCCCACCACCAGGAGGGTGCCGGGCAGCCTGGGGGCGAGCTTCATGAGGAGCCCGGAGGGGGTGAGAGAAGGGAGGGGGGGTGAGGAGGGAGGGGGAGGGAGGCCAAAATAAGGATGCTGACGAATTGTATGACGGGGCTTCACCATGGGTCTCTCATTGAACCCGGCGGAGGGAGAGGGAGGGGGAGAGGGCAGAGGTAGGGGGCGCTGCAACGCTGGGTTGGGGAGAGGGTGAGGCCGTTGTGTTTTTGCGATGGGGAAAGGGACAAGCGGCACCGCAGGAAAAGCTATACTTCTCCTGACCTCTTCTCTTCCCGTCCTCCCCGCCCCACCTCGCAGGACCTCACCACCCAGCTGCACGGATCCGTACAGTACCGGCTGGGGGTGCGAGACGTGGCGGCGCTGAGGGGCAGCTGGGACGCGCGGGGGCGGGCGGGGCTCAGCGCGCGGGTCAAGTCCTCCTCCTCGGGCGCCTGGTGGGCGGGTGTGGTGGCGCTGCTGGTGCCGCTGGGGAGGCTGGCGGTGGACGCGGCGGGGGATGCGTTGCGGCGGGTGCGGGCTCGGAGGCAGCTGCGGCGGCAGCAGGAGCAGCGGAGACAGCAGCTGCTGAGGCAGCAGCAGGAGAAGGAGGAGAAGGAGCAAGGGGAGAAGAAGGCAGGGGGGAAGAAGGCGGGGGAGAAGACGAAGCAGAAGCAATAGGAGTGAGTCATGAGGAGAGGGTTGGGGCTTTGCAGGCTTTGGAAGGAAGGGTGTTTTTGTGTGCGTGTGTGTGTGGTTTTGGTGGTGGATTGTGCAGGAGGAGGGTGCGGGGAAGGTGGGGTTTCCTAGACTTTTGTTACGGAGGTGGAGAGGCTGTAAGGGGATATGTGTGCTGGATGAAACCTCTGGGGATTGCTTGGTTCCCTGGGGGCCTGCACACAAGCAAACACACGCACGTGGCGTAGTGTGTCGGGAGTTACACGGGGCTGTCAACTGTATACCGGTAACACTGACGTGGCGGCCCTGCAGCCAGTCTGGGGGTTTTGAATCGTCCGGAAGCAAACGACACACGTCTTGGATCACACGTGATGTTCTGGGCCGTGGCGAGCTGTCACGTACTCGCTGCTGGAGTTGTTGGCAGCTGCTTGGTTGCGTGGAACGCGTGCGGCAGTTGTGATTATGTGGCGAAAAGAGGAAGCTGAGAAGCTGTATGGCGAGGCATTACCAGGGTTAGCTCGGTAAGGGGGTGGAGGGCTGCACAGACCGAAGTGCCGGACCGCAGCGCTAAGGCTGGTGGGTTGAGGGGATCCCGTCTTCCCGTTTTCCCCCGATGTGAGAAGTCCACGTGTTGGTTCTGATTGGTTTGGAAGTTTCATAAGGTGTCATTTTGGTGTTTTCCAAATGTTTGGTTTGTTTGTTTGTTTGTCGGGAACTGGAATTGTTCTGCGGCGGCGGTGGTGGTGGTGGTGGTGGCGCTGAGGGGGCTTCGCAACTCTCCCCTGTGTGTGGCATATCATGCGGCGGGCCCGGTCGATCGATGCATGCGGCATGCGGCACGCGACTGTAACCGCGTCTCTTGTGGTGACTGACACCACTGACACCACTGTCACCACGCAGGCTGCAGGCATGCCGCAGGTGCGCTGCACACACCTCCCGGTGGATAAGGGCGGCTGTTGTGGCGACATCGACCCGTCTGCCAGCAAAGCAAGAGCCGGGAGACAGCGCCAGCAGAGCACATGAGACATGGCGTTCCGAAACCCGAAAGCTTCTGCATTGCGTTTAGCCGTACCGGTGGGCGTTTGTGAGCTTTTGCGGGTCCCAAGCCCCAAGGGCATTAAAAGCCAAAGAAGCATCTTCATATCTGTTATAGAGGCCCAGCCTCTCCTCTGCACGGACGCGCTTCGCGATCCCATTCCTTTACAGCAACCGGTCCTTCATAAATCACATGGCTCCGCCCCCCAGGCGACGAACCGTGTCAACAAAGGACTCCTCTTTTCAACGTCACTCGTTGTAATCCGTGAAATGGGCACCGTTCCTTTCCGCCGGGTAACAAAAACCCCACACACGATCATTCCTCCAGTCCCCTTCCTTGGTGAACGCTTTCTTCGCCTTGTTGATGAGGCGTAGCACGCCATCCCAACACCATCTCCTCAACAGGAGGCTCCACCCATGTCTTATTGGGTGTGCATGCATAAAAACCGTGTGTACTTATCGTACTTAATATCCCTCGTACTCCACCAACCCCGCTAGCCGAAACCGGTAATACCGTTTGAACAACTCATTAAAACACGCCAACAACCAAACAAACGAGAGCAATTTGTCATGCAATTCGTTGTCGACTGAAATGACACGTGTTGCGAGGGGTGTAGCAAACAAACAACTTTACAACACGTACACGCACATCTTCATGTGACACGACAAGATACAAAAGAACAACAAGACGGACCGCAGAGCTTTGAAACAAAATGTCTTGCAGCCAGGCGCGAGAGGCTACATGAGTTAACCGACCATACACTCGCAGCGGACAGGCGAGCCCTACTGGTAACAACACGTCCGGTACACATTGCCGCCGTCAAACTGTTGGAATGCTGCAAGGCGCCTTAACGCCTTTCTTTCCGGAAAGCACCAAACCCCTCTACCGTACGACATAGTCAGGGGAGTCCAACCTTCAGTGAGCAGGAAAAGGCCAAAAACCACAGGCGAACAGCAAAGCAAAGCAGCTTTTCGCCAAGTGGTGTCGCCATGCAGCGGTGCCCCCTCCCCTCCTGTTCACGGATACACGTCACCGATACACAGCGCCTTGCAAACACACCTACACATGTTTCCCTGCGGACGGGTGGGTGGACACACAAAACGGCCCCGGTATGTGTTCAGTCTAAGGTACGGGTCAAGGCAACAACAAGGGTACACGTAAACCCGAGACCAAACAAACACGTGTACATCATTGAATGATTTTTCAAAAAGACACCCGCAGCGGCAGCAGCTGCTGCTACTACGCTCGACGCTACGCGCAACTCGCATCCGTTATGTGTTCGGAAGCGGCGTCGACGGCGCCTGTGTGAGCCAAGCGGCTGTTTCGTGTGCTTGTGGGAAAGGTGGCTTACGACAACAAAGACGACACAGGAAGGTGTCTTTGCAAGGACTTGCTTTTCCGCAAGCAAACAAAAACCGTTTTGAGCAAGGCACACGTTGTATCCCGCCAGGCGCTTTGCACAGCAGAATGAAATACACCGATGTGGTGAGTGAATGGCTCATTTTGCATTCCAGAGTGATTTCGTTGTGTTGCTTCTTTCCGTGGAGGGGTGGCGCGCACGGAACCCCACAAACTTCACAAACACGCATAGCCGCCTCGCTTCCCTCCTTTCTCGCCAATCTCATATCACCATCATCATCACCTGAACATGGAATGCACTCCCAAACCACAACTTCCACCTTCCCGTCTCGTCTTCCCTACACGCGCTACCATGCATGCACAGTGTCAACTGCTCCCATGGCGAGTCTCGAAAAGCTTCCTACAACCACTTTTTTCTTTAAGCGCTTGCTTCAACCACGTTTTTCTTCAACCACAAAAAGCCTTCTACAACCACCTTTTATTTCAACCTCTACCCGATATACAGCGCCCTACCGTCGCCGTCACCAAGCCGAGTCAACGCAGATTGCCTCCCGTCGCAAAACCTCTCCATTTGCCGCCGCCCCCCCCCCTCTAACCCACCGGCGTTCACTACTACTCGCAAATGCAAAAAGCAATTACCTGCCGACAAAAATACTTTTGGCAACAATTAGCGAGCAACGGTTAACGGCCACCACTACTTGGCCCCACCCGTGTGGGCACTGCTGGCGGTGACCCCGGCAACAGCAGCTGCAGCTGCCTCCCCCCTCGGCATCAAGGCTACACCAGTAACACGTGTGGCCGTCGCCCCAAGCAGGCTCTTGCTGCTGCCGCCCCCACCGCCGCCCCCAGCGGCGAGCCGCTTAAATGCATGCCGATCAGCAATGTTTCCGCTGCTTGCATGGCGGCCGGTGCTTGAACTACTGCTGCTGCTGGTACGCGGCTTGCCACCACCGCCAGAGCGACCGTGAACTCCACCACCGCCTCCACCACCAGCACCGCCACCAGCCGCACCGCCGACACTGCTGCCCTCGCCGTCGCCACTACACCAATTCCCACTGGCTCCAGCAACGCCGCCGCCGCCGCGACGCACGCCATCAGCATTCGTCAGCCAGCCGCCAGCCGCAGCTGACGCCGCTGCCGCTGCTGCTGTCCCCGCGGCACTCCTCCCCGTGCTACCACCAGCAAGCGCAAAGCCGCCAACATATGGGCCTGGAGCGCCACCCCTGCCGCTGCGTCCTCCCCCGCCGCCGCCGCCGCCGCAGCCTACCAGACGGAAACTCCTTGACGCCATGGCTGCAACCATGCGCCCCGCCATGCTGTTGTTGCCGCCGCGACCCGTGGTTCCATCCTTCATCAACGGCGAGCTCACGGGTGTAACGCTCGCCTCGGTATGCTCATTGGTGTCCGTAAAGCGGTCGGAATAGTCCTCGTCATCCATGAGACCGCCGCCGCCGCCAGCACTGCCGCGTCGTGACGTTGGAGCCCGAGGCGCCGTCAGCGCCGTCAGGAGCCCCGGCGGCAGGGACGCCGTCAGCGGCAGCGGCGGCGGCGGAGCCGCCGCCGCCGCCACCCCTGTCGCACTGCCGTCGGCTCCTGCACCCCCTGCGTAGCCAGCCTCACTACCACCGCCCTCCACCCTGCTTTGTGAGGCGACGCCGAAGGCGAGTTCAAGCGGGGGCCGGGCGGGCAGGGTGCAGTCTTCGAGTCCGAGTTCCCGGCTGGATAGGGCGACGGAGAGGGTGAAGGAGAGGCGCGAGTCGTAGGTGAAGTCACCTAGGCTGCTGCCCAGGCCGCGCATGTCCCGGGGGTCTCGCGCAGGGGTGCGGCCCTCCAGCTCGGCTTGCAGCGAACGCATCTCCGCGAGCACCACCTGCATGGGTGTGTGTGTGTTTTGGAGGGCACCGAGGAGTACGGTAGTGGTTGGGGAGAATGGACAAGCACACGCGATACGTTGTTGTACATGATAACCGCAACTGATACCGTTCGCAACCAAGAAAAGCACCTGGCAAAAGGGAACACAGATAGCTGTACGTTGGCCTAGCGTTTCTTAACATGCACCCAGTCACTCGCAGACATGCACCCAGTCACTCACAGACATGCAGTCACTCGCAGACATGCACGCAATCGCGCACCCGAATGGATGGGCGCTGCAGGGGCAGCAGCGACCAGCAGCGGCGCGCGAGTCGCACGTAGGCCTGCGGCAGGCCCGAGCTGAAGGGCAGCTGCTCATCCAGGTAGCCCACCTCCTTGACGCGGAGCACTTGCTGCAAAAGTACACAGGGGTGCACAGGGGTTCATCACAGGGGTTCAGCACACGGTGATGTGGGGGGTTAGGTAAAGACCGAGGCGCGGTGTTGGGGCAAGGGGCAAGGGGCAAGGAGGGTTTGTTGGGGAGGAGTAGATGCAAGATACAATGCAAAGATGCAAAGATACAGGACAGAGGACACTACCAAAGCCCTCTACCTGCCCATACCAACACTTCTGGCCCCGCCCCTGTAGCTGTCACGGCAATCCTGACTCCTTCACCCCGCCCCCGACAAAGGGTCCCCACCCCCCGCCTCCACACGGTTAGTTGTTTCCTCGCAATAACCCCTACCTACCTCCGGCGTGGTGAGGTGGTGGAAGGGCGTCTGACCGGAGACCACATGCCACATCAGCAGCCCCAGCGAGTAAACTGGAGGGGGGGGACAGAACGGAAAAGAGTGGCAATCAACGGGGGCTAAAACAGGGCAGCTGTGAGGTAAGAGACGCGGTGGCAAGAGGCTCCTTCGGGAGTCATCTTCCAGCAAGAATTGCAGCATTAAAGAGTAAACCCATATGGGCGCGCATTATGCAGTTATGAGCCCGAGTAGAGGTAACTGTAAACCCCTCATGGACGGCATAGGCCATTGGAAGACAAAATCGCGGACGATTAGGGTAGCCAGACAACCTGTAGTTCGGTACTTCGACAGAGTCACGCGAACACATCACGGACAAACCCGACTCTCCCAAATGTGCATGTATCTTCCTGAAAGACCACCAGACGCCATGAAACCTTTCCTCACCATCGCATGAAGGCGTGATGCCCGATGCAGCTCCCGCACTCCCCCCGGCTCCAGGGTACTCCGCCGAGCCGACCGTCGCCGCCGTACCGCCACCTCCATTATACCTCGCCCTCCGGCTGGCTCCCATACTCGCTCCGTAGCTCATGCCACCATAACTCCCATCGAAAAACGCCCTCTGGTTGCCGCCATTGCCGCCACCCCGGACACCACGTGCGTTACTCGCCCCCATCGCCGCGCCCAGTCCACGGCAGCCCAGGCTTCGATCCAGCGGACCCAGTCCCAACGTGCCCGTGCTGCCGCCGCCGCTGCCGCCGCCGCTGCGACGACCAAACAGCGGCAGCTGCCCAGCAGCCGCTCCGGGACCGTTGGGGTTCAGGATCTCGGGCGCGCACCACAGGAGGTGGTCGCGGGGGAGACCCATGGGTCGCGCGCGACCCCAGGTTTGGAGTTGAAGCACCGCTGGACCTACGGCCGGAAGGGGCAGCAGTGCACTGAGGGTTCGGACGGTCCGGCCACCGCCGCCGCCGCCGCTGGGTGGTGCTGTATCGGCAGCAGCTGCGCTTTCGGCGTTTGTAGCTGCTGGCTTTGAGGCACTGTCGCCGCCGACAGCACTGAAACGTGGGTTTTGTGCGGGCCTGGTACGGCCGGAACGCGTGCTTGCAGTGGCGGCTGATAGGGCTGATGAGGGGGGCAGCGGCAGCGGGGGACGTCCCTGAGGTGACGAGATCGTGGGCTTGCCGGCTGCTGTTGCTGCCGCTGCTGCATCGGTCGTGGGTGACGTGGGGACGTTGCCGGCACCGCCGACGCGAGCGATCGGGGAGTGCGGATGGCTACGCAGGGGAGGCGAAGGCGAAGGTGAGCCGGGCGAGGCAGCTGCGGTGGCTGCTGCGGCGGCAAAGGGTGAGATGAAGCTGGAGGTGAAGGGGCTGGGGGCGCTTGGCAGGACATCAGCCGCGTTGCCCGCATCTGAGGCGGGCCTGATTCCGTCGGGGTTTGCTGTCGAGGTGGAGGTCGAGGGCGGTGCAGTAGCAGCAGGAGTGCTCTTGGAGTCCTTGCCAGGTGTTCCAGGATTGGATTCCGGAGTTCTGGAGTTCTGGGGTGGTCCCTGCTCTGCCCGTTGTTCGCCTTGGATGCCAATCTTTGCGGGACTGCCTTCTTCTTGCTGCTTTCTCCCATCTAGTTGTGTCTCTGTCCGCGGTTGCTCCTCGGCCACCCCCGCCACAGCCCCTCCCGTCGCGTCCACCGGCGCCGCCTCCGCCGCAGCGGCAGCAGCCGGCGGCATCAGCAGCTGCACCTGGATCGTCTGCGGTGTGAGCGCCCCATGGGTCACTCCGCGCCGGTGCAGGTTCCGAAGCGCCTCCGCCACGCAGATCAGCAGCTCCAACGCCTCGCCCAGAGGCAGCTGCGGCTGCGCTGGAGGCGGCGGCGGTCGCGGCAGTACCTGCTGCGGCTCCTGCCGTGCACCCCGACCGGCTCCTAATCCCACACCCAGGCCGGATGCGGGAGCCGCAGGCGCCGCGAGCCGCCGTGCTTGCGGGGTCTGCTGTGCGGCCGGCGCCGCCGCCACTGCTGAGCCCGCTGGAGCCGGCGCCGCTGCTGGCCCGGGCTTGGCTTCCTTCCCCAAGCCATCGGGCACGGCAGCGCCGTTTGCACGTGCTGTCCCGTGCGGTACAGCGGAAACCGCTGCCGGTGCTGCATCAATACCGCCGCCGCCGCCGCTGAAGCAGGACGTCAGCCAAGCCAGGCGGCCCACAGCGGTGCTCACATCGGGGTCGCTTACATGCCCCTCTACGCCCCCATCGCTTCGTCTCGGCTCCGATTGAGAAGAGAGGTCCTGGCGACTCACAGCTTCAGCAACCGGACCTCCACCACCGCTGGCACCCCCTGCACCTCCAACCGCCTCCGCCACCGTCGGCAGGGTTCTCTTGGAGGCAGGGGAGGCAAGTTGAGACGCGAGCGACGACTCAGGCGGCCGACCGCCAGCGGAAGGGGCTGCTGCAGCTGCCAAGGCCCCTCTCGTCGCTGGCGCCGTCGCCGGCTGCTGGCGTTGCTGCATCCCCATCCCCTGTCCTCCTCCACCTCCGCCTGCTGCCCCTCCTCCTCCTCCTCCTCCCCCACGCTGCTGCTGCTGTTGGCTTCCCTGAGGTTTCTGCTGCCCACCCTGCCCGCCCTGCTGAGACGCCCCAGCCGCACCCCCAGCTGCACCACCACCATTCCCCCGCCCGCCTCCACCTCCACCTCCGCCTCCACCACCCGGCTGCTGTCCCGCCCCCGCTCCCGCACCCGCACCCGCCTCCTCCTGCGCCTCCTCGCCTCCCAGCTCACACTGCGGCCAGCGCTGCTGGAGCCATTGAGCCAGCGAGAGCAGCCCCGGCAGCAGCGGAGTGACCACGTGGACCTCGGAGGTGATCCGCTGCGTCACGTGCTCGTCCCCCGGGCTGCCCAGATGGGCCCGACACGTCACCTTGGCGCACGCGAGCACGGGAAGGACCTGGGAGGGAGGGAGCGGGATGGGTTGGGAAGGGAGCGGGAGTGAGCAGGGGAGGGGTCAAGGGAAGGAGGAGGTGGAGGGTAATGGGGAGGAGAAGACAAGAGCTGGTGAGAAGTGGAGGGGTAAAGCCGGATGATTTAAGGCATAACTAGCTATTATTGAAGCTGTTCAGGGATGATAGTATGGAGCGTCTGCTTGTTGACGCATTTCTGTCGGCAAGAAGCATTGGACAGCACCAGGTCGCACCTGCGGGGTTGGCTCGGCAATAAGCTGCACCAAAGCGGACTCGACTTCGGTGGCGATGGCGATCATGTCAGGCTGGGTCATCATGTTCGCTTGTACAGGAGGCGGAGCGTCCAGAGCAGCGGCGACCGTTGGATGAGGCGAGGTCGGCCCGGGAAGCGGCGCAATGGGGTTCGGCCTCTTTGTAAATGTAAGCACGTGCAAGTGGACGGGCATGCCACACCATAAAGCTGCATATGTCCGCTGGGTAGGGTTGCCCTGGACGAAAGCCACCGGTTCGGGCTGGGACAGCTCGACGTCGATTGGGTTGTGGCGGAGTCCGGAAAGCGCAGCTCCTCTGTTGGGACCTAAACCATTTCGGTCCCCTTCCTTCGGCCTCTGTGCTTCTTGATCACCATTTTTTGCAGCAAACTCGCCTCCGTGAACTCCGGCACTGCCGCCGCAGCCCAAGCGCGCAATAAAGTCGCGAGTTTTTCCAAGGATACCAGCTGCATCTTTTGTCATCTTAAGTACTAACGGGTTTTCCTATGTCAGCTTCATTGCTGTCTTGAGCTTTCAGGACGCCGGCTAGTCAGGTGTGCTAGGGCTACCAGAGTAGAAGTACGTAGATATGTAGAAATGACAGCGTCGAAACGCAAGGAGCGACAGCATATCACACTGGTGTTAGTGCCAAAATCGCAAGATTTGGGACAAGACGAAAGTTGTTTTCCTACCAAACTGTACTCACGTTTTCTGGTGCAAACAACACCTGAAGGTTACAATGCAGCGTGGCAAGGAGTGGTTCTGTACGATTCCGGTTTGGCGGATTTTTATCCTGGCACGCTGGTAGCCTTGGATACAGTTAGGGTCAATGACAGTATGCGGGTGGAGCAACACTACTGTTTACGCCATGTATGTCAGCTTCCTTGGGGGGGCAGGGCAGCCCTAGCCGAAAGCCCGACTTGCAACACTCGGGCACTCCTTACAAGGATTCAGCACGTCACTGTTTCGGACAAGCCCACATACAAAAGAACATGAACAGGCCGACTGCGGAAACGTATACCGGTGCATACATTGCCGTCCTCGTTCCTAAGTTTCGGTATGCCAGTCTGGCACCACTTCTCCCTACTACATTTGTGTCGACTCTCATCCATCCATCCACTGCAAGCCACATCGCACAAGCTACTTAGTGCTATCACCGTCCCCGGACGCTGGCGTATACCGGTAGTCGTACACCTGCAAACAACTGTTGCTGCTCTGGTCCTGCCACCACAACCAATTCCATGTTCGTATTGCCGGAACAACTAGGATGCCCCTACGATGCCGCCTTCATCATCGTTCTACTGGGCAGTAACGGTTAGTACGTGTCCCTTGCATCCCTTCGACACCAGAACTGCAAGAAGCAGCCCATGAGGGAACCGTATATATCAGCACCTACCTCAGGCTCATCGCAAGTCCCCTCAATGTGGTGCCACGTATCCCACCTGCACAGCGCGGGTGGCTAGAGTGCACAGGATGGATGTGCCATACGGGGTATGGGCGTATGGCTCGCAGCACGTCACAGGGTACCATGAGAAAGATTGCAAGCTACCTCCCACCCCCGACGGGGACTGGGACTCTAGTTGTTTGCATTTATTGTATTATCTCCCCCCCCCCAGGCGAGGTCTCCTTAAGCAGTGGCGTTGGACCCAGGACAGTGTAGGGTATTGTCCGCTTTCTATTGCCTTCTTGTTCGAGGTTCCTGTTTAATTACAGTAATTCATCCAGCTATAACTCCTCGGTACGCACCAGTGCGTGCGGACATGGGGTGTTCTGACAGGAAAGGGGGAAGAGAGGCTGGATGCAAGAGGCGACCAGACGACGCGGCGACCTGGTGAGGAGGCTGCAGGTCGGTGCCATGATGTATGGGTGCGGTGCAAGCATGACCTACATCCACTGAGCTAATGCGCAGTGTATAGTTGAGTAGGACAAGAGCAAGCAAATGGGAGAGGTTCGCATGTGAACCGCGAGTACAGGCAAAACAGAGGTGACCAAACCTGAATCTTAGTTGCTCTGCGGGTATGTTTGCCTGTTGCTGGCACATGGTGGCTCCTAGGCACACAGTCGCACAGCGTCACAGAGAGCAACCAAGCCGAGGTAATGCCTTGTAGGGAACTCTTGTATCGCTCACTCATTCCTTGCAAAGCTCAGGGGCGCGCCAGAAGCACACCTCTGGCCGACCAGCCTTAACCATGCTGAGCGCGCGACCCTATATGTCAACAGCAGCGACTCTATATCCCCACGGTCGTGTGGCTATCATGCACGCACTTCCTGAGGCGCTTTGCCTCGGTCCTGCCCGCCCGGACGGACCAGGCGCTGGAGTCATGGCCACCAGAGGTCGGCGCTGCAGTACCACCACTGGCCCAATCCCATCTGCCATGCCCTCCTTATAAGGGACGGCAAGGCATGCTGGAGGCACTGTAAACATGCCGTACACCCTTGAAGGCTTGAACCAATGTTGCATGTGCCGTTGCCAGCAGACCGATGAAGGTTAAGCTGCTAGGCGACGTGAAGAGCTAAAAGAAAAATGTTGGATTCGATGTTAACCGGTGGCTTCGGATTCGGTGTTAACCCATGGCATTGGATCCGGACATTCGGTACACCCCATGGCTTTGGGCCAAGGCAGACATGTCCGGCTCCATCACTGTCAGCGCCGCCATGGCGGGGCGTGTAAGCTACGGGTGAGGATTTCGGATATCTCCTTGACTTGCTGGTATGCTGCTGCTGGCCGCTAACTGCTACAGCGTCTGGGACGCCGGGGAAGGCCGTCCGCATCCCAACCAGGTGTGGAGTGCTGGGTGGGTGCCTTGCTGTGAAGACTGACTGATGGTGTTGCAGGAGTGCTGCTGACAGTGGTGGGGTGTAGATCTCACTAACAGGTGGTATGTCGGGTAGGTGTCTGATGCAACCCTACGCAGTCGCCATGTTTGGTTGCTGTAAGACATCAAAAAGGTTTGTTTTGTGGGCGTGCCCCCAGCCACACGAGCACCAAGTCAGCACCCGGCAGGTGCGGGTTAGCAAGCAAGAAGGAGCAGCCGGCGTGGTGGCGGCGGCTGATGGCATCCAAGATGCACCTAGGACCAAACAACAGCAACAGCAGGCATACAAGTGCAAAGGTAGCACCGACGTGCTGTTTGTCCGATAGCAGCACCAGGGGGGCACAAGTGCTGATAAGATGTTGTCGTACTGATAATGCGTGCTGTGACTTGTATGGGAACGCCCAAAATACGGCAGGAGGGCAAAGATCAGATTCAAACGGCTTTGTTGGCTTCGCAACAACAAAGGATAACAGAATAATAACAAAAGGCTGACATGGACTCCTCAGCCCTTAGCCGCCCCTCATCCTGACCCACCATCCACAAACCATCCTTGACTCTGTCCCAACCAAGCAGCGACGCACCTTCCCCATCTTCCAAAGATTCAAATCCAAAGCTACGCAAGTTACCTCGAAAGCAGCAAAGCAGCACAGGCCTTGAGCACCACTTACAGATACCACTAGCCTACCAGCGAGCTCTCGGCATGTGCTTTGTGCGGCGCATACATTGAAGGATACAACCCAAAGCCCCAAAACCTCAAAAGCTACTATCCGCGTCCTTACTTACGGCATACCCAGGCATGCCAGGGAGGCAGACCAAACATTGGAGCTAGCCGTGGAACATCTGCACACCAACACAAGCCAGGAAAAGCAGCAAGAAACAGCAGCGGAACGGGCAAAAGCAGCGGGCAAGCAGCAAACACATGATTCCTCTTTGGGGCTCCTAAACAGCTCGAAAACATGGGGAACTATCTATCTTCAGGGACTTCGTGCGCACACAAAGTAAGCCAATTCCCTCCAAGAAGAAACCAAGAAAACAACCAGCAACCAACAGCAACAACCAGCAAGCTCCTGGTGTACCAACCTACAATCCGTGTGCGCTACGGCTCGTGACAAAGCAGCTACCGGTTGGATCAGCCGGAAAAGAAGACGAGAAGCATCCCTTGTGCAGCATACCCAAAGCACAGCGTCGACCAACGTGCACTGACACTCCCGGAGTATCAAAAGCAATCGCTTAACTCTAGCAGGCATGCAAATACCCCGCCCCGTGTTGAAAGGCAAACAAAGGAAAAGGCCAGAAAACGGAGACACCTTCCAGGTTTGCTAGCACCTTTCCAGACACAAACTACGGCAAAGACCTAAAACCGCGGAGGCCTCGTGAACTCAGGTAGAGCCTCCCAACGACAGCTGCTTTTCCTAAGGCTGGCGACAACCAAACTTGACTTTCGTGACAGGAAGATGCACTTATTCCCTGCTCTCCAGCAGCAGACCGAGACGACGTAAAAGCCGTGCTAGCAGCGGAGAAATGGCCGTCTTGTTGCTGGAAGTCTAATCTCACGCGGCGCCGCAAGCCCACCCGCCATGCAGTCGCCACTCCCATGAAGAGCTCCAAGACAGGTGCCACAGTGGCGACAGTGGCGACGCACCAGAGAATGTGAGGATGCGGAGCAGAGTCCTTTCCCATACCCAAAACAGCCCTGAGCCCAGCCCACCTTAAGTCCCTCTCCCAAAGCTGGAAAGCCCAACCCGACGCCAAGGTTTCCAAAGCCGGACCCTTGCTCCCAAACTTATTCAAGGCAGCTCAGAAACACGGAGCAGAGCGGCACGGCGTGTAACTTAGCGAGTAGTGAGGGACGGAAAGGGAAACGTAAAATGCATGACACACAAAATGGTGGCAGCGCAAAGGCCGCAATCGGCCAGACCCTTGCAGCGATAGGTTATAGGACACATGCAAGCGCAGGCTCTCAGCCCGACGTAACGCATGCATGCATGCATGCGCACATCGCTCTAGAGTAGAGACCTTCCTGCACGCAGTGAGGCCACCAAAAGCACAGCACCCCCGCAACGCAGCGCAAAAGCGACGATGCGTCTCTACTGCGGCGGCGGTGCCGACGCAGGCGGATAGCCGTATCCGTACCCGGCGGCAGCTGCCGCATTGTACGGACCAGCTTGGTAGTGCTGTTGCATGGCAGCTTGGTATTGTTGCATTTGCATGTAGTACTGCTGCTCAGGCGTCATCTGGTGGTGCTGGGCTGCTGCCGCCGCCGCCGCTGCATGCTGCTGCTGCTGCTGCATGGCCTGATAGTACGCATGCGCCTGCGGGTCGTGATGCATGGATCCAGCAGCGACAGCAGTACCGGCGGCGCCGGCACCCGGATAAGCGGCGCCGTAGCCTGCATGCTGTGCCGCATGCGTAGCAGGAGCAGCTGCCCCCCCGTACCCCGCAGCGGCGGTGGCAGGGGGACTAGCAACAGCAGCGGAAGCAGCAGAGGCGGCGCCGCTGGGCGTTGAGGCCGCTGCCGCCGGCGCAGCGCTACCAGCACCACCAGCAGCAGCAGCGGCAGCCGTTGGGGCGCCTGCAGCTGACGGTTGTTGCGGTTGGTTGTTATAGTACGATGACGGCGACAGCTGCGGAGCTGCTGCTGTGGCGGAGGACGCGCCCGGATGGTGAGTGGCACTGCCGGCACCGGTCGCCGAGGAAGGGCCGGTTGCAGCAGCAGCAACATGCGCGCTGCCAGGCTGTTGAGACGCAGCCGTTGGGGGTGCAGCTGCTGCTGACGCGGGTGACTGCTGCTGTGCTGCTGCGGTTGCAGCAGCTGCATTAGTGCCGTAAGCAGCAGGCGAGGAGGCGTAAGCGCCACCGTAGGCTGCGTTGTAAGGGTTGGCGGCAGCTTGGGCTTGTTGCTGCTGCTGAGATGGGGGTGGTGGTCCCTGCTGCGGCGCCGACTTCGGAACCTGCTGCTGCTGCAGTTGCTGCTGAGGGTACTGCTGCTGGGGCCCACCCGGGACCTGGGCTTGCTGCTGCTGCTGGTAGTAGGGGTGCTGCTGCTGCTGCTGCGCCGGGGGTTGCTGCTGCTGTGTGTATCCCTGCTGCTGCTGCTGTGGAGGATACCCATGCTGTGGGGGATAGCCCTGTTGCTGCTGCTGCTGCTGCTGGTATCCCTGTGGTGGATAGCCCTGCTGCTGTGGTTGCTGCTGCTGCTGCAGCTCTTGGTTGGGGTAGTAGGCAGCCTGCTGGTGCTGTTGCTGCGGGTGCTGGGGAGCCGCTGAAGCGTAGGAGGGCGGGTAGGCTTGCTGTCCGCCTGCAGGGGCAGCAGCAGCAGCAGCAGCGGTAGGTTGCTGGGCCGCAGCGGCCGCCGATTGACCGTACGGCTGTTGCTGTTGTTGTTGCTGCTGCTGTGGGTATTGCTGCTGCTGTGGTGGCACCTGGGGACCATCCTGCTTTAGCGGCTGCCCTGCAGCTCCAGCAGCAGCAGCACCTGCGCCTGGGAGTGCTTGCGCAGGCGGCCGAGCCTGTGGCTGCTGCTGCTGCTGGTAGGGATGTTGTGGCTGCTGCTGCTGCTGTTGAGGCGGTGCCTGGGGGCGTTGTTGCTGCTGCAGGTGCGGCAGCTGCTGCTGCTGCTGGGGTGGCGGCATGTACGCCTGCTGTTGCTGCTGCGGGTGCTGTTCGGGCGGGGGCATTCCCCCTGCTTGCAGCTGCAGTTGCTGCTGCTGTTGCGGTTGTTGCTGCTGGCCTTGCTGCTGCTGCTGCTGTGGGGGCACCACCCCGACTCCCTGATTAGGCTGCACCGCCACGCGATGCGGCTGCCCCGCCACACCCCCACCTGCAGCACCCGCAGCAGCACCAGCACCCGCCCCAGCAGTAGCAGAGGTGCCTGCTTGGACGGTCGCTGCACTGGCAGGCATCTCAGCTGCCGGCGCAACAGCAGGGGGCTGCTGCTGCTGCTGCTGCGCGCCTGCTGCCGAGGAGGAGGGCAGCCCCTGCTGCTGCTGCGGTGCCAGCTGCGGCTTCTGCTGCAGGATGGCTCCGATGGTCATGATGTTGGTCAGCAGCGAGTGAGCCTGCATGACCTGTGAGGGGGGTGAAGGGGGTTGAGGAGGTGTGAGAATGGGTGGGAAGGGTGGGAAAGGTGTGAGGAGGTGTGAGGGGGAAGGCACCGGTGTACGCCCTACCTGCGCCAGGGCCCCCGTGATGTCCAGCTCAAAGTCCCCCTCCGGGATGGGTTGCCGCAGCGTGATGACAGTGCTGGTCACCTGCGGCCCGAGGCAGGCGGGGAGGCGGGGGAGGGGGGTAGCGGAGGTAGTAGGTAGAGGATACCGGTGGAGGTAGAGAGGACCATGGCGGAGGCAGAGAGGAAACCGATGGGGCAAGTGCCCCCACCCAAAAGCTTCCCCTCATAAGCAGAGGAGAACCGTGGCCTCCACTGGCCCTCATCCCCCCACCCCCCCTTGCCCCTGGCCCTCAACAACCCTCCGCAACAACGCCCCCCCTCCCACAGCCCCCCCCTCCCACAGCCCCCTCCCACAGCCCCCCCCTCCCACAGCCCCCTCTCACCGTCTGGACCTGTTGCACGTTGGTTCCGTTGATGCCCTCCGGCGTGTTCACCAACGCTGCCGCCACGAAGATCGTCAGCCGCACGTCATTCGGACCCAGCGGCGGCAACCCGAATGCCGACTGCCCCCCCCCGCCGCCTCCTCCTCCCTCACCCGGCTGCTGCTGTTGCATCTGCTGCATCTGCAAGCGCTGCTGCTCGTCCTCCCAGCATGCCTCCGGAGGCGCTGCTGCTGCTGCTGCGCCGCCCTGCATCATACCACCTGCAATCCCACCTGCAGACTGCTGCTGGGACTGCTGTTGCTGACGGGGTGATTGCTGGGATTGCTGGGATTGCTGCTGCTGCCTAGCGGACACCATGGGACCCATGGGTCCAGGACCCGCGGCTGCAGCTGCTGCTGCCGACGATGCTGACGTCATCCCCCCTGCCTGCAGGTTGTTGCCGTTGCTGTTAGTGCCGCCACCGCCACTGCCGCCGGCAGCAGCAGCAGCAGCAGCAGCGGAGCTCCCCAGTTGCCGTGCTGGCGGCGGCGGGACGGTGTGCCGCGCTCGTATCAGCGGGTATTCCGGGGTGCAGAGGGTTTCTCGCATGGGGATGCCCGCGTGCCGGAGCTCGTAGCCGCGAACCAGACCAGCCACAATGCGGATGGCCTGTTTTGGAAGGGGGGGGGAGGTCAGAGATATATCCGAACCACGGGTTAGGGGCAAAGCAAATGGGACCACGAAAGAGAAAGAGAGTTTTTTTGGGGGGGAGAAGAGGAGGAGGAGGGGAAAAGAAGGAAGTACCAAGTAGGCACAATATATAGAAGGAAATATCACCAGCACCAGTTTACCCCCTCACCTCCATGACGTCCCGCGGGTCACCATCCGCCACCAGCTCCTGCTCCTCGGGCAGGCCGTACGGCGGTACGTCTCCCTTGCGGTGCACCACACAGCTTGCACCGCTCACGGCGCTCACCTGAGTCGGGGGGGGGGGTGGGGTGGGGGGACAGAGGGGGGGAGGGGAGGTGAACATGTGGGCATGCTACTACCTTTCATCAGGGGTATCCTCTGTACTATCTTCTGTACGGGGTGGTATCATTTCACCCGTGCACACTGCCTGCCTCACAGTACGTTCCGACTCGCGGCCAGTTGGGTGTGTTCTCTAGCCACACCTCACCCTCTGTCAAAGCAGCCCACTGCCCCATTCATGATGTGCTAGCAGGCGCCCGGACTGCGAACCTCTGCCATGACGTCCCCCGTGTGTTAAAATAACCGACAACAGAAAACAGAAAACTGGCCGCGAGTAGGAACGTACTGTCCGTGTGTGTAGGCGAGTACTTGCCAAAGTACTCCCCACTCCCCTTCCCAGCCCCCGCCCCCCTGTTACCCTCCTACCTACCTCCCCTATGCTTTCCCGTCCCTCCCCTCCCCCCCCCCCAGCCCCCTCCCCCCCCCACCTGGCGAATGATGCCCCCCCGCGGCCCCACCACCGCCCCGCACTCCCGGTGCTGCAGCAGCATGCGCACAGAGAACTTGCCGCCCGAGTGGCCCTGAGCCAGCCTGCTCGGTGAGGGGGGGGGGCAGTGGCGGGAGCAGCGGCGGTGGCATCAGCACTTCAGCAGCTTTTCCCCACATGACACTCCACTGGCACAACACGACATTTACAACAGCCCGTCTCAAGGGCCCTACTCCCAGGCAAACCCTAGATGCCAATCCTAGATGTCACCCACCCCTCCACCCGCCAAGAAGCCCCCCAAACCCATTTCTCCCTCCCAAACCTCCCCACAACCAAACCCACAACTCATACCCCCCACACACAACTCAGACCCCACCCCGCCCCCCCCCGCACCCACTTGTCCACGTAGAACAACAGCGCCTCCGCCGCCGCACACACCGTGGCTCCCGCCGGCTGCGCAGTGGCCACCTCCAGCACGCGCACCCCGCAGCCCTTCATCACCGGGTGCACCTTGAGTGTCTCCACGCGGAGAGCCATGCGGGTGTCGCGCAGGGCCTGCGGGGGAAAGGGGGGGCGGAGCGGGAGGGCAATGAGTGCCGGAGAGGGGAGGGGAAAAGAAGATAGTACCCAATGTGCTGAAGGAGTCTGGCAAAGAGGAAGGGGAAACAATAAGTGAGAAGTGCAGCGGCCAGAGTCCCAATCCCATACCCCGCGTGTTGAATGAGGGAGGTAGGGGAAGGGAATGAGTGCCGGAGAGGGGAGGTAGGGTGTGGTAATTGCTCAGGGAAAGGATCTCTCATGCATGCATGCAACGATGCAAGAGGAGGTGGAAGGGAAACGAGGAGGGGGGGGAACACGTCGCCGCCGTGGGAAGCAACGTGCATCCTCCCCTCCTTCCATCCCTGCCTCTCTGCACTTTAGTAAGAGGGGCACAGTCCCCTCCAATACACCAATACAGCCCTTCCCCTTAGTTAGTTGCCTAGTTTCCTATGGTTCAGTATGGTCTTTGACCCCACAGCCCTACCTCTCCTCCCTTGCCGATGAAGCGCCCTGCCTTGCTCTCCGGAACCACCAACTTGAACGTCACTTTGACCGGCTTGTTGAGGTCAGCCGGGCTCCGAAACTCCGGAACCAAACCCGCAACTGCGATAGCCCCCTCAGGAGGCGGCGGCGGTTGTTGGCCCCCACCCATGCCACCCCCACCACCACCTCCTCCCATGCCTCCAGGACCGCCTCCCATCGGACCCCCACCCCCACCCATGCCTCCAGGCATGCCCCCGCCCATACCCATGGGGTGACCCATGGGTCCGCCCGCCACCGCCGCGCCCGCCGCCGCCACCGCCGCCATCTCCATACCCAGCCCGATTCCCAGCTGTACGGCATCCAGTGGGTGCATGGGACCAGGCATGCCCAGGGGGTTTGGCACGCCAAAGGGGAAGGGCCCGGGGCCGCCCGGTCCCAGCGGGCCTTGCTGCATGGCCGCGGCCCCCATGGGCTCGGGCGGGGGCATGCCGTCGCAGGAGTCGAAGAAGGCGCGGCGGACTTCGTCAGCTAGCAGGCTCAAGGCCGCGTAGACGGAGGCCCAGGGGCCTCGGAGCTGGGGAGCGTGGAGGTAGGGGGGGAGGGAGGGAAGGAGGGGAGGGAAGGGAGAAGAGATTCAACCAACCGGACGACGTGTAGGCTTCACCAGGTAAGGCAGCAACATGGAAGGAGGGGAGAGGCAGGCGGGGGGAAGGGGTACGGCAGCCAATTGTGGGCCGCGAATGGATGAGAAGGGGGAAGCGGCGGGGGAGGAGTGTACGGCAGCGTGAGCCCCAATCTTCCACTCACTCCCATTTTTCCCACAATCCTCTACATCATTTCACACTTCACCCCCCCTCCCCTCCCAACACCCCGCCTCACCAGAATGAACTCCTCGTCCTTCTCCGCGAGCCGGGGTCGCTCCGAGTCGGGTGGTACCAGCACCGCCGCCCCGCTGCGAGCCGCGATGTCCCCAACCGCCATGCAGCCCGCGCCCCGCCGCGCGCCCAGCAGCCCCCGACACAGCTCCGACTGAAGCAGCAACCGCAACTCGGTCTGCATGGCGGCGGGGGGAGGGCAGAAGAATGGGGGGTCAAAGACCATAGCGAACCGTAGAAAACCATCAGTTAGGGCAAAGCAATGGGGATAGGAGGCGGCAGGGTAGAAATGAGGAAGGTGATGGGGTAACTGCATGGGAAGGGGGGAGAAGGGTGCGGAAGTTGTGAGGGGGAGGTGGAGGGGCGCGAGGGGGAAGGCGAGGAGCCACGCGGGTGGTGTCCCACCCGTACATCGACCCAGTAGGCTCCGTACGCGCAGGTGACATGCGGCCCGAACGACGACGCGCATGCTGCATGCATGCAAGCAAGGCCGCTGGAGGCAGCAAACAGCGGCGACCCACAAGCCATATCCTGGCCATGGAGCCCGTTCCGGGGGCTCCTCCTGCTCATCCTCCGAGTTGTGATGATCGGCTCGTGTCCCTTAACCTTCCTCTTGACCTCGGCTCAGAACTATTATAAAGTCATAATCCCCCCACACCCCGCTCCTCCCCCCACGGCACGCCGCTCACCGGCCTGCCGGGCTCAGGTGCGTGCAGCGGCTGGTCGCCCTCCACTGCCAGGGTGGCACACGTCAGCAGGGCGTCCTTGGCGGGGCAGGAGGGCTTGTTGCGGCTGCTGCAAGGGGGAAAAGAGGGGGAAAAGAGGAAGAAAGAATCATGGCATGGGTGGGGCAGGCGCGGCGCCAAGGGACCCGTGGATTCAGTAACGGTTCGGCCCCGACCCAGATCGGGCTTACCCCGCGGCAGAATTGATAACCACGACACGCAGGCGCGTGCCCTGCATGGCGGGCAGCACCGTCACATCTGCGCCTGTGGCCTTGCGGATGTTCCGAACAGTGTCGCCGCCCTGGGAAGGGTGGACAGAGGCCCATGAGCGAGTCTTTGGGCATATATCTTGAGGGTGATGGCTATGGGAATGTGAGAAAGGGCGGATGAGGCCGAGCTTGCCAAGGACGCCGTCGTAGGGCCACCAGAACTGGTCGGCTAACCATGTTGTATCAGCAGGAGAACCCTTAATAAGTAAGACAGCAGACCGCTTGCCTTACCTTGCCAATCACAGCGCCTGCTTGAGTTTCATGACAGAGCAGCCTGAAATGGATGGCCTGGACGGCCATCCGTCCGCCGTCGCCCTTATGGCGCTTGTTCTTCTACAGTCGCAATGTCGAGTGTGTCAGGCATAGCACGCAGCAGCCCTTTCTGTCTTTACAGTTCCTCACCTCCTTGTTATCTTGCGTCCTGTCCTTTTCCTGTGCCTTGCGTTTTGCATCTGCCCTCTCCTTCTCCTTATCTTGCTTCTGACTCTCTTGCTGCTGCTTTTGCTGCGGAGATTTGTCGTCTCCCATGGTCTAACAAGTCCTTCTCACGCACAGGTGATTCAGAACAAGGAGCATCGACGTTTTCCAACCTTCTTTTACAAGTTAGATAGATATCCGACAAGCATTGTGTGAAACGAGAAGTACTTGCACGGCGTATGCACCTTACGACGTTCAGTCCATCCGACAAACCGATCGCAATCGCCACCCACAGTCAACGCAGCAAGAAGAATGACTACATACTAAAGGCTGGCAGGTATGTAGGCCAAGCCTAAACGCTAACGGTACAAGCAAATGGAGCATGCCCGCCGGCTTCGCATACAACGATGATGCGACACGGCCGCATTGTATAGATCATCAGCATTTGTACAACAAAAAATCAATTAGCTTAAGCATTGCAACGCCTGCTTTATGCCTGGTGCCGCAGCACAAACAAGCGCAACCCTAGCCGACACCCAAGGGCGTCCATTTAGTGCTTATGTATATTCTTTATGCAATTCCATCAACCCAACACAACCCCAAAGCCGCCGATCAACATATGAACCTTGAGACCTCGTCAGCACGAAGTTCCGCCAGTCCCAAGCTCAGGCACGGCGTATCCTCGCATCATCCTCACGGCCAGCTTGGCAGGGACGAAGTCTCCTCGTCCACGGGGTTTTCGGGGAGGCTGAGGCGACGCGGCCGGGGCCAAGGGTTCGCAACAGGGCCCTCAGAGAGGCTGAAGCGGCGGGGAAGTGGAAAGCTTGACGAGGTGGTCCTCATCATGTCGCCCAGCTTGCCCATCCACTCGGAAGGGGGTGATGAGCCAAAAAAGCTGCCAGTCGTCTGAGGAGGAGAGGTGCCCAGTGATGCCCTGCGCTCGCGAGCCGCGAGATGTGCCATGTCAACAATGTCCATTTTTAGGTAGCACGTTAAGTGAAGCCAGCTATAGAAAAGAAGCAGAAGCCGTCGTCTCTTGCGAGCAATGGGCCAGGCTTTCCTTAGCAAGACGTCAGGAGGAACGGGGAGGGCACAGGGAGTACAGTTTGTATTACGGTGGATACAATTATATGAAGAAACTTGTCGGCGATGCACATTGATGTACATTTGCGCTGCAACATCCTCGCTGCGAATCGATCCTGTCGTATGTTGTACCGGGCTCAGGCCTGAAGCAGCTGGCAACACTGCTACGACCATTGCGATGCAGAAAACAGATGCGGCTCTTCCTGAGAATGTGCCTGAACGTTTTGGCCTTGCGGCTTGGATAAGGCAAGGTGTTGAAGCTGCTGACTCAGACGTCAGAGCGCGCAATCGGACGTGTGGCACACCAAGAAAGGAGCTGCGAAAGTCTGAAGAATGCATGCCGCTGCTGTGCTTATATGTGCTGCCCTTCGCGCACAAGTAGCTAATGAATTGCAAATGGCGGTTGACGACCTGTACTGGCTGCGAGTGCCTGCCTGCATGTTACAGTTCTCCTATCATGTAAAATATGCCTACCCTTGCAAATTATACGTGGTCACGTCGGTTTCACATGGCAAGGGTTGGCAACCCTACTCAGACTTCATTGCCGTTGACAAATCCTAGCAAAGCGCCGAGCACGGCTTACCACACCCGCTGCCATGGTTCAACATTTCCCTCGCTAGGAGTGCCAGTCTCTTGGGTTTGCGCTCCCCTGAGCTCAATGACAGCAGGACCACACTGCAAAGGGTAAACCGGGGCTCAAACCACCAGTACGCTGGCGTTCTCGGAAAGGAAAGAAACGCCGAAAGCAAGCCCACAAGCCCCGATTGCAAAATGTACTATGATGGTGAATGCATACAAAACCAAGCACCGGAGCCAACACCTACGATAATCTGCGCACGAAAAGGCGTGCACTCGTCTTGCAACCCTTTCCACGCGCGCTGCGTACATGGGAAAGCATGCGTGCCCTCAATATGCGCGCCCCTGCTTCGCCGAACGCCAATACTCCTGCTCAGGACGCTGTAGTGAAATAATAGGCACCATGCAAGTGTCGAAAATATCATCTTGCACTTATCCAACCCCGATCCAAGGACTCTGTCCAATACCCAAGGGGCTTCACGCTTCAGACATATACCTAACACATACACTAATGGCCACACAAGCACTACCCGGCGCGTACCGACATAGTAACCCTTACCCAATACGGCCCCCCCTGCTCCCCAGTATAAGTCTCATGCGTCCCCACATGTCGCTTGTCCTTGGGCGGAAAGGCTCCGGCAGCTACGTCCTACCACTCGTAATCGCAACACTGCTCGCGCTGCAGCTCATGCACGGCGCATCCACCCGGCATGCTCATGCTGGCGTGCACATTGTTTCAGTTGCCCTCACATACGGTCGCTTAACAAAAGAACCCAGTCGCGGCTCAGTCAAGACATCAAGACACACTTTCCCGGCTCACATCGCCCATCCATCTAAACCGCAGTCGTGCAATCACCAGACGCACAGCCCTGCCACCCACTGCAGCAGGCCCATACCCATACTCTCAAACGTTCCATCTTGGTAACATGTACAAACGGCCTTCATGCCAGATCGAAGTCCACATCCAGAATAACTCACAGATACAACCCACATCGGCTACAACCCATACACGACCGCCATCGCAGCTGCCCAGCCCCCTAATCCCCCCGGTGCCGTAACCCCTCACCCTCCGTCTCCGCACGTGCCTCCACTTGCACCCGGTGCTGCACACCCGCGCGGATGCCATGCGCCTTGCCGCTCTTGCAGGCGGCGGGATCCGTGCAGCAGCCCTTCTCGTGCGCCATGCGGTCCGTCACGTACTTGAAGAACGCCAGCTTGTCCGCAAAGGTGTCCTCGCAGGTGGCGATCTTGCCGTACTTGCCCATCATCTGCCGTACATTCTCGGCGTACAGCGCGGGATCCGCCTTCTCCTCCTCAGACGGCGTGTACAGCGGCAACACGTAGCACGTGACGCGGTAGCTGAACTCCGTCATGGTCAGGAAGATGTGCTTGTGGCCCGGCATGCTGTCCCACGTGGGCGAAAAGCGGCCCGACGTGTCGTACTTTAGTACGAGCGGTTGTACGGGCACGCCCGCTACGAATGCCCCTCGTTTGAAGGGCAGCATGAAGCGGTTGTTGGTTGTGGTGCCTTCGGGGAACAGCAACATGGGCAGCTCCTCGGACCCGCCCTCGTGCTTGCGTTGCATGCGGTCTTTAACCAGCTGCGATGGGAGGCAGAGGGCAGGGGGGCAGCAGGGGGGACATGCATGTCAGGTAGTCCGCGTGACACACATGTCTTGGTTGTTAGCGGTAATGTGTTATCAACATGGCTGCAGGACGGTATTGTGATTAAGCCTTGCTGATCCAGGAACGACCCAAATCGCAGCGCGGCGTGCGTGTAGTTGAGGAAGCATTACCGGTGTGCATTTCTACCCTGTGGTGGTTGGAGGCTAAGGTAAGGATGAGGGTAGAAACCCATGACGCACCCTCGCACAGAGCACACGGGTGGAAAACAACGCAATACCCCCGACCCAGATCGGACCCGCAACTCAGACTCAAACACACAGCCAACCCAAGCTGGCAAGCCATTACCGCATTTGGGTCTCTGCACTTGGGCCCCTTTGGACCCACGTTCAACCAGCCACACACCCGTTGACCTCCCCGCACCACACCGTGCCGACCCGGCTGCCGTGCAGACCCAACCCAACAGCACACAGGTCATCCTTTCCCCTGGCGGCTCAGTCCAGTCCTCAGACCCATCCAACCCAACCCAAAAGCGTATTGCGCAGGGCGCCTACCTGGGACATGCCCTGTCCGCCCCCGTCGCCCAGCTTGTCGGACGCCAGCCGCGCCTCTCGGTCCACGAACAGGCACTGCATGGCCTTGCTGATGGGGCCGACGAGCGGCAGCGCGGACACCTCCTTCTTGGCCACGAAGCTGGGGAACAGCCGCGACATGTACAGCACGATGTCCACCCAGCTGAGGAGGAGGTCAGGGAGCAGGGGGCGGGGAGGAGGTCAGGGAGCAGGGGGGAAAGAGAGGACGTGTGGGCGGAGAAGGCAGCGACGATAGGATGCCGGTTGGTTGAGATTGGCTGTCAAAGAAAGGCCCCAGAATTGCTCAACACCCGAAGCTGATGGAACGCGATGTGACGCGCGAGGACTTGCAAAACCGGTGATGAGTAGGGACTGGAACCAACCGACGGACACGTGTAAAGCAACACAGGGTTAGGGCGATGGGGCCTATGGCCCATACCCTAACTGGCACACACATGGCATACGGTACCCAGGCATGTGAATTGCGCACCCCCAAGCCGCCCGAGAATGTAAACTTTAAGGGTGAGCCTATTGCAGGAAGGCCCGCGCAAGTCACCTGCAGTGGTTGGAAACGTAGCCTCCAAACCGCCTTTCCTTGAACCCAAGCGGAGCCTTGCTGCTGACGGTGCCTTCTGGGCTGACGTAGACCCATTTAATGGTCCAAAATCCAAGGCAGTAGAGAACTGCACGCGTCCAGAACCGGCCCCAGAACACCATGTACTTGGTCTTGAAGGGTTCTGACAACGTTGCGTTGCCCAGTAATATGAGCAGGTAGTATGATAGGACACAACCTATGCAAGCGAAAAGCTTTAAGGGCACAAGCGTCAGGCTCAGCACTATCAGCCGCAGCTGCGTAGCAAAGGACTTCGGGTTGTTTGCATAGGTGCCATAAAGGTCACTGCGTTTGAAAGCGTTTGCTCTAATTTCAGGTGGAAGCTGGCCGAGCCAATCCGCGGTTTGCGCCATGTGAGTGGGTTAAACTTGTACTCAAATTTCCCCTGTAAGTCCTTTGCGTTTAACTGCAGTCACCTAGAATACCGCGTATACTTTAGTAACTTTTGTAAAGCTCTACTAACCCTAAGTCCAAGAATCGTTTTGGTCAACGCCGTACCACCAGGCCACGTTGGCCTGAACTGGGATCCTGAGGCGCCAAGATGCAAGGTCTTGGTACTCAACAATATGCTAAGCATTATACCACAGCTCCATCTAGGTTTTAATCCGCCAACGTGCGCCAGCACGCACTTCGATTGACAGCCATGGCCTGAACGCCCCTTGTATGCAAACAAAGCGCGCTTGACGCAGTACAGCTTTCCTGACTGGTACTCCATGAATCAGGCCTGCATTGCAGCGAGGAAACCCTGGAGCAAACCGCTCAAAGCATGGTTGGGACCCCTGGGTCAAGGAATTGGGCTAAGCTAAGGAGCATTAAAGGCAGCCATCCAATTGTTCACGATCCACATTGTTGCTCAACGAGCGCACAAGGGTGACAAGCGCCATAGTTAAGGTTGGTGTACTGTTACCGGTACTGCATTTTTACCGGTGTCACGCTGCAGATCTACAGGGTCCAACGGGGAATGATATTTTCCGCCCAAAAGCTGAACAAGCGCCCTGCTTTACTAGCATAGGGATCAGGTTCGGCTACCTAGCTATGAGGGTAGATAGAGTAATGAACACGCATAAGAGACACGGCGGGTGTTAGCTTCAGCACGGTTCTTCTTACGTTTTCAGAATGGCATTGACCAGATACTGGCAAAGAGCATTTCGTGGAAGGCCAGAGAGCATGATGCAACCATCTGAGACTACAGCTGTTGGCAAGGGGTTGATCCTATGGCGCCGGGTTTAGATTAAGGGTTGCGTACAGGTCACGTACTATATGGGGTTAAGGAGTGCACGAAAGATCTTCCAAGCATTTGCGCTTTGACATTGCGCGATTTCACGGCGGGGTACGTCGGATTTTGGGCACCCTCACGCCTCAGTCATAGACTGCCAGGAGTGCTTCCTTCACATATATAGTGATTATTTGTCGCAGCGAAATGAAGTATGGTGAACCATAACGTGCGTATCACTTTTGCCGTTCGCATAAGCGACGGCATTGCCACCGGTATATGGGCGTCCAGCGTCCTGAGCACATATATCAACGTGCTTGAAGGCGACAATGATCAGGCAAATGAGGTACGCAGTATGCATAAGCTTCTTTTGGAGTTCGGGTTGCAAATGGATGCGGCGATTACGCCCCCGTCGCCGCCTGCCGCTTCCCAATGCAGAAAGTTGGGTACGCTCAGGCTATCCAGGGGACATTCCTTGCGGTTGCGGCCATTCCAGGTGGGCTTTCTATTCGCGCGCTCTACGGGCAACAGTGGGGCTTGGCTGTCGCATATCTCCACTTAACGGCCAAAAAAGGGTTTTGCAACAGCGCAGTCCCCTTTCCTTTTCCACTTTTTTGAAAAGCGCTTATAAAAACTGAACCAAACCAATATAGCCTCCAAACCCTCCTCTTCTCGCGACAGACCCAACATCCGCGGGGCTTTCTCCCAACCCTCCCCAACCTGTCCCACCCATCTAGCCAGCCCTCCTAACCGCGGCCCCAACCAACCACCCCTTCCCCGCCCTCCCCTTCAACCCCACTCACTGCATGAGTCGGGATATGGGATTGGGATTCGTTGTTTCACTTATATAAATTTTTCCCCTTCAACCCCACAACTCTCTCCTTCTCATCTCCCGGCCTTAATCCGCCATCCCACCTGCACCCCTTCTTCTCCTCCTTCTTACACCCTCCACAGCCGGCTGGCTAGCCATCAAGTACCGTCGTGACTCCATCCTCAAGGTGATGGGACTGCTCGCATTCGCCGCTATTGCAACCACCTCCGCTGCGCTGCTGCTGCATGGGCCGTACAAGTACGGGCTGCTGTGCTGCGGACTGGCGCTGTGGGGAGTGGCGCAGGTACTGTACCGGGGGGTGATTGCGGGTGTGGAAAGTAGACAGGCCGCGAGTTGGAACGTTCTGTGATTGATTGATTGACATATGGGTGTGTATGCGGGTGGAAATGCGGGTGTGGGGGTAGGTGGGGCTGACCACGCGAGCAGGAATCAGGAACTCCCCTGGGGTCTCTGTGGGACGATAGGTGTACGACAGTATACAGCCCTTCAGAGATGTGTGTACGGCCTGCTGGCAACCTCCCGGTATGAAACGACTGGTACGCAGCCAGCATGAGAAAAACTCCCGCTCCCGCTCCTGCTCCCGTTCCTTCCTCCCCGCTCCCGCACCCTCCCCCCAGGCCAACGCCCCGGTCCTGGACGCCCTGTTTGCCGACTCCGTACCCACGGGCAACCGCTCCAGGCTCTACACCTGGCTGCACATGTAGGCAACGGGGAGGGGGGGGGCGACAGGGTGGTGGGCAACGGGGGGGGGGCAACAAGTTGGGGGGCAGCGGGGTGGGGGCCGAACAGGGGGACGTGGGAACAAGAATAACAAGGAACGAACCAAAACAAAGTAGCAAGTAGTAAGTACAAAATGAAGCAACGCGAGTCCCAATCCATTCGGCAAAATGCCTACCTGCCTCCCGCCTGCCGCAGGAGCTACATCGTGTCACAGGGTCTGGGTCCCGGCATCGGTGCCGTCATGTTCGCACTGAACGGCAACGTGTGGAAGCTGGAGGTGCTGCAGGTGCGCGTGTCAAGAAAACTGGCCGCGAGTCGGGACGTACTGTGATTGCCGGAAGATGAAGTTCCGCGTGCGTGTATACGTGTGGGTTAGGAGAACTGGCCGTGTGTTAAGAAAACCGGCCGATTGTGTATACAGAGGTGGGTGTGAAGAGGGGGCTGTGAAGGGCGGGTGGCTTGGCTTGCTTTGTGGGTAGAGAGGGGGTTGCGAAGAGGGTGAAGAGGGTACAGAGGCGGCTGCTGACGCTTCTGTTGCTGGTCGTTGTCATCCTCCCTCGCGCCCTGAGTGGACCCACATCGCGTCTCCCCTGCTCCCTTTCTTACGACCCCTTCGTCTCCATCCGCTCATTTCCTGTCTTCCTCTCCGCTCCGTCTTTCACCCCTCCCGCCTGCTTCGCCCCTTGCCCTCACCCCCTGCCCTCACCCCCTGCCCTCACCCCCTCACCCCCGCAGCGTGTGATGCTGGTGGGCATGCTGCTGGCGGCGGTGCCTGCGCTGCTGCTGCTGTGTCTGGATGACGACCAGGCGCTGGGGGCGGAGAGCGAGGGGCTGCTGCGGACGGCGCTGCTGCAGGGGGAGGAGGCGGCGGCGCAGGTGGGGGCCGGCGGTGGCTGCGGGGGCGGTGGTCGACGGCAGCTGGTGGCATGCTGTGTTGAGGCTTGCCGGTCTGTTGCAAGTTTACAACAGCCGGTCATGCCCTCATGCATGTTCGGGGGTTGCGGGGGGTAGCTGCTACTGGCTGCCTTGGTGGCTACTGGCATGTGTTGCGGGCTAGCGGCCACAAGGGGCCAGCGACGGCTGCTGCGGTGTAGCAAGACCGCTTCGCTAACATTACTGTGTTAAACAATAAAGTAATGTATTACGGCACTAGGAAATCTAACACGTGGACTTCTGTACTTTCTGCGGACGGAACAGAAATCAACTGCTGCTGTGTGTTTGTTGCATGTGCCTGGGTTGTGTGCGCGCATGTGCACCCGGTTGCAGGAGGATGAGGAGGCGAGGGGCTGCTGCGGTGGTGGTGGAGGAGGAGGAGCCTCCCCTCCGGAGGGCGACTACCGGCGACCCTTCCTGGACGGCTGGTCGTCAGATGTGGAGTTTGATTTCCGAAACCAGGTGTGTGTTAAGAAAACTGGCCGCGAGTAGGAACGTACTGGGATGTCGGAAGATGAAGCCTCCCACAGAAACGCCACAGGTGTGTGTGCAGGTGCGTTCTACAGCCAGAAGCAGGAACCCCGATCCCGTGCTGTGCCTGCAAGCAACGTGTCGTTGAAGCCGCTCCTTCCCCTTGTCGCTAACGCCCATGACAACGCCGATGTTGCTCTTGTGCGTGAAGACGCCGATGTTGCTCCCATGTTGCTCTCTGCCCCCCCTCCCTCCGCCCGCCCGCCCGGCTGACCAGATGAGCACGGGTTGCAGCCCCGCCCGGCCCGTCCTGCCCCTGCTGGCAGCCGCCGTGACACCCGAAGAAGACGCCCACCACCCCCATCACCACCACCACCACCCGAGTAACGACAACAACAGCGGCTACGTACCACCGGCGCCGGTGTCCTCGTCAGCTGCTGCGGTGGCGCCGGGTGCCGCCGTCACAGCATCCCCAACCGCTGCTGCTGCTGGTGCTGGTGCAGCTGCTCTCCATGGCGCCACGGGTGCTGCTGCGAGTCCTGATACTGCAGCATCTGCTGCTGATGCTGCCGCTTCCCCCGGTGGTCAAGGTGGCGAAGGTCTCCTCCTCGCCCCCAACATCTCCAGCCATGCGCTGCTCTTCTCCCCCAGTGTCTCGCCCACAACGGAATGGTCGGGCCGTACCACACCCAGCGGCATGTCGCCACCCACCGGCGCCATGTCGGCGATGGCTGCTGCGGCGGCGGCGCTGACGGCTGCTGCTGCTGCTGGTGCTGCTACGGCTGCAGGTAGTGACGACGGCAACAACAATAACGGCCATGGTGGCAACAGCGGCAGCAATGTTGTGGGCGCGGCGGCTGCAAAGCTCTGGCAAAGCTCAAGCCTGCAGCAGCAGCAGACGCATCAACAACAGGGTGAGCAACAACAGCAGCAGGCCACGTCAGCGGCAGCGACAGCAGCGGCAGCGGCAGCGCCCAGTTCCGACCCGGCGGCGGCAGCAGCACCGGCACTACCGGCAGCAGCGGCCTCCTCCTCCGCCCCTCCGGCGACGGCGCTTCAAGCACCCAGCGCAGGCGATAACGCTGATACCGACTCCCTCAGCCGTAACGTCAGCATCGGCGGCGGGGAGGTGCCCGCCGTCGCGGCGACGGCTGGCTACGCAATCGCGGCATCGGTAGCGGCGGCGGCGGCGGCGACGCCGGCAGCTTCTCCTTCCAACCCTGCGGCGGTGGTGGCGGCTGACGGCATGGGCGTGGCGGCGGAGGGCAGTGCCGGAAGCTTACGTGGCGGCGGCGGCGGCAGCGGCAGGGCGAGCGCCGGCGGCAGTGCTGGCGGTAGCGGTCACGGCAGCACTGGCGGCGGCGACGGGGGCGACAGCAGCCAGCCGCAATCGGTGTCTGGTTCGCTGCCGTCGGAGTTGTCGTTTAGCAGCCTGCTGGCGCCTGGGAGCTTCAAGTCGTGAGTCGTAGCTGGGGTGGGGTGGGGTAAAAAAGAGGAGCTGGGGAAAGAGGAAAAGCACTAACCATGTGACGATATTCACGTGGGGGAGGGGTGGGGAAGTAGCGGGGCTGGGACTGGCACAGGCATGAGGGGTTCGCGCGGGGTAAACGCAGTGATGCGCGCGTTTGAGGAGGGATGTGCGGTCGCGGCGGGTTGCGATCCGGACAGGGGCGAGTTTCTAGTTTTGAGAGATGCCGCACACACTTTCTGAGGGTGGTCTACTGGTCTTGACCGTCCCCCCGCACAGGGCCTACTCGCGCGCCTTCAGCCGCACAGCATCCTCCAGCAGCACAGGCTCCGGACGCGGCGGCGGAGGCGCCGTCGGCAGCCTAGGCGCCGTCGCGGGCTGCCTGACGGTGGCGGCGACGTCGCCGCCACGTGGGCTGTTGCCGTACCCCGAGGAAGATCCCGCGGCGGCGGCGGATGCTGACGTCAGCGAGGGCCCTTCCGCTGCTTCCCTGGAGCCCCTGCCGGCGGAGGAGGACTCCCCGCCACGGCTGCAACCGCCCATGGCGGCGCCGCCGTCGGTCGCCGTTACGTGCTGCGCGTACGGCAGCGGTAACAGCGACGGCGGAGGCGGAGGCTTGACGGGACTCCCCGCGCCGCCGGCGTTGCCGCCGTTGTGTCGTACCGGCAGCGGCAGACTTGCCGTACATATCCCTAACGGCTGCGGCGACGGCGGCGGTGCAAGCCCCGTGGCACATGCACATGCTGCGTCACGTGCGTGCATGGCGGCGGCCGCCGGCAGTCCCGAAACACCCACGGGTAGCCGTCCCCTTGCGCAACGCTGCAGTACGGCGGCCCCACACCCGCAACAGCAGCAGCAGCAGCCGTCAGCAGGTGCCTGTGGCGCCGCCGCCACTGCTGCAGCAGTGTGGGTAACGCCAGGTCGAGGAGGGGGCGGTGGTGGCCCCGTTGACGACCCGCCGCCGCTGTTATCGCCTGTCAACGGCGGCAGCAGCAGCGATATTTATAGCCGACGGTAAGAGGACACAACAACACGCGCAAGAACCGTACATTGGTTGGGATTCGTGATTGCGGTGGGGTGTTGTTGCTATTGGGACAGTATGTCCGCTTCTCCTGCGCAAGCAGCCCTTGCCCGCATTTTCCACACATCCGCTTGAACCCGTTATATCAAGCTTCTCACACTGCCGGGACTTTCATTGCCTGGGTCGTCGTCATTACCGGGACAAACGGGGCCTAATCCTCTTTCCCTGTTTCCGCCGGGCTCCCCCCACAGCTTCCTTCTTTGCCCCCCTTACTGCCATCCCGGCCCCCCCTACCCCCCCGCCCCGTCCCCCCCGCAGCTTCCTGTGCCTGAACGCCGCCTGGATCCCCGGTGTGCTGGCGCTCACGGACTGCGTGATGGGGCTGGCGTCGGGCATGACCATCAAGTTCTTTCCCATCTTCTTCAAGGATGCGGTGAGGAGGGGCGGGCGGGCGGGAGGATGTGCCGTACATGCATGCACATGCATATGTACGGCACTCGTGTTTCCGCAGCTCAGTTTATCTAACCCATCCTCGCCTCCCCTCACCTCCTTAATTTTTCCCCTCACCTCCGCAGGTGCGGCTGCCCCCCACCTACGTGAACCTGATGTACTGCGCCATCCCGCTGTGCCTCTCCAGCGCCTCCTTCCTGGCGCAGCGGCAGTCGCGACTGCTGGGGCGGGTGCAGACCATGGTTCTCAACCGGGGTGTCGGCATCGGACTGCTGTGCTGGATTGCCTTCAACCCGCAGGTAGGATGGGTGGGTGGGTAAAGAGGAAACACCCGCAGGTGGGTGGGTGGGTGGGTGGGCAAAAATAATGTGCATTATATAAGGATGAAGCAACGGAGTCCCAATCCCATATCCCGACTCGTGTAGAATGGGTGTGTGGGGAAGTGGGGAAATAACTTTAGCCGTGTGATAAGGCATCACGGTGGTGGGGGTGGGGTGGTATAGTCGGCACCGAGACACGACTATGGTTCCATCGGACGTTTGTTCGCCCGCTATATACCTTCCCGGCTGCTTAACACCTGTCTTACCCTCTGTCTACCCTTCCTCTCTCCCAACCTCCTAACCCCCCAGCGCTGGACCGACCCGCGGGTCATGGTCCCCGTCTACATCGCGCGCACCAGCATCATGAACTCCATCTACCCGCTGCAAAAGTCCATCCTCATGGTAAGCCACGCAGCCGGGCTCGCCCGCGTTCCGCCGCTTTACCAAGATCTCCGTAGGTTCTGTAGCGCGGCATGGGAGCATGAGAGCCCCTTTACACCTCGGTACAGAGGTTTGCAAGAGCGTGTGAACGCCGTGCACGCCAGGTTGTGGCACGCAACCCGTGCGATGGGTGTTGTCTGTGATGGTACTACTTACTCGCACCCTACACGTACTGAGTTGCACAGCCCGGTTTTCTCCCACCTCCCGCCCCGTGGTAGTACCACCCCACCTCCAGTCCGGCTTTCTCCTGCCCTTCCCGCCTGCCCTTCCCCCCTGCCCTTCCCCCCTGTCCTTCCCCCCTGCCCTTCCCTCCTGCCCTTCCCTCCTGCCCTTCCCCCCTGCAACTTGTATCCCCCCAGGACTTTGTTCCCAAGGAGCGCCGAGCCGCCTGGAACAGCCTGGAGTCCATCACCGCGTTCGGATGGAGCGGCAGTGCGGCGCTGGGCGGCTGGCTCATCCACCGCTTCGGCTTCCAAGCCACCTTCCTTATCACTGCGGCCATGCAGGTGGGGTCAAGGACCATATCAAACCATAGGAAACCATGCAGGTGGGGTCAAGGACCATATCAAACCATAGGAAACCATGCAGGTGGGGTCAAGGACCATATCAAACCATAGGAAACCATGCAGGTGGGGTCAAGGACCATATCAAACCATAGGAAACCATGCAGGTGGGGTCAAGGACCATATCAAACCATAGGAAACCATGCAGGTGGAGGGGATTATGCAGCTGGGGTGCGGAGGCGAGTCAAGGAAGGGTGACGGGGCCTCGGATGAGGGCGCTGGCTTCTCCTTCGGACTTCTGGCGGTTCTCGACGGTGGTATTGGTTCACTTGCCAGTTGTTAACCCTCTGCTCCTTGCTTGCCCGTCCCTTCCTGCCTGCCTGCCCCTCTAACCCAACCCGCCCTTCCTCCCACCCTCCCTTCCCCTCTGCTGCAGTGCATGGGCTGGGCTCTGTCCATGCTACTGCTGCCCATCGTTCCGCGGAGGGAGGCGGGGCTTCGCGTGCTGGTAGCCGGCAAGAAGACTGCGGTGTCGCCCGCAGCCCGCAGCAACGGCGGTGATGACGTCAGCAGTGAGGGACGTCTTAGCCCGCCGCGGGGGCGTCATGATGTGGCAGGTGGTGGTACGGCAGGTTCGCCGTGTGGGAAGTACGGCAGTAACGGCCGCCAGAGTACCACAAGCGTACGACGTGTGATTAGCGTCCGCTAGGGAGGGCGGGGTTGAACTTGCAGTGTTGCAGGTGATGATGTTTGGGGGTCAGCAAATTGTTTTGAGGTCAGCAGATTGTTTTGAGGTCAGCAGATTGTTTTGAGGTCAGCAGATTGTTTTGAGGTCAGCAGGTGTTTGGAGGTCAGCAGGGTGTTTGTTTTGGATCCAACGGCGTAGCTTTGCGGTTACTTTGTGGCCTATCGCTTGGGCTTGGCTTATTTGGTGCTAATATCACAGTTATTAGGTGCTAGGTGGTGTTTAGGTGTTAGGTATGTGGGAGGCGCGATGTGGCGTGCCTTCGTGTGGTGGGACATGTGCAGCTGGCGTGGTTCAACGGTATTCGAACTGTTTTATGGTAAAGGCGCTATGAATAGCTTGCGGCGTTGGAGGCGGCTAGGAGGCAAGCTCACGGCGTTCAAGGGCGGCGGAGGATGCGCTGGAATCGCAGGCATGTAGCTGGGAGTGATGTGGCGTCGTACAGTCGTACACATCACGCGGTGCTGAGGACCGGGGGTAAAGAGGAAGCAGCTAACTATGACCGTGTGGTAAGGTGTCATCATGGTTTGCAACAGGACCGTGGGAGGTTACAGTGGAGTCGTGGAGGTGCAGTCTACTGTGTACTGCAGGCAGACGGCCTAATGGGAGAACGTATGACTCCCATTAGCTATGGCGTTATCCCGATGGCGTGCTTTGTAAGTATGCTTCAGTTCTCAGAGATGTGGTGCTAGGCTTGCGAGTGGCCAGGTAGACCGTGTAGCAGGTACGGTAGCTACGAAGCACCGGGGGCATGGAGCAGCAGCAGCATTTTAAGGGACTTTCGTTGGGTAGGGCCCTATTAGCCTGTGAGGAGGTGTGGTGCCAAGTTTGCAACTACCAGATTGGGCTACCGGTACAGGGTGTTGCTTAGCAAGGTCCTGCATGGCTAGCGGTTCTTACCGTTAGAGCCTTGCACCTCTTCCTTGGGAATCCTCACCTTGCCTTCCGGTCTGGGATTACTGTAACCGTCATTCATTCCTTCTCCCACTGTGATCTCCTACCGGTATCGCCTTCAGTGCCTGACGATTCTGATATGCTTATGTGCTTCACATGTAACCAGTGGTCTGTCCTGCTGTTGATCTCCGCGGCTAAACCTTCTATGGGACACGGTACAGAAAACGCAGGGGGGAGGGTGTTTGCGGTTGTAAGGTATCATGTACGTGTGCTGCAGCACAGCGGCAGTCGAGTACTGGCAGCACTGCGTGGAGGTACACAGTGCGGGGCGCCTACCAAGGGCGGAATCGGGGTCGAGAGCAGGAGCGTTACCCGACCCACCATCGGAGTCTTGTCTCACGCAACCTAGCCATGCTAGATAAGAGCGCCCGAGGCGCACTGATATACTCAAGCGCTGAGCCGCCCACGTCTCTCATATCTCTTTCGCCTTTTACTAAAGAGATCAGCGAGTGCGGCTCACGAAGGCGCATATATCCATTATTTGTAAGGTCTTTTGACCTACTCCCAATAATTAAATATTGAACCTTTGCACTCCAATGCAGCTATTGTCTCTGCCCTTGTTGCACGAATGGAGAGTACCCTACTTTGAAGCGTGCTTACCATCACATCTGTGTCCTGACATCCCGGGCCCTGCATTTGGAGGCACAGGCATTGGTTATCCCCTTTGCAGTGTGAAATGGTGGCTTGCATGTGTGCACGATTCCCTGTGCTGTGCCGTACGTATCAATCCGCATAGTAATTAGCATCACCCGCACAGTAATCAGCATTGCCAAAGTGTGAAACTGTCCGCGGGGTTAATCCTACCACCTATCTTGTGGAATCCACGCGCAATTGGTTTAGAGTCGCTCTTTTTCCGTGTTCAACTCCTAAAGCTTAAAGGATGGACCCCATCACAACTGCCATCGTATGCATTGAATTCCAGAATGAGTAAGGCAAAGTTCCTGAGGGCGTTTGAAGGCTACTCGATTCTGTTATGCGCTTCCAACCATTGATGGCCGGGTTGCGTTCACAGATTTGCGACTCCCGGTGGCAAACTGCACGATGCCGTTAAAGCAGTCATGGAAAGGTGGGCATTTAAAAGCACGCGACCTACGTTGTTGCGCAAGGGCATTTAGTGCATGGGTTCTTACCAAAGATGCTCCCGCTCTGGCGCAGCACAAACATGCTTGAGAAGATCAAGAAGGTGACCGAGGAGGCGCGGAAGAAGGGTATCACCGTCATCCATGCGCCCATTACTTGTAAGTTACGTTGTAACTGCCGCTACCGGGACCACACATAACCTGACAACATCTGCCCCTCCACGAGAGGCGTGCGTACAGTTCCCTCCTGTGGACTCCCTTCTGTCTCTGCAACGGCCTCCGGGCTGCCACCTGTAGTATCCATCCTCGACTGGGTTGACTGGGTTGCAACACGGAGGCATGTGTATCGCACAACGGACCCGCATCGTCCCAACACCTCGTTTGCTCGCCCGCGATGATTCGACCTATACGCCCTCCCCTCCCCTCCTCTTTCTCCCTCCCTGCCTTGTGTCCTCCGCCATTCTTGTCGTCGCCGTCGTCTTCATGACGTCGCAGTCTCGGATGATTACCATGAGCTGTCTTCCTCGCCGTACGGCATCCTGGCCAAGTAAGGATCAGCGGCGCACTGCGGGTTCTTGTTGCCGTACATATTCACTTGCGTTGCACCCACCCACGACCACAATCTCCACACATCCTAGCGCATGCCACTCACCCTTCCTGCCCTTGCATTTTCCCCCACCCCACCTCCCCCACTCTTCCTCCCCAGCGTCAAGGCGGGCGGCGCCTTCAAGGCTTCCGAGTGGGGTGGCGCCATCTGCGAGGCCATGACGCCCCAGCCGGGGGACGTGGTGGTGCAGGGCAAGCGGGGGCTGTGCGGCTTCGCGTCAACAAACCTGGTAGGCAGGGGTCCGAGGCATACAGCTCGTCAGTCTCCTCTTTCCTCCCGTCATTGCCTCCTCTCCCTCTCTCTTCTCCCCCCTCCGCCCCAGGACTTCATTCTGCGCCAGCGCGGCATCCGCACGCTTGCCCTCAGCGGCTTCCTGACTAACTGCTGCGTGGAGTCCACCATGCGGTCGGCCTACGAGCGGGGCTACCGAGTCATCACACTCACCGACTGCTGCGCGGCAACCAGGTGGGGTAAAAACCGAGCCGCGGAAAGATGGGGGGGGCGGGGTGTGAGGTAAAACCCAGGTGTGTTGGCTGGGCGGGTCAACACAGACAGGCTTGCACGTAGGAGGACTCCGCACGTTAGGGCAGCCAACTGGGTGGGGTGGGGGGCTGAGGCGAAGGAGATGCCATGATGCTGTGGGTGGCCCTAAACCCTCACCCGGCCCCCATGCTGCGCCCCAACCCGGCCATCATGCCGCCTGCTCCCCCCTCGCAGTCAAGAGCAGCACGATGCTGCCGTCAACTTCACGTACCCCATGTTCTCGCTGCCCATGAGCGCGGAGGAGTTCCTGCAGAAGATGACGGAGGCGGCGTAGAGAGGGGGGGAGAAAAGAAGAATACCCAATGTGTTGAATGCTGGACGACGAGCATTAAGACGACGAGCTCCACAGAGAGGGGGAGAGAGGGGGAAGGAGAGGCGTAGACGTAGCCGTAGCTGCTGGCGAGTACATGCTCCTTGTGTGGGTGGTGTCGTGGATATAGCAAGAGCTTATCTTACAAGGTAATATGCTCGGCATGGGGGTTGTTGCTGCTTAAGGTGGCTTGGAATGAGCTTAAAGTGAAACCGAATGTACGTCATGAAAACTGGCAGCGGGTGGCGGTGTGCGTGTTAGCGCAAGAACGCCGAGCGCAACGTACGGTGGCCTTGCACCTTGCAACTCACCTTGCAGGTGTGTCTCTATTGCGTGGTCCGTAGCCATGTATAAATGCAGCAAAGTGCACAAAGGCGTATGGGAAAGAGAGAAGCACACATAGCTGGAGGCCCGTGGGGCCAGCCCGTGTTGCCTGTGTGATTGCAAGTAGCCTAGTAGTCCTACTCAGATATTTGCGAAATGAGTGCAAGTAGAGAGAGTGTGAGGGTCGTGATGGCAGTCGGCGGGAGGTGGGTAAGGTGAGTGTGGCAAGAATTGTTTGGTGGATACCGGTTCGGTAGTGGTTGGCAGTTGGTTGAGGGGCTTGAGGTGACGTACGTGCGGTAGTGGTTCCGGGTTGGCTGACGTGTCTGACGTGTTTCGGGGCATCATCCCGGCAGACCTGTCAGCACTGGCTGGGATCTGCATTGCTTTTGGCCTATCCTCCCAGGTCGGGAAAGGTGCTGTAAGCTCCTAAAGGTAGCTAAACATGCCATCCATCTGGGTGGGGTTGCTGTACTCCACATTAACAAAAAATGCAGTCATCAAGGACCTGCTACCTGGTGCGGGTGGGCTGGGAATGGTAAGGGGGACAGGCACACAGCTATATGGTGGGAAACCGTGCTTGCTGGGGCGAATGATGAAGTGGGAACTCCTGGACTGCTGCAGGCAACTCCGGGATTTGTCTCTGCTGTGGAATGAAGTCCGCCGATTGACGCGTAGTTCAGGGTTAGTAGGGTAGCGGGTGTTATCAAACCACAATCCCGGCCATGTTGGCTGTTGCCGTTGATCATTGTGCTGTAGCCCATCGGTGTACGACATGTCCGTGTGAAGCTACTAGCTGCCAATTGCTATCTTTTGACCTCCAAGCTTTGTACCAAGTAGCTGTATCATAGGAAAGTTTCTCACAAGTACAAGAGAAGGGTCGTTTGCGCCCATTCAGTGCTCGGGCGTGCCCCTACCTATACTTATATGTCGTTACATTCTTTAGGAACACCCTTTCCTTGACCTTATAAAGAATGGATTCTCGAATTACAAGGCTTTCAAAAGTGATCGCGGTCCTACTGGTCGCACTCTACTTCCTTGCGTTCTTCCTACCAGAGACGGTGGATTATATCGCCCTTATCCCCGGGAGGTCAGCAGATCAGCATCCACGCTTTTGGAATATGCGCCTTCTTTCCAGCGAACTCACCAGGGACGCTACATGGTTTTCCTACTTTCAGGACGCTGCCATACGCATGGAATCTCCTGACTTCTGGTTTCCTGACTACCAATCCCTATAAGGTATATCATTCTGTCCTTTGTTTTCTCATTTCGTAGGGTGTGACCGTTGCTGATTTAACCTGGCTGTCGATCCCCGGGTTGCAGCTTGGCTTGGAGGTTATCGGCGTCCTTCTTTTAACACGACTGGTGGAGCCGGTTTACGGTTCGAAGGAGTTCCTGAAATTCCTGTTTGTCGTGGACCTCAGCGTCAACATATGCGTCTTGGTTGGTGTGTATGTCTTCTTCGCCCTGGGACGCGACACCGGTGATATCCTGTGAGTCTTCGAGCTTGAACAATGGAGGGCTTGGGAAAGTCCCGGGTGCGTACAACCCCAAAGGGGCCCCAACTGTTTGGCCTCCTGCACTTGCAGATACACAAAGTTCGGTGGCTTTCACGGCATGCTTGCCGGCATCGTGGTGGCCGTTAAGCAGGTGATGCCCGAGCACGAGGCCAAGCTCTTCCGCTTTGTAAAGTTCAGCTTCAAGGTGAGGACTGCTGCTTGTGCGTGCTGGTACGACACCCACTCCTACCAATCCCTGCCCGTTGTAACCCAGTCCTCTCTCAGCCCTAGCATGATCCATCCCCAATTCATTCATCCACAGCCCCAAACCTTTACACTCCAAACCTCCAAACCGCGTCCAGACACACGTTGCTGGCCGAGTCCCCCACTCCCCTGCTGACCTGCACACCCGACCCCGTGCACCGCAGTACCTGCCGCTCCTATTCGTCACGGCTACCGTGGGCCTCGCTGCCGGTCTGAAGCAGTACATGGAGGTTCCCTTCCTGCTGCTGGGCACCTACAACGCCTGGGTCTACCTGCGCTACTTCCAGCTGCAGCCTGACGCGCAGAGCCGGGGCGACTCCTCCGATGATTTCAAGTTCTCCGGCTTCTTCCCACCACTGCTGGCGCCCGTGATCGACCCATTCGGCTACATCTTTGCCACCGTGTTCCGGTTGCGGCACCCCCCCGCGGAGACGAAGGCGCCCTTTGCCAACGCCTCACAGTACACGCTGCCCATTAGCAATGCCGACGCGAACCGGCGCAGGTGGGTCCACGGAGTAGGGTCTTGGTGAGCTGGTTGGGGCGTCTTGTGGCATGACCTCATGGATGAGCCGCATGACCTCATGGTTTGGGACACATCGGAAGGCAGAGCAGGTAGCCAGGGTAACCAGCTGCGATGACGAGGAAGATGAGCCTAGGGAGGGAAGTGGGTATCAAACCCCGTTCCATCCGCAACGGAGGGAACACCGCGTAACCTGAACATGCGGGTTCCGTGGTACCGGTATTCCACGTGGGTTGGCTGCTGCTAGCACGGATGGGCCCCTCATTTGCTGCTTTCCTCAATGCTGCCATGCAGGGAGCGCGGCGCTAAGGCCCTTGAGGAGAGGCTGGTTCTGAAGAAGGCAGCAGGCGAGGGTGACAGCGAGGCCGTGGGCGTGGAGGCAGCCAGCACTGGCGCACCCGCAGCTGCTAGCACAGTTACCATCCCCACGACCGTGCCGGCTAGTTCGTAAAGGCGTCCACGCTTAGTATTGGTGACGGCTTCTAGTGATTAGGGGTGTATTGACAGCATGTGGTAGCGCCTTTTGTTGAGGAGCTTTGGCCTGTGTACGGCACAAGGAAGCTAAGGATTTCATGTACCTACCGGGCTTGTTGCGGGTCACTATTTAGGGCATGCGCGTAAACTAGCATGTGCATAAAGAAAGAATGGAACAGGGAAACACCTGTGCGTCAACGGGGCATCGCCTTGAGGTGGGGTGTCAATTATTGTAACCCCTGCCCCAGCTACACCTGAGTCTGCCTAGTACCGGTATGTTGTGAGAATGGTAGCACCTTCAGGCAATCGTCCCGCTTAGGACATAGCAGGCGTGCAACAGACTGCTCGTCGCTGACAGTGGACACACGAACAACCTGAACCATTCCCCACTTTTCAGGTCCAAGCGGGCATGATTATTTGGAGCTCCTTGTGTTGGCTTCGGGTGACCAATGTTTACAGTGCCACAAATGCCGACTGAAACAATGTTCAGGTCCTCAAGCGGGGCGCAAAACCATGTCACTGTGCTGGAAGCGGGTTAGATTGCCTACCCATGGTACCAGGCGAAACGAGGCCGTATCATCATGTTGATGGCGGTCGGTGGGCAAGCGCAACTTCCAAGAGTCTTTCTACTCATAAGCGCAATACGTCTCCAACAGGCACAAAACCCCCCCGGTCATTGAGGCCTTCACGGTTTGGTAGTTGTGCACAGTAGCTGTTGGCGACAGCTTGTGGGCCTGGTAAGTCCTACAGGAATGGGTCATGTAGGACATCCCAAGGGCAAACACGCTTAGCAGTGGTGACGGCTTCTAGTGATTAGGGAAGAATTGGCATTGTTGAGGGGCTTTGGCCTGTGAAAGGGTCAGGGCTTTCATGTATAGGCTGGGTTTGTTACCGGCAGTTTGCCGGTTGTTACAGGTCACCGTATAGAGCAGGCGCGTGAACTAGGACGTGTATAACCATCGCATTGCCAGTAAGGCAGGACGAACGGTGGTTGACAAACATGGACTGGATAACGTTCAGGTTATTCCGTGGAGAGTATACCCGTATGACTTGGCTACCCTAAATGAGCTTTTCCTGTGATGGAAGACCAGTAATTATATATCTTCAGAATCCTAACGGTATCAGGCGAAACGTGACTGTACGACTACCGTATCCACCATGGAAGCTGGCCTTGGGGAAACGAGGTATGAACGCAAGGCGCGACGAAAGTACAATGGTAGAGCTATTGCAAGTAAACGCAACTTCCCAACTCGAAGAAGAAAGCAACAAATGGTATTAAACTAACTTGTTATTTGCTTACTAGACGCTGACAAAATGGATAACGAAGGCATAAAAAATATGGCAAATTTTCGGGCGAAATCAGTGAAGTTCGCCGACACCAACGACGAGCCTTTGGTAAAGCGCCTCGGCAGCGGAAGCTTGTCAACAAAGGATGCTGTCAAGTCTGTGAGGAACACGCGTACACATACCTCGACATGGCTAAGTACGTTGCTTTTGCGGGCTGCACAGGAGTGAGAACGGGATTTGGGACATTCACCAGACGCTCACTTTCAACTGCTGGCGTTAACTTCTTGCAGACTCCAGCTCCCGACACCGAGGGAAGCGTCGATGGAGACGCTTCTTAATGCGTTGCAATCCGCGCTATTGGGTGCACGTCCTCAACAAGCGGCTTCCCATCCTCCTTCCAGAAACGATTAAGCGACGATACTGGGACTTCTTTGTGCTCATACTCGTGGTCTGGTCAGCGCTTGTCGTGCCATTTGAGGTAGGGTTCGGACCCATCGGCTGGTCTGGTGACTACGCCATGGAGCGATTGGTGGACGCTTGCTTCTGGGTGGACATCGGTCTCAATTTCCGGACGGCTTACGTCGACCACTCGGCAAACATGGTCAGGGACGGAGGGAAAATCGCAGCACACTACATCCGGTGAGCCCGCCGGGCTTCCCTACCATGTTCATGTGATTCCTGCTGACCAAACCAACAGCTCTAGCAACCTGCGAACGGGTTTCCCACCTGGAATTGGGTGCGCTGTTTCACTCTCCTCTCCTTACTGATACTCTTACACCTTGGGGGCACTTGTTAGCTCAGGCGACACCCCTTTTGCCGTACAAACTGCCTGCCCGTACCTGCCACCATGGAAGCTCCTGCGGCTGCACTGAGCACCCGCCCCTCCCCCATCTGTTCGCCCTAACGTATGTCTTCCTATAGTATGGTCTGTCTCTCTGAGGTCACCACCACCTCCTCAGCCCGCCTCCTCCTCCCTCCACCCCCCACCGAATGCGCTCACTGCACGAGTCGGGATTCGGGATTGGGACTCCGTTGATGCACTTATCTATACCCAGTGCATCCCCACCCCCACCTCACGCCCCCCTCGCAGCACCTGGTTTTTCGTGGACCTGAGCGCCTCCATTCCCTTCGACGTCATCGTGCTGTGGTTCGTGAGCAACATGAGCAGCGAGGGACTCATCGCGCTGGGGCTGCTGCGCACCCCCCGGCTGCTGCGACTGGGGAGGCTGCTGCGCTACTTTGACCGCATGAAGGGAGCCAACATCGTGCGGATGGTGAGTAGCAGGGGTGGGGGTGCGCGATGCGGTGGGTAGGAAGGGGGTAGGACGGTTGGGGCCCGGGGGTCCGGACGTCGCACGTTCGGCTCGACTACCGGTAACTCGACTCCATTCTCACCAGAAGCCTGTCGTCTTGTTGGACGTTGTCATTCAACACATTGGGTTACCGGTATCCTTCCCTTCCCCCCGCTCCCCCCCCCCCGCCCTCCCCCAGGGCAAGCTGCTGTTCTTCATGGCCCTTGTTGCCCACTGGGTGAGCTGTCTGTGGTTCATGCTGTACCGCATGACCCACGGGTCGCTCAACTGGAGCTACGACCTGCTCAGCAACGCCCAAACCATGACCTACTACCTGGAGGCCTACCTGCAGTCCTTTCTGCTCATGATCGGCAACGACATCAGCCCGCAGGTGGGTGGGGGGGTGGGGGGGAACAGTATTTAATTAAAAAAATGAAGCAACTGGAGGGAGGGGGAAGGAAGGGAGGGGTTTAAAAACTCGGTGAACCGTGCACGGAGGAGGCCCTAATTATCTGTCATCCCCTCCTCCTTCCACTCCCACTGTCTCCACTACCCTTCCCCAAAACCTCGTAACCCCACCCTCTAACCCCCACCCACTTCAACCCCACCTCAAACGCCCACCCCCCCACCCCCCCACCCCACCCCCCACCCACCACGCACGGTCAGTTAGTTGTTTCCTCTTTACCACCCCTCCCCCAACCCCGGCCCCCCTCCCCCCGACCCCGAACCCCCCCCCCAACCCCGCACCCCCCCCCTCCCCCCCCCTCCACCCCAGAACAACATCGAGCGGCTGTACTGCACGGGCATCCTGGTGATCGGCGCCTGCTTCTACGCCATCGTGGTGGGTCACATGTCGCTGTTAGTCAACAACATGAACCCCACCGCCTCGCGACACAAGTTCAAGAAGGACATCATCAACAACACCGTCAGGTGGGGAGTGGGGGAGCGGGGTGGGGGAGCGGGGCGGGGGTGGGGTTTGGGTTTGGGATTGGGTTTGGGAGCGGGTGTGTGGTTTTGGTATATCTCTGACCTCCCCACCCTCCGCCAGCCGGCCAGCCTCATTCAACACACTGGGTATTCTTTTTTCCCCACCTCCCACCTCCCCACCTCCTCCCAACCTCGCAGGTATCTGGGAGCCCCCCGCGACATCGCCAGCCGCATCGACCAATACTTCGACTACCTCACCACCTACTCGCACCCGGGTCCCGATGGCATGGCGCTCATCTCGCAACTGCCCTCATCCATGTTCCAGGTAGGGGGGTGGGGGATAACTGAGCCGCGGAAAGGGGGGGTGGGGTGCAAAAGGAGGGGAGGAAAGGAGGAAACTGACGAGCTGTATGACATGGCTATTGGGAAGAGCGGGAGGGGTAAGCATAAGGAAACTGACGAAGCGGGAGGGGGGGAGGTGGTTGACGGTGGTGGGGCTCCTTCTTGCGGATGTGCGAAAGGACTCTACCGTACCCCAGGGAACACACCTCCCTTCCCCCACACCCTCCCTCCCACTTCGGCTCGACTCACGGTTGTTTCCACCAGGGCTTGTTTCAGCTAGTTTACCACTATCACACCACGCCTTGGATCCCGCCTCATTCCCTAACTTTGCCCTTTATGGTTTCACATGGTTTGGTCTAATTTGCCCCCCCCCTCTCCCAAACACCCCTCCCCCAGGACATCGCCATCTGGATGTACCGCGACCTGGTGACCAAGGTGCCGCTCTTCAAGGAGTGCGAGCCCGCCTTCATCGCGCAGCTGGTCATCCGACTGCGGCTGGCGGTGTTCCTGCCCAGCGAGGTGATCTTCCGGATCGGAGATGTTGGGCACGAAATGTACTTCATCACAAAGGTGGGGGTTAAATGAAAGGAGGGGTGAGGGTAGGAGAAGGAGAACCCCAATGGGTCGAGGGTGGGGGTGGGGGTCAGGGTGAGGGTGGGTGAGGGGTTGGTGAGCGGGTGGAGTTGATAGGGTAAGTGGTCGCTGCTAGGTGAGCTGACAGGCAGGCAGGGCTGGGTCTTACGTCCTCCACCCATACGGTACGGCACGCACTCTCCCTTTTGTGCTCACTTGTTCTTGCAACACCATTACTACCAACCCATCTCTCATAACACCCCCTCTCCTTATTTTTACCCCCTCCCCCCCCTCAGGGCCATGTTGCTGTGCTGAACGACAACGGCGAGATGCTGGCGGTGCTGCACAAGGGCGGCTTCTTCGGCGAGCTGGCGCTGCTTGCCACCGCCCGCCGCACCGCGCAGTGTGTGGCGCTGTGCCACTGCGACCTCACACTGCTCATGGCGCACGACCTGGTGGCGGCCATGAAGGACTTCCCGGACTCGGCGGAGAAGGTGCGGGGGGGTGGGGGGGGGAGAGGTTGGGGAGAGGTTCGCGAGGCTCGAGGAAGAGGGGGGGGATAACTGTCGCCGGACTCGGCGGAGAAGGTGCGGGGGAGTGGGGGGGAACAATGAACTAAATGACCATGGAGGAGGTCGGGGTTGGGGAGTGGTTGGGGAGGGGTTGGCGAGGAAGGGAGGGGGAATAACTTGATTGAAGCCCTACGTTTATTTTGCTCCTTGCTGTATTGGAGTGGGTTTGATGTAACTGAGTGTCCTTACTATCACCTCCTTCTGTTCATTGTATCAGCATCTGCTCCACTAACTTGCTGCTCCGCTTCCTTGTTGCCTACCCAGGTTCGCGCCCACGCAGTGAAGCGTCTGAACGACATGCAAACAGCGGGCAAAGTAGCGCGCGAGGCGCACGCCTACCCTGCTCCACGACACCTCAAGAAGCTGAATCCGGCGGCAGCGGAGGCGGAGGAGCAGGCGGCGGCGGCGGGCGCTGGCGGAGGCGGAGGCGGCGGCTCCTTTGGCGGCGGCATCGCGTCACGTGCGATGCTGTCATTGATGAGTGGTGCACATGGGGGTGCTGGCGGAGGCGGCGGTGGGGTTAGCGGTGGCGGCGGCGGCGGAGGAGGAGGTGGTATGGCAGGTGACGGCGACGGAGGCGGCGGAGAGCACTTGGCGACGCAGCGGCGGCCGTCGTCCGGGAATCCTGACGCCGTTGGGGGCGCTGGCGGCGGCGGGGGAGGTATGGGTGGTGGCGGCGTCGTCCGGGGTATTGCGGGTAGCGGTGACGGCGCTGGTGGCGGCGGCGGCGAAGGTAACGCCGGCAGCGGCGGTGTTGGGGATGCCAGCGGCGGCGGCGGCGGCGGCGGGGGTAGCAGCAGTGCAGCGGACCTCTCCGCCAGTACGTTGCAGCTGGTGGAGCAGGTGCAAGCCACCATCAGCAGGCTGACGGGCAAGATTGAGGCCCTGCAGGTGGGTGGTGGGGTTTGGGTTCGGTGGGGATTCAGGTTCCGTGGGGTTTGGTCTCGGTGGGGTTTTAGATTCGTTGTCGGCTGTCTGCAGCCTCTTGTTCCTCAAACTAAATCAACTCAACTTCCCAAACCCCTAAGCCTTAACCCCTGTTGAGGTGCTCTATATTTCCCCAAACAATACCGCCGCCGCCCCGACCCAATCCTCACTGCTATTATTGTTGCAGGGCAAGATGGGCAAGATCCACACGCGGTTGGGTCGGGTGGAGGCCAACCCCAACATCTTCAACACCGGCCCCCCCATGGGCCCCATGGCGGGTGACCCGGGCGGCGCGGGGAAGAACATATTCGATGTGGACTTTGCCGGCGGCATGTGAGGGCTGCTGCGGCGGTGGCGGCGGCGGTGGCGGCGGTGGCAACACACGAGAGAAGCAAACAAGCTTGTGGGCAAGACCCAGGACCCAGGACGTGCATGCGTGAAGCGAGAGCCGAGGGATGGGTGTCGAAGCATGTCGAGGCTCGCGTCCCTGCAGCACCTGCCAACCCCTACCTCCAACACCTCCCAAGTCGTCTAACACCTCCTTCAAACATCTCCCCATACCTCCTTCAGACACCTCCCAACACCTCCCAATTCCTGCCTCCAACGGCCCCGGTACCGTACCAGCAACGACTGGACCCATTCCCCTCCTTTCCCACGCCCTCCACGTTCCGCTGCCCCCGTTGTCCACGACCTCCAAGTTGCACTCTGCCCCCCTGTCCGCTGCTCCAAGGCTGCTTTACGGCCATGCGACGCGGCAAACAGCGGGAACGGCTGCGGGAGGGAAGGTATGTGGATGTGCTTGGTTTTATCGGGGTGTTGAGAAGGACTTGGGATTTGGAGAGGGACGCGGCGAGGGACACGAAGAGATGTACACGGCCCACAGACATGTGTTAAAACCAACTGGCCACAAACATATGTCTGGAAAGAGAGAGAGGAACGAGCAGGGGGATTATTTGGTTTCCTGTCGAGCAGGCTGACCACTGATGTGGACGGATGCCGTGACGTGGGGCTCCGGATGAGTATGATGATGGGGCGATGTTTTGACGGGACTGTTGCTCGGATTTCGGAGACGCGGGAGAGAACGTCCGTACACCTGCCGCACGGCTGCCGCCGCCGGGGCGTTGCTTCGCGGCTGTCGTACGGTTATTTCGTTGGGTTTCCAACCGAGTGGCTTTACACAAGGATTTTCGGTTGGTCGACGAGAGGACGGGACATGCACAGCCGTTTTTTGTTCCGTTTCGGTATGGAAAAGGTTGAAGGGAGGGCGATTTTGGAGAGGCTGTTGGGGTGGTTGGTGGTTTGATGATGTGTGGATAAGGCCCCCGTGGACCAAGTGTGCGCAACCGACGCGCAACCGCAACGGCCAACATGCTGCTGGTTAGCCTGCAGTCGCTTGAATGGCGCCTATGGTGCACTACCGGAGCGAAGATGTTGGTTGATGTATGCGGACGACGATGTGGATTTGAGAGGCGTTACTGAGAAGTGTTTGAAGGAGGGGATGAAGCGCATTTCAAAATAGGCACACAACACGCGCATTTCACGCGCATTTGGGTTGGCGCGAGGGAGGGTAATGAATGTGAAGGATGCAGCGACGAGGGGAGAAGGGAAAGCTCTTACAATGCTGGTTGACCATACACGCCTTGAACGTCTGGGGGACTAGGAGGAAACTCTTTAATTCCAAGGGCAGATGAGTTGCTGTTGTTGCTGCTGGTGGTACATATATGAATATTTGGCCTCACCGTCACCTTGTTAAAGTGCTTGGTGTGCATCGTTGCAGCGTATTGCGCCCTTTCTAGTGTTTAACGTTCGTCTGTGTTTCCTCAAAAAAACTTTACATCAGGGACCCGGCGGCAATGTGAAAAGCCCCACTTGGCGTCCCGTTATATTACTTGATGCATTACTTGATGTGCTGGATATGTAGGAGTGCTCAATTTTGTTGGTCACGTGGCGCATTGCTTTGGTCCTGCTGCGGCTCTTTACAGCCTGATGTGTACGGCAATGACGGTGGCTTGTTTATGGAGGGTGCGGGTGGGTAATCTTGCTGGCAGTGTGTTCAGGAGCTGCATGGGGGCTTTGTTGCATTGGCTCGTTTGCAATTTATTAAAGGTTGGATGTCGGGGATATGTAGAGCTGTGCTGGTATGCTGCTATTAATAACCCTGTCCTTTGCATGGTACGGTAGTATTTTCGAGATTGTGTGTACGACACGGCGAAGAATATATGACAAGTGCTGCATCCGGTATGTGATCCCGGAGCGGTTTTACTTGAAACTTTGGTCGTGTCGTACATCGTACAACGTACGGCAACAAAAATATCTGTCTCGTTCTAGCGACACTTACAGGAGGCATGCTGTCGGTGTGGAAAGAGGCGGGCGGTATCATGGATCTTAGTTGCTCACAACTGTTATTGTTCACAACTGGTTAGCGACTTAACGGTAGTTGCATACCGGTATGTTAGTTACATTACCGCAGGCATTTGCCAGTACAAGTGGACTTGACGGAAAAGGGGAAGAAGATGGAGTTGGCTCGAGGATGAAGAAGAGGAGAATGTCGTGAGAGTGGAAAGGCACCCAGGGGTTCTTTTGGTTTATTTGGTTTTGAGAAGGTGAGGGAGTTGCCTCGAACGAGTAGAGACGAGCCGTGTAGAAGGGCCATGCAATCGCCATGATGGTGAGGGTGACTTTCTTGGTACACCACCGCGTGTGTGTAGCAGGGGTTCGAATGCTGAGACCGAGTGGTCATATGCATAGATTTTGTTTGACTCAGGACTGTCAGGACTTGTCAATCCTGGAGGGTTGCGCTGATGGATAGGGAACCCTCCATGACCTGTTTCAAAGGAAGGGGAAGGAAACGGGTGGAAAGTGTTGGACACACCAGCTGACGACCTTGGAGCGTTTGACACCCATGGCGAAGGAGTGCGGTAAATGACGTGAGTTGTGGCGTGAGGAAGCCGTCGAGATACGGGGTACGTCTTTACAAAAAGTCGTCTGCCGTTGCTTTTATGCAATTTGTGGTATTGGGCAGGACGACATGAGCTGGGGTTGGCGAGTGCTTTTGTGGTTCAGTGCTTGCATTTAAACTCGTACGCTCGCGGCCAATTTTCTTAATACACACGCTGCAAAGAGGGGGATGTGAACCCCTCGTCTTGAGCGTGTTTTCTTTTGCATGCACCCCCTGGCGGCTGGTTGCCTCTTTTGAGATGTATGTTCCAGGCATTCAGGTTACAGATCGCGGAAGTGTTTGACCGTTTGACCGTACGACGGCACATGCGATGTACGGCGACGGGAATTCGAACGCGAGTTCGACAGAAGTAGACATGAGAGGATGTGCTTGACACGGGGATGCCTGACGACGACACGTGCTGTCGTGACGCGGCACACGATCACACTTTGCATGAGGTGGTGGTGAGGAAAGTGGTTGCCCGGCGGAATCCTTGATTGCAATGTTGGAATGTGAAGTTGGCAGGAGCTGTAGGGGCTGTGTCCAAACTGCAAGAGCATTGAGTTCATATGGGCATGCATGGGCTGTTAGGCGCAGGCGGAGAGTGGGCCCCCGCATACAAAGCATGGGGTGTGATCGTTCGGACTGCTACTACATGGTATCATGGGGTGTGAACGTACGTATGACACTGAACGCACATGGCTTGGGCGGGTATTCACATTGCGATCTGTATGTGCTGACAAAGAGCTGGGTTTGGTGAGGGGCACCTGAATATGCCATTTCGTATTGCATCGGTGTTTGTACTGATATGTGTGCTTTGAAGACATGTATTGCTGCTGCTGTAGCAGGAGTGGAACAGGGACGGCTCGTGCCACGGCACGGTTCATCGCTTTCCATAACAGCTGTGGGTTCCCACGTGTAAGCTTGATTGGGGAAATGTAAACAAGATGCTGTGAAGATGCCAAAATGCTTACCCTGCCATCTGCTGGAGGTCCCTAGGGAGGTTTGTACGGCAAACCCGGAACCCCGCTGGTTCCAGAACCCTTTCCGTACTCCGCGTGTGAACGTTTTAGCACATCTGCACGTACGTAAATGAATTCACCCCTTCGGTGCGTGGATACCTTTCATTCTATTGCACCCATATTAAGGAGTATGCTTTATCATCATCTCAGGCACTTGCAAGTCCTGCATATCATCATGCAACGCCAGGCACAACACAACCCTACAAGGCTTTGCTCTTTCTTCCGCCTTCGTGCAATAGGCCAGTAAGCCACAAGGCCGATGCAGCACCACACTTTCTACACCCCTCACAACACACGCTACACACAATCCGTCACGCTAATGGACCGTCGTTTTGCATGCAGCCATTCGCACCCGCATGCTGCTCATATGCCTTCGAAGGCCGGCCACGCAAGAAATTACTTCCTTAGTTGTTTAATGTATGCTTCACCCAGAAAGGAACCCGTAGTCAGCACCCTTGCACGCGGCTCAGTTTACCCTTGAACCCGGATGCATCCGCGCGCCACTTCCTACCTTCACAACCGAAAGGCCCTCCTGGAGAGCCGAAAGACCCATGGGTCAGCGAAGGGGACACAGCTGCAGCAGCAAGCAGAGAGGGCAACAGCACCTGGCCGCCTCCTTCACGTGCGGGTTTACAGCAGCATACGTGACACGTTGCCCTCGCGGCCAGTTTTAACGACACGATGCATTCCGTGCAGAAGAGTGTACCACTTGTGTGGAGGTAAGACACGCCAAACATCAACACGTGCAACATGCGCGTGTATTCTATTACGACACTCCTCCCCGTCGCGCTTATCTCGTGGTCCTTCTTTCTCAAAAGCACCACCACCGGTTGTTACGGTGTCACACACGTTATTATCATGCACGAGCAGCAGCAGCAGGCCGTCACGCGGCCCAGCCCAGCCCAGCAAGCACCAAGCAAAAACCTTCCATGGTGACTGTCTTGACACACAGCACAGCACAGCACAGCACAGCGCACATCACACGCACAAAAGCCGTCACCAAACGGTTAACTCCAGCCTCCTAGCCCACACCTGCTGCCACACCTGCTGACACACATTCCGACTCGCGCCCAGTTTTCTTTACACACCTGATGCTAACGCTTACAACCCATTGCCCCTTCGCCAACCACCAACCAACCAACCACCTCCTCCCTCTTCCTCTTTGCCTCCCTCCTGTTTGTCTCCACCTCACTGCCCCTCCCCTTCCGCCGGCGTCGGCTCCTCCTGCTGCGGCGGGGTGGCAACCGGCTCGGCGGGCAGGAACTGCGCGTTGGGCTGCACGTCGCGACACACCTCCATCAGCCGGGCCCACTCGGGCGCCCCCAGCTGCACGTACTCCTCGTCCTTGTAGTTCTCGGCGGTGAGCAGCACGGGGCCGTGGATGCTGTCGGGCTGCACCTCGGGGGGCTCGTCTGGGGGTGGGGTGGGGTGGTTGGGGTGGTTGGGGTCAAAGGCACACGAGAACCACAGGTTAGGGCAAAGAAATTGGGATAGGGTAGGGGTGCGGTGGGGGAAGGGTGAGGGATGGAGTGGGAGGAGTTGGAGGTAGGGGGTTCGGAAGGGGTGCATGGGAATGGCTTCGGAAACAGCCCAGGCTTCGGGACTTATCGGTGCTGGTTTAGCGTGGCGAGGGGTTCAGGGAGTGAGTAAGGAGTTGTACGTTCTTCTGCGTGCGTGCGTGCGGTACCGGTATTGTGAGTTTGGGAGCAGCATGTTCTGTTCGGTGTGGTGCTGACGTAAGGCAATTCGAATACAAGGATGCACCACATTTATTACTACTTTAAATGTACGGCACGATTGTACGATGACTTACTGGGCAGGTTGGCGATCAGCCAGAGCTGCGTGGCGTTCGTGTTGTGGTCCATCTTGTGCTGCGGAGGGGGAGGGAAAAAGACGGGTGGGGTATTAGAAAAAGGAAAGGGAGCGCAGGGTGAAGGTACTGAGAGCGACGGACTGACTACCCGGTACAGCGCTGCGCGGCGGTTGGAGGTGTGTTGTGAAAAGGTACCGTAGTAATGGTGGGTTTAGTGAATGATTTAAAGTGTTACGGCTGCTTTTCAAAGCTTAGTTTGGTTGTTGGTTAGATCGTTGCAAGGGTAAAGGACTTACCGCGATGGCATCGAGGTCTATGTACATGTGGACGCTCCAGCCAAGTGCCTTCTCAAACATTGGCCTGCGTAGATGGTTAAGAAGCTGGTTGTAGGCAACGGCGTGGATTGAGGGTGATGAGGACGAAGGGACATGGCAGCGAAATGTTCAACCAACTTCCGGCAGAGGCACGCAAGGGTGCTGTTTAGGGTATGACCCCACTCCACTCGACAAAGGAACCACGTTCACTTACAAGTGAAAGCAGCGAACGCGCTCGCCTTCTGGCAATCCAAGCAGCTCAGCTGCTTTCGCATGGACGTCGGGTACATTGCGTATGAATGTCACCTAAGCGGCAAGAAGTAGAATTGAACATGGTCACAACAGTTTGGGATGAATGACGAATATGTGCTGCATCAAAATGATAGCTACGTGCAAACTTCCACGCCGATCGCACGTCAGCGCGGGCCTCGCTTGAGAAAACAGATCGCGACCCATCGTTCCTATCGTGCAACTTCTAGCACGAAATATGCAACCGTATAGGAATGTACCGGATCTGTCTGAATGCTGCTTAACCGAGGTTACACGTGCTGGGATGTGGCAACCCCTCACAGTAACCCGAAGGTACACGCGACACTAATGACAGCCCGGAATAGCGACAAGCAGTGACACCAGAGATGGCACCTACCGGCTTAACCCCGCTACCGGAGTTGTCTGTGTCCAGCACGAGGCATTGGCTCTCGTTCTTGTACTCAACCTCGGTCTCTGCCTCAGCCATTTCGATCCTCTTCTACCGTATCAGCTGCTGCTGTTGGCCTTTCCCGAGGCTTAGCGTGATATCTGTGGTTCGGTCCCGAAGTCGTAACGACGCTTATGCAGGAGAACGCTAAACTTATAATTGATCTAGGGTAGGAATATATGCAGATGCTAGCTGCATAGTAGTTGTTTCCAAAGCGAATGGTTCAACGCGCGACTGCCCCACACGAGAGCTGCTCCGAAGCCAGGAACGAACAATTAATTCTGAAGAACTCGGTGCAATGCTGTCCGCAGCATGAGTGCACATTGAAGAAGCCCCTAGACCTATCAGCAATTGCTTACAAGACTGTGTTTGAAGATGCAAATCACCCTGGCGTTTTCAGCAGCTCTTCTTGGAGGCTAAAAGCCAGGCATTTTACCACGTTAGTAACTGTAGAGATTTTACTTCGAATTTAGAACCTGATAGCCTGTTTCAGCCCTAGCTGTCCGCCAAGCATCCAATACCCAATCCCGCTGCAAGTCACTAGCAGTCATGAGGCGCGGCCCAGGCATCGCGGGGCTGCAACATGCCGCTCGAACAAAGGTATGGCTTTACTCCCACACTCTCTTCCCGCTGTCTCCCAACTGCCACATGTCCCTCCGACATTTCCTCTGCTTTACCCAACGTCCATTCCCGAACGTCCTTACCCAGCAGTGAGCTCGTACAGCCTCAAAGCGCAACTTTCCGCTCCTCCATCCCACCGTCCCTCGCCGCCCTTCCCTTCTCCGCTCCCCTCCCCACCCTCCCCAGGAGCAGTACAAGCTTACGGGGGCCGAGGTCAAAAAGAACACCCTGCAGGTCGGGTCCTTCTGCATGTGTGTGTGATGCAGTATGGCAATCAAAGTACGTTCCGACTCGCGGCCGGTTTTCTTAACACTTTGTCTTGTAGCACCCTGCCGCCTCCTACCCCCATTTTGCTTTGCCCCAACCTGTGGTCTCCTATGGTTTGGTACCTGGTCTTTGAAACCCCCCCCCCAGGCCATGCACGAGCAGCTCTCCTCCTTCCGAACCCACCTCGAGGAGTTCGCTCGCAAGCACCGGGCCGACATCCGGCGCGACCCCGCCTTCCGCGCCGCCTTCCACTCCATGTGCGCAAACATCGGGGTGGACCCGCTGGCGTCGAACAAGGTGGGGGGGAGGTGTCAGAAGTAAGGATACTGACAAGGTGAGGGGGGGAGTGTGTGACAAAGCGGGCCGCCAAGGTAGATGTGTTGTGAAAATTGACCGCCAAGGTAGGTGTGCGTGGGTAAGGTTTGTGTGGTGGGGGCGGGGTGCTAGGAGGGGTGTTACAGTGCGTGGTGAGGTGTGTAACGATAAGAATAGAATAGGTGGGCAAGGGTGGGTGGGATTGCAACCCGGCGCAAATGACCGCTCTTCACATTCCTCTCCACCCCCCGCCCCGCGCCGCCCCTTGTAGAGCCTGTGGGCATCAGCACTGGGTTTCGGAGACTACTACTATGAGCTGGGGGTGCAGGTGAGGTGTGGGGGGTAAATGTTAAGGAAACTGACGAACTGTATGATAAGGATCCACTGACGAGCTGTATGAACGGGGGGGGCGGGGGGCCGGGCGAGGGGCGTCAGGGAAGACCAAACCACAGGAAACCACGAATTAGGGCCCACAGCAAGTCGCTGCTGTGCCTTTCTTTGTGCCGCCACCCTTCCGCCTCCTAACCCCATTTTGCTTAGCCCTAACCTGTGGCTTCCTATGTTTGGGTATGGTCTTTGACCCCCGCCCCCCGCCCCCCCCCCCTCACTCACGGCTCGACTCACGGTTGATTCCACCAGGGATTGTCAGCAACTTATATCATTATCACACCACACTTTGGAATTTCTTTTTTTCCTCCCCCAAACACACACGCCAGGTTGTGGAGGCCTGCCTGGCCAGCCGCCCCCTCAACGGCGGGCTCATGGAGCTGGGTGCGCTGCTGCGGGCAGTCAACAGGCGGAGGGGGGCGGCGGGGGAGCCGGCCAGCGAGGATGATGTGGTGAGGGGGGGGGTGTAAAAATAAAGAAACACTGACAAACTGAAGGGGGTGTGTGGGGGTTGGGGTTGGGGATTGGGATGAGCTGTGGTCGTTTTCGAAATGCGCTCCGCATCCAACATGTCGGTCAAGTAGCGGCGACAGTGTCCTTGGCCTCCGCCCTGTCTCGGCTAACTGCAACTGAAGGACATTTGCCTGGTATTTCGTTTGCCCCTGCCTTCAACCCCTCTGCCCTGGCGAAGTACCTCCCACCCGCCCCCCGCCCCCGCCTCGTCAGTTTCCTTATTTTTACCCCCCCCCCCCGCCCCCTCCTTGCCCCGACCCGCATGCAAGGTTCGTGCCATCAAAAAGCTGGCCGTGCTGGGCGGCGGCTGGGACCTGCTGGTCCTGGGTGGCCGCTGCTTCGTGCGCTCCGTCCCCGGGGAGCTAGACACAGACCGCACCCGCGTGCTGGAGATGGCGGCGGGGGGCCAGGCGGGGGGGCAACAGGGTGGCGGTGGCGGCAGGGGGTTCACCAGTGTGGGTGAGGTGGTGGCGGTGACTGGCTGGCCGGCCAGCCGAGCGGAGGGAGTGCTGCAGGTGCGCGTGTGTTTTAAGGAAACTGGCCGTGTGTGGGGGCAGGCGGGAGCATGGGCGGGGGTATGCAAGTAAGGAAACGGACGGGGCGAGGGGTGAAGAAGGAGGAGGAAGGACCCTTCTGGAAAACACTAACCCTGCCTGCAACGTGTCTAGGCGTGCCTCCTAACCCTGCCTGCAATTGCCTGCATCCACACCGACACGACGTGTACCATCCCCCTTTCCCCTCCCCCTCACACCCTGCCTTCGGTAGGGGAAGGGAAGTGCGGAATATGTATCCCTGTTAATCCCCCCTTTGACGCCATATCACACAGTCAGTAAGTTGTTTCCCCCTCCTCGCCCCGCCGTCCGTCATGTCACCACCGCAACGCAGGCCCTGATGCGGGAGGGTATCGCCTGGGTGGACGACGGGGCGCCGGACGGAGTGCGGCTGTACTGGTTCCCCTGCCTGGGTCCAGGGGTGGCGCAGCAGTCGACTACGTGAGGAGCTGGAGGGGAAAGGGGAGGGGGAAGGGGAGGGGGAAGAGGGGAAGCGGGAAGGTAGAGCATGTAGAGCATTGCATGGTCGACTGTGCGTATACTGGATAGCGGACCAGAAGTGAGAGCCAACGGTAGGGCCTAGCAGCACTTGCAATGCTGGACTACCATTAAAGCGTTGCGGAAGGACAAGTCATGGGTGGCCAACTAGCCATTGCTGGGTAGGGTGTGGGCGCTTAGGTGTTAAGGGTATACGAGTCGAGTGCTCGCTTTCTTCTTGTCCAGAGGTGCTGGGCTCGAGGGGGTAGTGATGTCGGAGGTGGTTGGTAACGCGGTTCACTTTGCGTGGGGCATTACTGTAGCACGCAAGACGCTAGCAACAGCTCAGAGCGTGCAGCAACCGATTGAACACCAGGAAACCCTTTGCCAAGTGCTCCCAACATTGCGTCCTACGCTGCTGGATTCGCGGGGGTGTCTCTGGGACGCCGCTAGGAATTTGGGAATGTAGAGGGCGGCATCAACAAAGATGCTGCGGTTCAGTCATGTAAAAAGCTGACATGTCCGCCAACCAGGTGGAATCGAACCACTAGGCCTCCCGGCCTCTACGGATTTGAAGTCCGCACCCAACACCAGTCAAGTTCGGGTTGGCATCATCGGGCTTTGAACTAACGACCTTCCAGGCATTAGGAAGTGCATTGTGTGGTTGTCCGCAAACCACTGTTCCAAATTGTCAATCATCTGATATATATAAAGACAATAAGGGCGAAATCCTGGGGAAGTCAATCCTATCATCTCGCCCCTTCCTGTCCAGACAGACAGACTAATTTGCCCACCCATTGACCCCTCAACGGACGGACCAGGGGACCGTGCTAAGTAATCCCTGCCACCTGGACCTGGAGGGAGAGACCATGAGCTGATGGGTTCGTGTGCGGCATTGGTGCGGGGAGTGTGAGGGGTTGGTGCGGAGGTTCTTTGGGGTTGGTGAGGGATTAGTATGGGGACGCACGGTGCGGGATTGAGCGGGGTGGGCAGGGGGTTGGTGCGGGGTATGTGCGGGGTCGGTTCGGGATTGGTAGTGCTGCATGCAGATCTGGTGCGGGGAGTGTGAGGGGTTGGTGCGGGGGTTTTGGGTGCTAGGTCGGCGGGTGCTAGGATCGGTGGGTGCTAAGGTCGGCGGGTGCTAGGTCGGCGGGTGCTAGGTCGGTGGGTGCTAGGTCGGCGGGTGCTAGGTCGGCGTGTGCTAGGTCGGCGTGTGCTAGGTCGGCGGGTGCTAGGATCGGTGGGTGCTAGGTCGGCGGGTGCTAGGTCGGCGGGTGCTAGGATCGGTGGGTGCTAGGTCGGCGGGTGCTAGGTCGGCGTGTGCTAGGTCGGCGTGTGCTAGGTCGGCGTGTGCTAGGATCGGTGGGTGCTAGGTCGGCGGGTGCTAGGTCGGCGGGTGCTAGGATCGGTGGATGCTAGGTCGGCGGGTGCTAGGTCGGCGGGTGCTAGGTCGGCGTGTGCTAGGTCGGCGTGTGCTAGGTCGGTGGGTGCTAGGTCGGCGGGTGCTAGGTCGGCGGGTGCTAGGTCGGCGGGTGCCAAGTCGGCGGGTGCTAAGGTCGGCGGGTGCTAGGTCGGCGGGTGCTAGGTCGGTGGGTGCCAGGTCGGCGGGTACTAGGTCGGCGGGTGCTAGGTCGGCGTGTGCTAGGTCGGCGTGTGCTAGGTCGGCGTGTGCTAGGTCGGTGGGTGCTAGGTCGGCGGGTGCTAGGTCGGTGGGTGCTAGGTCGGCGGGTGCTAGGTCGGCGGGTGCCAAGTCGGCGGGTGCTAAGGTCGGCGGGTGCTATGTCGGCGGGTGCTAGGTCGGTGGGTGCCAGGTCGGCGGGTACTAGGTTGGCGGTTGCTAGGTCGGCGGGTGCTAGGTCGGCGGTTCCTAGGTCGGCGGGTGCTAGGTCGGCGGGTGCTAGGTCGGTGGGTGCCAGGTCGGCGGGTACTAGGTCGGCGGGTGCTAGGTCGGCGTGTGCTAGGTCGGCGTGTGCTAGGTCGGCGTGTGCTAGGTCGGTGGGTGCTAGGTCGGCGGGTGCTAGGTCGGTGTGTGCTAGGTCGGCGGGTGCTAGGTCGGCAAGTGCTAGGTCGGCAAGTGCTAGGTCGGTGGGTGCTAGGTCGGCGGGTGCTAGGTCGGCGGGTGCCAGGTCTGCGGGTGCCAGGTCGGCGGGTGCTAGGTCCGTGGGTGCTAGGTCGGTGGGTGCTAGGTGGTCGAGTGCTAGGTCGGCGGGTGATAGGTCGGCGGGTGCCAGGTCGGCGGGTGCCAAGTCGGCGGGTGCGAAGGTCGGCGGGTGCTAGGTCGGCGGGTGCTAGGTCGGTGGGTGCCAGGTCGGCGGGTACTAGGTTGGCGTTTGCTAGGTCGGCGGGTGCTAGGTCGGCGGGTGCTAGGTCGGCGGGTGCTAGGTCGGCGGGTGCTAAGTCGGTGGGTGCTAGGTCGGCGGGTGCTAGGTCGGCGGGTGCTAGGTCGGCGGGTGCCAGGTCGGCGGGTGCCAGGTCGGCGGGTGCCAAGTCGGCGGGTGCCAGGTCGGCGGGTGCTAGGTCGGCGTGTGCTAGGTCGGTGGGTGCTAGGTCGGTGGGTGCCAGGTCGGCGGGTGCCAGGTCGGCGGGTGCTAGGTCGGCGGGTGCTAGGTCGGCAGGTGCTAGGTCGGCGGGTGCTAGGTCGGCGGGTGCCAGGTCGGCGGGTGCCAGGTCGGCGGATGCTAGGTCAGCAGGTGCTAGGTCGGCGGGTGCTAGGTCGGCGGGTGCTAGGTCGGCGGGTGCTAGGTCGGCGGGTGCCAGGTCGGCGGGTGCCAGGTCCGCGGGTGCATGGTCGGCGGGTGCTTGGTCGGCGAATGCCAGGTCGGCGGGTGCCAGGTCAGCGGGTGCTAGGTCGGCGGGTGCCAGGTCGGCGGGTGCCAGGTCGGCGGGTGCTAGGTCGGCGGGTGCTAGGTCGGCGGGTGCTAGGTCGGCGGGTGCTAGGTCGGCGGGTGCTAGGTCGGCGGGTGCCAGGTCGGCGGGTGCCAGGTCGGCGGGTGCATGGTCGGCGGGTGCTTGGTAGGCGAATGCCAGGTCGGCGGGTGATAGGTCGGCGGGTGCTAGGTCGGCGGGTGCCAGGTCGGCGGGTGCCAGGTCGGCGGGTGCTAGGTCGGCGGGTGCTAGGTCGGCGGGTGCTAGGTCGGCGGGTGCTAGGTCGGCGGGTGCTAGGTCGGCAAGTGCTAGGTCGGCGGGTGCCAGGTCGGCGGGTGCTAGGTCGGCGGGTGCTAGGTCGGCAAGTGCTAGGTCGGCAAGTGCTAGGTCGGTGGGTGCTAGGTCGGCGGGTGCTAGGTCGGCGGGTGCCAGGTCTGCGGGTGCCAGGTCGGCGGGTGCTAGGTCCGTGGGTGCTAGGTCGGTGGGTGCTAGGTGGTCGAGTGCTAGGTCGGCGGGTGATAGGTCGGCGGGTGCCAGGTCGGCGGGTGCCAAGTCGGCGGGTGCTAAGGTCGGCGGGTGCTAGGTCGGCGGGTGCTAGGTCGGTGGGTGCCAGGTCGGCGGGTACTAGGTTGGCGGGTGCTAGGTCGGCGGGTGCTAGGTCGGCGGGTGCTAGGTCGGCGGGTGCTAGGTCGGCGGGTGCTAAGTCGGTGGGTGCTAGGTCGGCGGGTGCTAGGTCGGCGGGTGCTAGGTCGGCGCGTGCCAGGTCGGCGGGTGCCAGGTCGGCGGGTGCCAAGTCGGAGGGTGCCAGGTCGGCGGGTGCTAGGTCGGCGCGTGCTAGGTCGGTGGGTGCTAGGTCGGCATGTGCTAGGTCGGCGGGTGCTAGGTCGGTGGTTTCTAGGTCGGCAGGTGCTAGGTCGGCGGGTGCTAGGTCGGCGGGTGCCAGGTCGGCGGGTGCCAGGTCGGCGGATGCTAGGTCAGCAGGTGCTAGGTCGGCGGGTGCTAGGTCGGCGGGTGCTAGGTCGGCGGGTGCTAGGTCGGCGGGTGCCAGGTCGGCGGGTGCCAGGTCCGCGGGTGCATGGTCGGCGGGTGCTTGGTCGGCGAATGCCAGGTCGGCGGGTGCCAAGTCGGCGGGTGCTAGGTCGGCGGGTGCCAGGTCGGCGGGTGCCATGTCGGCGGGTGCTAGGTCGGCGGGTGCTAGGTCGGCGGGTGCTAGGTCGGCGGGTGGTAGGTCGGCGGGTGGTAGGTCGGCAAGTGCTAGGTCGGCGGGTGCCAGGTCGGCGGGTGCTAGGTCGGCGGGTGCTAGGTCGGCAAGTGCTAGGTTGGCAAGTGCTAGGTCGATGGGTGCTAGGTCGGCGGGTGCTAGGTCGGCGGGTGCCAGGTCGGCGGGTGCCAGGTCGGCGGGTGCTAGGTCCGTGGGTGCTAGGTCGGTGGGTGCTAGGTGGTCGAGTGCTAGGTCGGCGGGTGATAGGTCGGCGGGTGCCAGGTCGGCGGGTGCCAAGTCGGCGGGTGCTAAGGTCGGCGGGTGCTAGGTCGGCGGGTGCTAGGTCGGTGGGTGCCAGGTCGGCGGGTACTAGGTTGGCGGTTGCTAGGTCGGCGGGTGCTAGGTCGGCGGTTCCTAGGTCGGCGGGTGCTAGGTCGGCGGGTGCTAGGTCGGTGGGTGCTAGGTCGGCGGGTGCTAGGTCGGCGGGTGCTAGGTCGGCGGGTGCCAGGTCGGCGGGTGCCAGGTCGGCGGGTGCCAGGTCGGCGGGTGCCAGATCGGCGGGTGCCAGGTCGCCGGGGCCAGGTCGGCGGGTGCTAGAACAGCGGGTGCCAGGTCGGCGGGTGCTAGGTCGGTGGGTGCTAGGTCGGTGGGTGCTAGGTCGGCGGGTGCTAGGTCGGTGGGTGCTAGGTCGGTGGGTGCTAGGTCGGGTGCTAAGGTCGGCGGGTGCTAGGTCGGTGGGTGCCAGGTCGGCGGGTGCCAGGTGGCGGGTGCTTGGTCGGCGGGTGCTAGGTCGGCGGGTGCTAGGTCGGCGGGTGCTAGGTCGGGTGCTAAGGTCGGCGGGTGCTAGGTCGGTGGGTGCCAGGTCGGCGGGTGCTAGGTCGGCAAGTGCTAGGTCGGCGGGAGCTAGGTCGGCGGGTGCTAGGTCGGCGGGTGCTAGGTCGGCGGGTGCTAGGTCGGCGGGTGCCAGGTCGGCGGGTGCCATGTCGGCGGGTGCTAGGTCGGCGGGTGCTAGGTCGGCGGGTGCTAGGTCGGCGGGTGCTAGGTCGGCGGGTGCTAGGTCGGCAAGTGCTAGGTCGGCGTGTGCCAGGTCGGCGGGTGCTAGGTCGGCGGGTACTAGGTCGGCGGGTGCTAGGTCGGCGGGTGCCAAGTCGGCAAGTGCTAGGTCGGCGGGATCTAGGTCGGCGGGTGCTAGGTCGGCGGGTGCCAGGTCGGCGGGTGCCATGTCGGCGGGTGCTAGGTCGGCGGGTGCTAGGTCGGCGGGTGCTAGGTCGGCGGGTGCTAGGTCGGCAATGCTAGGTCGGCGGGTGCCAGGTCGGCGGGTGCTAGGTCGGCGGGTGCTAGGTCGGCGGGTGCTAGGTCGGCGGGTGCCAGGTCGGCGGGTGCTAGGTCGGCAGGTGCCAAGTCGGCGGTTGCTAGGTCGGCGAGTGCTATGTCGGCGGGTGCTAGGTCGGCGGGTGC